GTCAAACATCTGAGATGAATGAGCCTGTCACTGTTTCATACTCTCCCAGTGCAAGAAGAACAGGTCAGTGCACGATCTGCTGCACATGTTTCTTAGTCCACTTCTGCAAACAAAGGCAACAGAGAGGAAAGTACAGTCTGGTTTTTGACTCTGGAGGGGATGTGATGAGCTATTCATAATTCTCAATAGACAAGTCCAGACATTCACACCAACCACAATCTCATAGCGCCTGAAAAACCAAGCTTTGAGATCATGTGTCAGCACATATCCAGCTCATTATTCAGAGACATTCAGCAGAAATTTGATGTCAGAATTTAAATTTTAAATTAAAGTATGCAGGTTTTCTGAGATAAGATGTGCAAAATGAATTAAAAACATTTAGTCAAAGTAAAAGATACCAAAATTGCAGCATTTTAGATCATTTTCACAACAGTTTTACAGTATTTTCTGCACTTTTTCTTTAATATTCCTGTAGGAACGATAAGAAAGATTCTGCAGTAACATTTGATTAAAACAATCAATGCATGCAGCTTACTAAATAATTATAAAATAAATCAAAATGCACCATTTACCTCTGCGCTGTGATTTTATCTGTGTGACCACCAACAGCAGGAGCATCTGCCAGTTCAATATCGACCACCTGTCGCGTCGACGCATCCTTGAAGTGATTATTTATTGAGTTTGACAAAGAAAGAAAAACAAATAAAATCCTTTCAGAGGTTGTGAGGAGGAGTTCTCATCTCCAGCGGACACTTTCAGCAGCTTGTGGAGAGAAATAAATCACTGTGAGGACACTTTCACCAACCTCTGGTCCACCTGTGCAGCCTGTGTGCACCTTGACGCACAGCAGTGAGCAAAAGTGATCCGCCAAGTCCAGGGAATCACTGAACTTCCTGCATGGGGTTTTCAAAGTAAAAGCTCTACTCATGAACATTTCTATTTTTAAGTAAAGACAGAATGATGATAGTGGCTACTAAAAGTCAATTCTTGCCACCACTAAAGACTACACACGACAAATATTTTAGTTTTAGTTAAGTTTATTCATAATACAATCAAAAGTCTGATTAATCTGATTAAAAACCTTTTTTAAAATCCTATAAATTAATATTTCTTAACTTAATTGCTGAGTTTGGTGTCAAATGCTGTCATTTAATTGAATTTTAATTAAATAAAAAAATATAACATGTTAAAAATCAGAAATGACTTTAATAATCTGTTACGGACACATTTTAGAAGTTAAAATATCTTCATTTGGGGGGGCTTTTTCAAACATATTGTTTGCCACCTCTCTTGAACATTACTCTAGATCCACAGCAAAAACAAAATATATATACTATAACAGGCACTTAACTCCACATATAATAGAGTGAAATTATAAGAATGTATATAGTAAGAAATAAAGAATCCTCTTCTTACCAGAACTGATTCAATTCTTATTGTCTCACTGATAAATAAAATGCGTTTATCTTGAAAGCAGCAGCCTTTATTCCTGCAGGACTCGTCCTGTTATTTGCTAACTTCACACATCTGCCATCAATCAGTTTTCTGCCTGGAGACTTCACAACTCAACTGACTTCATTTCAGTTCACAAAACTTTCCCTCAGGCTCCAAAAAGCTGTTAAAATTACTGTGTCCAATCTGTATTCTCTGCCCTGGCAAAGAGATGATGGCAAACGCATATTTATCAACCAATGGGAAGTAATGAGAATCAAACCAGGCATCAGAATCTGATTTATTGGGAAAGAACATGCACAGATACAAGGAATGTGTCTCTGGGTTTAAGTTCAGTGTTACACAAAGCTGCACAAAGATAAGGTAAAATAAATATAGAACTATTATGCACTGTATATATAAGAAGGTCAAATAATAGGTGTATAATTAGAAAAGCAAACAAACAAATAAATATTGAACGGAATAGATAAATGAAGTGGGTGATCATGTCTACAGCTGTGGTTTCCCGACCCCCACTAGGGGTCGCCAAAGCTTCACAGGGGGTTGGAAGACCTTCTTGATTTTAGGAGGCGTAAGAAAACTTTACAAAACATACACAGTAGTCCTGTATCTCAGCATTTCATAGTTTAGATTATTATATACATTGTTTTTATATAAAGTTCTGCAGACTGGGGTCCAAAAACTTAACTGAAATGATATGAATTGGGAATGACTGGAAAGCTGAGACACATACTTAATGCCACCCCTGCACAAGTCAGTGCTCCACTTGTGTCACCCCAGGCTTAAAAGTATGGACATGTCCCTGATTAGAAGAGATGTTTTCTTGCTGCCTGGTACCAGAGGAGGGGCCAGCTGGAGTACTCTGTGAAAGGGGATGCAGCTTTTTGTCATTTGGAAGCATTTGGTCCTTGCATTTATTTACACTTAAATTATTTCTTCTTGTGCTTTTAGTCAAATTAGAAGAAACAGGACACAAATACACTATTTTTGTGATTTTTTTCCTAAAAATGTACTCCTGGGGGAGCATAGCAGTTGCCACTTGCTACTAATTTAGTGCCCCACTGTTATAAGCCTCGTGCTTCTCTGGGATATTTGTTCTAGCTCCGACACTGAAATAATTTCATCCAAAACTTCCTGCAGTCTCTATTTGGGTTCATTGTACAGTTTTATCAGTTGCTATGTGGTTTTATGTTTTGCACTGAATATAATATGAAGTATCCATAAAATATTTACTCACTGACAGAAAAGAGCTCCCTTAAGGAAAAAGGTTGGGAACAGTTTTCCATGTGTTTGACTGTCTCTGTTCAGACATGTTGGTCTGCAGTGTGGCACCTGTCTGTGATCCGGACTGAAAAATGCGTTCCTTAAAGAGAGAAAGGCTCCTTATGATGACAGATGCTCTATAACCACCACCATCTACACATAACACACACACACACACACACACACACACACACACACACACACACACACACACACACACACACACACGTTATTAACCTTTAAATCCACCTTTTCTTTTATAGAAATCTACACAATCTTTCTGCATGAAATCAAGGTTTATTCTTAAAGAAGCCCCCCTCCCCCTGCCCAAAAAAAGACAAGAAACTTTTTTTTTTAAATGCAAAGCTCAGTAGGCAGAAGTGAATGTCAATGTATTAAGGTTTGTCAGAACTTGCCCTCTCCAACATCTGAACCATACGACTGAAAAGAAAAATCCCTCTGACGCATCTCTCCCTGTGGATCCACAGCTCCTCATTTCAGTCGTCAATCCTGTGTGCACACGTAAAGATAAACCCACTTTACGCCATCGGCAGTACTCTCAGGGCACGTTTTGTTGTTACGACCCCTTCCCCTCCTCTAGTCACACACTTCAAATTTAAATTCCATCCATCTTCTACCTTGCTTTCAGCTGTCAAAGAAGCTCAGGAAGAGTCATGTTGAAGGTAGCACTTATGTTGTGACCTGTGGATGAGAGGTGCAACACTCTGTCATTTTTGTCTGAACACACAATATGAGATTTGTCTCCTCCCGCCCACCAATAAGGAGAAGAATATCGAGCTTTGTGTCTCTTTCCAACAAGGTTTGCTTGTTTACAGCTGCCTGGATATGCTGCCAGTAAACTACTCTACAGCTGAATGTCTGGGTAACAGGGACGCTGGAAGTCAGTCACAGTTTGGGGTGCTGAGAGAAAGTCTGCCTATAATGATCATACTAAATGCTAAATGCATGACATTCATGGTTGGGTGCATTCATTTGAATAGCCAGAATAATTTACAGCCTATTTTGGAGTTATTAACTTAAACTTTACACACATTTTTATAACTTTTTGACAGATAAAAAAGATTTTAAAAAACTCTTTCCTGTCATAAATCCCAGTAAACAAGTTGAAAGTCATTTTTATGATCTAATAGTTTTCATTATGCCAGATTTTATGGGGTGGAGCAACCCCCTCAGCACCCCTGCTTCCAAGCGCCCATGCTTGGTAAGGTCATTAGTAACCTTACAACAGCTTTATCACAGGATGTGAGTTCACGTAGAGCAGAATAAATAATGTTTATGCTCATTTTATCCTTTCAGCATCAAACTGAGGATGCGTTCACATTGTCAGAAAATGAATCTAACTTTGTTTTAATAAGACTGTATATATATTTATATTCAAACATTTCCGCGCATTTACAATAAATTAAATTACTTTGAACAAAATGATACAGATGTTCTCTCTTTTTAATTAGCAGTAATTTATTCAGTTTGATAGACAAAAATGCAGTTTAAAGACACAAATAAATTGAGTCAAATGTTAATATGGTTCAAGAAAAAATCCAGTTCACTTTCTGGGTTTTAGAGGCCACTCCATTATGAGTAGCAGATCATCATACAGTACAGTGGGTGGTTTCACAGTATGTCACAATGCAAACAAGCTGTGAGAATGCGTCCATGCTGTTATGTGATCGTACTGAATGACGCTGTGACAATGGACCATAGAGCACCTGTACTATAGGTGTGGTGTCACTTTATAAACTCAGCTGGGACAATATTTGATATGATTTGGATCTGGTATAAAATTACATTTTTCAGTCTCCCTTTTAAATGTATTTTTGGGAAATGTTTGTACTGATCATGCTGTTACAACAGCAAACCTATTGAAACCTGCAGCAAGACTGTGTAAATGTTTAAAAACCAAACAATTTTATCTGTTTTAGAATGACCTGAGAAGAATTTTCTTTCCCTTTTTATATATTAATTTATGTAGTTTATTTATGTCAAACTATTTTACTTCCATGCAGTTATTCACTTTTATGCATCTACTTACTTGATGACTATGTCCATTGTCCCTGATGTTCATGTGTGAAATTGCATGTTTGTGTATTAATAAAAGGATTTTTAAAACATTGTGATACACATTAAATGTGTTGTCCATCTTTATACATATACAGAAAATAGTCCATGAATTAAACTCAGCTAACAGCTCCTGAACTGGTGTGTGAGGACCTCTGGTGGACAGACAAGGAATCAGCAGCAACTTAGTAAAGTAACAAAACACATAATTATAACAGATTTTTCAAGAACATTTAATAAATAAGAAACAGTATAAAAAAGTTTAGTTTAAAAAGAACTACAAAAACTCCCTCCCAACTTCTGCAGACCAAACAGTCAGGTTAATGATTTGTTCCTTAAAGAACATACTGCATGAGACTTAACAGGTCCTTCAGCACAGTGGTTCCCAACTACCCTCACTAGAGGGTGCCAAAGCATGATGGGCCAGTATTTGGTTCACCTCTGTTAAGAACTGTACATGTAAGGTAAAATGTCTAATAGAACAATGGCCAAACATCAGGGACAAGAAAACACTGAATTTGTCAAAAAAGAAGCCTCTTAAGTCTGTGTGACGAGACACAGAATTGGTTAAAATCATGATGGAGCTAAAAGTACTTCAGCTTTGCTTCTCGTCTTGTGGATCATCTGCTGGCTGTTCCTCCTGTCTTGGCTCCTGGCTGAGTGTTTCTGGACATCAGTTATCTGTCAAAAGATAAAAGATTGGTCACATCCACAATGCATCTGTCACATGGTGCAAGTTATCGTTCACTGCTGTTCACACAGTTCAAGAAAGTCATTGACAGGATATAAAAAGTGGACTGCATTCTTTCTAATGGCCAGCAGGGGGCAGCTCAAGCCTACTTCTCACTTGGTTTTTGAGCTCAGTAAACTAATGAGTTTATGACCTCAGTCTCTAGTTTTAAGCCTTCTTCCATACAGCATGATGCTCATTTAGTAAATAATGGTATATTATTGTAGTTCTTAGAATGGATGCAAGCAATGGAAAACAGATTACAGTGGATGTTCCCTTGTACCTGAAAGATGAACCAATGTATGTCGTAACTCTTTGTTGTGTTTTGTAATTCTGGTTTATTTAATCGACTGCGGTTATTGCACAGTGAAAGACGTCATGAGGTCAAACACACCTTGTAGTGAACACGAGGAATGTGCTGAATCACTAGATGTAATTCAACAGAGGCAGACGTGTTATTATATTCAACCAGTCACATTTTCATCAGCGGATTTTAAACTTGGACAACATTTGCATGAGTAATAAATCTGCACTGTAACATGGTGTATGCACCTGCAGTCTTCTCATCCAATACCAGTCTGTCCCCACAGTAAACAGTAGAAAATGTGTTAAATATGTCAATATCACACATATTCTGGACTGTTAGTTAGTATTGCCATTGTGCAGACCTTACTTACATTTTATAATGTATTCCTATAGGAAATATCATAATTTTGGTACGTTTAGGCAAAAACAAACAAAAAACTATCTGATTAAGATTAGGAAAGATTGTGATTTTTGTTAGATGTTAATAAATATTGTCATGTGTCAAGTCACTGCTGACTTTTGAATAATGCTGTAGTCACTACCATTGGATTCAGGACAACTTCAGTTTCAATAACGTGCTCTGATCCAGTGTAAATATGATATCTAACATGTCAAATTACTTATTTTGTGATGTTTTCTTGTGTTTTTAAAAGAAAATCAACTTTGTCTACCAATTAAGGCACGATGAACGTTTTAAATTATACATTTTGATTTTGTCATGTTTAGCTACATGTCTTGAATTTGTGTTTCCACCTCATATAACATTTAATAACATAATGTCGCCATGGAGTCAGTCAGTTAGCTCTGGTTTTTGCCTATATTTGTTTACATGTTGGCAATTTTCACCATTAAACTTGTGCCGAATTACTTCTTAGCAGTTCCTGTTTGCAATGTCACCAAACAGCAATCACTCAATTACTTTGATACGGTAAAAAAAGGTGAAAACGTGATGATTCTTAGGCAAGTTCTGCTTTTGCTTCCTGTTCACTCTGGGAATTTCCTCAGTAGTGAGAAAGTATCCGGGTTCGTTCCCACAGCCTCTGCAGCTCAACCAGAGGCTTGCCCGGTCTTGTTGTTTAAAAAATTGAAACCTTCATACCTTAGACTTCTTTATGAAAGACTTTTTAAAGACATACAGATACGTAAATGTTAAGCACTGAATATTTGCTTTACACGTTGAGCTCAGACAGTTGCCACCACGAGCAAGAGAGAGTGGGCCACAGATTTTTGTATTTCAACTTCAGCATTATAATATGTAATACAAGTGAAACATCCAGCCAATATTGCCTCACCGTTCAGACCTCACCCCCCCACACACACTTTCCCTCAAACACCACTGAAATGTATTTTTTAAATAATCATATTTGGGGTATTTTATGTTTTTACTAGAAAGTGACAAACCATTTCAGTTCAAGGTCAGCACCTAACCTCTTAAATCAAAGCTGTTATCTTCTTTATTTTCTGTAATTGAACAGAATAATGATCTGATTTTGTTCTTTTTTTTTATTGTTTTCTGCAAAAGAGCATTAAAAACATATTTGTTGTTTGAGCATGTACTTAGATATTTTCACTATATTCTCTCTCTGTATTAAGACACTGTGATTTCATACTTATAGGTACAATATACCTTTTAGGTCAGTGTACTCAAATGAGTAAACCAAAATCAGGAAACGACCGCTTTTCCGTTTTTGTTTTAAAAATTTAAAAACTGAAAACGAAAAAAGGAAAATGTGTTGGCTGCAAATCACACTGACCCTGATACAGGACCTGCTGTTTGACGTTAATTACTAAAAACATATTTGCAAGTACATAAATACCATTTTAAGGCTTATATAATAAACAACTGGTATCAAAATATGTTTTAGATATGCAAGGCTGTCCCTGATATTAATAATAAATAAAAACAATGAATATTGAATAAAAAAAACAGAAACGTAGTCGATTCTTACCTTATTTGCATTTGTATATGAGTAGTATGAGGATACACACTACCACAATCTCTACTAATATGAGACAGGTTAACATGAACGTCCGGTTCTCTAGAAAAAAATTAATGAATGAAAAAATAAATAAAGGTTTAAAAGGACTTTTAATTTATAGATCATGATTTCAACACATTCTAACAGAGGCCACATGGGCATGCTTAATAAAGACATTAAGATGCATTAAAGTAGATATTTGTTGGTGTGAGAACTCACTACGGTGGAAGGGGTTGACGGCTGGATCGCTTGCTTTGAAGCTGACCGGGTTATCCAACAAACAGGCGTACCATGGCTCCACCTGGTCATCCTAGAAAGTGATAGAAAGATAATATTAGCCAGAATTTCATAAACCCCTTTATTTTATAGGCCTAGATTACCAACATTACTTCATACTACTGCTTACTACTACATGTTTCCTGTTCATACCTTATTTATAATGTGCACATTGGATGAAGACCAGCGCATGTCCCCTGCTTCCCACTTAAAGGTGATTGGTTCAGCGTCTGTGGTGTTGCCGCTACAGGTGAGAACACAGTAGGTCATCTCAGGGTCGCACCACGTGGAGACGGTGGGTTTAGAGACATGAGCTGACGGACAATGCAACAAACAAAAATGTTAGGTGAAAAACAAACAACCCCTCTTTTAGCCAAACTTCGTACAAAATTCCCTCCACTTACAGATGACCAGCAGTTGAATCGTGCTCTTGACTTGGTTGTTGATCTCTACTGTGTAGTTGCCGCTGTCGTTTCGAGTCAGTCCCGTGATCATCAGCGCTCCAGTTGTACTATTCAGCGAACCGCGAACTAAAAGTGTGCACATACATGGTTCAATTTAGCTTCTAGTTAGTTTAGTTTAGTTGTCTTCAGCGGCCCACTGGAGCAACAGACTCTCAAATTAATTAAAATTAATTTACTCAGTGATAGTTGTGTAATTGAGGTACTTTAATGTGTAAATTGGATGGATTGCAATATATTCAGATGTTTTTTTGGAGCAAAACCTCCTTAAAATCGACAAAAACACATAAGTGATCCCTTAATGGACAGTATACTAAATTTTATTATATTAAATTATATTAAACAGGCTTTAATGTTTCACATACCTTTAAAATGGCGGTAAGTGTGCGTCTCATTTCCATTCCACTGCATGGCGATGTCAGGACCGTGTTTCCACACTATGCTGGTGATGGGTTTAACCACAGAGTCTGGTTTGAGGACAACCTTGTCATCCACGGCTTTGTAGACCGGATTGTCTGCAAAATAAAAAATCGTCACATCTCATATTTTCTTTTTCCATTTAGTCCTTTCTGTTTAGTATCATCATCAAAAGGTAGCCACGCCCTAAAGCATACCCTGCATTATGGTCTATTTCACTCTGAATTGGACCACAATGTACTAAATGAACATAAAGCTGTATGGAAGAAGACTTTTAACTACAGATTGAGACCATAAACTCATTAGTAAACTGTTTATTCAGCTAATAAATCAAGTGAGAAGCCGGGTCATTTCTCCGTAAGAGTGCATGGCATCAGTTTTTATTGTAGCCAATGGAGCTGCCCCCTGCTGGACATTACATACAATTCATGTTTAAAACACTTCACAGACCCAGAAGCCTCTGTCCATTATATTATATACTGTGAAGAGACTGAGAGTCCTTTACTGCAACACTTGAAAACACCAGTAATAAACGCACAAAACGTTTTTTTTTTTTTAATCATTAAGCTGTCAGTTAGTTATAAAATGTTCGAATATAAATAAATTTTAAAACTGACTGTATTCTGTAGTTACAGATAGTAAACTTTATTGTGTCACACTCACTGGAGTTTGCTTTCACTGCGGTCAGGAAGACGACAAACAGTCCCGCCAGAGTCACCGACATCCTCATTTCTGTCAGCGAATAAAATACGTGATTCTCGTCTAAATATGAAGAAATATTTCCAGTACACAGAAAACTACAAAAACAATTCAAAGTCGTGACTGACAACTAAAGCAGACAGCGAGGATGAAGGAAGGAAGCAAGTGGGACGAGTTTTTACTGGATCCGTCATTTATAAACGCCAACTCTGGATGCAGGGGCGTTTCCACATTTCTTTTTACCTGGGTGGCACAGGTGAGACACTGACTATTGCAGGGGTGGCATGAAGCATTAAAGAGTCCCAGGCATTCCCAATTTATGCAATTCCAACAGGGTTTACCCCAGGTTGCAGAATATATTCAAATAGTAAAAATAATAAATAATAATTTATACCACATGCAGAAAAGGGCACGTTTTTTCTTTTGTTAGTTTTGCTTTTGTTTTCTCTCCTTCCTCTTCCTCGTCTACTAGTATTATCATATGTATAATTCCTTCATAACCATAATCCTTGATGCCCTGTTGGTGTTGTCTTTATATGCCTCACTCTCTCTTCCTGGGACTATGGGAGCCCTGGCAGTAAGACAAAGCTCACTGCTGCTGTGCTGTAGTGCCCCTGTGACCAATCTGTTCTGTGCACCTGAGGTCCACCGAGGAGATCAGATGCTTCAAGTGTCCCTTAAATATGTCGGCAGAGCCACCAGCCATTTATCCCAATGAGGAGTGTAAGGAACAGCTTGCATACCTTACCTGATAAAATGTGTTGAGATATTCTATCATCTGCAATAGCTCAGATGCATTATTATATAGTGCTTTTTCCTGTGTCAGCAGTTCCCAACCTGGTCTCTAAAAACCAACAAATAATGAATCATCAAACATCATTCAGTATAATTACATGGATGGACTTCAGCTCCTAAATTTGAAGGAATATGTTAAACCAACTCATTTAGGGATGCACCGATTGTGAAATTCTGATACCCATGTCTTTTGTTTGTTTGTCTGTGAGAAATCGACTAAGACAGGAAGCTTGTTGCAGTTCATCAAAGATGTGAGATGCAGAGCTGAAAAGCTGCTCACTTTCCAATGTCAGTCAACAGTATTGGCCGGTGTATCGGTGCATCCCTAGAAATATTTCAACATAGCTTGAAAATGTAAAAACAAGAAACCAAGCATTACTACATCAATAAATCTTAATAATTTTATTGTCTTTGTTCTCATGATTTTACAAATATGATACTTCTGCAATTCAACTTTAACTGTGCAACACAATGGCATTATGGACTGTTAAACTCGACATCCCGAGGGACGTCTGTGACTCCAGGGAGCTGTGAATCCTGCAGACCAGAGGGCCTTAGTGTATTTTTTATTTTAGTGTCACCCTATGAGTGTTATGAAAGTCTAGCTCGAGTGTTACATTTGTCATCATTCACCTCCAGGCCTGTTGGGTTTTTATTTGTCCGCAGGATTCACTAGCAGCTGATTTTTTTTATCCCACCACTGATGTAACGACGGCCACTGTAGGAAAGGGGAGGAAGCCGGGTCCCTCCCCTTCCCCTTCCTCCCCCCACGGGTCAGAGAGCGACTCCTCGGACGTGGGCTTGAATTAAGTTTTACAGTCTCTTTGGATGAGGCTGGTGGTACCTGGTCAGAGCTGCAGGGCTGCTTGTCTTTTTAGAATGGGTGATCTCGCCACGAAGGGACACCAGTACAGATAAGAACAATGGCATGCAAGACTCACATACAGACCCACTTGTTATTATTTCTTTTTTTTTTTAATAGAAAATAAAGATTCTGACATAAGTACAAGCACTGAGCCCCTTGCAAACACCCAACAGCCAAGCGTATTGGAAACTTTACGGAGGACGAACGACGCCTAAACTGACGGCGTTAAGAAATATCGGGGGGCTTGCGACGGTTAAAACCATTTCAACACAACAGCTGGCTTCTTTTCATATTCAATAAGTCCTGTTTTAAAGGACATAATACATCTCACATTTATATTATTTCTTCTTCTACACCTTTTTACTACAAATGTATGTGCTTTTGATTTAAAACAATTTGGGGGAAAAAAGAAATAAAAAAGTAAATTTGTAGTTCAATGACACTCCATCCCACTCTGGCCAATTTATTGCAAATGAAGTGATAACCTCTGAACAGCAACACACACTTCAATATGGCACAAGCATCTTAGAAATGACCTAAATGCATCGTCGTCATTGTGGGTGAATATCAAAAACCAAACCACACCATATCTAAAAATATTAAGACATTAATCATCAGTAGAGCAGAAAAGAAATTATTTTTTTCCTTCCTTGTCGAAACATGCAGTCTGCCGCTCTGCAAGCAAAACTCAATTCTGGACCCCTAAGTAAAACGCCAAAAATTAAAAAAATGTCTTCGTCTCAAATGCATATGAACACTGCAAATGATTAGCCTTGTCAGTCGAGCTAATATACTTCTATTTTTCACGACAGGAGCTGCAGAGTAAGACTTCAAAATCCAGGTCATTGTGCAGTTGAGGTTCTCGCTTTTTCCTCTCTTAGTTGAGGGCTGGATGACGTTTCCTTCCACCCGAAAAATGCACACTGGCCAGAAAAGTGAAGCGTGTAGTGACTAGAAGTTGCCCCTTTCCAGTTTGCGTGGCGAAAAACTTTTCAGATCAAATTAACTGAAATAATAAGCAAAAATCTGAGCTTAAAGCACTCTTTCCGGTTGCTTTCAGACGTCTTTTCTGACCCACTTTATCTAGCTTCGCGTGTGTCACCTTAAGACATTTGATGTGCTTATCCTAGTGAATGTCAGCTTTGGCACACTCCCTGCTGAGGTACCTAACCAAATACCTTGTCAAGTACGGAAACTACTGTTTTTTTTCCCCCCACTGAGGATATTGTTGTTGCATTATACTTTATATATATAGAGAGGAGTATTTTTCTCTAGAATGTCTCTGGAGTGTTAAGGAGAAAATCTACACATGAAGGCATTCTCCTCCAGCCCTTTCTCCGAGGCTGCCATGTGGAAATCCCTCTCAGCAGCCCCGTCTACCTGCTCACCATTTTTATCCCACCACAAAATCCAAATAAATATTGTTTAAAATAAGGGCAAATTGGTAAAACAAAACAAAAAAAATGAAGCAAAATCAATGTAGTGGCCTCATAGTGTAACACAAAACTCTCAAAATACAATAAATCCATCACCGTTTCAGTCCTCCTCAGTCAAATAAAGAAAGAAAGAAACATTACAGGGAAGGATATATCTAGAGTAGTGGTTGCTTTACAATGGCGCCTATGTCGAGAGAGTGACTGGGCATCAGTTTGTCATGTTGCAACTTCTTTAAAAACTGCTTCCTCTTCCTCTCCCCCCACCCCTGTCTCTCTCTTTTCTCTCTTCGCCCAGAGGTGATCATGCTCTGTCTGATCAAAGTCTTTGACCTTTAACCCTTGGCTCCCCTTCCCTCCCCTACCCTTCCCGATCAAACGCTACTCCCGCTCCTCTTCCTCATCCGCTCAGAGGGGGGATTGTTCAGTCGGCGTAGTGCATGATGGACTCGACGTAGTTGCCAGGGAAGAGGCCCGTGGTCCCGTTCATCACACCCTCGTACCAGCCGTCGTCATTCTTCTTGATCACGTAGATGATGGCGCCCTCCTGGAACGAAAGCTCGTCCTCCTTGTCACGAGCGTAGTCATAGATCGCCACCACTGCGGGGAAAAAAGGGTGAAGAAGTGCACTGGGTAAAATAAGCGAACTAAGGTACTAAGTAATGAGTGAGCAGTGAAGACTGACCTTTCTCCATGTAGGTACGTGGGGCCCATGGCGGATCCTCCTCGGCGTATGGGTCACTGTACTCCACCACCGCCGACTCTTCTTCATCCTCATCGTCCTCATAGTCCTCTGGCGGAGGAGGAGGAGGTGTGGGCTCCTCAAACACCGGCTCCTCTGCAGGTGGAGGTGGGGGCGGCACGTCTGAGACTAGAAATCATTTTCAAGCAAGCAGGAATGAAAAAGAGGACCAATTAGAGGCTAAGAAAAAGGAACAAAGACGAGGGACACAGATGACTGACTGGTATTCTCATGCATTGCAGAAAGGAACAGGAACGGTCCATGCTGGATGCATTTAGACAACATTTAGATGCTCGGTGCTGTGAATTTATTCATCATGGAAACCAAAGGAAAACTTAACAACCACAGCACTTAACAGAACGGTAAGAACATAACATCCAAACGCAGAATGGTGCGACATGACAGGAACAAAATGTGCACACACAACGTGCATTTAAAAGAAATTGAGGTAGGATTTTTTTCCAGAGTGAGGACAATGACACAAAGAAAAATTACACAGAGATATGATCGTGCTCATGAACAAACACACAAACATGCTTCATTATTCATATCATGCTTTACGCGTTCCTTCACCCTTTTTACGAGTGCTCAACCACCAACGTTTGCTGCCAGAGGGCGCAGTAGTCATCTCACACTCCCACAATTCACATCTATTTTAACATGTAGTGTCAGAAAAAAAATCTCAAAAAATTGAATGTGACAGTGCAGTCTAATGGATACAAACTGATTAAAATCTTTCCTTTAAGTGGTTTCACCTCTTTTTCTGTTTGTCATTGCTAAAAAAAAAAATAAAGTTTTAGCTTCATTCACACTTTAAGAACAGGCCTGTCTTCATGTTTTGTGCCCACAAATCTGACCAAGTAGTAACACAGTGTTAAAGGACATGTCTTGGTGTTATTATTTAAACAATTACTGAAACTTTTTTGAGAAAGGGGTTAATCTGCCACTGAAAATACAGTTTAGGGAAACCTAAATGTGGTGACCCCTGACCCAGCTGCTGTTGGAGGTTGATCACTCGTTTACTCCAGTCAGAAAATATTCCACAAAAAGGGGACGAACTGAAACTAACTGTTGGGGAGAGGACTTAAAACCAATGGTGGTCATGCAGGGGGGAGCGAGGGGCTAAAGGCCACTTACTAGTCTCCTGAACTCGGGCCACAAAGCCCATCAGAGGCAGCTGAGGGGTGATCTGCATGGAGGGGGGAGGGGGCGCGAGCGGGCCGGCTATCACCAAACAGAATCAATACACAGAGATGGAGGAGTACGGACATAAGACAGCAAAGACATGAAGAAAATGAGGTTAGAATAAACAAGAAGAATAAAGTTAAAGAACAGGAACAAGAACAACAGTTACAGTATGTAAACAAAACAGAAATCCATAATTATTAATTTGTCTTTGCAGCTGTGATGTAAAGATGTACGACAGTACAACAATTTCATTACCAATTAATCAAAATATAGTCAAAACACTAACCGATGATTTGTTAACTTTAATAAATAATAATACAAGTAGCCAATCACAATTTCCAAGACAGCAAGGTAATGTGAAAACTGTTTTGTCTTATCAGTCCAAAACCTAAATATTCTAATTTAAAATGTTTTTTTTAATTAATTAAATGTATGCTTAATTAATTTGATGAATTTTTGACAAATTAACCAGCAGACTGATTGATGACAGAAATTGTTGTTAGTTGCAGCCTCAAATTGCTTTCCACAAGCTTTAAGAACGTACTGTAGACATTATTTGAATCCCAATTGACATTGAAATTGAAACAGATTTGTATTACTGAAATAAACAGACCACAGATGTGCGAGTAAACCAGGCAGTTTAGAGAGAAACGGAGGTTGCAAAGAGCAGAGAAGACAGAGAGCTGGTGAATAGTTGAAATCTGGTGAGGACAGTTAAGTTGATGGAAAATGACAACACAACCAGACAGAAGATCTTCTCATAGAAGAAGCAGATACACAACGGAGTCGGAGTCTGAAATCTAAAGGCTTGGAGAGAGGATGGACTCTGAATCAGAGCATTCATTAATTCATTTAAATTCATAGAGAATAGATAAAAAGAGGATAAAAAAGCTTTAAAAAAATTGGCCTTCATCTAAACAGAACACTGATGGTGATAATAATAATAATAATAATAATAATAATAATAATAATAATTTAGGTTCCGTTTTCTTTAATAAATAACATTAATTAAATTCAAAACAATTTGTTGTGTATTCCTGTAAATTATAACAGTGAATATAGGTTAAAAAAGATTTTAAAACTTTTGAGCTGGATGCTGGTGTTTAAGTGAGGCTTATTCATGAATAATTTAGTTTATTAATAATTCTGATCCTAAGAAAAATGAGCCATGGTGCTCTGTTGTAACACCTCCATTCGTGTTGTAAAGTTTAGTTACTCCCTTTTCAGAGTCAATGTCAGATTTATAACTAATAAACAGAAAAAACTGAAAGGTATTATGGTTAAAAATGTATATTTAGGAACGTGGCTATCAAAAGATTCATGGACATGAATGTGAAAATGTTAACGGCTGTGACCGGTACCTTGGTTCTGGGCGAAGTGTGGCCCACCGTTGAGCTGGCTCTGGTTGTGGGCCATGTTGGGCTGACCGGTGACAGACGAGGGTCGGCGGTACGGCAGCGAGCCTCCCACCTGCTGGTTTTGGGGCGGCTGCACCGGGCGGTTCATGCTGTAGAACTGAGGAGCACCTGAGAGGAGACAACACCAGGGGGCAGCAAAGAGTCATTTAACAAAGGGTAAGATTGAGAGATTTTATGTTTTAGCCCTGAGCTATCCTCAACAGTTTCTTAGTTCAGAATATTTTATGGTACAGCTGCAACCTAAGCTACAAAAGCATCTATTACAACAATTTAATAATAATAACTAATTAAGCTCATTGTTTTTAATATCTACATAGATATTGCTTTTGATTCAAATGCGTACAATTAGTTAATATTGTACTTGGCTGAAGTAGAGTAAATTTTAAATACTTATTATACTGTTTTGTGGTTCAATATGAATCATACTTTCTTTTAAAAGGGGTCAACCATAGTTCATCCACACCGGTGTTTTCACTTTTATTCACAATTCCACTTCATAATCAACTAATTCTTTCACAAAAAAGCATCTAAATCTGATATTAACTAATCTTTTCCATGACTCAATGACTGTATAGCTGAATACAAAGCACCAAGGCAAGAAAGCAACTGTTTATTGACTAATAGATTCTAAATGCATTATCTACTTAATCAGCCAAAATCTGATGTGTGGGAGGGCTGAATAATTAAAAATGCTTTCAATAATTCATCAGTATTAACATTTGGCTAATAGTGTTAAGTTTCTACCCTCAATGGTAGCACTGCACATTAACTGATAATTACAATGTCAAGAACTTCACTCGCACACAACAAAGAATAAATACACATGAATATGCAAGCATTTCACCACACAGCTCATGCATTATACATCAGAACATCATCATCGTCAACACAGACACAGGCAGCTGATGAGAAGCTGTGAATGATGAAGAGCGGAGGATCCAGCAGCAGTGGAAAATGAAAAATCTGAGGAAGGTGGCAGAAGAGCTGCTATTTTGATAAATATTCTGACAGTGCTCCACAATGACCTTTAAAGTTAAAGTTATTGTTTAGCACTTAACTGTTTCAGGACAAAGTCTTCCTCTGAAATGCAGATAAGAGATTAATTCTAGCTCGTTTACCTACAATCTGTGTACTCAAAACTATATTTTTTAACACTTTTGATTAGGTGTACAGTCCTTAAGAGATGGACATTTCTGAATAAAAGGCAAAGAAGACTGTAGCTGGTATATGAAAGCTTAACCTACCCACTAATAAAGTCCTCAAAATATTCTTGGTGCAGTGTCGGAGACAGGTCAACTTCAGATGACTTGAAATTTTCAAGAACTTGAAAGCATTAAGATGCAATTATAAATTTTAAGACTTTTTACACCTGTAGTTTGTTTTACTTGGTTCAAACCAACTGTGAACCGTTTTGAAGCCTTGAGTTTGGCGTTAGGGTTACTCACCAGTGCAGTATGCCATTTTAGTTTTTGCTTATTACTTTCTAAGGGGTACAGCTTGTACTAATTACCTGCACTAGCTTTCCTCCAGGGTCTGTTTCCCTGTTAACTGGCGACTTTCTGCCAAATAGTTAACATATTTGGCTTGAAGTTGCCAGTTAACAGGGTCACTTATTAAACTGAAAACTGGCGAGCCGTGGGACGCAAACGCCACAGCTCTGGGGAATTGGGATAATTAGTGGACCATTCTGCGAAGACTGCTGGTGTTTCTAGTTGGGAGTTTTTCCAGAGCGAGTGAGGCGTTACTGTGTTGTCACATCGTTTCACTCACTTTTACACTGAGCAACTGCCAAAAAACATGTAGGACATGAACACAACACACTCCTTTTCACTTTCTGATTGGACACGCAAACGTGTTACCATGGTTAAGTTATTGAATATATATATATATATATATATATATATATATATATATATATATATATATATATATATATATATATATATATATACACATATACATACACACACACACACACACACAGCTTTATGGACGGTTAACCATCTGCAGACGGATTTAATAGTAGTTCAACTTTTAAATGTATGCCAAAATCACATATTTAGACCTGTAGTTGACAGCTTTTATATACCAGCTTACACAAACTAAACCAAATTGGCATAAGCACCAGAGTTCATTTGAAGATTAGATGTAAAATTACCCTTAAAGATTTGTACAAACATACTCAGGTTGAAATCCCAGGTATCCCATTAACTTGACAATTGTGACTCATTTGAATTGTTTTGTTGAGCAAGTGGTCAGACAATACGATGGCATGCCAGTGGGTGAATGCATCTGGGTCTCGCAAGCAGGAGGGGGAGGCGGGATGGCGGGTGAGCAGAGGAGTGGGTGAGCTTCTCCCATCGGGTTACACTCACCTTGTGCAGGGTTTCCGTAAGGAGCGGGGCCTGTGCCAGTGGGGGCTGCAGAGGCAGGGAGCTGGGGAGGGGGTGGGGGTACAGGCGGGATCTCTACAGGGGGATTGGGGGCCTGTGGGGGGCCATCTAGGGCGGAGGTTGGGGGTCCAGGGGTGGTGGCAGTGTTGGGGGGAGGTTTAGCTGGGTTGGAAGGGGCAGGGCCTGAAATTGAGGTGTCATGGGCGAGGGGATTGCAGAGGTAAAAAGTGAAAAATAAAAAAAGATAAGGAAGAAGAGAAAAGGTGGGTGAGGGAGGTCAAGACAAGATAAAGTGAGAAGGTAGGAAAGGATTCCAGTAGATTGAGGGTTCCTACACATCCTCATTTCACTTTCATTTCACTTTCACACCTAAAGCATGTAGGAATCCTGGATACTAAACAAAGATTAGTCAAGTCAAGTTAGTTAGTTTCAGGCACACACAGATTCTGCAGTCATCTGCTTGGAGAGGAAACAGGAAGCAAGTGTTACCTGGGAAGGCGGTGGGCGGGGCTGGGGTCGGCACAGCGATGGGCACGCCCACGCTGCCACTGCCGCTGTTCTCTCGGCTGCTGCTGCGACTGCTGCTGGGGTGGCTGCCTCCGCTGCTCCCACTGCTGGTGGCGAGTAGGGCAGCAAACACGTCAGACCAAACGCTCAAGCACACTCAATCACACCGACGTACACAGACCCCGGTGACTAGATTGTGCTTCTTTACAGTCAAAATAAAAAAGCTTGAAAATGTAATACAGTTTCTGTTGTTTATAAAATGTCTCTACCTAACAGAGCAATACAATTTTCACATATAGCCCCTTTCCAACCACATAGCTCCAGGAACTAAGGAGCCACAGCAACTAAACTCAGGGACTAAAGAGAATTCCCGCTTGGGCTTCATCGTATCTTATGAAGATTTGGCAAATTGGTCCGATAAGTAAAAGAATGATGGCGGCATTTGAAAAGTAACAACAGAGAGAAGACAGTCACTCTGTTGTTGTTGTGTTTACTGTGGTGCAACTCTGATATCTGATTATATGTAATAATGGAAAGGAGACTGATGATGTGCTAAGTGAGGGTTATTTATTTCTGCTTTAGTAACTGTGATGAAATAATCAGCAAATTACACTAGCTTTGTGTTCTCAATCACTGCTCTGTCAGTCTCTTATTTGCTTCAGCTCATTTGCAAGCTAAATTCAAATCAATAAAGAAACGTACATCCTTCGTCCTAATATTGATACTAGTTGCAACCACTGCTTCCTCATTGTGTGAACGATGATGTAGGTTGAAAAGCCCTAAAGAGGACAACAATTGTTTAACTATGGGGATATCGGTGTATACTTTCAGAAGGCATAGACTCGTTTTTAAAGATAAAAAGTACCAAGAAAGGTTCCTCCTTGCACACGTGGGTAATTCATTTGTGAGGTGGGCATGCTCATCAGGCTGTCAGTTTCAGAAAGTTACAGGAATTGTTTAACACAGCCCACCAATTCCCACGTGGAAAAGGTGTGAGGACGAAGGGGTTGACCATCCAGCAAGCAGTTTGTTTGGACAATATTGACGCCTTTAGTCCCAGAGATAAGTTCCTGAAATGTTTCCTGGGCCCCTTTAAAAGTTCCTGCAATGGAAAGGGGCTAATACACAAATAATTTGCTAAGGTAAGAGAATTTTTATTTTGGAATAAAACTCCTCATATCTTTCATCTTTCTTATCCTGCTATGTATTCTGGGTAAAACTCAACCCTGGATGTGCAACCAGCCTAAAGTAATACAGTCCAGGTTAGCTGTGTTTAGCATGCTGAAGTCTTCACAATAACTCATTATTAATGTGGCACCCTCAAGAGCATTGATGGGTTAGTGCTATGCCTTTGAAATGACTATGTCACAGTGATAAAAAAAAAGCAGCTGGAAGCCTCACCAAGGAAACGTGACACAGGTGACGCAGCAGCGACACAAGACAAAGACAAAGATATGACACGCTGGAAGCAGGAAGCATCAAGACATATGGAGCACACTTTTTGTACGACAGAAAAGAGCGCATGGTTGAGAGATGAGGAAAATGAGCTGTGGATGGAGCGGTGCAGATAAAGAGTGCTGCAAGGAGAGTCAGGGAAAAGTTATCTAGTCTATTTCCGGACCAGAAATATTAAAAACGTTCGGCCAACAGATGGGGCGGAATGACGAAACTTTCCATGTTGTTTTTTTTCCCCCCTCAAACCCCATGCTTTTACTTATGTCACGGCAGACAGGGGAATCTATGAATAACTCTCCGTGTTTGGGATGAAAGGGTCTCGTCTTGGGAGATGAGCTGACATTGGTTTGACAGGACTGTGGGGGCGACGCTGCCTATTTAATGACTATTACCATAGGAACCTGCATCTTGCTGTGCTAAATACAGCTCTGTATCTCTACCAAGTCCCAACATCTTTGCCCTTATCTGAGCAGCGAGGAGACAATACAGGTGAGGGATTTCCAAATAAACTGTCAATCAAACTGTAGCACAAAAACCTGAATGTTGGTCAAACTTGTGACTTTAGGTAGAATAAAATAAGAAGGAGGGAGTAAAAGTATTACACTTTCCACGAGGAGTCATTTCAGAGAAGAAGGCATGTTCAACAGTTGGCTCGCACTGTAAGTGTAGGAGAGGAGAAGAAGAAGGGGGGAGGAGGTAGAGAAAAAGGGGGACGTGTTTAAGAAGTGTAGAGAGGCATGCTGGGAAGGGGGAGTGGGGTACCTGTACGTGCGGTTCCTCTGATTAACGGATGCAGTGCGTGCAGGGCTCTGCTGAGGGTGCGCCATGTTGCGCGTCGGGCTCGAGACGTAGTCGTTAGGGACAACGGGTGGACGCACTGGCTCAAGCGTCCTATAGGGGGAGTGGCGCCTGCGAGAGGGTCAGGAGGACAGGAGTCGAGGGGGGAGAGGGAAGGGGCATCCACAGAGAAGTGTAGAGGGGGGAGGAGGAGGAGAGCAAGAAACAAACAAGTGCAAACTTAAAAAAACGGGGTGTGAACATCGGGGTTGGCTGGGGTGAATCCACAGGTGTTGTCGGGCGGAGTCAGGACGCAAAAGCTATCGCTGCTGTCGGCTAAAAATCACTCCTCATCAGATGAACGCTGTAGGCTTGTTCCAGTTTAATGAAAGAGACAGTATATTTATTACCTTGAAACTAGATCCTAACAGAGTGTGGGAGGCTAACACTGATATTATATATTAAAACAATTTGACTACAGTATTTTGTTTGATGTTCTAGAAAATTCCTTACATTTGTTTATTAACAAATTGCACCCAAGGTATGTACTGAGGAAGACATTCTCTCAAATCTTCAACTTCAAATCACATTTAAGTACAATACCCTATAACGTGGGCCAATTGAGGTTGAAACACAAGAAATAATTGTATTTTTCTCTTTTAATCTGGTGTGTGTACGACACTTATGCTGCACTCACACGGATTCAGGCAGACCAACAACACCTTCTGGACGGCACAGGAAAAACAAACAATCCGATGGAATAGCAGCACAGTAAAAGTACACACACGATATGCTTCTTGTTGTCTTGACTGGACATGTTTTTTTGGTTGTGTCGGGGAGCTACATAACATCTGGTTGTAAATTCTGTTGTGAAAGACGGCAAAAAGTAATATATTAACTACATACAATAAGATTTTTCAAAAGGTATCAGAGATACTGTCTGAATTTAATTCCCATCTGTCCTGCCAAAGTGTCAGGTCAAGACGGTGAATTCCCGCCTACTCAATCAGAACTATAAACCTACAAATTCATTAAATAAAAGCATAGAGTGGTTTTTAACCTCACAGCAGCGCTATGCTGATGGTGTCCTCAGTTTTAAAATGGGGGAACATAAAAACCCTAAGATTTATTGATCTGGGCCTGAAAAGATGTACTGGCAAGTAAATTTCCCAGCTGACACAGCAGGGTGACCCATCTCTGAGCACTGTTGCCATGGCAAAACGTTGCTATGAGGAATATGGGGCAGCCAGGAGTGGGCGGGCTGGGTCACAAACACACAACTGAAAGTAAGTTTGAAAAACAAGGAGGAATTTGAATAACAGAGGAGAAACGATAAATTAAAAACCACAAGTAAGATGTCCGTCCGTAGCCACATGCTGCGGCAGAAGGTGCATCATGGGAGGGTTGGAGCTGTGGTTGATCGACATGCGTCTTGAAGGGACTGAGACACACAAACACACGTACACACACGTACACACACACACACTGACACACGCTTCTGAAGGTCAATATGAAGGGGTGGACACACTCAGACAGAGGGGGCTGACGTACACACACACACACACATTTTCACACAGAAACACAAACAGCACTTGACGCCCAGGAAGGTCCCATGGGTGACAAGAACACAACATTTATGTGCTGCACTAGCAGAGTCCCTGTAGGATAAGAGATACCTTCAACAGTCAGACACACAGAACAGAAAACAGCAAGAACATCTCCGTCTTACAGACAATGTATAGAAACAACATGAACAGTTTTTCCCCCATTAACTCTCATCATTAACACAAAGTGACAGACACACTATCAGGGTGAGAAATGACGACACACTACTGACTAAATTTAGTAAACTGACTCTGAAAGTAACATATTTTATGCATATTTCATATATTACTTTTTTTTTTGTATTATGTTTTTTTTTTTATCATTTTTAACAATCATCCAGACTTAATAGGCTTCTTACTTGACAAATTTAGTGTTTTCTTGTCCCTGAAGCTAGACCATTGTTCTATTAGACAATTTACTTTTATAAAAAGATAAATATGGCAAAACTGATATATCTCTGATCATTTAAACTGGCAACTAACATCGTCCACGGAAATGTATCGCTCAGGCTCTAATCCTGATTAAGTGGGCATGTTTGGAACGGCTTAATTAAAATAAAATACTTAGCAGTTTGTCATGCTCATAAAATAAAGCAGAACAAAGTGAAGACTTAACATGATCCAGCTGATAGCTGTTGGTAATTCCCACCCTGTTTAGCACTGCCGTCAAGAACAGTTGAGTTCCTGGTGGTGACCTTTGTGACAGCGCTCCTCCTGTCCCCCGGCATTAGACAAATGCCAATAAAAGGTTGAAGACTGGGAGATGTGAGAGCTCCCCGCCCGCACAAAGGTCTGCTAAAATTCTGGCTCAGACGCAACAGCAGAAGGGGCTTTCCAGAAATAATTACATGTCTTCTTTGTATTTTATCAAACTGCATGCTGAAATTTGACAGGTTCGTGTTAAAAGCACCCTGTGTTGGCTGTGTATTGTCATCTCACTGCGCTGTACTTTCTGTATGGACTTTGCATGTTGTCAACGTATCTGTGTTGGTTTCCTCTGGTTGCCACCCACAGTCCAAAACACATGCAAGTCAGGTGGTCTGGAGAGCTGACCACAAAAGCTGCTTTGAACTAAAATCTCCTCTAAAAGCTGTTCCTTTCAATTCAAAAACTCAAGTTGTTGTTTGAACGAGTCCATTAAGGTATGAATCTCTACGTACAAACCTATGTGTCCTGCTGTGAAATAAAACTCTTGTGTGTCATAAATTCAAAAAAGAAAGTTACCCAGTAAGGGCAATTGAGGAGAGGTTATTCTGCAATCATTTTACTGAACTATGCAATTCTGAAAATGAATAGGGACTGTGCAACTTCAAAAAAATCATAAGTGCCAAATGTTTTACAATATTATTTTCTTATCCGTTTAGAGCATGTTGACCCAAACTTAATATCTATTATAGTATTATTCTTGGTCTAAAGACATCAGGCAAGCACAACTTTTGTCCCTGTGTCGTAAAAGCTCTGCTGTTTTAAGAAGCAAACATTGATCATGTTTCTTTTTCCAGCTTTCCACCCAGAAGAGGAACAAGCGTGTATTCATGATGAGCGAATGGATCAAAGTTTTAAAGGTTGTAAAGTCTTGGTGTATTTGCTGCTACTGTAGGTAGATCAGATGTGTCTCAAGTCCTAACAATTCAGAAAAGCTGCAAGAAAGTGCAAGAAACCATAACAGAGCCAAATTCCAGCATGGAGTTAGAAAATCTCTCCTGCACAAAGAGAGAAAGAAGAGAAACTTCTTAGAAAAGCAGACCCCCAATCCTGTCTCACCAGCACAGATGAAAAACCCAAACAAAGATTACCACTGTGATAAGAATGGCATTTTAAACTACCCTGGGGAAACTAATTAAACAAGGAGGTAAAGTAGTGATGATGAAACTGGGAGCAACCAGGTCTATCTGACGGAAGCCACAAAAACTCAGCTACATTCAGCCTCGGACGGACAAAACTCTGCATCCTGTACGTCCATGTGAACATGCGTCAAGGTGTTACATACCCAAGAGTCCCTTTCCCTGACATGGGCGGGCTGGGGGGCTTCTGTGTGGGGGGGTTGGTGCGAGGGAGTCCGCCTCCTCCTCCGGCCTTCATGTTCTGAGCGCTGGCCTACAGGAAGAGAGCACGGGAGTAGAAATCTGTTAGTTAACCAAAGAACTTCAGATACAGGACCATTAAAACAAATAAATGAAAACATTATGAGAATTGTATTTATTCATTTCTTGCCGAGTTACATTAAAAGATCGATACCACTCTCCTATCCGTCTGATCACCGTTAAGTTGGAGCCAGGGGGTAATTATCTTAGCATAAAGACTGGAAACAGCTAGTCTGGCTTTGTCCACCTACCAGCACTTCTAAAGCTCATTATCTAAAACATGTTATATATCTTCTTAAATCCACAAAAAGTTTCCTGTCCGGTCATTATGCTAAGCTAACCATCGCCAGCATCATATTGAACAGATGGAAATGAGGGTGGCATCAACCTACTCATCAAGAAACAAGAAAGCACATACATTTATTTTTCAAAATGCCCCATAATCATTTAACAGCACACAAATGCCTTAATATGTAAAAAATAAATAAAATAAAAAATTAAAAAGAGAAAGTAAAGCTCTCACCGCAATTCAAAACAACTCATTCAGAAATCACAAAAAACCTCCCTCGTTTGAGGCTTTTACTTTGAAAGTCTTACCTTAAACCTTTGCAACCACTACAGTTGATTATAAAGATAAAATTAGGCAAGCAGAAAAAAAAGAGAGAGAGAAGAAGAAATCAGAGAATTAGTGTGTGAAGAAGGAGAGACAAACAATTATTCATGCCTGTGGTACATAAAGCCAAGCTGGTTAGATTCAGGCAACAATGGCTCAGTGTTGAAATCTAAGGAATTCTTTCTTTGAGACCTTTGTAAAGACGAAGCTAGTGATTCGATTTTCTGGAAAACAAGCTTGTCTTTGTTCAGAAAGTCGGTGGGAGACTAGCTTTCAAAAACCAGCCACTTTCACCACTTTATTAAATGAAATGATCATTGCACAGGAACCTGTTCGCAGTAGCAGGTGACAGATTTACACCAACAGGGAGTTGAATTTAGTTTCCAACCCAAGAGAAAACCCTGAGAAATTGATTTTTTTCTTACATTACTTGTCACTGAAACCCAGTAGTGATTGTTTGACCTCCAAGAGTCCTTTCCATTATATTTTCTGCAGTGAATACCCCCCCATCAACACAGTAGCAATCCCATTTCTGACTTATTTTTGTAAGAGTTCACCACTCTTTTTAACTGACTAATAAAAAACATACTAAAATAGAAAAAACACTAACACTCCAGCACAATAGCTCTCAAGTGTTTGTCCCTTGATTTCTTTTTTTTCTCAGATTATTAGTTTGAGTCATTTTTAGAGGCCTGGGGAGGTAAAACTACACAGTATTTCATACAAAAAAAGCAAAGGTTAAAAAAGGTAGAAAAGCAAACATAATTTTGTGCAGCAGACGTTTGCTTTTAATATTTTCTAGCAACTTAAAATCCTTATTCAAAAGACTGAGAACTACTTCACTAGCAGGGTTTTCTATTGCCCAAATTAACTACTACTCATTTTCCCACCCGCCCTGATGTAAACACATCTGTTTCACTTTAAATACCAGTACAACAAAATCCAACAGAGCTTAATTAAGGCCTTTACATTTTCATTTGGCAGCAGTGATTCACCCACACAATTAAGTCTAATTGATAAAATTAAGGGGAAAAGAACAAAATGACCACCTTGACTCCATGGCCCATGTCGTCTAGCATGCTGTAGTCGATGGGCTTGCGGATGTAGCGCACAGGCCTCTCGGGATTGGCTGGGGCGATGATCTTGTGTGTGCGGGATGTGTTCTTGTTGGTGGTGAGGATGCCAATCTCCCGTCGGGCTACCTTCTCTTTGTGGATGTCCACCGTCTGAAGACAATTGAAGACGTTTTTGTTTTAAATTAAAAACACTAGAAAAAAATGTTGCTGCCTGTTTTCTAAATCCTAAAAACCTGTAGTGTCTTTATTACGAAAGACAGATGGTTCAGATGACTTCATCGCCTACAAATCCTGTTGCATGTTGAAGAAACTTTATCCAAGTTGTCAGACCAATGCAAAAAGATTTATTTTAATCCAGTGTGCACCAAGCACCTACACATTTTCCTGCACTGCAGATATACTGAATTATACATGCACATATGTGATGTGCATCGTCTCTAGTGAAGCTTCACTCTTTATACAAGGGTTCTAGTTTGGGGCCACTCTAAGCAGAAGAAACAACTTATGAACATTACATATTATCACATTTTAAGAGTTATAGAGAACATGGTAGCGAACAGTTGCTTATTTATACATCCAGCAGTTATGGAGCAACATTGTCATTCATTTGGAGTCAGGTATCTGTCTATCTGGTGAATTTAAGTCCAATATTCAATCTCCTTTCAACTCTGGTTTTTAGGTCTGTAACCATAATCGCAATAATGAAATCCGGCACCCGAACAGGTGGGGTAAGCATTATTCTTGGAAGGTGAGCCTAAAAGCTAATGTGTGCAAGTTGTGTGTGTCAGTCACCGACCTGTGAGATGTGGTTGATGGAGGACTCCATGCGGCGGAGCTGTGACGCCTGGATGTCGAGCATCTGCAGGACATTGTTGGCCAGTGTGTTGATCAGGTAGGCTACGCTGGCCAAAGACTGGGTGGTGTAGTTCTTGGTCTCCTCCAGCGCCCTCTGCTTGTCTGGAGACTGAACAAGAGACAGGAGTGAGCAAAGAGAAGAGTGACATTTGACTTTTAAAAAAAGAGAATATTTGCATTTTGTAGTGTGCAAAGGAAGCCGTCTGTCCAGAGCCATCTACACTGACTGAGGAGGGTGAAGAAACACAGACATTTAGGAAATATAGTGTTACCAACTGTTATTTTCATTAATGATTAATGTGCCAAATATGTTCTCAATTAATAAATTACTCCATAAATTGTGACCAACACTCCAAATACCAACTATAATCAATTTATTGTCACCTTAGGCTAAGAACTACTAAGATTTTTTTTAAAAACGAAGAAAAGCCAAGGAGCAAATCCTCACAAATAACATCAGTGAAGTGGGAAAAGTTTGACATTTCTTACTTGAAAAATGACAAATCAATTAACAAAAGCTTTGCTGATTATTACTTTATCCATCCATTGGTTGACTAATTGTTGCGGCTCTTTTCACATACAGTAATGCAGCTCTGATATGAAAACTCTCAACTCAACATAATGAAATGAAGATAAGAAACTTCACGTGTTTAAATATTTAATGTGATAGTTGACCATTAACAAAAGTAAAAACACATGTTACATATCAACACTGAAGGTTAAATGAGTCTCAGTATTCAATTTGTTTTTATAATTAAAGCAATAAAATAAAAAAAGGTGAAATACACATTTATGATTTGTTGTTTTAAGCATTTGTGTTTCACGAATCCTCCAATCCTGTAACACTAGTGGTTGCAGCATTGATCCGTACTCAAGTATATTTGAAAGAACATTAAACTGAGTTAACACTAGATATCAAATGCTTAATGTATCCTTTGATTTAGGATACCTAAAACTAAATATGATCATCCAGGAGCAGGATAGTTACATATCTAACAACTAAAAACTGAGTGAGATGAGAACCTCAGTGCAATTTGTGGCAGCAGGATGGAGGGGAAACTGCTGCATTAAAAAGTTTCAGTGCCACAAAGTAACAGTTTAGTCAAGTAAAACAAAAATTTTAATGGCTGGGAAGTATTACAGCTGCAGCCAGCGTGAAAGCAGTTTTCTGAGGCATCTGGTTGGGCCGTGGGTACAGCGTGGGCACATCAACAGGAGCATCAAAGGCCAGATGGATCAGCTAATGTTTCTGCTGGGAAACGGTGTTCCTTAGTGACACTGCGTGTATCACAGCATGCAAAAAGAGTTGTAACAGCATAGGAATACTTAATTATTTAAATAAAACTATATCTATGAGTCAATTTGTCTTTAAAGTAATATCTGCAGCAAAAAAGGCCAAAAAATTGCTTGTTCTTGTCTCTCAACTGTAAGAATTTTTATTTTTTACTTGTCGTAAACTGATTATTACATGGAAATTTGCAAAGGGCATTACTATTTTCTGGCATTTTAATTGATTACTCTGGGAAACAATCTGCAGAGTAATTGATAATAAAAATAATTTATAATCTATAAACCATTTATAATCTATTTCCAACCCAGCATGCACCTCCTTCTGTGTACACAACATAGCTGCAGATGGATTACAACATACTCTATGTCACAGCAGCCTTTGGATTGTGATTGTTATATTGTATATTGACCGATTTATTAATTGAAATTACTCTAAAACTTCCTACAGTTTTGTATTTCCAGTGTGGCCCTATGATAACATGTCAAATGTAAATTGATAAGACTGTAAACATGTTTATTTATGCTGTAAAGTTAATAACATGATAATATGGGAGCTTATGACGGTTGACTCACTTTTGGAGCCAGCCTCAAGTGGCTGTAAGCACAACTGCAGTTTTTGTTGGATGCAGGTTAAACCCTTTGTGAAACATTAACAAATACATACATTAACTAAAATATAAAGATAAACCAGCCAGAAAAGGACTGGTCATGAAATATATGGAGAATGGGACAGTGCTGGGGCTAATAAAAACCTGATCCAGTATTCGTATTGGAACAACCCTACTCAGTGGTTATATGTCTCTTTTATGTAAAACAGGGCACGCTTGTAATACAAGATACATATCTAGAGGAATCAAAAAGTGCGACTCAATCCAACAAATTATCACACACAGCATCATTTGAAGGTGTGTGGCGGATGCAGCATTGCTGGAGAATGAGGACAAACAGGTTGTGTGACAGTCAGGAGTGTAGCTGTACCTCCAGGGGCAGAAAAGAGACGTAAATGATCTTTCTGCCACACTTATTAAAAGACAGGTCTTACAATATTTTGTTGAAGGATGGATGGATGGACCACGGTAACATTTTATATGCCTTAGATCAAGAAAATCCACCCTATAAGAGTCTAGTTGGTGTCATACTTTACAGTTTTGGTGTGCTGATCAGACCTGACACAAATAACTCACCTCAGAGTTCAGCTCATATGATTCTTTACCAGTGCTCTCTTTATCCTAGATTATAAAATCTGTACCACACTGAGTGAAATGCATTGGAATCATTTAAATGTAAGGTAACATGATGCCAGGGATTGCTGCATCACCTAAAACTGAAGGAGGAAACAATGAATTATATGTCACTGATGGATTTATATATTGATCGGTCACATCTGGCTGACACCTGATATGATTACAGAGGAATATGCTTATGCTGTGTCGACATTTTCTTGATGTTATCTTTGTGAGTTTAAAAAATGTTTTAAAATAATCCAATATAGAGTCTCAACATAATAAAATGCTGGCGTAAGTGTTTTTGTTGTTGCACGGTCTTCTACTATACTGTTTTGAAGAGAGTAATTATCTTTTTGGTGTTTGTTTTAATTATATTTTCCTAAATAGTTTCTGTAATTATTCACAGACTGAAATAATTCCAAGGTAGCTGGTCAAACATGTATGATTTTATATCATATTCTTAGTTGCTCCAGTTTTAAGAAGCTGAAGATGTTTTCTGTGATCTAAAAACATCAACGACTTTGGAAGAAAATCTATCCACCATTTATTTCTGGCTTACAGAGCAACGTGACTATCGGAAAGGCTGTGAATCTGTTTTCTCACCTCACAACCGATACCTGAATGAAACAAACCACCCTTACTCCTCAAAATAAAGAGGCAATTTCAGTTCACACACCTGTAGCATGTGAACTACAACAGGAAAAATCCAATATCTACGCTATCCCGGCCACAGTAATTGTTATATACGAAGAATTTTTAAAAGCACTCTTATGAAAACCACCTAACAAGATCAACAAGTGTCCAATCCTACATGACTAATGATACACAAAACCTGGCTTAGAGACACACATGACAGGGCGAAGATGTAAATTAGGGCTGAGAGGGAGAGGTGAGGTATCCCACTAAAAATCCCTCTGACAAATACTTCTGTCCAACTGATCTATAAGTGGTAATACCCATCTGACAGCAGCTGGGAAAACATTGCAGGGTGAGAAGAAACCAGGGCAGCTTGCCAGACAGCAAGCTGCCAACATCCAAGGGCCGCCAGCCTCCTCCTCCTCCTCCTTTACGGGGCAACCTGTCAGACCTGATCAGCCCTGTTCATCAAGGATGTCAGATTTCAGTATCACACCTTGTCAAAAAAAAAAAAAAAAAACCTCTCCCAGCAAACAGTGTGCTCCCAAATATCAACCCTTGTGTGCTGACAGGCCTCGAAAAAAAAAAAAGTGTGCAAAAAGTGAGATCACACCTGCAGAAAATTACCAAAGCTCTGAATGGGATTGACTGCATTGATACAGACACAGAATAAAACACAAATCAACAGCTGACTGACTTCATCTCTCACAGAAAATGCTCAAAAACCCCCAAAAAAACACAATGAATTCTGATAATAAACCAAAAGCTGCACAGGTTTTAAACCGAGCTTCTTTTTTTATTTTAAATCAGGGGTTAAAAAGCAATAACTCAAGTGTATTATGCAGCAGCAGCAATGTTTCAGTCAAACATCAGAAATCTGCTGTTGCTGCTAACATTGTCACGGTGGTTAATCTTCTGTCAACCAAAGCTCATTAGAGATTTTATCTGGCTTTGATATCGCGTCCCACATCTCCGGCCGGTTGCATGATCATCTGGCTGCTGTGGAGGCAGTGATCGATCCCCGGCAGAGAGCACAGAAATTGATTTCCACGGTGCATGTTTTGGATATTGAGATATCGTGGGTGATGCCGAGCAGCTGGCAGCCACACAGCTACCTGGCTAACGCGATAGCTCACGGTTGAATGTACACACAAATATGAACCCATAAGCACCGATAACACCTCTTGGCATCAATTCAGCAGGATAGTGTGTTAATGCTTGGATTTAGTGATGGGATTTAAAAAAAAAAAAAAAACGCCCCGATTGCGGGTTGTTTGTGCTTTAGCTGAAGCTAGCCAGCCAGCTAACACGGCTAGCCTAGCATCAGTTGATGCCCGTTAAAAAAAAAAAAAAAAAAAAACTAACTACACCTTCTTCTCTCCCACAGGTGTGACAGCTTACCTGGACATAGTTGCTCTCGCAGTACTCCGCGACTCTTTCCAAATTGGTGAAACTGTCCAGTAGAGCGCTTCGTCCTGCTGGAATCTCCTCTTCCAGAAGCATTTGTAGCTCCGCCATTTTCACATCTTTAGCGGAGCGGTGCTCTGTGTGTGTGTGTGTGTGTGTGTGTGTGTGTGTGTGTGTGTGTGTGTGTGTGTGTGTGTGCTCGCTGGCGCCCCCCGCGGCTGTGTGCGGTACTGCAGGGTTCTCCCAGGCGCTGGTGGAGAGAGAGAGAGAGAGAGAGAGAGAGAGAGATCCCCATCATTCATGTATTTAAACATTTATACAATATGATATTTATGTTTTGGGGGGTGAAAAAATTCTAATGTGGAGTTTCTGCACAAAAAAAAGTATAATTTTCATATTTAAACCCTTAAAATAAATCCAGCTACTCCTTCTACCTCATTCAAACTTTCATAAACTATGAATATGCAAATTGTTTAAAGTGTATGTGCACTGGTGGTTTCTACATCACACTATTTCTGATGTTACAAACATTCACACTATGTACAATGGATCAATTGCTTGTTTTCAGTCTTCTTCCATTCAGCATGATGTTCATTTAGTAAATTATGGTCTAATTTAGAGTAAAGTAGATGATAAAGCCATGGATGCTTTAGGGCGGGGCTACCTTGTGATTGACAGCTCATTCTCGGTGAGTCTGTCCACCTCAATTCACCAAACTCAGATCAAGCTATGAAACTAGGCAGTGCTGATCAGATCTGGATCCAGATTCTGTTACTGCGTTTATTATTTCCCCCTTAAAATTGTTTCAGAAAGATCATTTAGTCCACCTTTTATCTGCACATCATTTTGCACAGTGAAGATCAAACATCCAACTGAATGAACCAATCAACAAGAAGAAAAACATATTTTTGAAGGGGACTTTAATAATGTTAACATTATTAAACATACCAATTGGTAAACTACTTTTGTTAGCAAAATAATGTTTAATGTAGCCAGACTTTTATTAGTTTTCAGTCCAGAGATGTTGTAGTGACACACTATCTCAGTGAATAAAATACTTGTAATAAAAATAAGACTATATTTATCTCCCGAGGGTGATCCCTCTTTTATTACTCCGTCCCACAGTTACAGAGCAGCAGGCCTGGCTCTGGTGAGCAAACGGAAACTTGCCGAAGGGCCCTTCAGAAGCAGCTAAAGGGCCTTTGTAATAATAATTCATTCAGCTAAAAATATCCATGTGCCGGCTGAAACCGGATTTATCACACATACCCACTTATAGTAATTAAAAATTCCTTATTTGATGTAAGAAACATGCTTGTTAGGGAAGCAGTGATGAATATGTGAGTGAAAAGAATGACACAAACACACACAACATCCTCATACATATTTAATAATATGTAAGATGCAACTGTGTTTAGAAAAGGAATGAAATGTCCACATGCAATGTGGGTTATTCATCAATGGACAAACAAGCCACAAGTCAGTGGGAATTTTAACTCAAAGCAGTTGTACTAGGAATTATCGAAAGTTGTTTTTCTTATACATCGTAGAGTATTAAACCACTGAAGTTTCCCTCCTTTAACAGATGGAGTCCTTCAACAAGTGCAAATCTGACCTGTGGACAGACAAGGTAATGATGTGTTTAAGGCCTCAGATTACCGTACAGTAAAAAGCACCAGAAAGACAACCATGGGAACTTGTGGTGGTGCAACTTGTATGCAAAAATGACTGTGGATAAAAAGTTGGCAAAATGCTCTTTACAACAACAACAACAACAACAACAACAAGTGCCTTCAAGAATCATACAAATCCCGTTTAATCCCCAAAAAGTGTCAAATACCATAATGACACAGGAGTTATTGGTTGGAAAAAAAAAGCATTTTCTGGCAGACTGGAGCCACAACATTCAAGAAATACTTTGCTGGTAATTCTTTTAAATCTAGATGTTAAATGTATTTATTTATTAACTCTTCAGCTCTTCATCCCGGCTGGGTTTTCTTTTAAAGTCTAATTCTAGCTCCTTCTGCTGACGGTGATCCAGGTTTCGTCCTTAGGTGTGGATACCAGCTCAGATCGGACCTCCTTGACCTGTCCCTTCAACTGGTGAAGTTTCAGCTGCCGCACCAACGTGCTGAGCAGGACAGTAGCTACAGTGTAGGCGAACCTGTTGGAGACAACAAATATAATCAATCGTTAAAATTTCATTGACGTATGCAGGATTATTGCAACTCCCCGAAATAGAACATGCAAAATCAAATTAGCTTCTTTATATATCTCCAAAAACACTTGAAATGTCTATCTTTTTTTTCTACAAACTGTTTTGGAGATAAATGGCCACACTGTGTGTCCACAGGTCTAATATATCTCCACTATCATTAGCTGTTGATTGGATTACATTCACTTCAGAGTTTTTGTGTTTTAATGTTAGTCTTTACCTGAGCTCTGGGCATGTTTGATTCCCTGAGAATCCAAGCAGACAGAAGCTCTTCCTGACTGATTCCTCCTCAAATCGATCCGGGTCAAACCTGAGGGACGTCACAGTCATCATCATGTCAGAAAGTAGACAAATCTAAACCTACAAATTAAAACTCCACCCTGTGTTGCTGTCACACTATTGTAACTATTAACTCAATGCGTTCCAGGAGTTATTTTGTGTTTCAAAAAGTTTCTTTTCAGCCACTTTACCCTCAACATGCTCTCAACAGAGATGAGAATGAAACAAGGTGGCTCACTCCTTAGCTCCTTTCATCGTCAGCTCTGGAAAAAAGTGCATTTTGATTCATTATTTTATTTATTCTTAGTAGTAGCAAAGGTAGCATTAATAACTTAATAAACCTTTGGGGCCACTTTTGCTAACCCTAACCCCAACTGTGCTTGTAGATATGAGGTACATATAAGTCACTATATTATATACCTCTAAAGACTTCATCAAGAAGAACTTGTTTTGAACTCTTAATCAATACCTTTCTGAATTAAAACACATTTTCCCGGAGCAGATGATGGAAGTAGCTAACGAGTGAGCCATCTTGTTCCCTTCTCTTCCCTCTTGAGAGCTGCACAGAAACACTAGCTAAGGAGAAAGTTGACAGAGGTTTGCTCAACTCTTTATGCCAACATTTGCTTATTGGTAAAACACAATGTACAGTAGATGCACATGGAAATGCTATTAGCGTTGCAGGTCCTGATGATGGCGGTAAAGGAGGAGTCAGAGGTCACCCAAGTTTTGACGTTACATGATCTAAGTAACATGAATGTCTGTAAAAAAAAAAAAAAAATGTCCATCCAATAGTTGTTGAGATGTTTCAGTCAGGACCAAAGTAATGGACCAACTGATTTCAGGATCTGAACCGGCAACCTTGTAGTCTAGATACCACCTTGAAATGAATTGATGAACATGTAACATGTAAATGTAAAGCGGACCTGTATGGGGTGCTCCAGGTGTCAGAATCTTGCAGAACCACTCCCAAAGCGTAGATGACCAAAGTCTGAAACATAGCAAGAACAAAATTTAAACAATGCTTTTGGAATATATATATATATATGTGTGTGTGTCTCTTTATATTACCTTGCATTTCCTTTTATCTTGTTTTGATATATTTGCTGTCTTTTGTCTTTGCCTTGCTGTTAAAGGTGCTATACAAATAAACTTCCTCATTGTAGTTTTCTAATATGGTTCCTCTTTCTTGTCAACCACAGGGAAAATAAGTATACATAAGATAACAAAGAGAGACCAGAAAAAATAATAACAGACCAAATCCAGACACACACACACACACACATATACACTAAACGGCAGTGTGGTTTTTCCAGACAGTTAATCAATTGTAACTCCAATGATGTAAGGCCTATACACAATTTCTCCACAGCAAACCTGTCTGTGTAATATAAATCTATAATAATTTCATGATGAGCTGAAGAGAAATAAACAGACAGACAGCCGCAGACAGCAGGAAACCAGATACCTCTTTGGGGATGACATGTTGATCGACTTTGCCCTCCACTTCCTGAAGCCGAGCCGCGACAGGGGTCAGCTTGGCAGTCCTCACTGTCTCATTGAGGACCTGCTGGCAGTATCTTTCCAAGGACAGAAATGTGATCGAGGTTATTGAACGCAATGACCATGCCTAGATAAAATTTTGACCTTGAATTATTACACCCCAATACATTATGTTTGTTGCACAGGTGTCTGTTCTGAGATATAAAATTACTTAATGGATTAGACAGGAAACCAAGATCTTACCTGAGCTGAGGGATCTTGTCTAAGGAAATTGGATCCGAACCCAAAACCTCTTCCAGCTCCTGATACAGTTTCTCCTGAACTTCCTCCGAGGTGGACAGGAAGTAAAGTGCCCAGATACACACTGCCAAAACACAACATCTTAATATTTAGGATCAAGCGAGTGTTTTGGGGTTCAAGTTCTTCTTGCTAGTTGATATTTATGGGCTGTTGCAGGTTTAGTTTTAACATGATGTAGACGACAGTGGCTTAATTATACGACTGACTGCGTCTCGTTTGTTCTTCTCATTCTCCTGACCTTCCCCTCCTTTTAAACATAAAGTTAGAACAATGTGATATTTTGCAAGTACTTAAAAGCTAAGAAAATAAAATATATCCGCTTACTTTTAAGCTGGTAGAAAGAAGATAACGTCCTCTATGCAACGTTAAGAAGACTAGTCCGTTCATTTTAGAGCTGTCTATTAATCTATTTGGCGACATTTAAAAAAAGCATTAAAAAAGCAGCCCTAAATAATAAGTCAACAGATGTGGAGTTGTTTGGTTGGTTGTCAATTACAGTTGGCAGTGATGACGCATCCGGCCAAAGTGAAAACCATACAGTCCTCCATGATCTGAAACAAACAAACAAACAATAAAGTTTCAGTACTTTTTCAGACCTTTTGTGGGAACCGTGAAGATCCTTCAGATGTCTTTGGAGTTTTAAACTAGAATCAGTATTCACCTGTCGTTCTGTGAGGCTGGACTGAAGCAGAGTGTCCACAAACACCGTCTGCTTCCTCTGGGCTTTTCTCTCCCTCGCCACTGACAGCAGCACAGATTCCATCTCTGACAAAGCTGGGAAGAAGAAAAAAAGCATAAAACAGACATTGTCATTTCGCTTTCTCACATTTATGGCATGGAGATATAACTTTAAGCCTGGTAACAATGGTCTTTTGCAGATAAAATCAATAAAAGTCCCCTAAAACAGAGGCTGTTCACAGATTACGGAGATAATACTGAATAGGTTCTCAGACTCTGTTTCTAACTGTCTGTCAAGCTGCTCTACATACAGAGATCATATCTGAGCCTCTGCAAACTCTTCCTCCTGTTTCTCCGCAGCTGAACAGCCCAACACTGCTCCCACATGTCAACGCACAGCCGGTGTGACGGGGCTCAAGCAAAAAATAGACTCACAAGACTCAAAAAAAAATGAGAATGGGCTCAGAATATATGAAGTCGGTTCAGTTAAAGCTATTATATTTAACATTTCTGCATTAAAATATCTATAAGACTGGAGCTATGTTCTCTATGTAGTTGTGTATTTACAGTATCACAAATGTTTCCAACAATGTTCAAACTTTTATTCAGGTAACTGCGTTTCACCAGTCCCTGGTCAATGGCGTCATATCCAGAAGCTGCAATACATTGACTTTTTATCCAGTTTCAATGCACATTTATACCATCCACTGTTTAGATTTTGGTGCTTTTTAATTTAGATTTGAACCGGATGAAGGATTTTAGTCATCGGACGTCTGGATCTTAAGTTATCAGAGAAACAAGCTGAGCTAACATTAGCAGCAGCTCGGCTTGTAGCCCCCTCCGGGACGTTGATTGTCTGCCCGACAGCGTGGGAGAACCTTTGATTTTTAAGACGGAACTGCTAATCACCAAGAGAGGAGGAGGCCTCTGCAGATAACTGGGCTTCTGGTAGAAACCTTAAACCTTAACCTTAAACAATGAACACTAAAGGAAACCTAACCGGGAGAAGTTGACTGCAATGAGGACATTGGTAGTGAAGACTCCCATGATCCCACGCTGCATCACAACGTCATCCAACTTTGTTTCTTGTTATTGTTTTGATGTGAGAGAAATTACTTATTGTTCATTCACGTTGCGAACCTCACTCACCCTTCTCATAATGTCCTTTCCTGCTGGAGCTCTTCTCCAGGGAACCGTCCAAGTAGCCTTTCCCGATTTCTGACCAGATCTGGTGGCGGTGGCGTAAGTTAGAAGAAGAGAAAAACAAAATCTCAGCAGAACGTTGACAGTCTGGTTTGTAGGTCAAATGAAAATACATTGAAATACTGGTGTCAGCGCACTTAGACTCAAAGAGCAAAGGCTTCTTTTTCTCAAATAGGAAATCTATGGCGTTGTCTCACCGCCTCGTGGTTCTTGCGGAAGGAAATAACCTCAGTGTCGTCTCTGAAGCTCTCACCCAGAGCCAGCTGGGTAACAGTCTTCATGGCCAGACCCAACAGGTGGCCACACAGCGGCGTGTGTTGAGCCTCTGGGAATGACTTCCACTTCCCCACCAGCTCCTCTACCAGCTACGTAAAAAGAAAACAATTACAGAAGGTGTATTTGAATACTTCTCAATGCTTAATGTTGTGAGTAGCCTTAAATATATCTTTTCATCGGTGATACAAACCTTGAGCACAAGAGGGAAGTTGTTCTTCAGTGTGTTGTTAATGGCACTCTCATACACCTTTTTCCTTATGACCGTTTCGGTGGCCCCACCCCCCATTCCTGACTGGTAACCTAGCAACGACTTCAGCATCGTCTCAAAGGAGTCAGCTGAAACGGGCAAAAACAGAGTTTCCAAATGTGATTTATTTTTGGTTCCGATACAGATACCATAGGAAAAAACACGTATTGGAGCATCTCTAGTGATGTTAATTCCTCAGGAGAGTGGTATGAGTGAGGTATCTGTAAGGTTTGCAATCAGTTGGACAATAGTGAAATCCAACCAGAGTGGTAAATGCTTGTGCACGTACTGCTGTGGTTGGGGTTGATGTGTTGCCGTAGCTGCTGCACAGAGCCCAGGCTGACCACCGGCCGGCCGCCGAACCAGAACGACGCCACAGACCCGAACTCCTGATGCAGACTGACGAGGAACTCATGCAGACTTCCTTTGTTCACAATGTCCTGCAGGTTCCCATCCCTGAGAGAGCAGAAAGCCATGATGTTAATCTAATGTGAACATTTGCTGCACACTGTCAAAAAATTAATAAAAATTACAATCAAGAACACATATTACTTTGTTTTATTGTAACTGGAGGCTGATTACCTGCATGTACTGTATATGAAGTTTACAACATCCTGTTACTGAATAAAAGAATAACAGCAGCTGTGAAAACTGAGGTTAAGATTAAAACTTACTTCTCATCTGTAGGATTGAGACCTGGGATGCCAGAGGCCCTTCTGGATGACTGAAAACATGATTAGAAATTGAATTTTGCCATGAACGTTAATGTCAATAAAACATTTATTATTTAAACGATTTTGACAATATAGATGTGAGTTCTGTCTCAGTGGCGTTTACACACATCCACTGTCTCCTGTTGTTGTTAATGAGTAGGTTGCGCCTGCAGTAATTAGAGCTGCAGCCGATAAGAGTTATTGAATCTCATTGAAAAATGTGTCAATTTAATGCTTTCTCAAACACAGGCAAACACACACATTGAAAGACAAACCTTGAGGTAATGGGAACAGTTATTATGATCTTCGGGTAAAATCGGCACAGAAATGACAGGTAATTTTTTTAAATATTTAACTTTAATAGATAGTTTAGGTCAGTGCATCACGGGGCTCGTTACCGCCCACCGCGAACTGTTAAAGCTGTATTTAACGGAACCAGACTACTGATAGGTGTGTTACATGTAAACCGAAACCTTAAAATGATTGCAACAATTGGTTAGAGGATGAGAATGACTTTAAATGAGACGCTTCGGCTTGTCGATGAGCAGGGGAACCTTAAAAGTGCACTTTTTTAAAAGGAGACTGGTGTAACAATGTCTGGGGGGGCTCGCGTTAACTTAAAGCTAACGTCAAACTTACCGGATACAAATAAAGAACAGCGCCGACCAGAATGATGACAAACGTAACAGCAAAGATGGCAAAGTCCAGCATGACTTCTCGCTTTTAATGGCACTATTTTAACTCACTTTAACTCATGAATATGTGGAGATTTTCCACCCAAACTGACAACAGTCGCCGTTACCACGTCAACAGAAACTGCACGGACAAGATTGCCACTCTGTGTTCGACTACTCAGTCTGGATGGCAGGCAGAGCCAACTAATTGATCTCAGAAGGAATCGATGGATCCTTAAGTGGGATTCAGGAAACTTTTTTTTGTTTTTTTCATATTTAATACATTTATATATTATCTATAGATAATTGTAATTATTTAGAGATAGAGTATAATTAGATAAATAAAAAAGAGGCCAGACTGTGAAGGGCTCAGCCAAAAATCAACTATATTATATTTATGGAAGCTCAGAAAGGTTAATGCTATTCTAATGCTGTAGTTTTACCTGGACATACCATAGGAGTCACACAGTAAATGCATCATTCAGTATTGTAAAGCCACATACAGTTATATACCATCATGTTTTAAGCATCTAATTCCTTTAGGAAAGGCATGAAGAGGCGTTGGATTTGGTGGATAAAACTCTGTATTTAAAAAGAGACAACCACATTCACATTTCAAAAATACAAAAATAATCTACACATTCAGAGTTCACTGTCAACATACAGTGCATAAAATATGTGCAAAATGACAATACGTCTGTACAGTGTGTGTCAGAGCAGATATACAGACTAATTTTCTTCTCAGGCGGTCATTTCTGATTTGTCCTCTGGTTTGGGAGGCTCAATCTCCATTGACATCAGATAACCTGAGGAAGAATGACAAGATAATACATTTTTAAAAGTGGATTTTTCTTTAAAAATCAAAGCAGTATTCAGCACAGACTGCGCTCTCTCTTACACTCAGTATAGTCTGTCTCAGGTCTGCTGGCGATGAAGATCCAGGCCAGCCCCACCAGTAGAGCCACCACCAGGTTTACAGTCACCCACGGGTGGAGAATCTGGTGCTCTGATCCTGGTGGCCTGGAGAAGAAAAACAAGAGCTCCAGGTATCAGATCCAGGCTTCATAATAATACAGAAACATAAAAGGATTCCTGTGAACTCACCATAATGTTGTGTTGAACGCTGGGTACAGGTTGATTCGATCGCTGGTCATCTGCTGGCTCAGAGAGAGCACCAACGCTGAGAAATACACTGGATGAGACCAAAATAAACAAAGAGTGTGAATTGAAACCAAGCAGACAGAACAACACTGTTAACTCAGTGTGGACTCTGTGTGGACTCACAGAACGAGGCGAGAGCGACGGGGTCCAGTGTGATGAACTCCCGCAGAGCCATGGAGCCTTTGGCCAGGTTAACTCTGAGAACACAAGAGTTTACTTTTTTTAAAAGCAAGCTGCATTCCTCTTCATACTTTTACAACCAAATACATTTTACCAAGCAGCGTCACTGTAAGTAAAAAGGTATTTTATGCAGTTTTTCTTTGCTAAATTGTTAAAATGCAATTTTTTAAATGTCTAAATGTGCAAAACCGGGGCATTATTAAAAAGTATTGCCGTCATTTAGACTTAAATGTCATATATGTATATCTGTAGTCTAAAACCAATGTTGCATGTATGCATATTTAACCATTGTCCATTTTTGAAAACTCAGACTACACATCAAGCTGGATTCAGAAACACCATGTTTTTGTCTGCTATGATGATCACAGTGTCAGATTAGGAGATCGATTCTTATTTTCTTTATTTTGAACATAATGTTAGTCATTCTGTTATCTTTTTTTAATTGTTATTCTCTCCTGTCTGCTCTAGTGACTGGTTGCTGGTCGGTAGCAGCCACCTGACCAATGCATGATGTCGGCACATGGTGTAACCAACAACGCAAGGGATAAAACAATCACATTCAAATGCCCATTTTCAGGTTGGGCTATTATTGGGCTGATATTGTAAGTCTGAACCTGGCATAAAGCGACATGTTGTGGATTGGAGTATTTCCCGGAAGGTATTTCCATTTCTTTTAATGTATTTTTGGTGATTGGGAGCAAGAAGAGCACAATGCAAATCTGTTTTTAGAAGATAACAGTACGCAGGGGGTCGTTCATAGCAGTTCACCTGCTGTATAACGTTTTTATTCAACATTTATTTTCAGACAGGAGTTTGATCTATAATCAGCTCAGGTTTGAACGCGACATGTTGTTGAGATTTGGTGAAGGTTTGCGGGTTTACCTGTCGAAGGCAGCCACCGTGCTGATGGCCAGCAGCATGTAAAGCAGAGACTGGGAGGGGTAGGCCAGGCTGTGGTACTGCTCCAGCAGGTTGGACAGAGCAGTGAGGTGCTGCCCAGCTAACATGTACACCACCACCACGTTCCACACAGCGTAGCCCGCCAGGAAGCCATGACAATACAGGCCGAACACCCTGCACCAGATTACAGAGGAGAGGAGAGACATTTAGGGAGGGGGTGACCACATGCTTCTACAGATTTTTGCTTTTTCCAAGCACGTTTCCTTCACCTGAAGCCTTCATGCACTCTGATAGAAATGTCTCTGGTGGTCAAGATCGGCTGAATATGCTGGAAGTCCGTCATGTTATCCATCTGGTCGCTGGTCTTCCTCCAGTCGGAGCGCTCTGCAGCCTGGAAACGCTCTGCATGCAAACACACAAGCACTTATAAGCTCCAGTCACCACTTTTAACACCATTTAACAAATTTTACTTCTTTCATTACTCACTGTTCCTCTCTACAAAGAGTTTCCCCACCGGCTGGCTTTGACCATGCGGGGCTGAGAACAGGGAATGCTGGGGGATAGGAGGAGGGGTGTCTGTGATAATATCATCCTCTTCTACGTCCAACTCATCGGGAAGCTGCGCTTCAACGACTCTCGACTTCCTGAAATTACGAGAATAAAGATTATAAAGAAAACCATACCATACCATTGTCCATACCAAGTTCTGTGTTTTATCGCACAGAAACCAAAGTCAAGGTTCCCACTCTTCATTGGAAATAATTTTTCAGGACTTTTCTAAGCTGAAAAGATCGCTGCAAGTTTGTTCCACCCCACATCTGGTGTGAACAGCTCTTCACTGAGATGGGAGTCTAAATAAAAAGGGAGCCTACCAACATTCGAGTTTCAACACACCCAGGTTTAGGTAATCCGAGTGAGGGGACGATTTAAGATTATCTCCAGGATATTTGGTCATTTCAATCATTTTCCACGTGTTTCCATCAATGAAAAACTTGTCTCTAAATGTACAGGTTTTCCAGGACATGTGGGAACCCTGAAATATATATTTGTAGGTATAAATATATATTTGTAGGTATAAATAAATAAATCTAAATAGAATACAACTCAAACCAGGTGTTTAGGCATAAAATTAAAGCATGATAGCACACAAACACGTAAAGTTAATGTACATATTTCATCTGTTGGTATAACAACATATTGTGTGATAAATACAATAATTGTTACTTTCTTACTTTTTCTTTTTGGATTTTTTGACCACTTCTTCTCCATCTGTGGTCTGTTCTGCTGCATCTCCGTTCACCAGGTCGGCTTGGTCATCTTCAAGATCTGAAACCATCAATTTATGACTTCTTCTGTCTTAAAGACATTTGAGCAGGTCAGTCTTCACTGCAGTTGAGCAGTCATCTCTCAACTCTCTGTTCTTCTTTAGAGTGAAACTGTTTTCTTGTGATGGTCGAAAAGACTCCAAAATTTGATTTGATCATGGTGAAACTACAACATCTGAAGGTTAGCAGAACTACAGTGTAGAAAATAAGCATTTACAGGGATACTTTTGTTCTCAGTCTTTACCTATAGTGGCAGTTTTCTTTTTCTTCTTCCTCCTCTGTGGGAGTGCATCCGCTTCAAAGGTGAGTTGCTGTCCGATTTCAGATGCCCTCCGGCTGCCCAGGCCTCCCATTTCCATCCCCTGATCTACAAACAGGAAACAGCAGAAGCTTTTAATGTCATCCTTTGGCTTTGGAAACCACAAATACATAGGAAAACCTTCTCACATGTGACCAAGCTTTTAACTGAGAAGGGAACTGACCTTGGAGCATGACTTTAAATAGCTGTAACACATTCTTGTTTTATCCTTAAGCAATGTTTCAGATTAGTTTGGTTTTTTGAACTGGTGTTGTGTGAGGTACTTATCCATATTCAAGGTGGACAAATCTGTTTAAGTGTAGGGTAGCTAATGTATTACAGAGGCATTTTTTTTTTTAGAAAAGGCTAGAAACAAAAGTTTAGAGAAAGCAACAGGTCAAACCAGAGTAAACGTCGCTGTGGCTTTTCAACTATGGCAAGAAGTGATTGACCGGTAATTATCTGGTTGTTTTGAGGGGAATTGTTATTTTCCTGGAGTTTGTGGAACTATATATGAATGAGACAAGGTAGTTGGATATGGTCAGCGATTATAACAATGTGCTTCTCTCAAGTTTATGTGTGTTGGGGGAGAGGCTTTGGAGGGAGACCTGAGGAGAGCCTGCGTTCTATGTAATGGCCACCAGGGGGCAGCTCCATTGGTTGCAATAAAACACTGATAACATACAACTTTCTGGAGAGGTGGCACTACATCTCATTTGATTTATTAGCTCAGTAAACAGTTTCCTAATGAGTTTATGCTCAATCTCTAGTTTCAAATCTTATGGCATGATGTTCATTAAGTAAATTATGGTGTGTTATGTGTGTGTGTGTGTGTGTGTGTGTGTGTGTGTGTGTGTGTGTGTGCGAGCGCGTGTTACGTACCGTCCACATCATCGACTCCATTTGTTTCTTTCCTCACCCTCTTCTTCTTCTGCTTTGCCGGAGGTACTTCTCCTATACAAGATGATAAAGAAAGAAAAGTTTAATCAAAGCAGGAACTTCAGCATAAATATAATTATATAAATACATTTCAGATATTCCCTCACCAGCTGTGTCTTGACTTCATTTGACCCACGTGAGAGAAAAGAGAAAAGAAGAATAGTTTGGTTTGGTTGTTCTGCATCAATACTGTATATAAAGACATTACATCACGGTAGTGGAGGAACATATTAACCTACCTCGGCACTGTGGGAAGAGACCGTTGCCCTCGCTTGAGAGACAAAAGGAGAAGTCAGTTTTGTTGTTGTTTAAAATAATCACAATCAAACAGATTTATTTTTCCACAGCTGAACTTTTTCCATCAGTGACTGGTTAACACACAACCTGATATTTTAATTAGTTTATTATTTAATTCCCACCTTTGTGTATCAACAAGGTTTCAGCAGCTTGCACAAAGTAAAATTTAAGACTTTTTAATGTTTAACACCACACAGAATATAAATCAATGCCCTTTTCACAGAATGAAAAATACTACTGAAAACCAGTAGGGACAATGAGTAACTTACTAAAAGCATGAACTTGTTAATACTTATATCACATTTTTGTGATACTTTTGCTTTCTAGCTGTATATAACAATAATTCCTAATAATATCATGAATTAATTATTAATCTTGACCTGGACCTGGATAAGCAGCAGAATTAATAAATGGATGGACGGATAAATTATCCAATTAAAAAATAACGTGGAAGGTTTTTATTTGTTTACAACGTTTTAGTCTGTCCAACCTTCATCAGGGATTTGTATAAATACATAGGTCTACACAGATGTATACCCAATTAAGATGCAAGAGTTCTTCTAACTTAGTTAGTTAATAAAATTGGATTGAGAAGGTATTTGGTCCCATCAAACGAAGCGTAAACAGGTTAACAAATTAGCTCTCCTGAGAAACAATGAGCCCGGAAGCAAAGGAAGAGTTTCTGTTCAAATCTAGACGAATGCTGTTTTTCCAGTTATAGCAAATGAGATTTTTAAAAAAGCTTACCATCGTCTTTCTGGCCATCCACCCGAGGAATCAAATAGGAGTGGAGCTACACATAACATCCTGACTAACACTGCTAAATCCTTGGCTAAATCTCATTCGACTGGGGATTACTCGGGGCAGAGGTCAGACGACTCGAACCTTTTCAAACTCTTGTGTGTGGATAAAGAAAATGTACAGGAAGTGCGTCTTTAGAGTCTGTTTAATCTTTCTGATGCTTGTGGAGGCGGCTTATATACACACACATGTATATATACATATATATATAATGCTGTATACTGTATACAGCGTTGGTATATTTTATGTATGATGTTCACTGTTATCAGTACCAAAATATTAATTTAAGTCATCCACCCAGCCCCACGTTGCCCAGATACCATCAAGCAAATCAATTTTTAGAGCTGAAAACTTTTTTTCTAATCACTGAATGCGTCAACTACTTTTACAACCAACCAATGAATGAATGAAATATACACAATAAAATGTTCCCAGAGCTTTTACTGACACCTTTTAAATGCTTGTTTTGTTGTTTGTTTTATGTAACAGCTTTACAGATTACATTTTTTTACATACAAAACACATGAAAGGTTTATGAAATATGATGTTTTGTACTTCAACAGTTTATACAAGGACAGCTGAAACAATAAGTTGCCAGTTGTTGAATTGTTTAAGCCATTTTTCAAGCAAAACAATCAATGATTCAAGCTTCACAATCTACTCCTACTCTTAATTGTATGAATGTATTAAAATAATGTTGAGTTTTGGAGTTTTTGTTGGACATTTATTTTAAATTTTCAAATGGAAAAGCATTGTGAAGAAGAAAATAATGAATATAATCAGTAGTTACAGTCCTATACAACATACAACAGTGTTAATAGAGACAGTGCCCTGTAATATCTGTAATTAACAACAACAACAACAACAACAACTGACCTGTGGGAGTGGTGGGAGCTCCCTGGCTCGCATTTTCTATAAATGGCAAAACAAGCTGTTAGAAACATTTACAGTAAAACTTAAAGTTCAGTTTTATGTAACGTTACGTATTCTTGGCTACCTGAGAGATGTAACGTTACCGTGTGTTGTCACCGAGCAGTCTGGCGTTAGTTTACACAGAAATATATAGTTAACTCTCACAATGAGGCGTAAAAAGTACACAAATATATCATTAAATGTTAGCGCCGCTGCTACCGTAAAAGCTGCCAAGGAGTTGCCGTTATTTAACGTAAACTAGTAAAATATGTTACCTTTGAGCCTCCTGTGTCCATAATATGCAAATTCGCCTAAACTTGCGTCTTTAAATATCCATTCGGTTAAACCATCTTTAGATTAAAACGCGTATTTAAACAAGTACCGCCGTTTAAAAGTGAATAAACCGCTATTTTTATTATTTACTTCATGTGCGCCCTGCAAGCGGAAAGCTGTTACCCGGAGGTGTTTACGAGTGGCACACAACACTTCCTGTATCTTCAAAATAAAAGCATCCATCAAACTTAAGCAGAGGCATGGTAATAAAACGGATAAATAACTAAGTAAATGATTACCCTTCTTTCAGAAGTGGTTTATTAATGTCACGAACAGGTACAAATAGTCAAATGTAATTGGTTTTCTTGCACTTTCACATAATATCACATTATTCTCATAAAAACAAAGAATGAAAAACAAAACATATAACATCAAACAAGAAACCACTTTGCTTTCTAGTATGTAAACATAAATCAGAAAAAGATCACAATCTCTATTGCAGGTCTGTGTACAAGAATGGGGATCAGGGCAAGAAATGTTCTTGTTTGTTTTGTTCCTGGGGCCACACGAAACATTTAGCTAAATGAAACCTGAATGCAGAGCAGTAAACTCTTTTTTTTCTATAAGCAATCTGTACGTGTGTATAAACTTTTATCATAATTAACTAACAGTCAGAGACATGGCTCTGATGCTCAGCTTACTTCAGAAAATCTGACATTTTTGTTTTGACATTTTGTTTGTTTTGTTCAGAAGAAGGAGCACTTAAGATGAGGAGCACCTAACTGTCTCAGTACAAAGAAAAATCTCTAGTTGGGTCTAAATTTAAACTCATACGTTTTGATATTAAACTCTGATACAGTTTCAGGGATTTCTTTGGGCTTGTGTTCAGCTCCATCTTAACTCTGAGGATATGAAGTGACTTACGGAGCCAGATGAAGCACACCAGATCAAAATATTAAGATTTCTTTCATGCCGTACTCCCCTAAAACAACGTTAGACACAAAATTAATGTACATGTAAAGATTTTTGTTTTACAGTGCGGAAACTGTAAAATGAGATAGATAAAATAATTGCTGCCATGATAACAGGGGTCACATCTCTCTTGTCCCCTTGTCTCCTCTGTCCTCCCTCACGACTCGGCGGTGGGTCGTATCCAGCTGGCTGGGACCCACTGCGGCTCGTCCTGCGCCTTCCTCACCGCCGTCAGCAGCTGGACGCAGGAGTCCTGCAGCTCATCGTTGACAAGCACGTGGTCAAAGAACTGCCAGTAGTGGGACTCGATTTTCCGGGAAGCTTCTTCCATCTCCTGGAAGTCTTCCTCCTGTTTGGGGAAAGTCCAATCCAGCTTCAATTATACTGAATTTCTTTCACCTTGGTGTTGTGGAAATATGAATTAATTTAGGCAAGGGCCAATGGCTCGCCACTATTTCTCTAATAATTTCTCTAATACTTTCATAAACATTGATTTCAATATTGTGGAAATGTGTAAGAAAAGCTGGTTTGAAACAGAACAAAATAATAAAATGTGTCCTTGGGAGAGTTTACTTTGAACGGTCGGTTGACGTAGTAGTTGGTGGTGATGTACGAGTCCTGTCTGGTCTCTCTGAGGCGCTCCAACGGTGGAGGCTTCACATAGATGATGTAGGCCCGCAGTTCGTGGGTCCTCACTGCCTGAATGGCCTGAATGGAGAGATAAAACAAAAACAATTTAAAGTAAAGCTTTTGTACGTATAATAAAAAGTGACTTGTAGCACAAAAAGTAATGTGTTTTATAATTTATGACTGATTAACAGAATGCTACTAATTCAGGTATAAACATCATTCTGGAAAAAAGTTAGTCTTGATTTTTAATAGTGGCTTAAATTGTCGTTTGACAACTGGAATTTCTGTTATGTACATTCATCGCAAAACATTTCCATGTCTTACTTACATTTGCCTCGATGTCGATGACGCAGATCTTTCCGCTGTTTAAAACTTCCCTCACAGAATCGACAGTGGTGCCGTACAGGTTCCCTTTGTACTCCCCGTACTCCACAAACCTGCAGGACATTATAGAAATAGACAAATATACAGACAGGTGATAAATATACTTTCTGCCAGTAGGGGGGTCTCTCACACAAATCAAAACAATAACAAAAGTTTGATGACATCACAAAGTAAATTATTACTTAAGATATAAACTTAGAAGACCTGAACACAAATTATATTCACAGAGCCTTCAGTGTCTGATAAACAACCTCATCCTGCATTAGAAAGGTACGCAGCTGAATCAACCAAAGAGCTAATAGTATCATGTTGCAGAAAGAACGAATGAGAGCAAAAATGTTCATAGTAAAAGAGCATTTTAGAATTTGAAAATCATAATTTAAATAATGCACTGCAGAATTATTTCCTGCATATATGTATATAAATATCTGTACACATTGGTTTATTATATATATTTTCTATGTTATTCTATGAATTTAATTATCTTTTTCTGTGTGTAGCATGAAGGAACTGCAAACTCTTAAAACTTGTGCAGTAAAATCATAAATAAATGTCCTTGATTTCCTTGATATTGTGACTGCACTGCATTCATTCATTCATTATTCATGGTTTCACAGCAGAGGCTGTCGTACCTGTTGTTATACACCATGTTGTCGAAGGTTTCTCGGCTGGTGAAGTAATACTCTCTGCCAGACTCCTCGTATCCTTTGGGTGCTCTTGTGGTGTCTGGTGAGAGGGAAAGGAAACTTTATAATATATATGTTATTGTTTCTCTTTGAGACACACAATCATTTAACAGCTGAAAAAAGATTATCAGACAAACTGATCTTTGAAAAAACATAAAAACAGGACTTTTGTGTGTTTGTAATAAACGTTTCGCTCATTTAGTTTCTAAATTCAGTCACGTACAAGGTACTGCTCCCTGGAAGATGTTGGGGTTTATTTCAATCAAGCGCCTCCGAAGTTCATTCACACCCACACCAGACGGGCCTGAGAATAAACAAAAACATCTGAAATCATAATTCAATCGGATTTGCTGTTGTTTTTTTCATGTATATGAGATAAATTAAAACACTGGTTGGCCACTATAAAGTAAAGCTAATTTCCTCTCCATTCTGACACCGTTGTAACTGTACCTAAGAGGGCGATGAGACGGTGTGCGTCCTGCGGGTGCCGCTGGTAGCGCACAACCTCCTCGTAGGGGCTGTTGAGGGCACTGTAGCAGCTGCTGGGGCAGCGGGTGTGGCAGGACGGCTGGATGGTGCTGTGAAACCGCCGCCGACACAGACGCATGCTGCGCCTGAAGCCCACTGAGAAAAAGTTAAAGGTCCTTGAGGAAGGAGCCGTGATACATGCAAACCAATACATGGAACATAAAATAATTGATTGACATGGTCTGACTTTTAGTGTGCAGGTGTCAGTGCAGGTGAGGGTCATGGTGATTGAAGACTTACCTAAATAAATCCCCCCAATGTTGCTGCTGAAGTCATCCTCCTCTGATATGATAAGAAGCAGAGTGGCAGAGTGAGACATATGGATAAAAATGGGTCTGCTGATTATATTCTCAATTATTATTATTAATTATTATAGTCAGTTGTTCACCCCTAAATGCAATTGAGAGTCTGGAAACATAGAATGGCATTTTGGCTTGAAATGTAACTAAAATGATCAAACTACCAACCAAACCAATGTATGCTTTTAACTAATTACAAATTGATTGTTATTTCTTAATTCATTTGCCCATTTTTTGTATGTTTTCTTAATTTTTTCCCCTTATTTGTCATGTTTGGTCATCTGTTTTTTTAAAGCACTTTTATGAATTTGTAGGCAGATAAAAAGACAAAAACACAACAACAAAAATCTCACCTTCTCTGAGCTCCTCTGACATTTCCCCGTCAGACGCAGAAGAGTTTGGAACAGAAACAATAACAAATACTTCAGATGAAGCACAAGAGACAGAGTGACGCTTTGCACGTAAAACACCAAAACAGATTAAATCAACAAAGACTTACCTACCAGATTCAAATGCCTCCTCATCTGACAGGAAGAAGAACAAACAGGTGGATATTAATCACTGAGCAGCAAAGACGTGCAGTAAGTTTGTGTATAAAAGATTAAGGAAGCAATAAATGACACATGAAGCTTTACCTGCTTCAACACATTTCTCATCGAGGGCCATCAAATCTTCCTCTGTGGGTGAAGAATGGAAATAAAAAGTTAATCTGTAATAGAAAAAATAAATCATTTCGTTTTGAAGCTAAAACTACTTTAACTGTGATGTTTTTGGTTTTGCCTCAAACATGAAATGTGATCGCTCCTTACCTTCCTCTACAGTGCTCACTTCAGTAAGCATGGGGTGAAACACAATGAAAGCTCAGCTGTGAGACCAAAGTTGTCAAATCTGAAACTGTTTGGACTTTTATATAAAGTCTGAGATAAGTTAATTTGGGTGAACTTACAGGTCTGTATGCAGCCATGTGGCTGATAAGGCTGAGACCACCAGACCTCCCTTTGCTTCCTGTTACAACACGCAGAAATTGACATAAGGAATGCAGAAGAAGCAGATCTTACAAACATTTCCTGTGGTATTGTAGTTGTCGATGTTAGAAGATAACTTAGACAATGACATCTTTAAAATCAATAAACTCCTCTGACCGTTTCAGCAGGTTGGCAGAGGGGATGAGGCCGGCGCACGCTGTGTTGCTGGGCAGCTTCTTGGCCTGCCACCAGAGGGCGTCTGTCTGGTCCACGATCTCCAGGACGTCGCCTTTTCTGAAGCTCATACCGGCGTCGGCGCAGGGGATGGTCTGGTCCTGCTGAGGGCTGTAGTCGGCCATGGCCCGCACGTAGAGCTAACACCAAGAAAGTTTGTTTGTTATGATGATTTTTAGCTTTAATGTGTAAACGAGGCAGGTGTAGATGAGGATTACCATCGTCTGGTTGTGGACTGGCCTTTCTGTGATGGGAACGACCTTAAACATGATGGTGCCTTGCGACCTCGCTTGCTGATTGGTTGTAAAGAAACAAAGTTTATTAACAAGCAATACAAATTAATATATAATATAAATATAATAAACATTAAAGACCTACCACAACTTGGATAACTTGCTCTGGTTCCATCCCATCCACAGGAAAACCATTAACCTCTATGATCCTGTCCCCTGCATGCAACAGACCCACACACACACACACACACACACACACACACACACACACACACAAATTAAAAATTACATAATCAAGCTCATTCTTGAAATTTGGGAACAGTATGTAATAAAATAATAAAAGCTCCACTGATTATCTTTCAAAGCTTTAAACCACATCTCACGGTCAAACATTTCCAATGCTTCACTAAAAGAAAAAAAAAAACAAAAGAAAATTCATGTATAATTTTATTCCGTTCCATAGGAAATTCAGTCATATGTTTACAGTAGGAAAGTGCTTACATCGTTCCACAGCAGCCACACTGACAATGAGCATAGACATCGGCCAATGCCATTTACATCAAAATGCCAAATAATAGGAACAATTAATTGGCTGACCAATTAGTCCATGCCACTCATTGGTTAGATGTCTGGGGCGGGAAAAACAGAATGTAGGAACAAGGTCCTGAAGGAGGTCCATCTCTGGCCAAATATCAAGAAGGCAACTTACTTTGTTCCAGGTCAGACTTTGATTCATTCTCCCACTAGCTGCTGGCAACTATTTATTTCTCTCATATGCATCCCAGTATGCAAAGTGCACCTGGCTAAGGGAGTCATTTAGCTCAAACTTGGATAGTTTGCCTTGTAGTTGGGTCAGATTGAGGTTGGATAACATTATCAACACAGTCAAACCGCTCCAGAATTAATTTTTAAACAACGCAGGTTTAAAAACACCCTTTGGTCAAGTGATGAGTGGAACAATTTCCTGAAATAAGACCGTGGGATGGGGTTAAAAGCTCTGAAAGCTATAGTTAGTTTACCTTTCAACTTTAAGTCCAGATTGCACAAGTTCTTAAAAGGGCAGTACCTTCTCATATTACCAACATACCATAAATACAATTTCAACTTCTAGTTAGCAATACAAAGCTGGGACATAGAGTAAACTGAGAACCACAAACATTATCCTAGAGAGAAAATGCTTACCACTTCTATCAGCCAGCCCTCCATGAATCACCCGAGCAACAAAAATCTCCCCTGAGATCTCGTTTCTCTTTATAGTCGCTCCCTAGAACAGAAAAGATGAAAACACTGAATAAATACACCTGCTGCAATGTGGAGTAAATGCATGTGTTGGTCAAACTGAATCACACAGATGAAAATAAATAAAACTGATGGAGGTGAAATGGGAGGACATTGGAAAGTTTAATTTGTGACAGTTTAAACACAAACAAAATAAAACCAAAGCTCCAAATGGATACTGATGAAGTTCCCGACATCACTGGTGAGAAGAAAGCAGGAGTGGAAGGAATGAAATGATCCAACACGACGAAAAAAAACGACGAAGAAATGACACAAAAAATAACAAAATCTACCACTGTGCGTGTTTGCAGGTCAGCCACTCTGCGGAGACCACTTAAAGGTCCCAAGAAGTCCACTCTTTGGACACTCTTCAGGATCCCTCATGTCGCCTTCTTCCTCCTCTTCTTTCGCTGGTTCGAACGACATCCTTTCGCTGTGTAGGAGGTCTCCTCATCGTGCAGGCCATTGGTCAGAAGGTGCTTGGAAGCTTGAAGCTCAGCCTGCTTCTTCTGCGGCAAAGGGGTACTTTTGGTTTTCACGGTAGTTTGGGGTGACCCACGGCAAGATACAGACAAACAGCTGGTCCCCTGAGAGGTGGAGGGGGCATCCAGGGAGCTGCTGAGGGAGCTGGAGGAGGTGGAGGAAGGAAGCGAGGGGAGGGAACATCTGGATTGGTGTGTCAGGGATGGACGTTGCTCTCGGCTCTTCGGAGTTTGACTTTTCTTGGGTGTGCCGTCTTGCTCAGTGACTGCAGGTTTTGGAAAGTTGATCTCAGACCTGGTGGCGGCAAGAAGTGTCTGCAGCCGGTCCACCACCTGCGTGAGGAGGACCAAGGCCTGGGAGTTGTCCTGCACCGTGTCCGACATGCGCTCAGTAGCAGCAGCCATCTTCTCCCCGAGGAGCTTCATGTCTTTGGTGCTGTTCTCCATGGAGCTGGCGGCCAGCTGCACTGTCGTCCTCAGTTCATCCAGACTCTCTTGCTTGGCAAGCTCCACAGGGGGCAAATCCACCAAACGGTGAGGGCGCATGGGGCTCGGGGGAGCAGTGCGGATGCGAGGGTTTCGCCTGGGAGGCGGGCCTGACTGGTGGTAGTCGTCTACATTGGAGTAGTAGGGTACAGTGAGACACGGGGGAGACATAGTCCACCGCCGGGCTGCGGGAAGCGAGGATGGGGTATCAGCGGACTCTGCTGCTTCATCTCCACTCTCTAACTCTTCATCGATGTTGTCTCCAACAAAAAAACAGACGTTATTAATCCATGAAGGAACCACAAGTAGCGTGATGAATGATGGAAGAAGAGGGCTCAATGACGGATGATGAAAAACCAACTTTTCTTACCGATCAGAACAGAGCTGTAGACCGAAGGTGCAGAGCGGTTCAGACTTTGCTCCCAGAGCAGGTTGGTGTAACACACTCTGCACGGGCTCATCGGCTTGCTATAACACATCTGACAGTTACTCATTGGCTTATAGCGGGGTGGAGGGTATGGTCGAGCTGCTTCTGTGTGACACAACTGCTCAGTCGGTGGGTAGCTGCCTCTGCGAGTGCTACACCATAACGAATCTTTGAGGCCCAGGCTCCCAGCACCGGGGCTCTGGACCCCGAATGCACCACCTTGGTGAATCCTCTGCTGGGTCAGACGCCTCAGGGTGTCCCAGTGACTGCGGGCGGCCCCTCTGGAGCTTTTTGCACGCGGGGAGGATGTACTGGGCAGTCTGACTCTCTGATGGTCGCAAAGCTGTGAGACAACAGAGTCACTCAAAGGCAGAGAGGAACGTTCAATACAGAGATTGAGAACTTCCACTGGAACAAAGGAGGGTTTAAAAGGAAGAAGAAAAAAAACCTGCTATGGAAATTGAGATTGAAGCTTTAGTGATAAGAACACAGAAAGTTTTTTGCAGAAATTGATATTAAATGAGTGAATATCTCCAAACTATTTTGTTTTTCTTAAAAATCCTTCCTTTCTGCTGTTAGGAAATTATCTGTAGCATTAACAAACAATTATTCAAATGAGAGCTTATGAAATTCAAACATCTGGTCTCTGTTGGATGCAGTCAGCTGTTTAACTTACATCAGGCACAAAAAAAACTCCTACTAAAATATCGCCGAGCATCTGCTTCCACAGTATTGGAATAGCATTGTGGTTCATGGTTTACAGATAGAGAAACTATTGAAAATGTGAATAGTTTATTTCATTTGTTATTAAAATAAAATATGAGACTTTTCCTATGAGCAGCTTAAAGGGTCAGTTCACCCAAATCACAAAATAAATTTTTTCTACTAATCCCCACCATCAAGCCACACAGATCATTTTACACCATTTTATGTGAAACGGTTGTGATATATCCACCCCTGATATTTCTGCATCCTACCAAATACAATGCAGTCAAAAGAAAACCACTTATCAAAACACCTCTATACTGTATTAAAGCCATTATATCCCCACACAAATTACTTTCTAATGTTTTAGATTCATGTTGAGCGGTGGCGGGACATTATTATCTTTTGTGTAAATATTCTATCATGTCTTACCGTATGCCTACTGTAGGGCTGCACAATTAATTGCAATATTATCCAAATCGCAAGAATTTGAACTTGATAAAGATAAAATGTGTAACAACAGCATTATAATGAAGTACTGTAGTGCTGCAAAGACGCCCTGGTCTACAAATCTTGTCCTCCAGATGAAAGAAAACATGTTTGTTTGGCTCAGACACCGACAAAATGTCACATCATCATGATTTTAATAGTTGTTGTTTTTTTAATTTAATTTCTAATGCAAAATGATAAATCCCTCTAATCTTGAATCCTATTGCAAGTGCGGTATCCTTTAAAATAATCCCAATATGGTTTCTTAGAAGCTGTTTTGTACCTAATTGTTATAAGTTCTATTCCATGTATTATGAGAATTTGCTTGCTTTTTTTATGTGTGAGTGGTTTTGGCTGTATATGTTCTTGTATTTCTTATTTCACAATAGTTTCCATTAGAACTCTTGTGGTCCTAATATTCACCAAAATGACCTTTAAGCTGAACCTTCTTGTCTGTGACTACCTGAAAGAGACAGTCAACACAATTTGTTTGTTGTATGATTTCATGGTCTGAAGGCTTTTTTACACTCAGATAAGTTTTCCTGGTCCCTGAAAACCTGTTTTTGCAAAGAGGGATTAAAAATGACTTTAATACATAATATCAAAATGTGACCTCATCTCCAGGTTAGGATAAACACTGAGTCAACTCAGGCCTCATGTACAGTGATTGTAACACCAGCTAAGCTCTAAATTTGCAGGTTTTATATTTTGACAAGTCATGAGGAGACTTTTGCTGTGCAGCTCACCAGAGGCTGTTTGTTCTTGACCAGGCAGACGATCCTGGTGGCCTCCTCATCATCCGGCAGCTCATCTGGCATGGGTGGCAGTACTGGCTCATAGTCCTTCTGGGCCACCGTATCATGAGCTGATAATAGAGCCTACAAAACAGGAAGATCAAACAGTGTTTTGATTGAAAACTGCAGCACTGGTGGTCAAAACAACTTAAAACAACCAACTTTCTTTTATTTTGTCAACTTAACAAAGTATATTAACCCATATAACATAAAAATGTGCAATTCTTTAGTGACAATCACCCCAAATATTATTATGGAACATTATAAAAATGCATAATAGAGTATATTTACGTAAACTGATTTTATGTTTTTATGTGTGTGTCATTGAAAGTCAATGTAAATGACTAAATTTTTGCACTTTGACAAAAAAACTGAAGACGTGGTTTCTCACCTGCAGGTGTGGCTGTCTCAGGAGGCGGTAGAGCTCTTTGGCTTCTTCAGAGCAGCTCGGCAACGCTCTGATGTCGATCAGCAACTAAGACCAGAAACCACACATTATCCTACCATTAAAAAATGAATGCGATTCACAAATTATTCATAAAAACAAATCTGAGTGCAACCTGAAGTGAAAGTCCTGAAGCGTAGTCCAGAGCCGGTGTCGGGGAATCTCTCAGGTACCTTTGAAGACACTCATAAACCTGAAAACAATGTTGTCAAATGATAAATATCAAATGCAGTTATGGTAATGTTCAGTGAGCAGTTAAAAAGCTTGAAGGAAAACATTCTGCGAGGCTGTTATATATGATCAATCTTTGATGTTAATTTGTAATTAAATGTTCAAATTTCTTTTTCATGTCATTAAATGACTGATCATCTACACTTAGAGATACTGAAACTCTACTCTCAAAGTCGACATTCTGATCCTACTGGGCAAAAACATTTCAGTCAAACAAAGTGAAACTAACTAATTAACAGAAATTAGAAATGAAACAAAAATAAAAACTAATAAATAAAATAACAAATACAAAACGATAATAACTTAACTCAAACTTGCAAACCCAAACTGCAAATAAACCAAGAGGACTGTATATGAAAGTTACAATAAATGCACATAAAACAAAAGATACATAAATAAACATAAGAAATTGGCTTTGGGCAAAGCATAAACTCAGAGAAAACTAAAATTCAACCACAAAAAAATATGTTTTTGGTGCAGGGTAAATGTTAATATTTTGCATGTAGCCACATTAAAGAATAAAAAGTGTTGACCTTGAGCAGCGACTGCAGCCAGGAGGCGTTCAGCAGACTGTGGAGGATCTCTGCACCGTCGATGTCCTGATCTATCGACTGTCTCACCTCATCAATAACATCTGTCAGGATCTGACGCAGGCCTGAAAACACACAAACGCAACAGAGGATTATTACAGTCCACAAAAAGTTGTATATTAACATAATAAAATGTACCAGTGAAGTAAATTTCCTCCACTCACCGTGTTCTCCTAGTTCGCAGTAGGGATTTAACACCTGAGCCTCCACCGCCTGCCTCATGGTCACTGGGCCCTGACCTTCGACCCCAACCACCTGCTGATTGCTTACTACGGCTGGAAAAACCTGGAAGAAGTTAAGGAAACACAGGTTGTTTTTGTAATTTTGGATCAGACAAGGGACAGAAAAATAATTTGATAATTGATAAAACATCCCCTTCCAGATGTATTGAGACGTATATATACAAATAGTGTCACAGCCGACCCTAGCCTCCTTCATGGTTTGTGTGTGAATGTAGTTTTTGCGTTCTTTTTCTCCCTTTTGGTGTGCCTGCTGTGTGCTTGGTGTGTTTTGGTTTGGCGTCTGTCTCTGTGTTTTGCTCTCTCCCTCATGCTCTGGAAGCCACTGGTGGGCGTGGTCGCTGGAGCTCCTGCCTTCACACCTGTGGCTCAGCACTCCTGTTCCTCATCAACTGTCAACTCACCTTCATAAGCCAGGCTGACCTTCCAGTCCCCGCCGTAACACCCAGAGCACTGGAGCCCGGACCCCATTCCCACTCTCTGACTCATCTGAATCTCCAGCCACTCAAACCACGTTCTGTTTGTGCATTTCAATAAAATCACCTTTATTGAAACTTCAACTCTGGTCTGCACTTGAGTTCTGGTCACCGGTCCTGACAAATAGTCAGCTTGAAACAATAATGTGTCTGATATGCCCCTTAAAATTAAGACTTTCCGTGAGCACAGAGAAACTTTGAATGTGAAAACATCCAACAAGAGTAGACACCTGTCTGATTAACTTACTGTTCCTCAATAGCTCAAGTCTTGTTTCTGGGAAAAAGAGTCTTATTTTTTGTCTAAAAAGAAAAATAATCTTGTTGAGAATGTTTTCTATCAGAAAAGTAATCTGGTTTTTAAGAAAATACATCTAACTTTATCTTAATAATATATTACAGCTAATATTGAGCCCCCTTTTAACCAGTAACAACAGTGGTTTGCATAATACCCCAGCAGAGGAACAACCTTATTTTATTTATTATTTAAAGAGTAAGACCACTTGCACAACTTCTCAGTTCTCTAGTTTCAAAAAAGTACAGTACACATAGCAAACTACACATGGCATCTTCATTATTTGACCATTATTTTGAGAAATATCTACCAGAAGGCTTTACTGTGTTTGTGGTCATTTGAATAAACAAAACTTTATGAAAATGCACCATGTTAGAATATCTAATAGGATCTGTTTTTAGTGCAAGGTACAAATTTCCACAACCAACTGAAACGCACTTGCCCACTTTGCCTGGTTGGTAATCCGGCCGTAAGCGTGCAGTGGGATCAGGTAGGGAGGTGCAGACACAAGTTACTCCATCAGTGGTTAGTGTGAAGAGGGTCAGGGGTTAATGGCACACTTCACGGCGGGTTGTAAGTGCTACAGTGATGTAAATACAGAGATGTGAGGACCATAATCTCTGGCTGGTGAACCATTAGGAGAAAGCAACACCATTTTCGAACAGTTATATTTAGGCAATAATTCTGCTGAGATGTTCTTTTAACCAAGATTAAGTCAATTTGAAATTGAGGACACAAAAAGGGGAAAAAACAAGTTGATAAACTAAGTTTAGGTGCCTCTAAAGCCCTAATTATGACTGTAAATAAACCATTACAACAATACTGGAGTTGCGCAAGATGACAGATGTGATCCATTCAAGCTAAAGTAACCTAAAGAAAAGTGATTCAAGCTCCTCAAGAGGTTGCTGTAGTTAAATAAGAGGATGATCCCCGTGGCCTTTCTCCAAGCCATCTCTCTTACCTTTATGTCTGAGTCCTTAGATGATGCCACAAGCTTGTATCCTCCAGCTCCTGCAGGTTTTAGCATCAATACGGGTGCTGGAAAAATGTATATAAGATGGGAAAATATCACCCAGAGACTGGAGGCAACACTACGCTTCTATCGAGCTACAGGGAACAAGAGAGTGAGAGAGAGCGAGAGAGAGGGAGAGAGGGAGAGAGGGCTGTAATCTCTCCCGATCCCACTTAATCCCAGGCAAGTGAGCCGCCTGCCTCTGTCCACCGGAAGCCAGTTCCTCCCTCACCGGCTGGCTGGTTGCCGCGGAGCTGCCAAATCTTCTTAACTCTTTCAGCTTTCAGCGGCACGCAGGAGGAGCTGTGGGTCGAGACTCTGACAATGGAGGAGAGAATATAAAGAAGAGAAGAGAAAGGCTTCAAGATCACATTCTTCTTTTTGAACTCACAGATTAGACTTGTTTTATAGTTTCAGTTCTTAGAAAGGGACAGAGTTAATGGAGAGTGTCCATAATGCTTACTCAAACCCACAAATCTGTCAGGAATGGGGGTAATCTACTAATTCCCAAGGAAACTCCCCTCCCTCCATTTAAAAACAAAGTCCTAAGTCCCAAAACAGTGAGATTATCTCTTTGCCTTTAATAAAAACATGTCTTTGTTGGTTAATTCGCTAAAGTCTAAAAACAAAAAGTGCAACGTTGAGAGGATTTGTCAGTTTAACACCCACTTTAAATGACATTACATCTGGTGGCTGTTAAATACGGAGCCCCAAAACTGACAAAATGTAGTAAAAAAAATACAACTGACTACATCAATCAAATTTCATTGTGTAGTAGCGTGGGAGTTTTTGTCTTCACTACCATCACCTTCACCATCATTGCAATCAATGATTCATGGTTCAGGAGGTTTCTACCAGGAGCCCAATTATCCACAGATTTCTCTGAGTTTTATTGTTGGAAACATTTGTGATAAAGTAAGAACTCAACTACATATCGAACATAGAGTTTATAGACTTTTTTTTTTTTTTTTTTAGATTAACAGCAACTTTAAATTTTAGATGTAAATTTGAACCGGTTGACATTTTCTGTTCCTGCATCACCAAAATGTATTCCCTTCATAAAGAGGCCTCTGATCCACTGGCTGTTCTATTGTTACACCATGTGAGGAAACAAAAGCTGTGATATTAAAAAAAAAAAAAAAAAGGCTCTGTCATCCTCTGAATCCCCTCTTAAGCCCTTTTATAAACTGGCATGTGTGACGCAAATCTCAAAAAGGCCACAATGTCTGACAGTTTTTGCTGTGAATGGTTTAAAAAAAAAAAGAACCGTTAGCATTAAGAGATGGCACAGAGGACATCACAAGCATACATTTACCTTTTGCAATCATTGTTTCACAGATAATCGGATTTTAAGACCTTCAAATGGTGGTGAGAAATGTGTTGACTTCTCTCCCTGTCTGCAATGAACACTGTGTTATCCACAACAATACAATCAATACAAACTCTTTCCTTCTTTTCACTGTATCAGGCCTTCGTGTGACGGATTGTCTCGCTCTGTTTAAAGGTTTCATGCTCTTCTGAAGGAAGGAAATGAGGTCCGGTGTGTATCAGTATACTGACTGAGCAGAGGAACCATGAAGCTTGAATGTCCTCCAAGGTAACAGCGTCACCTACGTCAGTAAAGTCATACACTGGACGGTATGAAGTGGCTCATCTCTGGCAGTATATCTGACAATATGTGTACCTTCATGATCCGTTGATAGGAGGCCGGTAGAGGTCACTAAAAGGGCAAAGTGTGTGTGTGTGTGTGTGTGTGTGTCAGACAGAGAGGGGGAGGTGGCCTCGTCTGCATTACAGCAGCAGATGGAGCTGTAAGCAACCTGTTGATGTGATCCTCTACTTCCCATTGGCCATCACCCTGAAGCTTTGATGACCCTGGCCCCTGTGATTGGTTGTGATGGTAGGTGGGATGGCAGCACGCAGATCACTGAGGAAGTAACGCCACGCTCGTCTTAAGTGATCTTCTCATGCTGGATCTGATAGTAACAAGCCTGCAGGTGGAGAAGATACACAAATAAAACTGTGTGGAGTTTTGTTGAAGATCACATCGTTGGATTCATTTTTATAATTGTGGAGGAAACTCGTTCTGAAGATGGGAAAGTTTACATTCAGTGGCTGGAAATATTCCTTTCCTTAGAGTTTAACAAACAAACAACATTTTAATCTGAATTTTGGAGACAAAGGGCGCGTTGTAGTAGTGTAACTAATTACTGCTGGCAGGGAGTAATAAGTAAATTAATAATATTACTTTCTTAAAGAGTAATGAGTAATAAATGACATTATTTTCTGTAACAAGCCCAACAATGGTAGAAATAGTTTTAAAAAATCAAGTTGTGATGTTGATGTATGATTAAAATCAACTCTGACTTTTATTAATTATAATTAATTCATTAAAAAACAAATTAAACTGAGGAAAGTGTGAGCTGTCTTTACCATTAAATAGTAGCCCTAAGCTAAAGAGACAAAAGACATAAAGAGTGCTATTGAACAACAAAGAAATTAAAACTTTATTTAAAATTACTACTTCATTAAATATTTTCATCTCCCTCCTACAATGTGTTTTATTTTAAAATATTAGTGTAATTATTCCAAGTGACATATGTAGCATTAGTATTAGTAAAACATGAATTAATAAAGTCATTTTAAATAAAGCTTTGTGGAGATTGTTGCTGTATTCTTTATGCTGGTGGACTGTTAATGATTCCTTGTAGAAGAAGAAGAGTATTTGCTGCCCTCCAGTGGCCGTAATGAGGAACTACACCCCGGTGATTAAGTTAAGTTAGACATTATAACATGACTACAATGCTACAACTTCCGGTTAACGCTTTCAAAATAAATCTACCAAACACAATCAGAAATTAACAATCAATTGTTCTGTTGTAGTAAACCATTAATAATTTTTATATTGTACTCGCAATCTTTTAATTGCACTTCAGATGTGATAATTTAACCAGTTTCTTTAGAAAAATTTACCAATTTATCTACATTTTATTAAGATATTACATTAGTGACATATTAGACATTACTCAGTAAGGTTCCTATATAAAAGTGGCATTAAAAACTGTCGTTATATTCATCGATAACAGTGTAATAATTGATCAGTTGTGATCAGGAACCGCTGCTGATAAAGTCTAACGTTAGCTTCAGACAACCGGACAGACTCACAGACAGATACGTGTGTGGGACAGACTGCTTTACTGCTGTGAACGTTGGTTTTAATGTCCAGTTGTTGAGCTTAAAGGTTTAAAATGTGATATGATGAAGTTTAAGACTGACAGTTTGTCATTCTTCAGTTACTGATTCAGTTGGGTCATGGGTTTATTTTGAAAGCACTGACCGGAAGTGGTATCGTTATGTTATTGTGTCTAACTTGAGTATCTCCTCGGTTTAGTTCCTCACTGCGACCACTGGAGGGCAGCAAACAACTCCACCAGCATAAAGACAGACAGCACCAGAAATATATTATATCTGATTTTATTTATATAAAGGTAATAATAAAAAAAAAAAAAATATTATTATTATATTATAATAATAATGCAATAATAATAATAATAATAAAATATTAATTATTATTATAATAATAAAATAGTAATAATAATAATAATAAGTGATTATAATAATAATGGCAATAATAATAATGGTAATGATGATAATAATAAGTGATTATAATAATAATAATGCCTCGAATATTAATGTTGATTACTATAGTTTTTTATTTGATCATTATAATAATGAATAGAATATTAAGCGAAGATAATTAACATTCATGGGGCGGTGAGGGACCTGGATAACGAATAGGGGGGCGCTGGCCTCTTTTTTTAAATTATGTTTAATTGTTTAAAGTTGGTTAATGTTTTCAGTTTGTCCTATTGAAATACCTGTACAATGTAATGTAAAAGATGTTTATAAGATAAATCGATCACCAGACTTATGTTTAAAAAAATAAAAATAAACTATCTCATTGCGAACATTAAAGGGTTATTTTGTTTTTCACGAAGATTAGACACCATGCATACAAAACTGTGTGACTTTGTCCTTTTTCTGAGTCTTTTGTGGACTTGCAGGGTAAGGGGGTGGAGCTGCTCTGTGACTGTGTGCAAAGGGCAAAGCTTCCCCTTCAGCCTGAGCAGAGCCTTCCTGCAGCAGCACAACAAACACGCTCCTGTTGGAAGACTGAGACAGAGACATTAAAGTTCCTTTCACGCAGGCTCAGAGGAGATGGCTGAGAAAAAAGCCATCTTGTTCAACTTCTGGGGAGTTGCTGTCTCTTCCAGACCACGGGCTGTTTTCCACAAGCTGGAGGAGTTGCACAACCTGCCAGGGTAAGTGCCTGTTGCAACACCCCACCGTGAACACTGAGCTGTCTGCTGAGCAGTTTAACCTGCAGTCCACATTAAATTAAAGGGATTATTTCTCTAAAATGCATCCTACATTCAAATATATAGAACATGGAGGAGAGTCATTTGAGTAGAATATGTAGCTGTGGCAAAGGTTTTATAAATCTTTACTAAAAATACAACAAATTAAAGTTTATTTCAGTGATCCAATGGAGGGAAAACCACTAAACCTAAGTAGGCTTTCACTTTAAACTGCTGTTACTCTTTAACACATTGTGCAATTGTAAACAAGTTCAAACTGCAGGTAGTGACACATGGACAAAAGTAAACGGACAGAGGAAGCTGAAATAAGATACAAGCTGGATTTCAGCAGCACAGTCTGATTTATACAGAATAAAACTGCAAAAGATTCATCAGTTAAAAAAGAGATTTTACAGATTGTCTCACAGTTCAGTCTTCACTAACGCTGATATGTTCATATTGTCCCTTTGTTGTTTGTGTCTCTGTGGTCTTCAGTGGTTTTCTGTCCAGTGTGGCGTCCCAAAAGGACGGTGCCATGAGCCGGGCGGAGAGAGGGGAGATGAAGCTTTCTCAGGTGAGTTTCAGGACTAAATATCATGTAGTGATTATTATTACAGATATTGAGATATGATTCACGATTAGTTCCATAAGGATCATTTTTGCATCACAGATTTAGTTTTTACTGAAAGAAAACAAATTAAAATCATGACGATGGGACATTTTTTGGGCTCTGCAGAACTACAGGACTTCATTATAACTCTGTTTGTCACATTTTACCTTTTATCAAAAACATTTGCAGCTTCTCCGATTTGCATATTGCACTTGACCATATTGCGATTTCGATAATATCTCAATTAACTGTGCAGCCGTAGTCAAAATCCTCTACTATTAATTCACTGTTTACTTCAGTTCTGTCTTCTGTTACTGATTGTGACTGTGATTGTGAGGCACTATTTGATCACATATTCTTCCACACAGTGAGCTACCAACTGCTCTTATGGCCTCCGTAGAAATACTGCCTCTTTCATTCTTGAAACTCTGTTGCCCTGTGTGTGTGTGTGTGTGTGTGTGTGTGTGTGTGTGTGTAGATGATCCCAGCGTTGGAGGCAGAGTGTGTGAAGGAGGCCGAGGTCAGGGCTGTGACTCTGCCGTCTGATTGGTCAGTGAGAGGCCTGCTGGAGGAGCTCAGGGAGGCGATGATGGACGTCCAACCAGCCGTGCTGAAGACAGCTGCCAGTCTGCGTCGCAGTGGTACATCTGCATCAGTACACCTGGACACAACACACACAAACAGCCGTAGGGTAAAATAGTGGCCCTCCAATGGGATCTTCTTCTCTCTCTCGTTGTTCACATCGATTCTTCCTCAGTCTCCTGCAGATAACAACATAAATACAAGGCTCACGTAAATATGAGCTCATGACATCACGCCCCCACATGAAGACAGGCAGGTGTAATTAAGTCTAAAGAACTCACAAGATGAAAAATATCTGAGTCTCTGCGTCTCCGTCCCATCAGGGTTACTGACAGCGGTGCTGGCCAATCACTGGGTAGACGACAGTGCTGCTGGAGACGGTCCAGCCCGCATCCTCTCTCTGCTGGGCGGACATTTTGACCTGGTCCTCCAGTCCTGTCGCTCAGGTCACAGGGTCCCCGAGCCGTCTGTGTTCAGCTGTGCTCTGCAGCACCTGGGAGTGACATCACAACAGGTAGAGGACTCACTCAGACGTATAACTGTGTGTCCTGGAAAGATTGTGAGGCAGTGCAGCTGTGCTCAGTGTGTGTCTCATTTCAGGCTCTGTGGCTGGATGCAGATGAGGAAGGTGTGAAGGCAGCAGAAGCAGCGGGGATGAAGGCCGTCTTGGTGGGAAATCTGGACGATGCTTTGGACAAACTGGTCAACTTTACTGGAGTTCAGGTGACGACCAGAACGATTGGATCTTGTTCTTTTAGAGGAAGGAAAAAATAGATGAATGATGAAATATCAAAAGATCTACCGGTGCATAGAAGCTAACTGGGGTGATGCAGGAAAATGAAATATCAAATAAATAAATAAAAATACCGCCAGAAGAAGTTTGTCGTAGCGCTAACATACATAATGGTGTGTGTGTGTGTGTGTGTGTGTGTGTGTGTGTGTTGCAGGCTGTTGGAGCAGACAGTCCTCCACCATCCTGCAGCCCTGATGAAGTGTCTCATGGTTACATCACCATCAGGGTAATAAACTCTATCAGTGTCCTGTAATCTGCTGTCAGGAGATTATGGAAGTAACACAAAGTTGAAATGTTGTTTTATTGTGACATTAATGTGTGTGTGTGTGTGTGTGTGTGTGTGTGTGTGTGTGTGTCAGCCTGGTGTGAAGACTCATTATGTTGAAATGGGCTCAGGTCCACCAGTTCTGCTGTGTCACGGCTTCCCTGAGAGCTGGTACTCCTGGAGGTACCAGGTAACGTGTTTATGTGTCATCTGCACTTCCTGTTGTTTTTGTTGTTGTTGTTGTAGGAGTCTATGAACGTTTGAGTGCAGCAGTGCAACAGTGTTTTCATATGTGTATATATATTAATACTGAACGGCAAACACAAGGTTCACTCTCGCAGTTTTTGGCGTGTTTTTTATACCTTTGCGTCTGAACATCCTTTTCTCTCTCTGGTAGATCCCAGCTGTGGCAGCAGCAGGGTTCAGGGTGTTGGCTCTGGACATGAAGGGATATGGAGAGTCCATAGCCCCCACAGGTGTGTGTGTGTGTGTGTGTGTGTGTGTGTGTGTGTGTGTGAAAGTTTAATACTAAATTAAATCACTGACAGTATGCAATTAATGGATAGAACTTCAGGACGTGTCTTTAACCTGGATATATATTACACATATATATACATATTTTTCTTTTACTAATAAAATATAAAAAGCGTTTTATGAACTTGAAGGTTCATATTGCACCTCAACAAGCATCATGAACTGTAACTCGTGTCGTTTCTCCGCTGACAGACATCGAGGAATATTCTCAGGAGCAGCTTTGCAAGGTACAAACTCATCAACACACATTCTTCACATTTCATCAAACGTATGAAACACTTAATGAAACACACACTAGGTGTTGAGGAGGATTGTGCTCCTCAACGTGACATCCGGGATTCACATATTTTTTACAAAATATTGCTTTAATTTACCAAAAGGCATACAACAGTGATTTAGGTTAATGAAGGTAGTTTGAATTGTTTTTATATGAACCATTTTGTCGACCACACGGTGAGTTGTGACATCTTGTTGACATAATATGAACCAGATTTATTCCTCTTTACCACTGTTTGATGTTGTGTTATTACATTAATGCTGCTGTTATCATGTATTGTTTAATTATATTTACTTAGAATACAATTGAATTCCATGAAATGTAAAGTTTTTCTCTTTTTTTCCAGGATTTAATCACATTTATGGACAAAATGGTGAGTAATGACACATTATACACACTCTAATCTCAGTGTCTCACTAATTACGGTTCAATTAAATGAGAACAATTAACTTTCAGAGAGTTGAAAGCGGCTTTATTTGTCGTCCGTGCTGCGTTCTGATTGATAACCCACACATATATAAAATATCTTCTCTGTGTCTCTTTTCCAGTCGATACCGCAGGTCACCCTGGTGGGTCACGACTGGGGCGGCTTTCTGGTGTGGACCATGGCTCAGTTTTACCCTGAGAGAGTCAGGTGAACACACTCACAGATTCAGTGACACATCCCGGTACTTTGTACTGTAGTAAAATGTGTTATTTCTTGTGTGTGAAGGGCTGTAGCGTCTCTGAACACTCCTCTGTTCCCTGCCGATCCCTCAGTCCCTCCTGATGAGAAACTGAAGTCCATTCCCATATTTGACTACCAGCTCTACTTCCAAAAACCTGTAAGTCTGTCTGCAGCATGCTTACACGCTAACACAGGTGATACAACAAAGTGATGGCTTTATATCGGTTACAATGTACACATTATATCAGCCAGCTGACGAGAACTCTTTATTCCATTAGGATAAGATTTTACATACTAATAGTCTACTATGCCCGTCTATCAGAGACAAAATGGTTCACAGTTATCTGCCACCAGCAGAGAAAAGAGATGGTTACAAAGACCCATATATACCCATATATAAATGTATGAATGTCACATTTGCCACACGTTCTATCTAGTTTAATGTAAAATGTAAAAAGGGATCATATTTCATCAAATGTTGAACTATTTCTTCAACTGTTTCACTGTGCAGATGATAATAAAGCTTTGAATCTGTGTGTGTGTGTGTTTCAGGGGGCAGCAGAGGCTGAGTTCGAGAAAGACTTGGAGAGAGCGTTCAAGATTTTCTTTTTCAGCAGTGCTGAAGCAGTGAGGACACACACACACACACACACACACACACACACACACACTCACTATCAAACCTGTACAGGTAGAAAAATCTCCTTCATGTCACATAATTAATCAGTGTTTGTCTTTTCTCTCAGGCAAAGCGTCCTGCTATCAGCACTGCAGGAGTCTGTGCTCGAGGTGAGACTCCATCCTGAAGTCTGACTCAGGATTTCCTGCCAAATATAATTTATAAATGTTTTTACTGACACTTTGAAGAGCTCATTAAAAACCTTAGTGAACAACGTCCGGGTTGTGTTCCAGGTGGTCTGTTTGTGGGTCTGCCGGAGCAGGTTCCCCGGAGCGCCATGCTGACGGAGGCCGACCTGCAGTACTACGTCAGCCAGTACAGAGAGCGAGGCTTCAGGTTGCACACACTGAACAGATACAACTGTAGGATACAGCGCAAGATAGTTAAATAGCAATATAAATATGTGAGGAACTACGGATCAATCAATGCAAAGAAAGCTTCTGAATACACATGGTAAACTAAACTGTACATATGCAGTACTGATATAAAACACATTATCTTTAACAAATATCAGATTCAGGAGTGTCTCTAACACAAGCTCCCTGTTTGTGGAGTCAACTTAAAAAGATAATCAAAGATCATTACACTCCAGTGGGTCAATAATCACCTTTGCATTTGGTTTCACAGGAGGCCGTTGAATTGGTATCGTAACGGAGAGGCGAACTGGAGGTGGATGTGTTCTCGTCCCACTGGAAAGGTCTGTCACAGACGCCAGGGTCAGAAACGAACGTCTGATTAAAAGAAAGTTATAGATACACTAAGGCTGTGTTTCTGCACATACTGGGAAAACCTGGAATTCTGTGAAGCATTTACCAACAACACATTAGCTCCAAATATGGTGGAAAAATATAATAATTTTAATGCTTAATGCCCAAACACTGACCAAAAGGTTTCAGATGTAAAAATGGATCAATTATTGTATTTCCAATAAGTGAAAGAAAAGTTAAATTGTTTAAGCTTCATTGTAACATTACTATTAATTAGTGTTTTCATCAGAGAACTACAACATTGCTGTGGTATCATTTAAGTTTTCTCAGGCTGAAAGAGTGTGTGTGTGTGTGTGTGTGTGTGTGTGTGTGTGTGTGTGTGTGTGTGTGTGTGTGTGTGTGTGTGTGTGTGTGTGTGTGTTAGCTGCTGATGCCTGCACTGATGGTGACGGCGGGTAAAGACCAGGTACTACTGCCAGCCCTCTCCAAGGGAATGGAGGACTTGGTGAGAAAAACATTCATCAATCATTATAGATGATATTGGAAATGAGTCTGATGTCTAAGTTTATTTATTGCAGTTCCAGAACCTGAACAGAGGACACATTGAGGAGTGTGGACACTGGACTCAGATGGAAAGACCAGCTGAGACAAACAGGATCCTGATATCATGGCTTCAAGAAACACACAGGAAGGCTGGAGGTGTTACTGTTTCCCCCAAACTGTGAGCGAGGAAGAAAGAAGGGAGGGAAAGAGGCAGGGAAGGACTGAGTGAAGGAGTTAGGAAGAGAGGTAGCAAGGTAGGGAGGAATAAAGGGAGAGGGAGGAAAAACGGTTGGTTATTTTTCCTTCCTTCTATCTTTCGTTCCAAGGAAGGTAGAAACGAAAAGACAGGAGGGGGGATGGAGGAAGGACAGAAGGGAGGGAGGGAGCAAACGAGGAAGGAAGCCCATCAGTTTATTCAGAGAGAAATAACTTTTACTTCACTACATTTATTTAGCAGTTGTACTTATTTTTCCCATAAAAATACAACGTTGAAGATTAAACGGTGTTTCCTCATTAGTCATTTTCCCTTCAAACTCAAATGAATTCATTTAAAGCTGTAAGATGTAACATTTCCTCATTAAAATGAATGTAAACACTACACCTGTGTTCTGTATGTATTTGAGTGGTGCACTTACTTACTTTGAGGTAGTGGGTTCAAACCCAAAAATAAAGACTAAACTCAGAAACACTTGAACAAAGAAGACACCAGTGGCTCAAGAGTGTGTCACTGAATTTTAAAGACTGACGTTCAGAGGAAAGACTACAAAGCTCTAGAAAGGAGGGTCACAGTACCTCCCTGTGGCTCCAGGTGTACAAAGTTCAATCCCTTTAATGCTTTAAAGGCCTTCAGACATACTTGTTTTCTGAAATATATATATAAATACATTTAAATTATACAATAAGTCACATTTTCAGAACCATAGAATATATATATATATTTGTGTATATATGCAATACAGTACATAAATAGTTCTGTTTCCTAAAAACACTAAATGGTGACCATCAATGTCAAAATTGAAAATGTAATTCTAACATTTTTCCCTCTGAATACTTTAAATCTTTGCAAGCATTTGTTGCTGTGATTGGAAATTATTTCATTAAAACATTATATATTTTTTAAGACTTTATATTAAATATTACTATTCGTGTATTTTTTTTACAATCAGAAATTTAATTTGAAGCTCTTGTAGCTACTAAGGTTACTCAGGTTAGTTCAGAATAAAACATACATTTATATATATTTTTTATTTCCCAAGGGAATATGTAATATGAAAAAAAATATACATATACAGATTTATTCTGTTTGATGGTTGCAGGAGGACTGCTGCTGAGGCTCTGTGGGAACTATGGAAGAGTCTTCAGGTTGATTAGAAATGTAACTGAATCTTATAAATGTTTATTATTGTTGTATGCTTTTTACTTTCTCTGTCAGCTGTGTTGCATGTTAAGACTTTAATTTGTCTCACACTCGTAGATCTGCAGCGTCAGTGGAGGACATCATCTCCTCTGGTAGGATATTTTCCTGGTTGACTATTTAAAGGGTTAGATCCAAAGAAGTAAAGTTTATAGATTATCTGGAAAGAGACATTTCAGATATTTTCAGAAAGACCTGCGTGAGTAAAACTCTTCGAAAAAAATAAATAAAATCAATATGAAATTTATATTCATATTCAATAAATTAATCCCCAAATGTATTACATTTCTTGTCAAGAGTTATGATGAGTTAACAGTAATCAATAACTTATTAAGTGGTGTTTAGTGTTGCAGTTATTCACTCTGACCACTGGAGGGCACTCTTCATCGTACTGAACACTTACATTATTAGATTTAAATTAACAATTTAAATAACAATTACATACAACATGTTCTATGTTAATTAATTATTAAAAAATGTGAGGAAAGTCAACCAAATGTTCAAAATATATCTGCTACAAAATTGGAATTGAGTTTTTACATTTGGTGCAACATAGCAGAAGATTAATAAGGATAAAATATAAAGTAATAAAAAACATGTCTTTCAGCTGCTTATGTTACTCAGGTTAATTTAAAAACTTGAATGTGAAATGTTTTTGACATTGATGGTCACCATTTAGTGTTTTTAGGAAACACTATTATACAATTATTGGAATAATAGTCAGACTTTGTGACCAATTGTATCACATAAAAACTTTTAAATACTAAAACCAAATAGATGTTGTGACATTTGTTGTATCCTGTGAATCGTCTCGAGATTAAAGACAAACTCCACTTTCCAATTTTCTGATTACTGCTCCACAAGAGCAACGTTACAGTGTTTTATCAGTTAGTGATGTGAGACAATGACAGTGAATAATGACCTTAATCAGCGATATTGAAGCAGGAGAAAAGATATAAAGAGAATCATACAGTATTTACATTCTCACACAAACAGCAGCTTCGTCTTTGTTGTTCGAGAGGCTGTTCGCTTGTCGCTTTCACTGAATGCTCATCAACAGGTGGCGTTGATTTCCTCTGACAATAACAGCAGGAAAACAACAACAACAACTGTTTATTGTTTGTGTGGCCGTTCAGCCTCTGACTGACCTTATAACTCTCAATAAACTCCAGTTCTTCGTCTTTTCTTCTCTCCACTCTCTCTCCTTCTTCCTCTCGTCCTCCACACGTCTTCATGAAGCAGGTTCATGTATCCGGAATGATCGGGAGCGAAGTCGCGCCTGAGCAGCCAGGAAGAGAGTCTCTAACATGGTGGAGAGTCACTGCCACACTAGGAGGGATTTGGGAATACCAAAGTGGGCAAAGAGGAAACAACAAAACTTTTTGGAAGCGTGTTTTATATTAGGCTTTATTCATATAATCTTTAAATGGTTTATATGTCCAATGTAAACATTGATTGAGGGATGGGCTCAAGCATTGTGCTCACTCTGGAAGTGACTATTTATGTTCAGTATACAGTAATGTAATTTCTCTTTAAAAGCATTCATAACCCTCTCTGACATCACTTTATTTTTACTTCCTCAGCATAAAGAATACTTATCTCTGGAGCAAAAGCTGGGTCTTGCATACAGTTGGTATCAAAACGTATCGAACTGATTAAGAAGGCCAGCTCTGTCGCTGGACTCCTTCACCCCAAATGTGTGAAGGAGAGATATCGTAGGTCCTTCCTTCCTGCTGCTGTCAGACTGTTTAACAACCAGCACTGCTCCCAGTAAACCCCCCCCATCTCGGCATCAATAATAATAATAATAATGTGCAATAATTACTGTGCAATCTATTGCCCATGTGACATCTATGATTGTCACCTGAAAGTTCCTTTGAAATATTATTACAGAGTCATTCTTCTCTACATTGAACTAAACATAATCCCAGATTACAGGTATCATAAAATACACTGATGCAGTTAGTGAGTGTCAGCTCTCTGAATTTGCATGGAAATGTGCCATATGGCTTTGTCTACAGCCCAGTCCAGAATACACTTCTGTGTTAATTCCCCTCATGAAAGCATGTATAAACACCATCTCTTGAATCCCCTTTTAAACATTTTTATTTCATTTTTTTGTATAAAAAGCATGCAATGAAAAGTAATTGCACCAGAGTTAATTCAGCTAATTCACATCTGTTATCCCTGGACAGGTAGACAAAAAATTACCACATAACAGTCAATACACTACATAAAAAAAGATAAAATATAAAAGTCCATCAGTGTGAGAATATAAATAGAACAAAAATCGCATTATGTATTATTGCAAAAGGGTCTCATGTCCGTCATCTGCTTCCCGTTCATTGTCTTTCATTTGAGGTCACATACAAAAAACATCACATATATACCGGAAACTACAGTAAGTAGCTGTTTTTAGCAATCAAGCTCCAACAAATCAACTGCACAGCAACAAATATCAGATGAACTGATAAATAAAAGTGTAGCATTTGGCAAAGACAACATTTATTTTTTTCCCAGCAGGCCAGTAAATATTAAGCAGGCACATCAACACATTAGCCATAAAATAACAAATACACCGGCAAAGCAAGTTTTGCAACCCCATTTTTTGTCAGTAAGTAATATCTCTATTATACAAAAGTAATGTTTGTGAGCACTACCTACTTCCAAGACCATTCTGTGTCTGTCTGGTTGCTGGCACACATTGATGACTTTAGGAATAAAACAAGTTGAACAGCTGAACAGTGGTAGAAAAACATGCACTCACAAAACTATGGAAGCAGGAAGCAAAGTGTCAACAAGCTCTCTCATCACCTGCGAGTCACAGTTTTGGAACCACATTTGAGATCAGGGTCGTGTATTCTCTGCCACATAAGAAACATGTGAGCTGAAAGGAATCTGTGTACCAGTAAAACTTCTTTATAAAAGCAAGGGTCATATTCATCATGTTTGCTGGAGGGAATGTACAATCCTGCTGTCTTCACACCCATATGGGATTCAGGACCAAGTCCGGCTTTGGCCAGACACATCCCCATGTAAACATCATCAATGGGAAGAATGGTAATGGAATGAGACATATTGTATATGACCAAAGCTGTATAGCCAGACAACAGGAAGCCCCCACCACCACAGTAGGGGGGATATGATTCTGACTCCTGTACCTGAACTGGGATAAAATACTTGCTCCCTGAGGATCTGATGGGCCCCACATTCTGGATGAGATGGCCAGTAAAGAGGTGTTTGCTTCCATTGTTATCCTTGAGGCCTTGGAGATACTCGACCATGTTGTCTGTGTTAGCAAAGACATCATCGTCACCATTCATCAGGAATCGAGCGTTGGGACAGTTTCTTTCCATCCATTCCAGGAAGAGTATCTGCTTCAAGGTGAGGTTGTAGAACGTGTCATTAAAGTCCCACTGGAGGATGTCATTGTACTCACGTTGCTCCAGCTTGAGGAGTTTGTTCAGCCTCTTTTTCTCAAAACCAGAATCTGTTGTTCCTGAGATGAAGATCCTTCGGATCCACACACCATTTTGTAACCTCTCTTTGGCCCATGTTTTCCGCAGCACCTCTCGACGGTCGTAGTTCCTGGGGGAGCTTTTAATGACCAGCAGAAGGAAGACATCTGCTGATTTATCAGCTCCTCCACATTTGTCAGGAATGTCCAGTCGGACGGGGAAATGGCGACAGTGTTGATGGTAGAGAAAGTCTTTAATGTAATCAGGAAGAGAGCTGAAGCCTGTGATGTTGGCAGCAGACATATTTTGTTGACATCTTGGCCAGGAGTATACATAGGAGTTGTTTTTGATTGATTCTCTTGTTGGACCATCACCGTCTCTCACATTTACATGGTACAGGTGGATCATTTCGTGGTCAAGAAAATCTTTACAGAGATGGAGGACCAACAGACCAAGAGCTCCTGTCAGCAAGAAAAAGGTTGCTGCTTTGACGTTTGTCATTCTTAAAACTCTGCAGTGAAAAAACAAAACAGAACATCCTATTATGACAGCAACTGGTAAGACTAGTTTGTTTTTAAATAAAAGCAAATCACTGTCACACCACACCGGTTTTTACGACTAGTGTCAGTCCCGCCAGGATATAAGGCTTTTATTTGTAGCGGCCTATTCAAATGCCTATATTCATGGCAGCTTTTCTAAAAACAATTGTGCTGCGTTGTGAGCTTTTTACGGATTTTTTTGCATGAAATTGTGGGAGAAAAGTGAAAATTGCAGAAGGCGTCGCACAAGTCTGCATCTTCACAACTAGGAAAGAAGGAAGTAAGTTTGGTGCATAGAAAACTTCAATGATTGGCCAAATTTTAAGTTGCTGTTGTAGGACAGGATTGCAAGAATTCACACGAATTGGTTGAATTTGCGTTAATTGTTGCTATCGCAACATCACAACTTCCTGGAGGGATTACATATTATACCTTTAAGTGCCCCGGTAAGCCCTGTCAGTAAGTGAGCATGCACAAAGCCAGAGCAGTGAAACTGTCTAACCTAAATGAAATGTAGCCATCAAATTCCGCCCGTTTGCTTTGACAAGTCAAAGTGTCTGCTGTGAAAAGGATCTGTTGTACTTCATCCCCATAGTAGCCATTTCATTGTATTGTAAAGTGAGCTATTGAGACCTCGGGGATAATCACAGCATCATGAAACTGTACAACAACAAACCAGAGACTGAGGGCCTCCAGAGGATGGACATCACTGATTTCTCACCATAATTTAGTTGTACAAAAACTGTAGTCTAAGCTGAGATTGAAAGGAAGTTGAAAACGTTCACTAGTGTATTACATCATCCAATGCTGAATGCTCCTCCTCCACTTCAAAACCCCTTCTGGCACCACTGCCCTCAGGCAGTGAGAGTAATTATGCAGATGTAACAGACTGTGTTTGACGTGTGTTTCTGTATTTGACGGAGTGTGTCCCCTCAGATATGGAAACACAGCAAACACAGGATAGTCAGTTACAAAAACCCAAAACACACAAGAATTTGAATTCAACCGTATGTTGTTAGTGCAGGGGGACTGACTTATACAGGGGTAGCATGAAGTATGTGTCTTAGCTTTCCAGTCATTAGAAATGTCTGCAATTCCAATAGTGTTTATTCAGAAATATTCAAATACACATACAAAGTTAAAAAAAAACAGCATTGTTTTTGCACAAAACTGCATAGGATTAGCATAAAGTGAGCATGTCTGCAAAGCGGAGACTCATAGGTACCCATTGAACTTTTTTTCATTCTTGAGGTCTCTTCTTGAGGTAAGGTAAGGTTTGAAAATGGCCAAGCCAGTTTTTGAGAATTGATCATTCTAAGTATATTTTCTTATCTGACCATTCTTTTCCAAATCATCTTAATAGGTCGTGCAGTTTTTTTCCTAAAAAAAATCATGTCACTGCTTAAGCATTGCCCCAATGAATCCAGGCAGAGAGAGGAGCTTGTCTTACCGTCTGGAAGATGAAGCTTTGCAGATGTAGGTTGGTGTTGAGCCCTTCTGGATGTTTCAGCTGTTGGGCTGGTCCCTGCTGTGTGTCTTTATCTGTCTCACTACAGGTTCTTCTGCATCACGCCCCTGAACAGAGATGCAAATTTTACATTCTCAAGAAGTTTTCACTCCCCAAACTGGCTTTTTACCTTAAGCAGTTTGTTCTGTAAATGTACTTGTCTCAGTAATTATTTGTGTCCCTGTGCTGCTGCCACACCAACATTTCTCCTCTGAGGATCAATGAAGCCTGATCTTCAGATCCAGTTATTGATTTATATCCACTGCTAATACACACACAATCTTTATATGTCCCACTTTACTCTGCTATTTTCATATGTAGGTGTGTGGAAATGAAAAATAATCTGGATTTATTCTGCAGATTGGAGTAATGTGTTATTTTTAATAGTTGCATTTGGGTTTGACCCTTTCCTGTATGCCATTTTAAAAATGGAATTGAAAATGAATAATTAATAAAACAAGGTTTTAAAAACAACCTTCTGCTTCTGAAGAACCTGCTTGACAGAAAACGACAGCAGTGTCTCTGAAATCCCCTCAGGGTAGAAGGTAGACAGTGACAGAATGTGGTCCTGGTGCATTTTAAGAGCAGTTATGGCGCCTTAAGCTAATTTCTGCCCGGAGGCTGTCCTACCTCTTCCTATCACACAGTCACACCTGACACCCCAGTGTCACTACAATCATCCCTCCTTTAATATCCACAGTGGAGTTTCTCATTTCCTTTATAGCACTTAAAGCACAAATCTACAGATTTCTTTCAAATGGGTCAAAGTATAAGGATACAAAGCAAGTTTTCTTAACATGCTTTGTTTAGTGGTTAGTTACAAGGGATTGCTCTTCTAGATTAACAGGTTAGATACTTCATTTACATAAATCACTCTGGTCAAAGTCAGGATTTAAAAGAAAACAAAAAAAGAGGCTAAAATGGTGTTTTTTAAACATTTTCCATATGAATGAATTCCCAAGTTTATCAAGACATTTTGCAGGAGAACTTAAGGCCACCTGTCCACCAATTGAAGCTCAACATAAGATAGGTGATGCAACAGGACAACGACCCAAAGCACAGAAGTAAATCAACAACAGAATGGTTTCAACAGAAGAAAATACGCCTTCTGGAGTGGCCCAGTCAGAGTCCTGACCTCAATCCGATTGAGATGCTGTGGCATGACCTCAAGAGAGAGATTCACACCAGACATCCCAAGAATATTGCTGAATTGAAACAGTTTTGTAAAGAGGAATGGTCCAAAATTCCTCCTGACCACTGTGCAGGTCTGATCTGCAACTACAAGAAACGTTTGGTTGAGGTTATTGCTGCCAAAGGAGGGTCAACCAGTTATTAAATCCAAGGGTTCACACACTTTTTCCACCCTGCACTGTGAATGTTTACATGGTGTGTTCAATAAAAACATGAAAACATATAATTGTTTGTGTGGTATTAGTTTAAGGAGACTGTGTTTGTCTATTGTTGTGACTTAGATGAAGACCAGAACACATTTTATGACCAAAAGGTTCACCAGGGTACTTTTTCTTGCAACTGTATACGCCAAATGTTCACAAGGATGTACATCGATAAGGGCTGTATTAAAGGCTGAAGTTGGTCCAGGAAGAGATGCATGTTGGAGGTCTGCTATTTTCAAAGAGGGCAGAATGCTGATAAAGACATAATAAGAACACAAAACAGAATATGTATTATGTGTTCCCGAATAGTAAGAGAAATCCCTTTGGTGTGGATGATGGGCTCGCCATACTTCAGTTATATGTCTTTCATACCTTGATTTAGTCCTGTGGCAGTTTTTGATAGAGAGGCTGATTTGGGTCATGAACAATCTATTAGAGGGTTTAAAACTAAATTGAAGTCACCACCTATAATACACTGACCCTCAACCGTGGCAAGCTTCAAAATCAGATAATTGAAGAATATTGGGTCATCGTAGTTGGGACCATATACATTAACCAGGGTTACTTCATATTTGTTAAGCAATCTACCAGCAGAAATCTACTGTCTCTATCTTTTTCAATTTAATTTAAATATTTATTAATAAGTAAGGCTAAACCTCTCGCCTTAGAAGAATAGGAACAGCAAAAAACATTTCCCACCCAGTCCATATGCAGTTTCATATGCTCTGCATTGCTAAGATGGCTCTCTTGAATAAAGGCGATATCTACAGTCTGTCTCTTTAAATATGTATATTTTTCCTCTTAATTGGTGAGTGACCCCTCTAATATTCCATTTAATGCATTTCAATTGACACAGAATATTATGTAAAGTCTCTAAATGAAGATTTCAGCAGGATAGAAATTATACGAAAGAAAATTCCCACTTTTGTTTTAGTGGTGGTAAAACATCAGTGGTGGGAGTCGACCTGGACCAGAAAGTGGTATTGATATTTACATTTGTGTATGAAAAATCCTTAGGTTTGATGAGAAACCATACAAAACCCCAAAACAAAAAACAAAAAAACCTGCCTAGTAGAACCCCAATAACAAAACAACATTAGGTAGGTACTTTCTTTAACAACAATGGTGGCTGGCAACTGCTGGGAAATGGTTTGCCACATTTATCAGTTTGTACAACGTCAAACTGCATCACTAGATTACCTACATTACATGAACTCCCACAATATTGTAAGTGTTAATGCACCGCCCTGGGCTGTTTAATGAGCAATAGCTCATGCAACAGTAGGTTAAGGAAAGGCAGTCTCACCAACAGTCAGTTCAGATTATATTATATATCTCTTTCTATTTGGGACTTTATTTGTAGTAACAAGCGTCTATATAAATGAGAGGTGTGGTGATCATTCACTTGTTAATATTACTCACTTTAGTTGTTTCAGGAAGCTTTGTACTTCGGCCAGAGTAGAGGAAAACTTGAGTGATCCCTGGTGCCTGATGTAGAGCAGAGTGTAATCCACCTCTTTTTCTGGTAGCATCCTCTGTGAACGCATCTCTCCTGCGCTGCAGATCCGCGCTGCACTGTTGATAAAATGATATCCTCTTGTTCTCATATGTGATCTCTGCCTTGCTTCTGGCGAGCTGGAGGACTTTCTCTTTGTCTCTGAAGTTCAGGAACTTGGCGAGGATTGTCCTCGGCCTCTCAGACATTTTTCCGATGCTGTGTGCTCTCTCCAAAGTAACGGTGAGGGTGAAGGTGTCGTTGCCCAGTAGTTGTTTATGAACCACTCCAAAAATCCCACCATATCTCGGCCTTCTGGTTTTTCTGGTACGTTTAGTATTCTTCAGATCATCCGTTTAATCTTTAGGATGAGACATTAGTTTCTCCATCTTGTCAACGCTTGTATCTTTAATGTTGTCCTCGTTTGCGCCCACAGGTGTCTCCATCTCCTGCACCTGATCCGACAGCGTGGAGAGTGAGGCCTCTATTTTAGTCAATGTGGTTTGAATGTCGGATGTTTTTTTTCTCAGTATATTTGATGAGGTCTTTTTTTAGTTTCCTGAATAGCCCCGAGCAGTTTATTAAGGGACATATCTGGTCTAGTGTGTAAGTGACTTAAGGTCGGAAGTTACAGCTTGCAATGCAAAAAATGTGCCTAATGTTTTAATCTCTTGTGTGCACATGTACATTGTGGATAAATGAAACAGGATGAGGGGAGTTGCCAGAGGCTACCACCGAGAGCTCACTCCTTGGCTGCATCCAAGTCCTTTAAATATTATAACTTTAAAGTGAATTATCTCAACCACATAAAACTGTAGGAGTTATAACGTCCATCAGATGAGTTTATTGCCCTTTGTTATTATTTAAAGGTACAATACATTTGACATCATGTGAAATACATAAAGTTGGGAGTCAGCCAGCTGAAATACAAAATGTCAACTAGTAAACACCAAACTCCATTGACAAAACAGTTCATTTAAACACAGTGCAACAGTATGACCTGTGTGGGGCGTTATCATAGTATTGAGGTACAGTAAATTAACTGTTGTCACAGGGTTTTAAACATGAACCCAACATGAGCTTATGAACACTGTCTTCAGTTTATATTTATAACCAGTTTGGATTCAAAACAGCACTTCATGTACAACCATTACAACAAACGTCCTGTTCTGCCTTGGTAGTTTGGTTTGCAAGTCAGTTGTGATGTCTTTGTTTTAAGCAGCAGCTGCAGCAGCAGCAGCCTATACACTATACGGAAGAGGACAAACACAGCTCAATAACTTTTTGTTTTAAAGAAGATTCTGGCAACAAATAGTGTCATACCTGGGGGAAGGTTTTTTTGTTATTTGCCTCTAGTGTGTCAGTTATGAAGACAATATTGCTTCACTTTTTTAAATGTCAGGCACATACAGTCTCAGCAGTAATAATAAAGCTCACAACCAGGGATGGAAGAGCATTATTACAATCATTTTAAAATCACAAAAATATGAGAGAGGCCCAATTCAAAATGCTGACACACTGAGATGTTTGAATTAATTTGCAAAAGCATATTATTACTGCATGTGACCTTGAATTATTGTGAAAGATATCCAATTAAAAACTTTACATCAGTTTAGGTTTAACATACAAAGAGCAAAGTTGTAGATTAACAGCAGATTTCAATTTTAGATCTAAATTTGAAGCAGTTGACCTTTTCTGTTGCTCAATTTCCTGCATCACCAAAATGTTGTCCCTTCATTAAGAGGCCTCTGGCTTTTCTATTGTTACACCATCTAAGAAATCAAAAGCCATGATATTTAAAAAATAGGCTCTGTCATCCTCTGAATCCCCAAATAAGCTACAATGTCAGTGACAGTTTTTGCTGTGAATGGTTTAAAAAAAAAAAAAGAACCGTTAGCATTAAGAGATGGCACAGAGAACATCACATCGATAAAAACAGTGTCTGCATCAAAACGACTGTCTGGGATAAAGCATAAATTTACCTTTTGCAATCATTGTTTCACAGATAAACAGATTTTAAGACCTTCAAATGGTGGTGAGAAATGTGTTGACTTCTCTCCCTGTCTGCAATGAACACTGTGTTATCCACAACAATACAATCAAAATGCAAACTCTTTCCTTCTTTTCACTGGATGTCAGCCACCACTCTGTCCACACTGTTACAAAAAGAAGGATTTATAGCTTTGATTGTTGTCCATAACACCACAAACCACAATATGATTACATTTTGAAGAAATGTGAAAACTATATTGAAAACTGGAACCTGAATCACACAAAAGGCTCTCAGATTCAGTTTCTCTGCCTGGTTTTGATTGAGGGTGCTATTATTTACTTTTTTTTGTAGTCTCTGTTAAATCTGGGAAGCTAATGTAACTTTAAAAGAGCCTTCCACACCAAGAAAGATAACTATAACAATAACTATATTGTTTGAAAAATCGTTCGCCAAGTCCACACAACAACTACGTTGACAATGACGACCCTATTCAGCTACAGACAGTTCACGCAGGAGGTTTATTCCCAATAAGACAACTATTTAGTGTTGACTGTTGATGAATCCTGAATGGGACCAGTTCAAGAACCAGAGTTGAATTGGTAAAAAGGTGGTCCTCCTAGTCCATACTTCTCTTCCCAGTAGTTCCTGTTTAGAGCCACGATTTCAGTGTTTTTGAAACACTGATCTTACCCCCACTTACGGTCCCACCATCACATTTAAGCTCTTAACTTATCTTGTGTGTATTTGCATGAATGTGACTAGATAGCAGGCTGATGCTGAAACAAAATATTACAGGAACTATTACCAGTGTGGATGCTCACATTGTAATCATTATAATTATTGTTCGCAGTGTGGACGGCCCTTAACAGTCCAAGAGAGCATCTGGAAAACGTGTGCTTTAAAGTCAACGATTCAGTCGAAGCTTGTGTTAATCAGTTTTGTATCATTAAAGTTTTCAGTGTCAGTCGTGGTGAGGAGCTGTTTTATTGTATTCGGCTGCCAGCTGGTGTAAGAGGAGAATATTAGTATCATTTAGAGTTAGAGCGAAGTCAGTTTACATTCATGCTTTATGATGTGCATGATTTGTTTTGTATAAATACAGTATCAAACCTAGCTGCAAACTAGACCCTATGGTTCCTGTAGAAAAGCTCTTTATCAGAGGTGGGAAAGTTAACCAGACGTGCATTTGCCCAACCAACCAGTTAGTCTTTCATCAAGTCTTTTCTCTTGTAAAACCGGAAATACTGTTTGAAAACACTTCTGATAAAGCAAAAATGTCACCTAAATCTCAACAAGTATGTTTTGGATTAAACAAACCAGCTGTAAACATACTGCTGTCTCAGACCATAAAAGGTTTGTCAGTTTCGTAAAGCAACATGCTGTTTGGATATTATTTCGTTGCTATGTCCGTTCCTTCATGTAAGTGTCAGGTAAATGACAAGAAGGAAAAAGATCTGAATCACTGAAGGCTAAAAGGGAACTTTCCTTTTTAGTCTTCATGTGATGGATTGTCTCGATCTGAAAAAAGTTGTTTTTCATGCTGAAAAACTGATTCTTCTGTAGGAAGAAAATGAGGTCCAGTATGTCTCTGTGAGCAGAGAAACCAGAGAACAAATCATTACCATTGGCACTAAAAAGAAAAAAGTAGTGTGAAGCTTGAATGTCCTCCAAGGTAACAGCGTCACCTACGTCAGGTTTCTCCACAGGAAGTCATACACTGGACGGTATGAAGTGGCTCATCTCTGGCAGTATATCTGACAATATTCACATGTGTAGCTTCATGATCCGTTGATACGAGGCCAGTAGTAGGTCACTAAAAGGGCAAAGTGTGTGTGTGTGTGTGTGTGTGTGTGTGTGTCTCAGACAGAGAGGGGAAGGTGGCCTCGTCTGCATTACAGCAGCAGATGGAGCTGTCAGCAACCTGTTGATATGATCTTCCCATTGGCTGCTGCACACATCACCCTGAAGCCTCGATGACCCTGGCCCCTGTGATTGGCTGTGATGGTAGGTGGGGTGGCAGCACGCAGATCACTAAGGAAGTAACGCCACGCTCGTCTTAAGTGATCTTCTCATGCTGGATCTGATAGTAACAAGCCTGCAGGTGGAGAAGAAACACCAATAAAACACAAGCGTTACAGTAATATGTGCAGTTTTTAGATTAACATCCACCTTCAACTCAGAATTGTCTGTTTTGAAATTTATTCATTCTGATTTTCTGACTTCAGTTAGTTGTAGTGTAAACTGTTAAATGAAGCATTGTCATGCGTGTGTGTGTGTTACCTTCAGTGTGGTGAACATGATGCCATGCTCTCCGTGCTGAACACAGGGGTCCATCAGGTCTTCGATCAGGCTGACCTCTGACCCCAAGTTCCTGATTCTGAGGAAAAAAAATTTTGTCAAATAATTTCAGAAATGAGCAATAATCGTTATTTCTGTACTTTTCCTGATTTATCTTAATTTCCATTGCTAAAAAAACTAAAACCAATTATATTAATTTTAGGGCACAAACAATTATTTTTATTGGCAATTAATCTGCTGTTTGTACTTCAATTAACTGATTATTAATTCTTTCTACAAATGAAGGATGTCTTCAAATCTGACGAACAGCCTATTACGCAAAGATATTCAGTTTGTGTTATGTTTATGTTATGTATGTATTCGTACATAAATAATGCATATGTGCAACAAAGACAAGCATCAAGTTTGGCATTTTTGTTTTAAAATTGACAATAATTGCCAAATAATTTCCTTCAATGGACTAATCGATTAATTGTCTACTTAAAGCATTTAATACAAAGTTTGTTGAGTTCTTTTTAATTGTTTGGTTAAAGCAGGTGTTACCTCCGAGCTCACACTTTGTGCTCCAAAACAACTTTTTCATTTCTATCAACATTCACTCTTGACCTACAATAAGAGAATAAGCTCTCTGTCACCTCATCATCATAACATGTGTGTAAATGTGCGTATGAGTGTTTGATTGGGTTTGGTTTGGGGCTGACCGTGCACGCAGCACCACGTAGAGGAAGACAGGGAAAAGGTCGTCCATCGACCACAAGAAGTCCTGCTTGAGGAGCGACTGAACCTCCTGCGTGATCTCCTCAAAGGTGAGTTGGATCACCTGCAACTTATCTGATGGGGTGAAAGTTGTGCTGCAAACAAACAAGGAAACATTATTTAAATAAATCTAAAATAGCTGCCAAAATCAACACTGGCACACCTTGAACCGTGTGTGCAAACAAAGGGTGTACTCCTCTGTTATTGGAGTTACATTTTTGGCTGAAACTGTAGTTTGTTTTTACAATCAAATGTATTTTGTGCTTATTTCAGATGTTTAACAGAAATGCACCTGATCTGTTGCAGTGTTTCCACTGCAGAGGCAAAGCAGGCGTCTTTGGTGCTGGAGAGGACCTGGAGGAGACACATGCCAGAACAAACTGTGTTTACATCTTTCTACTCATCATGGTCAGACTTTTATATATCCTATTTTTGGTTCACTGAACAAGATGCATTAGGCTGTGTTGAGTTAGCCGGGGATACTGAATGATCCGGCATCTACCTCACGACCAATGTGACAAGAGATTAAATAGTTGGACAACTTAATCACTTAAAATGTGAAATCTTGCAGTATTATAAACAGCTGTGTAGACTTATGTCGTCTGGAAAGCTTCCAAACTTAGGGATCTGTTGCTCAAATTCTCAAACTAAACCATACCGGTTGCTTCTCCCCGAGTGCAGGCATGGAGTCGGAAATGGAAACAGGCCAAAACTTTCTGTAGGAAAAAAACAGAGGGATTAACTGTTTTATTGCACAACATGAAATAAAGCAAGACTCTTTTTTTTTTTTTTATTGGCCTGTGTGTGACATACTGCTGAACGCCCAGGAAGGCGAGCAGTGCCAAGTCAGGCTGCTTGTTGAGGCGGAGGACACACTCCCAGTAGACGTCGTCCTCTCTCTCCTTGTCCAGAGCATAGAGGGTAAAGAGTGGTGGGTAGAGACGAGGGAGCAGGACGGGAAGCAGCAGAGCCGAGCTGCTCACCACACGGCTGAGGAGACACACAAGAGAAGGTAGTGTGATCCAACTGACCAATGAGGAGCACCAAAGCTTCAAGGGGACATTGCACGATCTTTACCCAGGTTTAGGTGACTCTAGAGAGGCATCGGTTGAGCCTGGCTCCTTCTTGTCCTGAAGGCTGGTAGTCGGCTCTGGAATTAGACCACCCTCTTCTGGCAGGTCTGGAAATAGAAACCTACATACAAATGAACAACAGAAAGTCTGCATCAATCCCTCCATCTATATCCATTTTGTACATTCATCATCAATGAAGCTATGGGCAGATGGTTACTGTCCTGTATGTGAACTACCTGACGATTTGGAAGATGCGGTTGAGGTAAGATTTGATCTCGTTGACAGCCTGAGGCAGCAGCCGACGATTTGCTCCAACGCCCACATAGGTCATGCGGTAGACAGCCACCAGGGTTTCCACCAGCCGGCCCAGGGGGTGGAGGGGCGTGTCACACGCCTGGAGGAAGTAAAGAATTTGGGGGAAATATTTTTTTTACTTGCCAAAATAATTCCAGTGTTGAAGAACATGTTGATTATACAATATCACTGTTTACACATAATGGGTGATCTTAAAAACCAACCAATCACCACAGAATGGACCTAAACTCACTGCTTTCAGTCCAATATGAACATATACATTCAACCTCACAGAAATATTTCAGGGTAAAAATCTTTAAAAATTTGTTAAAATCAAAAACAATTTAGTTTTTTTCAGAAAGAGCTATTTGATGTACCTTGTTTGTCGGCACTGTAAACAAGATGCACCAGTGGCTCTTTTCTTGAAATCTTAAGGATTCTAACTTTGAGTTTATGCTGACCTCAGTGAAATGTGTTTTTGAAAGTGTGTTTGGTGGGTTTACCTTGAGGAGGTAGAGGCGGATGGTGTGATACCTCTCCATGTTGATCAGCCCAACGTGCTGCGGGATAACCTCCAGACTCTCCAAGGTTCTGCTGTGACTTCGAGACAACATCTCCGGACTGGGACACACACAAAACAGCATTAAAACATTAGAAATTGAAAATCTCAATAGTAATGAGTTAAAACACTTACATCACCCTTCAGTCAGCCATAACTTGGTAATTTGGCTACTTTCACTTGTGAACAGGAAAAATCCAAAGACATGTACCTGTCCTCGATGTGGCGTCGGCTGGTGGTGAGGGCCACGGCGATGTTCTCCCAGGCCTTCCAGTTATCACCTTGGCCCGGCACCTCGCAGCCCAGCTGACTCCAACACTCCTCAAACACTGCCCGCCACTTATCCTCCGCACACACACACATACGCCCCAGCTTCCTGCCACATCACACACAAAGTACATAAAGTGTAAAGGTAATGGAAACATAATAAAAAGTCTAAATTATGGTTTGTTTCCCTGTACATTTCAGACACTCTGTGAGCTTACACAGGGCGGGTCTTGTCCTTGTCGGTGTCGAACAGGTGTGGTTTGAAGTAGGACCCTGCCACTTTGAGGCCAGAGCCCCATTCGCCACTGAAGGAGCCCTCCAGGTAGTCACCGTTAGCCATGGTAAGCACGCCCTGAGGGGAAGCCAATCAGTAAATTAAACTACACTGATGCACGTTCTACTTACATGCTAATACTTTTAAGTATTTTGTATTACTTGCACATTTAGCAATATAGCATATTGTTATATTCTTATTATTGTTGCATCTGTAATTTGGAATTAAAATCAATCAATTTAAGATAATCGACAAGCTTATAATAAAAGTACAATTGTTAAGACTAAAACAATTTGACACAAGAAATGCAAATACTAAAAATGTAATAATATCAAACAAAATATAAAAAAACATTTAAAAGACTAAAACAGTGTTTAAAGATATCAACACTTATTTGGGCAAACAGGAGAACATATAGTAGTCTAAAATATAAAAACTTTGAATGTTCATTAGTCACCTTTCCATTGAGGGTCCAGTCGTCAGAGAATTCCCCCTCGTAGGTGGTGTCGTCCTCTGACAGGAGGATCCCAGTGCCCTGATGAAATAGAAAATACCTCCCTTCAGTTCCTTAATTTCTCCTAATTCTTTCCATTTCTTCCCTAACTTGTTTATCTGAACCTTTTCTAATGTTGTATACACCCACAAAAAGTATATGTAAAGCATAAACCAGCTCCTATACATACAAGAGTGACATATATTATGACTTTAAAGATATAATATGAAACATTTATGCATTAAAATGTCTATAACCACCAGACCACCCAATGTTCTTTATGTAGTTTAGATGTGTAAATGTTTTCAACAATGTTCAAACTCAAAGAAATCAGTAATTGTTTTGGTAACGCTGCGCTTTTGGAGAGGAGGAGACCTCTGTGGATAATTCAGCTCCCTGACCGCACTGACAGCAATGATGGTGAAGACCAACTTTTGTTATAATTTTTACGTCAGAGAAATTACATATTGTACGTTTAACTGTCTCACAATATGTCTTAACATTCCTAAACCCTATTGGTTATAACAACACACACACAAAATGTGAGCAAAATCAAATACAGAAGTGCTCACCATCATCTTATTGTCTTTAAAGGCTCCTTCATAGTACAGGCCAAACTGAGTGACGACGACCCCGGTGCCCTGCCGCAGGTGGTCCTGCCACATACCCATGTACTTCTCCCCCCTGGACAGAAAACAGACAGTTAGATTAAGCTGTATCATAGAAAACATTACTAGGTCCGATCTCATTAGATCGTTGTTGCAACATTTGTCAAACATATCTGACAGAGCGTACTTTGTGATATCATCGAAGACGCCATAGCCGGTCTTTTTGTCCTGCAGCCACTGGCCAATAAAGACACTGGGGGAGGAGGTGTTGAGCTTGCCACTGCGCAGAATGCCGTGGCCGTGTCGCATGCTGTCCTGGAAGGATCCATCATAAACTTCTCCACTAGCATACCTGCAGACAGATGGAGGGAGGAAAGTTATTCTGTTCTTACAAACAGCTTTGTCTACTGCTGAGGAGTGCTTAAATCGTGTTGTGTGAAGTTATTTAGTTAGTTAGTTGTAGTTATTTTAGTTTATTTTTATATATTTTAAATTATACTATTTGTTGATTCTGTGTTCCTACTGATTGTCCTCATCATTGTCCTGTCCCACAACATGGACAATAAAGTTCCTAAACTCAATTATTTGCATACACACTCACCTGTATGTCCCCAGGCCGTGCATCTTGCCATCTTTCCAGTGACCCTGATAGTGGTCGTTCTTGTTGAGTGTCTTAATGGGAGCGACAAACTCACCAAAGCTAAACAAACACATAAATACACGAGAATGATAAAGAAACAGCAGGTAAAAATCACCTGATTTATGAAAGAATGACGTATGTGACATTAGTGGCCAGCACTCACCCATCTTCCAGTCCGTTCTTGAACGTCCCTGTGTATATTCTCCCATCAGGCCATTTTAACACTCCCCTGGAAACATAATTAATCTCAATGATTAATACTTTAATATTAATATTTAATACTTTAAATATTCTATTGAAAGGCAGAGAGCGTGAATCCAACCTGCCGTTGGGCTTCCCGGCGAGCCAGCGTCCTTCATACGTTGCCTCTTTCAGCCGTCCGTCCTTATAAAAAGTGTAGGATGCTGTCCTGGAGATGGGAGGCTCCAACTTTTGCCCCGACCCCGAGCTGACTGCCGCAGTGTCTTGCCCTGCCCCACTTAGGGCCTGGTCCACCGCCTGGTTGATGGAGCGAAGCCACTTGGCCTACGAACCAAGAAATGCACATGATAACACAGCCGGGTCCAGTTCATTTGAGTTGCAACAAATGTAAACGCAGTTTTAAGCAGCATTAAAAGACCTACCTTCTCCATGGGAGAGGAGGCCAGCAGGGTGAACGTCTCCTCTGGTGTGATCACCTTTAAGCCATATCTGCACAGATACACATAAACACTATTTACACCAGACATTGGCTCACAAAAAAAGGAAGAATAAAGAAAGAAAGGAAGTAAGGACAGAAAGAAAGTCAGAAGGAAGTAAAAAAAAAAAAGAAATAAAGAAGGAAGAAAGGTGAAGCAGGAAGTAAAATTAATTAAAATAAAAAATCTAAAAAAGACAAGTAAAGAAGGAAGTAAGGAATATAGAACAATAATATACAACAAATAATATATACAGTATTGAACAATAATACAATTCTGCATTAATATGGTTTCAGGCAGACAGATGATAGACACCTTCTAGGCGGCACAGGAAAAACAAACCAACAGTCCGATGAAACGGAAACGTATTGTTTTTGAATTTATGTCACAATGTCACAAACTCCTTATGGCAGTTTTCTTGCTCTAATCATATAATTGCGAGCGTTGTTGCAGCAAAATTATTAGTTACTCAATGTCCAGATTGGCCATGTTTTCTCCTTGTGCGAGGAAGCTAAAAAAAACCAAAACAAAACAAAAGAACTACTAAAACAATACCCAGTTTGCCATCTACGGTCTGCCTGAATCCATGTGAATGCAGAATAAGACTGAGACAGTGACATTCACATGTTAAGACACAGGTAGGAAACAGATTAAAGATTTAGTTTAAATTACTTAACACCACAAAATTATATATTAAGGAAATGGCATTCAGCTATACACATTATACAGGGGATATCTATCTTGTATGCAATATAGAAAATATATCTCTAACAAGGGCAGTGACGTCTCTTTCGGCTCAACCAAAAGAAAAAATGGACCGTGTGTGCCCTGACCGTAGCCCAATATCTAGGTACAAAAATAGGCACAAAATATATAAATATACAAGGGTGAACTATTAGTCATTTTCATTGAAGACTGAATTGTTTGCGATCTGTAGATGCCACTAAATTCTACACACTGGTCCTTTAAGTAACAATTAATACAATATGTAAAAAACATAAGCACATAGTTAAAAGTTATCTTTCAGTATTATTCCACAGAAAACCTGTAAAAATGTGACTTACAGGCCATTGTTCTCCTCTGGGATCGGTTCCACCCAAAGCGTGGCCAATGGGAAAACGTGATGGGTGGAGAACTGGAGGAGATGAGAGGAACAAGCATGGAGGATGTAAAAGGAAAGAGGGGAATTGAAAAGGGAATTAAGGAAAAAATGAGTAAATAGGAGAGAATAAAGAAGGGAAAGATTAGTGTTTAGAAAGGGAAAGAAACAGGAAACATCTTATTAACATATCTGACCACCCAGAGACAGTGACACAAGTTCAATTACTGTGTATACGGTGTGCCCAACAAACAAGAGGTGAACTACAGCCTTCTCTATAAGCTCATAATTAACAAGAAAAATGCTTTAAAAAGATAACATTGCAACAATTATACAAGCAGACAACTGACAGTAAGAATGAAGTAAAAAGGAAGTAAACAGTGACAGAGAAAAACTAATGGTAAGTCTAATGTCTAACACTGGCTGCTCTCTGGAGAGACTCACACATTCAGTGGGCAAACAATACACATGCACCTCTTCTACAGGCAGCATACTCCTGCTCTAATTTAGTTGGTTTATTGTTTACATTTCAGACAATATATATGGTTGGAGGCATCTTAAAAAGAAGTAAACAGGAAGCACAGAGGAAAAGTAAGCACAAAGTAGAGAAAGAATGGAAGTAAAAAGAAATTATGGAAGTAAAGAAAGAAGAAAAGTCAAGAAGGAAGTTGTTTTTCTTGACAATGACATAACCTCACACAGTCTGGAAGGAAAGAGACTATATAGAAAAATAAGGAAGAAAAGAAGGAAGTACAGAGGGAACTAAAGAAAGGAAAGGAAGTAAAAACAATTAAAAAGGAAGTGCAGAAAGAAGATTTACCTATGCTATGCCAGATTTAGTCATGCAAGACAACATGTGTTTCACATGTTTTTTAAAGAGGATAAGAATCAAGCATGCATGCTCTTCACCAACACTTTGCTCCTCATTCACACAAAAAAGGAGTAAAAAGGAAGTAAAGAAGTTAAAAAGATGGAAGGAAGTAAGGGGAGGAACCAAATGGGAAGTAAAAAGAAAGAACGGAAGTAAAGGAGAAAGTCAAAAGAAAGGACATAAAATGGGAAAAAATAAAGAAGGAAGTAAAAATTAAGTAAAATTAAGATAGGAAGTGCATAGCAAAGACTGAAGTTGTCATTCAAACAATTACAGAACGTCACACAGTCAGAAAGGAGCAGGACTAAAATGTTCAGAACAACCATAGAACTGGTGCAGACTGGAAGAGATAGGAAGGATTGGACATAAAATCTAATAGGGAGAGGGAAGGAAACTGCTCAGGATACGTGAACCAGACACTGTTGGTAAATTTGAAAGAATAGAATCTGTATTTTTGAGGTATATCCTCAAAATATTAAATATGTGTTGCTACAAAGACTTCATTCTGTCTATAGATCTAAAATGGAGAAAAACCATTGAGCCTTGGTTATAGTCGGTTCATCCTTCCATGCAGTCTCCCTCAGCAGGCAGAAGGCAAAGGTGGGGATAGGGCTGGGTATCACTGGACATATTTAATGCTCCTTTAATCATGACGTATGTGTTTCAGAGCAAGTTTAAATGTTCACAGTCCCTGTTCTGTGCAAAAACTCCTTGTAAACTTCAGCACAGTGAGTTAGCAAAATCAAGTGGGTATATTCCACAGTTAAGGTCTTACAGTACAAAATTCCCTTCTTGTGTTTCCTTTTTGAGCTTTGGCGACAAAAAATACACACAACTTACAGGACCATAAAGAGGATATCTACGATTGTCAACTTAAACTAATGTTGCACAGATCAAAATTGTCTCCCATTTTTTACAATGTAGTCTTGACAGGAGGGGAAAATATCATGGCTAGTATAAAAAGAATGAATTACAGCAACAGATAACTTGTTGAACATATATAGTATATTGCATCTGAGCATTGTATTCAGGTGGAAACATTTAAAAGGAAAGTAAAGAAAGAAAGGAAGAAAAATAAAGAAGGAAAGTAAAGAAGGTGTAAAAAGGGAAGCACAGAAGGAACGAAGTAAGCAAGAAAAGTAAAGACAGAACGGGAGTAAAGAAAGAAAGGAAATTAAATTGAAATAAAGAAAAGGAAGCAAATGGGAAGGAAGAAGGAAGGAAGAAAGGAAACGGGAACTAAGAAAGAAAACTGAACAAGGAATTGTATTTTATCTATATGCTCGCTGCAGGTAAAAGATTATATTGCTGCCGTGATTTTAAATGTGAATCAGTTCCAACAAGGCTGAATCCTATGACACAGAGCCCTAAGCCCGTCGCACACACTCACACACACATACACACAGAAGAACAGGTTGGTGGGACAGGGGAGAGTACAGGTTGCTGTGCTGACATTTGCTTCTAGCTGCATACTTACAAGATTTTTACAAGGTGCCACGCCCTGACAGCACGGAGGCAAGCACATACAAACGCTTGAAACACACCAAGTTACAGTGTCTGAAATATGCACGGCTTCATAAAAGTGAAAGGACACGATAAAAAGTGTGTGTGTGGAGCTGACCTGTGCGTGGACCAAAGCGTCGTTGAAAAGGATGAACCAGTTGACGGAAAACCTCCCGGCGTTCTGCAGGGTCAGAGCTTTGTTGCTGCTCTCGCAGATGAGCCGGCGGTGGGGCTTCCTCAGTGAGTCCTAACGATACACAATGACACCATTCAGCTAAATATGTGACATCATGTGACACCTCGAGGTCTCAATATGATACGCTTGGTGGTAATGGTGAAGGAACGCACGTGCTCAGCAAGTTTACCGTCATTTTTCCGGGGAAGCTCTTCCAGAAATGGAAGGTGTAATCGGCGTCCTTTCTTTTTCTCTTCAGCAGGAGGGCCAAAGCTTCAAACTTGGAGCAGCTATCCTGCAGCCTCTGGTAGTCACTGGAGCACTAACAACACACACATAATAATATTTACCAAGAAATATGGATTGGGATTTTTTAAACAGAGTCAGATTTCACCAATGGAAATAACCTTTAGAAAACATTTAAATCTTAAAAGAAAAAGTTTTAATGCTTTAAAGTTTCTATTTCTATAAAAATATTGGATGACTTTATTTTATCTGTCCCCAAATTTCCCTATAATTTCCTACAAAGGAAGTAGGATGCAATTGTAAATTCTTAGGAAGCAAACTAATATTTCTTGAGACGCATAATTTCACAGCACTGTATAGATGCACGTAAAAACACATCTGGTAATGTGCGTGTGAATAGTCCAACACAGCAGAGGACAGATGCAGCACGCCAGTAGATTACACTAAAACACTGTAATCTCAGCAAAGTCTTTTTATGACATGAATATTCCGGTACAAACTTAAATATCCCCTTCAGGAGATCAAAAAAGGAGAATCTTATCTGAAACATTTATGTGTTTAGTGTGGCGAACAGCTTTCCAAGATTTACTTTTTATCAAAGCGAAAATCTACCTGTATTTGGCACCTGATGTGTGTTCATTTTTAATCCAGTCCATAATACGAATAATTGTAACAGACTTGCTTGTTTCACGTACCACTTCAAAGCAGGTGGCCAGTTTGAGCAGCAGCCGGCCGTATTCGTGAAGGTGGCGAGTTGGGAGGTAGAAGAGCGCCACCAGGAGGTCAGCCATGGTGGGGTTCTCCTCGCTGCACTCTGACAGCTTCTGAAGCAGCTCGGGACTCTTCCCAAAGAAATCCCTTCAAAGAAAAAAGAATTGTGGGTCAGTTGCTTTTTTCACATTTGTGAATCGTCACTGTCATATCGGGTCACAGCACCTTATTAAAGTTTGTGTGAAGTTTGTGTGTGCTTACAGTGAGGGTTTGGTCAGGGTCTGGAAACCTCCCATCACCTGGAAGTTGCCCACATTGCTGCAGTACCTTGATGAAGAGTGTGTAAAGTTTTGTTTTAACACCTACAAATATTCAAATACTAGGCTCATCCTTATTGTTCATGATGGACGTACTCATGGTAAGAGTCCAAGAAGATGCCAGCGTGGTCTAGGATGAGCAGGCTCTTGACATCGCGGCCCCGGCGCAGGTTGGCAGTGAGGCTGGCGGCATGCTGCCCGGTTAGGTGACACAAGAGGCTGAATCGGCCTGCCAGAGTCTGCAGGAGCCCAAGGGCTACCTGGCCGAGGGCTGAACTCAGAGACTCTAGAGAAGGATGGCACACAAACGGAAACAAATGACAAAATTGGCGCTGATTTAAACATTCTGAAATCTTTTTGTCCTTATGTGTCTGTCTTACCCAGCTCCAGCAGGGGGCGTAAAATCTGAGTCTTGATGTTACATAGTTTGCAGTAAAACTTCCTCTCTGCAGACGCCAGCTCGTGAAGGCTGGCGATGAAGCCCATCACATTCCGGTCTGAGAGCGCCACACACCGCTGGCCGCCCGCAAACACATTGCTCACATAACGCAGCTGGAACGCACAGGAAACAACGGGATGAAAATACACACACATGTACAATAGACTGGATTATAATACTAAATAATAATAACAATAATAATAATACTACAGGCAGAAATTACATATTGTGTGTTTAAGATGGGCAATTATATTTGTGGTGTTGAAGGAAACAGATTTGGCTCCTCCGCGAATGATCAACGCAGAGCAATCACTTCAAAAAGCCTCCGCACTGCAGACATTGTGCTTAAGTGCTTAATTAAGACATCATCAGATGATCCTTAAGGTTTAAAGACTTATTTATTGTGAATCATTTGCTTTGCCTATTGAACATCAATACCTTTTATGTACTGAATGAAAACTGCCTGAAAGCAAGCACTGAATGTCTGATTAGATCCGTATCTTGTCCACTTATTCTTAAGTAAGACTGTTCCTGACCTAAATTACATTTTGGATCATTTTGAATTATTTTAATAGCACATAGATCATGTGCAGCTGCTTATGTTTAGCCATTTAAAGTTTTTGTTTCCTTTATTTTTATTGTACAAATTTCTTATACTGTATTTTAGACCGTACTGTTGGTCAGCCTCAGAACCTGCAAAGAATCTACTACCAGGTACATTGTCCTTACGTTCATGCAGAAGGGTAGTAGTACAGGCTGCTGGGTGCCCGACTGCTGCTCCTCTTTCTCTCCTTCTTCCTGCTGACCCAGGTCCTTGGCGTGGCTCTCTTCCGCCCCTTCTTTCACCTGCTGTCCGCTGTAATAAATGATGGGCTGGATGCAGTCTCCGTCGGCGAGCAGGAGGGTGTGTCTCTCTCCAGCACTTACGTCCCACACCCGGATTCCCTCTGACATCTGAAGCACAGAGGAACAGGAGTTATTGAACTTCAAGGATTTCCATGTCTCTGAGTTTATGTTTGTACAGGAGGGCTTTTCTCACCTTTGCAAGGCGGGGGACAGTGCTGGGTGAGTCCATGTGTCCAAGTTGACCACAGCTGTTACTTCCCCATGAAAACACCTGAGAGGCAACACACACGCACACGCACACGCACACACACACACACACACACACACACACACACACACACACACACACACACACACATATTAGGGCCGTTATCCAAATTAATTTTCTTTCCAAATAAATATCCAGTTGTAGTAACCAGATTGGGCAATTAACAGTGATAAAGTCTGTTTTTGGCCAAATATACACATGGATGAGAAACCTGTAGAGGCAAAAAAATCATTCAACTTCTTCCTCCAGGTAACAGGTAAAAGAACAGAGACTGAAGCCACTGACTGACCTGAGACTGAGCGGTCAGAGCGAGGGAATGATGAGCGCCGGCCGCCACCCGCACCACCTCCTTTTTGTTCAGACTCTTGATGCACTGCGGCTGTAATCTGCAAACAGACAAATCACACTGCTGTTATAAACATCTTTTGGTGGCCCGCAGTAATGTTTCTAACTGGTTAATTAAAAAGTATTCAAAAGTATAAAACAAGCTTTTTGTTTCTCATCTGCCGAAATGTGTAATTTTTCCTTCTTAGTCTCATGCTCTCACATGCTTTTTCCTTTCTCATCCCTTCTTCTCATACCCCTGATTTTTTTTAAAATTCAGATCAGACATCCTATCAGAAAGGTCAGATGCAGTACGGAGAGACTTCCTCCTACCTGGCCAGACTGTCTCCATGTCCCAGCTGTCCGTGCTCACAGTGGCCCCAACTCCACACCTCCGTCTGCAGGGTGGGAAACACCTCTTGGGCCTCTGGGACCGCCCCTCCTAGTGGGGTGAGGGCGACTGCACGCATCCTCGGACGACCGGCTTTCCTCAGCAGCCGTGGGGACACTGTGAGTGCACAGAAAATAAAAAAAGTGTTCCTAAATGTCCTTTTTTTTCATCCAATGCAAGAGATTTTTAACCAGCTTCAAGCTAATCCACTGTACAAGTGAGGGAACAAACTTAATCTGCTTTAATCTCACATTAGCTGAAACACACAAAAGAAGTCTTCTTTTGGTCCTATTTATTTCTTTGATTTGAACAGCATCCACCAGCCCTTTACATTTGTAGTTTTGCCTGACCCACGTTTGTTTGTAAGAACTAGTGCTGGGCGATATACCAGATGAGCAGGTATACTGCCTGTCCTTTCACAAACTAGGAACCAAAGTACCTCAACCTGAATGCATCTTAGGTGCAAAGTTCAGCAGAAGAAATCAATGTGAACAAAAATACAGCAGACAAACAATGAGAAGAAGCGAGGAACACATTAACTTATGGAAATGGAGACCAGCCCGTTTTTGTGCCTTAACATAATTTTGTTATATTTATTGACAATGTTGCATTGAAAAGATCATCCACGTACTTACCCAGTTAATCATCTAAACCTCCAGTCAAACAGAGTTTTATATATATATATAAAATATAATTTGAAAGCACAAACCCTCTGTAATATTTGTGTAAATCAGGTTGAGATGCTGCCGTGATCACTGTGAATCAGAGTTTTGTATACAGGTATTATTTAATTTTATCTACTTTTATCACAAAACAGGCATTCTTGGGGAACTTCAGTGTAATTAAGTGGAAAGGATTACTTTAAAAAAAGCAATACTAATCAACAAAACATGGTAAGAAACACATAGTCGTCTTTTTTCAATAAAATACCAACCAACTTAACTTCTTTTGTTTTCTAATTTCCCCTGTATTGTTTTTAATTCTGATATTTTGGTAGTGACACTCCTAAACGCTACCTTTTAGAAGAGACCAGGATCCGGCTTGTGCTTGCTAAAGGGTTAACTCTTCCACGATCTGGAAACTTAAATGATGGACACAGCAACTCATTTTCTTCCTTGAGGGTCCATGAAATAAACACAAAACATGAACACACACACACACACACACACACACACACACACACACAGACACACACACACACACACACATCTTTACGGCCTCCAGCAGGGAGCCATCTGGAGACCCAAAGGACAAAGACACAGAAAGGAGAGTGAAAGCTACACTGGATGAGAAATAATATCCACTCTTCAGGCACGTCAACACTCCTACAATCCAACTATGTATTTTAGAACCAGGATACATAAACCATTGAATACCTGCTGATAATCCCATATATAGGCTGTCATTTGAAGATTCTTGCCACTCTCTTCATGTGTCCAACCCTATAAACTAGAGCTACAACGACTGTTGCTATTAAATGAACATGAATGCTGCTGCTAACGTTAGCTCTGCTTGTTTCTCTGATCCAGACGTCCGATGAATAAAATCCTTCATCCGGTTCTAATCTAGAGTTAAAAACCACCAAGATCTAAACAGTGGACGGTAAAAACGTGGCTTAAAACTAGATCAAAAGTAAATTTATGACAGCTTCTGGCAGACAACCACAATCCATACAAGGGGATCTGACGCCATTGACAGGCGACCAGTGAAAACACACCTTTACCTGAATAAAATGACAGATTTCTAAACATTGTTGGAAACATTTGGGATAATGTAAGTACACAACTCAACTACATATATCTAAAAATAGGTCTAGTCTTTATAGATATTTTAATGCAGAAATGTTAAATATAGCTTTTTAATGATCAACAGATTAATCAATAATGAAAATAATCCATAGTAGCAGCCTCATTATGACTTGAATTAGAGTTTTCAGGATTTATCTCCCATTTTCCTCAGTAAATCCGATCTTTCAGCCTTTAAACCTGACGTTTATGTGAACCACAAGAGGACAGACTGGAAACACAAAGCACATATTCTCAGGCTGTCTCTGAGGAAAAAGAGATATGATGATAGAAGATGAAAGTCCATGCATTTATCCATTTTCTATACTTATTCCGGACCCCCATTTCTCCCTCCTAATCACATCACAACGATTTAACTTGGAGGCTAAATATCAATCTGCATTCTTCACACAAAGGCGACCATTCAGACGGGCTAACCTACAAATCAGTGGCACTCACATGCACAAAGCAGGACACAAAGCCAAGTCCTGATTTGTGCATCACTATTTGCTGTTTTCTTACAGAGTAGGATTTACACACACCACAAAATCCTTTTTATTACCTTAAATGTGCACATGTAGGTGACATTGAGCTACACATAATATAAAAGATACTGCACAAAGTGTGACACAAGGACAAGCCTATGCCATGCTGGATGAGGAAGCCAAACACAGAGACTGACATCAACCTGCACATGCGCAAGGTGTACTTACGCAGCAGGGTATAGGAGGAGGATAAGAGGTGAACAGCGTATCTACCCTGTGAGAGGAGTCCCGGGAGTGAGAGGCGGCGCCGCAGACCCTCGGCCTCCTCCTCGCGGATGTCCCCTGTGCTGGAACTCTTCTTCGCCTGCATAGAGTCCTCCTGGCGGACGCGCTCTGCGTTGTTGTCGCCCACGACACCTGTGAGGCCCGCCGGACCGCCTGGCCTTGCTGCTCCCGAGGGCAGGTAGAAGTTCATCATCTTTTTCAGGGACAATGCCTCGTAGGTGGAGGCGACCCGTTCACCCACAGCAGAGGCGCAGGAGGCCACCAGGCTGTTGAGCGTGGAGCCATGGGTGGAGGAGGCGAGTCCTCCTGCTGAGGGCTGGAGGAGAAACAAAGCAGAGTTAGACATGAACACACAGGAGTCTGAGTACTGTGAGATCAGACATATAGAACATAAAGCTATTTTTGTATATTAGAGCTGCAACGATTAGTCGATTAATTGATTGGTTGTCAACTATTAAAAGTCCAGTGTGTAACATTTAAAAACATAATTCATAAAAAAACAAGTAAACTCCAAACACAGGCTGGGGTAAAACGTAGGACAAAACAGCATTATTATAAAGTACTGTAGTGCAACTGGATGTTGGCCAGAGAAGTTGTTCTCCAAACATAAGAAAAAATGTCATATCATCATCTTATCTTGAATCACCATGCAATATTTGTCAAGATGCAATAAGCAATAAGATTACTGGTTACTAAACTAATTTGAATCAAGCATGTGAATCAATCAATATGTACAGTGACAATACACATGAATGCTGAAAGGTTGTTTTCAACACTATTTCATGTTTCCTTACAGTTGTGATTGTTCGACTCACCAGCACAGTGTGCAGTCCTGAAGTGGTCGCCTTAGCCGCCTGCTCAACCTCGGACAGTTTCTTCAGGTAGTCTTTGACAGCCTGCTCGTCTGGATAGGGTGAACTCTTGACCCCCAAAGCAGCACCTCCTTTCAACTGAGTCGAGGGGTCAGAGTCTGAGACTGGCAGTGCTCCGTTAGTCAAAGCTGATTCCTCTTTGTCCAAGTCCTGATGGTGAGTGGGGTCAGAGGAGGGCTCTGCACCTTTATCGGGCACTGGGGACACTGAGGTGGAGGAATAGGAGGGGAGGACCGGCTCGGACGGGGATGTTTTAAGCCCTTGTGTGAGAGCAGGCACCTCCAGCATGCCCTCGTCCTCGGTGAGCTCCACACCGAGGGGGCAATAGTGACCGTCAGAGATGATGACATGGTCCTCTTTGTCTGTCATGGTGTACAGCAGCTGGTTACACTGTCTGCATTTATCCACAGGGGGGCGGTGGGTGTCCTGAGGGCCCAGGCAGCGCACCAGAGCCAGGCTGTGTGAAGCCCCGCAAGCCACTTGTAATACATACCTGCCTGCCAAATGCTCAACTTTTTGAGGTTTCCAGACAGGAAAGACGGTGACGTTGAGGCCCAGCTGGCAACCGCTGCCCCACGCCCACACCTCCCGCTGGGCAGACAGTGCCAGGGTGTGCTGCTCCCCGCAGGCCAGCTCCAGCACCGGGACTGACTGCGGTGGGCTGGTGTCGGAGTCCACCACAGCAACCGGAGTAGGGTTGGGGACGGTGCTGAGGCCCGACAAGCCACACTGACCTGAGCCATTGTCCCCCCACATGTGGAGGCCACCGTCCTCTGTCACTGCCCCGCTGTGAAAGCTTCCAGCTGCAACAGCGACCACCCGCTGGCCGCTGAGCGCGCTCTCCAGGGTGGGTTTCTCCGGCTCGGGCACTTGACTCTGCTTCCATGGCAACTCCCCAAAACTGTACACCTGCCCTCCTGAGCAACAACAACAACAACAACAACACAATAATCAAAGTGATGGCAGGTTTTCTCATCCACAGGATTGTCTAATTGATCAATTAATTTAAGTTGAAAGAGTAGTATCAGCACTGATAGTGTTTATAGACATTTTAATGTGGAAATATTACATATTACAGCATATTTAAGATGCCAAACATGAAACGCACATCAGCTGAAGGCAGACAAATACCCCCAAAAAATATTTCTTAAAAAATCAATAAGATTTACCTTCCACCAGCAGAACACCGTGCCGTGTGCCCAGGGAAACCTGAAGGACAGGCCGGGGGAGGAGCAGTCTTTCTGGGGTGACGCTGCAAGAGTAGCCCTTCCAGGTGTGGAGCAGGCCTCGCTCTCCACCACTGTCATCCCCAGAGCTGAGATATTGATCGACCAGAAACATAATGAGTAGAATATTTATCTTAAATATTCTTTCATAAAGTATTTTTCCTTACAGCTCAAGAATTCACTCTAAAATCAGTATTGCATTGGCTGGGTTCCACTCCTGACATTAACCCACAATAAACATATATTAATGCAAAATAAAATAAATACAGTGAAACCGGACGAATCTGAAGAAATACTGTGATACAGTGTTTGGGTCATAACACCCAGCACTAGCTAGTCACACCACCGCCCTCCCCCTCCTGAACAACAGATGTTTTGTGGGTGAAAGCAGAAGTGAGCACAACTCCAACTGTAGGCGGTGTCACATGGCGATCACATCCAGCCAGGGAGCAACAGTTGAGTTGAATAATCCTCTTTAGGAGGCCTTTGGAAAGATTTACCTCTTCCTCTGGGTTTCCATCAGGGGGCTTATTTCTCCATCAGCATGTCAGACTCTGCTGCTGCTGAATGCAGACCTACAGTACAAAACAAAGTTACCCAAAGTTATCTCTCTTTACAACATCTAACCTAACAAGGAACTCTCTGCTTTATACTTTGTTTCTGTTCCTTCAATAACTTCCATACTTTCTACCTCACTGTTATAAACTTCAATCTTCTTCGCACACTGTCTTGTATACAGTTCTTTACTGTATTTTATTATTATTTTATATTGTATTTTAGGATATTCTGGGGGTTGCAATGCCATCTTGATTGTAAGGCGTGTAAAAAAAAACTAAATGAAAACATACACAGTCGGCCTTTATTTCTACATTTGGTTCAATCCTGTGAAGAAATCTACATGTAAAGTAAATTGTCTAATAGAACAAACATCAGGGAGAAGAAAACATTAGATGTGTCAGAAAAGATGTCTATTAAGTCTGTATGATTGTTAAAAATAAATATTTAAAGAATACATAACACAGACAGGAGCCTTAAGGAACAAGGTTGGGAACCACTGGTGTATTACACAGATATTTACATTATTGTGGTTGTTTTTCTTTTTAATACACATTTCTGACAACTTTCTGCTCTAACAAAAGAATTCCCCAACTTGGGATCAATAAAGAACATCGATCCACCTATGAGCTGACAGTCACACTGGCTCATACAGTGCTGTCAATGCAAACAAAAGTCATGGATGTAACCAAAACTCTGAGTTATTTTAGGGGAAAACCCTGAAAACTGGAAAAGAGAAGGTGAAGAGTCAAAACGAAAGCAGCTCTTGTTTCCTCTCCGTGTGATTTTAAATCACTGGTCGCTCTAACATCCACAATTAGCTGCAGGAAAAGACCTTTTATCCCCGTGCAGGCAGCTGTTTCCATCTGTTTCTATCTGTTTCTATCTGCTGGTTGTTAACGTGTTAATCCTGCAAGCTTCATATTAGCTCACCAATCCTGCTAACTAGCCAAACAGCTAACCCCAAACCCCACAGGTGGCTCTCATTTCTCATTATCGCGTTTAAAAAAGAAAGAAAAAGCCTTTTATTCCTTACCAGGTGGATGTACACACCACTCCGTGAGGTTCTCACTCAGGCAGGGAAGCAGATTATACATCCGTTTGGTTGATTAGCAGCTAAACGCCGCTGGTTGTTGTTCATCTCCTGATGTTGACACAGAGATCGTCTCCGGAGTCCGGACAGGGAGGTTCACTCCGCTGCGAGACCGAGCGACCACAGAGCGGGGCCCGCTCCTTAAAGTCATATTACCGGGTATTACACATGTTTAAAAACAACAAGCAAGTATTCATCTATTCTTAAAGCTCCAGAGTGTAACATTTAAGAGGATTTATTTGGATAAATATATATAAATAGAAATATACACAGTATTCCTATATCTCTGCTTCTGTGAAGAAAAGTAAATGTCTAATAGAACAATGGTCAAGTGAAAACACTGAATTTGTCCACAAAAAAAGAAAAAGAAGAAGCTGATTAAGTCTGTATGATTGTTTTAAAAAATTATACAGACAGATAATTGTATAAAAAGTTCCCTCCTCAGAATTCATCCAAATTCCTCCTTTTACACGAACTTCTTGTTACTGAGTTCACTATTTGGGTTAATTGTACAGTCTTTAATATAATATGAAATATACATACAATATGTCACTTAGTAAGTTAACTAAATTATAGAAAAGGGGTCCCTTTTGGTTGGGCCATCACAGTTTCCAAATTAAAACACCTTCACAATGCTTGTTTTATCAAAATTATTTATGAAATGAAATCTTCGCATTCACCTCAGCATAAACTAAACTGTTTGGTAGTTTGATTTATAACAAAGTCTAATTTCTTTATGAGCTCTCTCTGATCCAAGTCTTTCTGCAGAGCCACAAAAACAGCAGCAGAGTGACACCTCTTACCATTTTCCTCCTCTTGGATGCGGCTTAACCACCACCGAACAAGAATTGTTCTTCTTCCATCACTTCTGCCTCAAAGCTTTCTTGACACTGGCTCCCTCTGTAGACAGAAACAGCTCCTTCTAAGGTCACAAAAACACAATTCCTATTTTCAGGAGATTATACACGAATGAAAAAAAGTTCTGCCAATTGTTTACCTTTATAATGATTTCTGTTTTTTAACTTAATATTTAAATTTGACAACATTTGACACCAAACAATGATGTCAATGATTAACCAGCCCTCTAGATCCGCCCCTGTTTATGGACCTCTGAATAAAAAATGCAAAATGAAGATTTTAGGTTATCGTTTACATTTACAAAGTGGGTGTGATTGCAGAGTGGGAATGTGTGTGATTCTCCTTGTCCTGCTGAAGTGTCCTTGAGCAAAAGACTGACAGCTGACTTCCCTTTAAACGGTTCATTTCCTCAAAAAAACAAAATCAAAACGAGCTTTGGAAATCCCTACGAAGTTCCAACAGTAACTCTTTATTGTCTTTATACATTACATTTGTCTATCAATGATAGACAAATGTAATTTTAATTATGTAAAAGAAATATGATATTTCTTTTACATAATAAAAACAAACACCTGTCATCATTAACTGCAGTTAATCAGACTGCATTTATTGATCATACAATCTTGCTACCTCTTTAAATCTCCCTTCTGATTAAAAAAAGATCCTCGTAGCAGCCAATCATAACGTCCTGAGCCCCGGGAACAGACTCATATCAGACAGCGTCACTGCACTGACCCCTTCTTCTCTCCAGGATGCTCCTCTTTCTCGGCCTCTTCTTCTCTGCGGGCTTTTCCATGGAGATGAACCAGACCTCCAAGCTGCTGGGAGCGGAGAGCGGGGAGCAGTGCTCGGCCTGTGACTTCCGGGAGCACAGCAAGCAGATGCGCCTCCACAGCATCAAGTCCCAGATCCTCAGCATCCTGCGGCTCGAACAGGCTCCCAACATCAGCCGGGACATGATCCGCCAGCTGCTGCCCAAAGCGCCTCCTCTGACGCAGCTCCTGGACCAGTACGACCCGCGGGTGGAGGAGGAGGACCACGCCACGACGGAGACCATCATCACCATGGCCACCAAGCGTAACTAAACCAAAACCAAAATCCCTTCAAGTGTTCTTTCTTCTTTTTTTTGTTCTGCACCTTTTCTGAACGTCGTGCGTAAAATTAGAAGCGTTTACTCCGTGCGTAAATCCTGTGCGTAAAGTTTGCCTCCGAGTAGCCGCGCAGAAAACAGTTTTGACGTAAACAATCATGTAGACCCATAAAACTATTTATGTCCCGCTGAAGAAAAAATAATCACTTTTTAAAGTGTCATTTTTGGCTTTTATCCAAAATACTTACAATATTTTGATTTTGAAAAGCTGTTGGTACTTAAAATCGATTAAGTAGTGTCTAAGAAAACATAAATCTTTATTTATTATCCAGCAACCTTTTGCGCACTGACTTTTTTTAAATAATAGAGAATAAGTCATTTTATTCTGCTAAACATATGAGTTAAGTATTTATTTTTCTTACTTTTTATTGTTTTTAGCTGGGATATTCAACATTTGTATTAATGACAAATACAATTGATTCTTACAGTGTGCCATAAAGAAACAAAAACATGTATTTTTTATAAAGAAGTGGGTGTTGAACCCGCTGGAATTGGAACCCCACCTACATATTTACACAGATATCTGTACTTTCTACTCACATTTTCGAAATGGCTCCCTACTTTAGACTTGAGAGAGAGACTCGACCATATTTGAAGTTTCAGTTTAGCACAGAAACAGGCAGTGGAAATTAAACCAAGAGAGTACTTTTTACTTTTATACTTTGAGTACATTTCAGAGGCTATACTTTTTCACTTGTACTTAAAGAAGTTGAATCTGTACTTCTTCTTTTACCAGAGTTTTTAAAAAATTTTTTAAGGATATCTGTACTTCTATTTGAGTAAATTTACCTCTGAATTAAATTTTGCCCTGATAGTGGAAAAAAGGAAAATAATTTGGGTTCATCCTCTGGGGATCATGGATATTTACAGTAACTTTCATGCTATAGCCTGATGTTCGAGCTTGACTAAAGCGATGGACAAACAGCCAAATGTTAAATCTAAACATTTTATTGATTTCTTCCAGCTAATCCAATCGCCCAGGATGAGTTTGCCTCCTGTTGTTTGTTCAGCCTAAGTCCGAAGATTCAACCCAAAAACATCCTGCGCGCTCAGCTGTGGGTTCACCTGCGGCCGGCCGACATGGTCACCACCGTCTTCCTGCAGATCTCCCGCGTCAAACCCGGTAAGGAGGGAAACAACACCCGAGTCAGAGTTCGCTCCTTGAAGATCGACACCGATGTCGGTGCTAGCTCTTGGCAGAGCATCGACATCAAGCCTCTGCTGCAGGCTTGGCTGCGTCAACCAGAGACCAACTACGGCATCGAGATCAACGCCTACGACTCCAATGGAGCAGATCTGGCTGTCACCTCAGCAGAGCCTGGAGAGGAAGGACTGGTGAGTGCAATCAAAATGTTTAAAGTCCCCTTCCAGTCAAAAATCAGTATTACTTCTTGTTCCTACAGTGTGATGTTTGAATGACGTACGTGTAGAGTTTCACACTAGAGGGATGTTTTTTACATTTGTCTACTGAAAGTGGAAATGTTTAGTCGAGTTTTTCTGGCTGCAGGTGCTTCGTCTGTTGCATTGTCAGAACATTTTCAATCCCTTTCCAGCAACCGTTCATTGAAGTGAAGATCCTCGACCGCCCCAAGAGATCCCGCCGTGACTCGGGCCTCAACTGCGACGAAGAGTCTGCAGAGACCCGTTGCTGCCGCTACCCGCTCACCGTCGACTTTGAGGAGTTCGGCTGGGACTGGATCATCGCTCCCAAACGTTATCGGGCCAACTATTGCTCGGGCGAGTGCGAGTTCATGCACCTGCAGCAGTACCCGCATGCACACCTGGTGAACAAGGCCAACCCACGGGGCACCGCGGGGCCCTGCTGCACGCCTACCAAGATGTCGCCCATCAACATGCTCTACTTCAACCGCAAGGAGCAGATCATCTATGGAAAGATACCGTCCATGGTGGTCGACCACTGCGGCTGCTCCTGAAGAAACCATTTGCAGACTCAATCATAGAAGCTTTGTATTCAGCAAATGCGATGCAAAATTCTTTGATTTGTTAAAACCCAGTAACATAGGGGAGCAATGCAAGTATTTTTGAGGGCGACCCTAAAGTTGTTTTTATTCATACTTTGTGCTTTTATCCAAATAAAAGAAATATCACAAAAAAACCTTAGATATTAGACCAAACATGATAGAAACCAACCAACTAAAGGTCATAAAAGCACAACAGAGACGACAGAAATTCTTAAATAATCTAAACTTTACAAAAAATGCAATAATAAAAGTCTTGTATCTTCATCTTCGATAATGTGAAGGAGGGATTTAGATAAAATCCAACAGATTTCACTGGATCACTCAAAGTGGGCACAGGACTCATCCACATAGTTAGATCAGGAGGCGGATACGGGTGAAACTGATGATATTACACAGCTGAAGGCACTTTCAACATTTTCTTTAGCTCATAATTTTATGCAGTTGGGAAGCAATAATATATTGATTTGCATGGCCTAACCCTAACCTTACTTCCATGGATCAAAAACCTCAAGAAACAAGACTTGAAAGGCAGGTTCTCGACTGGTAAAAGGTTTTCATTAATCCAGAATGTTTTTAACTTACATTGTGAAGTCAAATGTATCTGAAATATATTCAACATTTGGGCTTTTTTATTAAAAAAATGTAACATAACGTAAATATTCTTAGAATAAACAGAACACAAACAAATTGAGTAAACTTTACTAGATCCCATAAGGAGGCTCCACACTCCAACACTGCAAGTCGCTGACCCTTTACATTGCACTTATGTAATTAAATTACAGGGAAAATGTAATGTAATGTAATTGAAATACTTAAAGTCAAACTTTGAAGGATAAATATTTTTTTGAGTGTATGCACATTGCACACACCTATATAGAGACGTATCACCAAGGTGCAGTTCAAACTATGAACAGTGGGGGCAGTGTATCAAGATGACAAGTAAGGTTTGCAGCAGACTGTAAAACAAACAACAGTGGAAAGTTTGGAAGAGACACAATTTTGTTTTAGACCCCTTTTTCTTCCCAATATGCAGGCAGTATGTGAATAAAGCAGTGTTTATGTACGCATACGTGTTGCTCAAAAGCAAGTATATCATGAATTCATTTATTTAAAAAAAACTAAATATAAAAGTGTAAATAGAAAGATAGATAGACTCCTGCTGTTCATGTCTCCTGTTATGAAAATGTGTCCTGATTTGAGCCTTGACCAGAACATACCCTGCAGGACATCTTCCATGTGCGCCTTTATTTTGAAAAACATGAACCTACTGACTGTGAGCTGACAGATCGTCCTTCCCTGTCCCAAAGCTTGTTTGCAAACTCCTTGCTGTGATCTGTTTTCAAGAAAATCCCACTGATGTGAGGGAGAAAGATACTTTTTTTAAGCACGTTATTGCAGGTGTGTTGTGATTTTATTTTATTCTGTAAATTGTGTGTTCTTTGAGGTGTATTGTGTGGTATGTTGTAAACAGGGTTAGGGTTAGGGTTTCAGTTTGTCAGCAATGTTTTAACTCTGATGGCTGCCATGTCTTTCCTTATGGTGTTATGACTTCATATAGTCAGTTGTTGGAGCCAGAAAATGCTCATTTTGAGTGAATTGATTGAGCTGAGTTGACCTGTCAATCAAGACAAACCTTCAATCAAATCTTAAAAGTACCCCTGTGAGTCAGGTTATCCTATCCTTAAGGCCTAAAGGCTGAATGCATTTGCAGCGTGAAGATTTTCAAACCTGCAGGCAGTTGCACAAAACACCTTAAGTTTGCAATGTTTAAGGCTTAATGTCTCCTTACCTGAAGGACTTACTTAAGGGGTTTACTGCAATGATTTTACAGTAGTAAAATTACAGTTTCCATGGAGACCAGTTGTTGGCTTGCTCTCTCGCTTGATACCTGGTGAAGAGGTCCATCCAAAAGGTTAAAAAGAAATTATAAAATAAATATTGCACCTTGTGTGTTCTGGCCAAAAAAGAGCGATCACTAGTTAAAGGAAGGAATACAACAAATCTGGTATAAATAACTTCAAGGTTTAACTGGATTTACAGTTTACTTTAAATCAGTGGCTCTCAACCTTTTTCCTTAAGGCACCCCTTTTCTATCATTGTGTAAACTGACGACTCCAAACTAAATCACATATTTTATATATATTTCACATATTTAATGCAAAACAATAACAGTAGAGACTAAATGATAGACTGTAAATAGTGCAGGAAGTTTGTGTAAAATTAGCAATTTGGATGAATTTTGAGCATCTACTGTGAATATTGATCAGAAATGAGTTGAAACGTTTTATACAATTCTTTGTCTGTATTATGTATTTTAAAACATTTTAATCATACAAACTTAATAGGCTTCTTCTTTGACAAGTTCAGTGTTTTCTTCTGCCTGACACTTCGAACTGCTTAGTTACTTTTACTGCGGGACGATTAGATATCGGCCTACTGTCTATATTTTCAAGGTTTTCTTACACACCCTAAAATAAAGAAAGCCTTGCAACCCCCCTTGAAGCTTTGGCAACCCCTAGTGGGGATCCTGACCCCCGGGTTGGGTTAGATTAGCTACTATATGAATGACTTATGAAGAAATCCCTGCACAGAAGTCGTCATAATAAAGATGACAAGGTTTAACGAAATTTAAGGATTTCCTTAAAGTAGTATAACCTTACTACCTTAAACCTTAAATACTTCATTTAAACATTTGAAGGAACCCTTAAGGAGAAGACTTATGGTGTTTTGTGCAACAGGTCCACAGAACAATATTTTCCTTCTTATGACTTCTTCTTCCTCTCTGGAATTATGCAATTTCTCTTTGTTTTGTAGTTTACAACTTTGACTGCAGCAGGGTGGGAAGTTAAACCACTGAAGGTCAGAAAAACAAGATTTTAGGAGCTGTTAAGTTAAACTCTGGCACAAGACAAAAATAAACACATATGCATCATTGTGCACATTAGCTGAGCATTAGCTACAAACCTGCTCGTCAACCACAGGGAATCTTTTTATCCTCTTATGGACATATTTTCCTTGTTTTCCTGTTATGCTCAGAGCTAGTGGATTAGAAGGACTGCAGCTGAAGGTGAGGAACTGTGATCTCAGAGGGAGGTTTGATCTCAATTTGAAGCAGAGTGCAGATGTCCTGACTGTTGTTATACTTCACGGGGGTTTCTGACCCAAAAGTTTTGTTCTGCTGTTGGAACAGAACGTCCTCGAGTGGCACAGATTAACGTTTGTGATTCTGCAGAGAACAAAATGTCTTGTCAGATCACTGAGCGATTTTATCATTTTTATTTTTGTTATCTCTACAAGACTTTTCTTTAGGTAAGACAGAATAATCTACTAGAGGAACTGCAAGATTTGCATTGCAATAAAGAAGAATTATTCCATTTCATGAGATTTTAAATTTTAAATAAAAGTTCCTTTAAAGAAAGATATTTAAAGAAGAGGATTGGGATGAATATTTATTTTATCCTGCTTTCCTTATGGCTGAGACTGAAGCAGAAAGTTTGCCATGTTTGTTGCTATTTATGTCTAAATATACTCATAATGTGCTGTATGTGTATAAGTATACAAACACATACAACATAAGTAAGCCAAACATCAGGTCATGTTTCTGCATTTGTGGTCAGTTGAAGTTCAGAATCTGCATCAATGAGCTACTGTCTGTGATCAGAGGCAATAAGTGAGCACACTGATAATCACTTCAAATTGTTCTGTAAAATGTTCAGCTCTAAGATTATCTTCAATGCACATTTGTGTTTGAAAGTACTAACAGTTTTTTGCCGACATGAACTGAAACCAGTGATTTTATGAATTGGAAAATGGTAACCAGTAATGTAAAGTATATTCATGCTGGTATAAAGTATTATTTTAAACACAATGGTGGTCCTTTTAAAGCAGATCTTTTTGTCCCTGGTTAAATCTGCTTCACACAGGAGTTGTAAAGAGTCAAACTGGGGTTTCTGGGTGATCAAGTCTTTCAAGTATGTATTCTAAAAACTATTTATTTCATCCACCAGGTGGCACCAATGTGCACTGTTTCCAAATTGAGGTATGAACATAAGATTTTTAAATGTGGTCTGCCACCAGTGTGCTTTAGAGATTTGTATCTGTCAAAATAAATGTTTACTCTTGGTGGTTTGTGCACTCCATTTGTATATTAATAATCATAAATGTGCTATAAATGTCTATATTAATATATGTAAGTGTTGACATATGTGAAGAGGTCCACCCACAGCTGCATATGACTTGTCAGATGAAGAATTATAACTAATATATATTGTCTAATGCTTTGGTGAGCAAACCAACAGACTTGGATGCATGCGTGAAATGTTCTGATATTTTCTGTATTGTTTTTTTTCTTGTGCTGCTGAACAGAATATTCATATTTTCTCTACCACGTTAAATAACAAGTACAAGTACTAACAAGTTCTGTAGTCCATAAATCAGTGGTTCCAATCTTATATTCTTTGTGACCCTTCAAAATAAAGCAATTCTGTCTTTCACAAAAAAAAGAATAGGCTGTATTCAGTTTTTTCTCTTTTCTAGCCTATTAATCATCTTCATCTTCATCTTGCACAGATTTATCTTGTAATCTATTAAAGGTGTCCTGAGCCTCTTGGTAATCACTATAGGATGTTACTATTACAATTATTATAGGGGGCAAATACAAATGTAGAAACATAAAAAATAAAGTCTTATTATATCATACGTTTTCTAAATCGTTTTTATCTGTGGTCAAAATGAGTAATTAGTAATGTGCACACTGATCTTTATCATGAGTTAGGTTTTAGTTTCAGAGTTGTAGGTGTCTGGGTTACTTTCTCTTTCTCTGAAAACACGTGGTCACTCTAAGCTCTTCTGTTTATTGGCTTTCCTCCCCTAAAAACTCTGCGTTATTTTAGCTTTTTATCATTTAAAATATACTTTACAGATTATTTGACAACCTTGGAGTCTATAAAAAAATAAATAAAGCACGAATTTATTCTTGATTTTGTGCTCGTATTACCAAATCTGCAAGAAAAACACGCTGTTTATTATTGTTATTGTGGGTACGCCAGCTAACTGACAGAACAGCCAATTTCCATCGTCCTGATTGGCTGTCACTAGAAAAGGGGCGGGTACATGACAGTAATCCTAAACGCTGATTGGATGACGCTGTTTCCGTATAGTTTTGCAGTAAAGTACAGCAGCAGAAACAGGCTAGAGTATCTGTCGGCACATTGGTTGCACAAGAAAACCTCCTTCCAGTATTATTATTACATTTCTTCCAGAGATTGTACACGATCCCTCAAAAATAAAAGGTAAGTTTAATCACTTACTTCCTCACGCAGGGAGAAAATGAAGCCAAAATACGCCATTTGTTATCATATTGAGATGAAGATAGACTGAACCACAGATTTAAGGAGCTGAACTTGGCTTTGATAATCGATAATGTTAAACGAAGAACAACTCCTAGAGAAGCACTAAAGACTTGGTTATACGTCGATAGCTTCCCCTTTATGTTCGCCATACCAAGCAGCACTTGTTTTAATAAATACTAAACTTTTTTGTAATGGTTTAGGGAATCAGTCTCCGCCCACCACTTTAAGTCTGAAACGTTAGTTATTAACTGCCAACCTGTCTGAAATGTTGTAATTGTAGTTCATATGTGACACTAGGTGAATTACATGTCGGCCGAATTCACCAATGCGACATACTTATTTAGGTAAAATGTTTTGTTTCTTTCTATGACGCTGGTATTTATGGCAATAGAGACGAAAACCTTAAAAAGTCACATTTCTGGATGGAATTTGGTTTTACGAAAGCTAGCAAGGCAAGATTGGTCCTGGGAGGATTTCTGCTGTAGGATATTTTTAGACTAACGCTGGAGAGGCAGAGTGACACCAGTGGGGGAAATGAAACTTATGGACTTATGTGCATAACATATTGTTGGGTTTGAATAATGAACAAATGCAGATTTCAGAGGCAAGAATGAGTAAAATCCATATCTTTATTTTTCAGGATGGTTGTGTGTATTCATTGTTTGTCTTTTTATTTTAGATTTTTTCAGACACAAGTCTGAAGTCTCAGATGTTGGACTTTTCTGTTCATGCTGAATGCATTTTCAATATTTTTTAACTCCTTGTTTAAACCTGAATAGACCCTTTTCACAGCAGCCAGGTGTTATCAAGGATACTAATTACATTTAATTTAGAGTAGCAGAGCCTTTCCATTGAGCCATCATGAACCATAGCAGCACCCTGACCTGAATGGAACAGAGCCTTAATTATGGGTAACACCTATGTTTACCCTACTATGTCATGTCAAAAGAAAAATGTGTATTAATCCTCCAAATTACAGACCTCGTGGTTTTAGTTTCTAATGTTTCCCTGAGCAGAAATTAGTGAAGGAGGAGGGACACATTGCATAATAATTATTGAGTCAGCACTTCTGATTTCTGTTTTCTTGATCTGTTAACAAGCCACTGAGTTGGTGTAGTGAGTGAAGATTGCAGCTCCCTGACATTTGACCTCTCACCACACTGAGAAAAAGTGATTATACACTAATGAAACCATAAATATGATTAATATATTTAATTCCTGCCAATAGATCCTCCTAAATATTACACAGTCAACCTTTAAAGGGTAGCAACTGTAGTACTGCAGATCATAAATTGAATAAGAAATTGCATTAAATGAACAGTATACATTTTTTAGATCAATATTGCTATTTAAAAGTCCATTTTTGTGATGCACTGAATTTGAAATGAAATATCCATAAAATACGTCACTCAGTGAGGGGTCGTCGGTTTACTCAATGATAGAAAAGGGAAAAAGGTGAATTGGGAATCACTGGGCTACAAGTTGTGACCCTGAACCTTCATGAAGCTGCTCTTGTTCACCAGAAGATGGCGCAGTGGTGCCAGCTCCAGATGCTGGACTGCAAGTACCTGGAGCAGGTGGACCAGCTGTATGACGACTCGTTCCCCATGGACATCCGCCAATACCTGAGCAAGTGGATCGAGAGCATCGACTGGTAAGGCTGCCACACTGCGAGGAAACCTGAGTTAATATCTGTTTGTGATCTTTTTCTTTATTTAAATAAAGTTTTCCTTTTCAAAAGGACAGATCGTTTTCTTAAATTTTTAATAGGGCTGCAACTTTAATTAGAAAATGTAGTTTAAAAGTTGCCACTGACTAAAATAACAAGAAAAAGAACATTTGTGTATTGTCCTGTAACTAATGATTAGTTTTCATTATTAATTAATCTGCCTAATACGTTTTTGATTAATTGATAGTCAGTGAAATGTCAGAAAATGGCAAATAAAATGCTCATTAAAATGGTTTTAAATGTCTTTGTAGGATCCATTTAGGTTATTTATTTTTCTAATGTATGTAAATACAAAATACAACATTGTGACCAGTTCATGGTAGGAAGTACTTAGTCTCTACCTGTTCTCCGTCTCCGCCTCCTCAGGGACACGGTTGCCATGCAGGACTCTCTGGCCACAGTTCGGTTCCACGACCTCCTGGCACAGCTCGACGACCAACACAGCCGCTTCGCCCTGGAGAACAACTTCCTGCTGCAGCACAACATCCGCAAGATCAAGAGGAACCTGCAGGTCAGACTTCTTTCTTTGTGTAATGAGTTTTAATTTTGATGATAAACTCTAAATGTAGAGTGATTGTCTCTTCAGGATCGGTTCCAGGAAGATCCAGTCCACATGGCCATGATCATCTCCAGAAACCTGAAGGAGGAGCAGAAGATCCTGGCCACCGCAAAAAGTGCAGAGGTAAAACCTTTTCACAGAACTTTTCTTTCTAAGATAACGAAGAAAAATTGATTTAAAAATAATTTTATAATATTTAAGTGACACATTTTGTATCTGAGAAAACATTATTTAATAATTTATTATTATTCTGTAATTGTATAGACGTTAATATATATTAGCCCGGAGGTTTGCTCAGCTTGTTTCTCTGAGATCCGGACGTACGATAAAATCCTTCATCTGGCAACTATAGAGTTAAAAACAACCACTATATACTATACTTACTATAAACTGAACACAAAGTAAAATTTAGTGTTACCTTTCCGTCTGCAGCAGGAGGGTGAAGGGACGGTGTCGGCCATGGTGGTGGAGAAACAGAAGCTGGACAACAAAGTGAAGGAGATGAAAGACAGAGTCCAGGTAACTTATCTTTTTTACTATCAATACAGACACCATATAGATAATGCGTAAATACTGAATATCTTCACATGATGAACCTGAGGATCAGATTACAGTTACAGCTTCAGGTTGCAACCTGACATCACGCTGCTCAGAAAAACTATTACATTTCTCCTCAAATCTTCTTCGTCAGGTGGCGGATCAGAACATTAAGAACCTAGAAGATCTGCAGGACGAGTACGACTTCAAAGGCAACACGCTGAAGAACAGAGGTGGGAAAACTGTTGCAGTCTTCTGAACTCTGTTGAAGGTCTTATCAGGTCTACAAGAAGTTAATTAAACTGACTGCTGCTGATTATACGTCTATTCTGCGCCATGAAAGCATCAAGAGATGCATTATTCAACACAACTGCTCCCACAATGAAAGCAATATGAGGGGGAAATTAATTATATACCATAAGAAATAACTTATGGGAGGCTGGACATCTTGAAAAATCAGCTTGTTTTGCTTGGCTAGAATTCTTAAAACTAACATAAAAGCCACTGAAAGACTGTAATGGGCCTTAAGAGTAGAAGAAAAAGCAGATTATATATTAAATGAAGGTACCTGAAGTTGTGCAAGTGGTCTCCCATTATTGTTACTGGTTAAATGGAGCTCAATATTAGCTGTAACATCTTTATTAAGAGAAAGTTTGATATATTTTCTTAAAATCAGATTACTTTTATAAGGCAAAACATGCTTGACAAGATTATTTTTCTTTTTAGACAAAAACTAAGACTAATTTATAACTAATTTCTGTTTTACTTTCTTGAGATTCCTTTTTTGCAGTGCAGTCTGGCCACCCTACATATCATGTATCTAGTCACAGAGAAGCCTATGTGCCTAAACTGACTTTTTTTTTACACAAAAAAAGGAATAACTGAATGTATTGCATTTGCAGAATTTATAAGAAGGGACAAATAATTAAGAATTTGTCGTAGACAGCATTTCACAAAGCTTAATAAAGATTCCCAGAACTCAACAACTCTCAAAACTCCAGTATTTTTTAAGAGAGTCTGGCGTTGATTTGCCACCACCTTAACTGGTCCAGATACTGTTTTTATAACGGTGTAAATGACGTGTCAGTGTTCTCTTCCACAGTAAGACTTGATGTAGAAAAAGCTAGTTTGTGACGCTAAACTCTGATTTAAGGTTTTATTTATGTTTCTGTAGAGAATGAAATGAACGGCATGACACCAAAGGAGCTGGAGAAAGAGAAGATGACGGTTGGGAGGATGGGCTTTGAACTCAGAGCCAAACGACAGGTGAGCAGACAGAGACGAAATAAAAACAGATGAGATATATTTTAAGGGAGAGATTTGATTTGTCTCCTCCCATCCTCCTCTTCTTTCCCCTTATCAACCTTTTCCTCTACTTCCTCTTCCTCTCTCCTCCTCACAGCAGTAGCTAGAGACCGAGAGCATACAGAGGATAGATGGCTATCAGAGCTATATTTACGATTTCTTACCATATTTTTGTTCTAGTGCAAAAACTGTAAGATTTTGAGACTAAAATGACATCAAAACTCAGTCTGGCACTGCTGAATAAGGGGAGAATAAGGTATCTAGTTATAGTTTGAGAATTGCTGTTGTGGTCGACCTGTTTATGAATGCTTTCTCTGCTGTTTCAGGACGTGGTGACCCAGCTGACCGACCTCCTCAACGTCACTCAGGCGTTGCTGTCTGACCTGATCTCCGAGGAGCTGCCCGAGTGGAAGCAGCGGCAGCAGATCGCCTGTATCGGCGGTCCGCCCAACGCCTGCGTGGACCAGCTACAGAACTGGTGAGTCTTCCGGCCTCGCACAAGCTTAGAAGACAAACAACAGCAACAGAAAAAAATAAACAAATACTCTCCTCCTCCTCTTCTTCCTCCTCTTCCTCCTGCAGGTTCACAGCAGTAGCAGAGAGTCTCCAGCAGGTCCGTCAGCACCTGAAGAAGCTGCAGGAGTTGGAGCAGAAGTTCACCTACGACAGCGACCCCATCACACAGAAAAAAGCTTTCTTGGAGGCCCGAGCCCTGGACCTCCTCAAGAACCTCCTCTCCAAGTAGGGAACCTTATTATTGGTCATCAATTAGAATTTGATTCACTTTAACTTACAAATCTTTTTTTCTGTGGGTAACTAAGCAATAATGGACATTGTGTGTGTGTGTGTGTGTGTGTGTGTGTGTGTGTGTGTGTGTGTGTGTGTGTGTGTGTAGCTCCCTGGTTGTGGAGAGGCAGCCCTGTATGCCCACCCACCCTCAGAGACCCCTGGTGCTGAAAACAGGCGTCCAGTTCACTGTGAAACTACGGTAAGAGACAAAAAAAAACACAATACTGATGTCAAAACTGAACTAGTGGTGGTTATAAGTTATACGTTCTTTGAGTACTCTTCTAATCTTATAATAATTACACTTGTGGTTTTCCTGTGTTTCTGTGAAAAATCTGTCACCCAAATAAAATGTCAGGAGCGAAAAATATAAACGCAGCAAACGTGTCACAAAGGTACAAAAACAATTCTTTGTCAACTTCCTGTTTCAGTTGATTTTTTGTTTCTGTTCAGGTTCCTGGTGAAGCTGCAGGAGTTTAACTACCAGCTCAAAGTCAAGGCTGTGTTTGATAAGTAAGCTGTTCATTTACCTTCCGAGAACTGCTGATACCTGCCTGTGTATGAACATGTTTTTAATCTCTCAACTTCTGCTTTTCCTCAGAGATGTTACAGAGAAGAAAGGGTACGTCTCAAAAACCATTTACACACATTCTTAGATAAATATTCAACAATGTCTCCTTAAATAACACTTTTTATGCTAAAAAGCGTAATACTGATACTCTCAGTAAGTAAACAGAAAAAAAGCATTATTCATTCAATATCAAATATTTGAATGTCAATAAATGTTCGACTTCTTATTCGTGTCTATTGTCAGGTTTCGGAAGTTCAACATTTTGGGAACAAACACCAAAGTTATGAACATGGAGGAGTCAAACGGCAGCCTTGCAGCGGAGTTCAGACATTTGGTAAGACGGGTGTTTAATTTATAATATTTTAAATGTACAATATGTAATTTCTGCCACTAAGGGGTCTCTCAAATCACAACAACAATAAAAGACAAAGTTTGATGACGTGGTGTGTTTCTCTAATTTGTTCTTGTTCTCCACGTAGCAACTGAAAGAGCAGAAGGTCGCCGGCAACCGAACGAATGAGGTAAGAGTCTCAGTGATGATATTATGAATGCGAGTGAAATTCTCATATCTCCATGCATACAGCCTATTAATGATCAGATTTCTTGTTGCTGTGGTTGATAAATACATTACAGTGATGTTAATTGTAAGTTTAATTGACACTTTAACTGTAAAACATTTACATTTTCTGTAAAATAAAATAAATTCTACTAGTTACTTGTATATGTAATGTACTAAATTTGCCCGATACTGCAACTTATATGTAAGCGGTCTGGTCTAACTCCTGGAACATGTCCTGGAAAGGTGTGTAAAGAATGGGAACCCTCTTTGTGTGTCCGTGTTTGTTCAGGGTCCTCTGATCGTCACCGAGGAGCTTCACTCGCTCAGCTTCGAGTCTGAGCTGCAGCTCAACCAGTCGGGACTCAACATCAAACTGGAGGTGAGACCAGATGACACAACCTTTACACAAAAGTTATGTGCTCTGTGTTGTAGGTAGAGCTGCGTGATAAGTTGATTCATTAAAATTTAAGTTTTAAAACGTCCAAATTTTGGCCTAGTTGTAGGAGAGGATCCCCTCATATAGTCTACAGGGTAAAATGAAAGACTAGCGTGTTATTTAATCTGGATTTTATGAGTTTGTTTATAATTATTTCCTGTTGTTGTTTATATGTTGTTGTAGGCAATATCTCTGCCTGTTGTGGTCATATCTAACGTCTGTCAGCTGCCGAGTGGCTGGGCCTCCATCCTCTGGTACAACATGCTGACCACCGAGCCGAAGGTGAACACGCACACACACACACATCAAGGTCATTATAGTTGGTTCACAAAAACTAAAAGTAGGAGTGACAAAACATTAAAGTTAACTGAATAAAAAAGAAAAAATTAGGGAATGTCTTTGGTTCATTGTTTATTGAGATTGGGATTTTTTACATGATGGATTTGGCCTCGTGCAAGAACCACTCTGGTGTTAATAAAGTGTCCTCTTCTTCTCTCTCCTCATCCTCAGAATCTGAAGTTCTTCCTCTCCCCTCCGTCTGCGAAGTGGTCTCAGCTGTCCGAGGTTCTCAGCTGGCAGTTCTCCTCCGTCACCAAGCGAGGCCTGAACCAGGAGCAGCTCAACATGCTGGCTGACAAACTGCTCGGTGGGAACCGCAACACAAACACCAACCGAGAGCAAAATAATGAACTTTTTAAAGATTATCACCTCTGATTCCTGCAGATCTTTCACACTATTATTCCAAGTATGACAATATTCAGACAATCACAATAAATAGTGCTTTTCTTTTGTGCATGCATCTCTACTCTAAACTGTTGGCTACTCGGTTTGTTTACAACGCACAGAGCTGACCGATAAAGAGGCAAACTGCAGTGAGAACTCCAAATGAGATGCTTATTCTAATGCGCTGTATAGATGTCCAAATCATGTCTTAATCAGAAAATGCTGAAACCTGAATGTTTCTCTGTAGGAGCCAAAGCCCAGAGGAACCCGGAGGGACAAATTCCATGGACTAAGTTTTGCAAGGTTAACCACAATCGGCCTATGATATACAGTAGATATGTTTAATTAAAAATACAGTAACCTCTGAGGCCCTTCAAAGCATTATTTTGTTATTTACATGATTGCTTTATTTGTAGTATCTGTAAAGTGTATCTTTGCTAAACCCCTTTTCTTTTTTCCCGCAGCAGGGTGCTAATGAGAAAGCTTTTCCCTTCTGGTTGTGGATCGAAGGAATCCTCGATGTGATTAAAAGACACCTGCTTTCCCTCTGGAACGACGGGTGAGCTCATTTTTAGATTAAACATTTCTGAGAGGTCTGAGAGTGGATTTGTGAGTGTTTTTTCTGCCTCTGTGTGCAGCTCCATCATGGGCTTCATCAGTAAGGAGAGGGAGAAAGCTCTGCTGAGTGACAAGTGTCCCGGTACCTTCCTGCTCAGGTTCAGTGAGAGCAGCAGAGAGGGAGCTATCACCTTCACCTGGATCGAACACGACGTGCACGGTGAGCAAAGGGATTAAGTGTAGGAAGTGCTTCCTTTGATGCTGTTGATCATAGCTCTTACATCGCTTAGAGACTTGGGAAGGGCACAGCTCTTAGCTTATTGTTTCTTTGAATTCTAATAATTGGTGTCTGTATCACATAAGTTACTGCACGTTGGTTTGGTTTCATTATCGGACGTTTCTAAAATCTCTGTTTTTGAACCCAGACAAACCGGTCTTCCACTCTGTGGAGCCGTACACAAAGAAGGAACTGTCCGCCGTCTCTTTGCCCGACATCATCCGCACCTACAAGGTCATGGCCGCCGAGAACATCCCCGAGAACCCGCTTCGTTTCCTCTACCCCAACATCCCCAAAGACAAGGCCTTCGGGAAGTACTACCCCAAACCCACAGAGAGTAAGTACTCCAGTAAAGGACCTTTACTCGGTTAGTAAGTGGAGCAATATTGTTACAGCTGCTTCTTCTCCGGGGAAATATCATACTTTCTTTTTTACTTCACTACTTATTTGAATTTGCAGATTGAGATTTTACACTCAAAATAAATGGTCAGTTTATAAAATATGATGCCTTGTTCTGTGCACAAAATCTTATTATCGAGTATTTTTTCCTCTGTAATTAATTTCAAAGGTCCAGTGTGTAACATTTTGGAGGCTCTATGTTTTTATTAAATATTAAGACTTATTTTCAGGTATATTAAACACCTGAAAATAAGTCTTAATATTTTATTTTGACAATTAATTTAATATAAAAGCAAAAATATCCCAACTTCTTATTTTAAGAGGGTTTTTGACTCAATCATATATATTATATACATTATAAAGCAACTACAGTTTTAATGCACAATGTGTACTTAAAGTACATTTTGCTGACAATAATTACATTATACTTCCTCCACCAGCACCACTGCACACTTTACGCTTTCTATTTAATAGAAATAGCAAAATACACATTCTGATACAAAACTTCATTCAGATTTTTAAAGTTTTATCTGTGTGTATCTGACTTCCAGCTACAGAGCCCATGGACGTAGAGAACCCAGAGAGGACCGGCTACATGAAGACGGAGCTCATATCTGTCTCAGAAGTGTAAGCATCCGTCACAAAAACATGTTAATGATAATTAATGTAATATATTATGTGTTAATGTGGATGTTCTTCTGTCCTGTTGGTCCAGACATCCGTCCAGACTGCAGGACAACATGATGCCGATGTCTCCTGACGACTACAAGGCTTTGTCGCAGTACGTGAGCCCCAGAGATATCGATGCTGTGGTGAGTAGCACTTTGTACGGCGAGTTAACAGACTGCTGCTGTGTGTCTTTAAATACTGCTCTCCAGAGTCCTGCGCAGGTCCAGAACCGACTCAACGCTTAACGTTAGATCCAGGATGCACAAACAGCCGAGGGAAACGAATAATAAGCCTGTCGTTGTGTCTCTGTGTCTTTCTTCTTGCTCTGATTTCAGGCCAACAATCTGATTTCTGGATTTGAAGAGTTTGACGTTCAGGTAGAACGCAGCTTTAACTTGTTGCTCTACACTGAATAGTCCTTGTTAGAGTGTGTTTGTGTTGTTGGTGCTACAGCAGGTAGCAATGTCCACTTTCAAAGCATGAATTGAGTTGATCCTCGTAAGTCCTGCCTGTTTTGGAACATCGGTCAACTTTCTCCTTTCGAAGATGTTTGTTCGGCCCCAGCCTGCTTTTGGGTGAAAGCAGTCCCTCTAATTCTAACTCTAATAATAAAATAAGAATACCGTATTGCTTTTTAAATGTGAACAACATTTAAGGAGGAAGTTGTTCCACAAAGGGACGGGGCTTAATAAGGGCCAATTGTACTGTTCACGTTTGCTTGCATGAATGAAAAATGTAAATCTTTTGAGAACAACAAAGTAATTGTTCATAGATTTGAATGAATTGTTTTGAAAGAAATAAGTCTATTTTTTTAACTTTGTGCCTGGATTGATGCATCTGCATGTTATTTACATGTGAAGGATCAGTTTGTCTCTTTTAGATACTAAATGATGTAGATGATCTTCTTTAACACCTTCCTAACAAGAAACTGGCTGCATGTAAACTACAGTTTCTTGCACAAGTTCTTGTAGTTTGTGTTTCTGTAGCTGTTACACAAATGTATTGATAAGAATAATTTAATAACATGTTATCCCTTTCTTTTCTTTCCAGATGAGTTCAGAGTTTTCGGACCAAAACTGACGACGACCAAGTTTCTTTATCTCATCCATTTCTTCACACTTTACTTTCCGTCAGAGCTTTTGGTTGATCATTTATGACGCTCTTAGTGTTGCTGTGGATCTTAAAACTCTTTTATTATTTTAACATCATCATTATTATTATTGTTGTGGGGTCAGGGAACCTTTTAAGTTTGGATACAGATCAGTATAGTAACCAATCAGCAGAACATTGGAGAGACTAAAGCCCCATTTGGAAGAGATTAACATCACAGGGTTGGTGGGGAATCAAATATTTACTGGATAATAACTGTAATAAATGTGAACATACAGAGCACATATTATTATTATTATTATTATTATTATTATTATTACCCATCAAAGGATCACAATCATAGGATAAAGATGCTGCAGAACTTGCCTGTGAATCAGCAGGTTTTTAAGTTTTCTTTAGTATAAAAATAATCTAGTGATAGTTGTGTGAACATTGATCGGTACGCAGCAAATGGGACCTGCCAATAGCTAGTTCGGCACACTTTTAATGCTAAAATCTGAACATATTTGACACATTTCAAGATCTTTAATGTGGTTTTGCTCTCCTGATGGCTTTATGTTTTGAGTCTGTCGTCATATAAATAGGTCTGTATGTTGGTGTTGGCATGTTTCCACATCATCAGCAGAATCATTTTCCCACATTTGAAAAAAACAAGCAGCTGTATTATTATATACATATTCAATCCACACAAAGTAGGTGATGTTAAAATCTCCCAACCTCACCAGGTGAAATAAATACCGTCCAAATGGGGCTTAAATCAAGTTAAGACGTAATCTGTCGCTTTATTTCTGTACATATGTTTCTTTTTCTTATGAAATGTGAACTGCTCCTTAAACTGTAAAACAGTGAAATTTAAGAATGTGATTCTGAAAAGCCGCTTTCTTTGTATCAGAAATACTATGAACACTTGTTTTGTGGAAAAAATTGTGTGACACATCATGTATGTGTTAAGTTTTCCTGTAGCAACCTGAGCTTTTTATTTAAGAAACTGTATCATGAGCTTTTGTTTTCTAAAGTGTTGTAACAGTGGAACGAGCAATTAAACTACTTAATGACTTAATGAGTTTTATTTTTGAAGAAATCAAATCAAATGTCCTGTTATTGAAGATTATCTGTATACAAAGCACATTTTATTTTTTACATAGATATACATAAAATAACTAGCTAAAGCTCAGACAAACGTTACATTACATTGTACAGGTAGTTCAATAGGACACATTGAAAGATGATGAATTTAACCCACAAACATTAACCAACATTAACAATTAAACATAATTAAAAAAGAACATATTGAAACAGTGGTTCTCAACCTTTTTTTGGCCAGCGCCCCCCTATTCATCATTATTATTATTATTATTATTATTATTATTATTATTTAGCTTTATATAAATAATATGAATTTCTGGTGCTGTCTGTCTTTATGCTGGTGGAGTTGTTTGCTGCCCTCCAGTGGTCGCAGTGAGGAACTACACCGAGGTGATACTCAAGTTAGACATAATAACATAACGAAAACACTTCCGGTCAGTAATTTCAAAACAAATCCATGACCCAACGGAAACAGTAACTGAAGAATTAACAGTATTACTTATCACAACTGATCAATTATGCGACTATTATCAATAAATATAACACCACTTTTTAATGTCTTTAATATCTGTCTTTTTATATATGAACGCTACTGAGTAATATAACTAATGTAATATTTTAATAAAATGTTGGTCAGTTATGGTGAAACTAGTGAAATTATCACGTGTATGCATCTTAAGACACACCCGAAGTGCAATTTAAATTGCGAATACGATATACAAATGATTAATCATTCGCTACAACAGAACAATTGATTTTTCTCATAGTTTGGTCAGATTTATTTTGAAAGCGTCAACCGGAAGTTGTAGCATTGTAGTCATGTTATAATGTCTAACTTAACTTAATCACCGGGGTGTAGTTTCTCATTACGGCCACTGGAGGGCAGCAAATACTCTTCTTCTTCTACAAGGAATCATTAACAGTCCACCAGCATAAAGAATACAGCAACAATCTTTATTTTACTTTATTAATGAATGTTTTACTAACCTTAATGTTACAGATTTATAATAATTACACTAATATAATAATAATAATTCAATTAAAGACGGCTTCTTCCCCCAGGCTGTGAGATTGTTAAATTCTTCCTCAAAAATTCATCATACAAATTGAAATAGTTTTTTTTTATGACTAATTAATCTTTTTTCAATTAAATAAATAATTTTATAAGTAGCATAAAGTGACCTATATCTATATCTATATAAGTATAAATAAAATAACGTTGAATCTTTGTAATAAAGCAGATTTATTGTAGTGTTGTAGTTCCTCATTATGACCACTGGAGGGCAGCAAACACACGTTAATCTAAATACACTCGTGTCAGCGGTCAGCTGCAGCAGTGTAAAGACACACACAACCACATACACACGTTTCCGGTAAAACCTTTCAAAGTAAAACAACTGAGCCCGACAGCGGTTTATTTGAATGCATTAAACGAGGGGCTCTTATTGTGAAATATGTCCGTTACCTTTGCTGTTTCCAGTGTTTGTGCTAAGCTAAGCTAACATTAGCTGCAACAGCAGGTGGGATTTTCACATTAAAGCACAAAGTAAAACACAAGCTTTTCAAAATAAAAGACAAAGCAACCCAGAACCCATTGTAGAAGGGAGATGTCACTTCTTTTTCAAAGTAATAATAATACTTTTAGAGGTTAAAATAGCTTTCTTATTTGACAATAATTTAGAAACATTTTTATTAGGTGATAATTCGTCAGAGTAATAATCATACTCACTAATAAACTGCCCCAAACATGGAGGATTGCTCTCAAACGTGTGAATATGAAGATGTGATTCAGAATAAGGACTTGGATATTATAGGATATAACAATGTCATAAAAAGAATATCACCAAAGTCACTATTTCCTTTCAGCAGTGTATTGTTATATGGCTCTTAGACTGGACAAATACATAGATAGATAGATAGATAGATAGATAGATAGATAGATAGATAGATAGATAGATAGATAATAGATAGATAGATAGATACTTTATTTATCTATAACTTTATTTATTAATTATCTTTATAAATTCAAGGACTCATATCAGGATAATTCTGCCCTCAGATCACAGTCATTCTTCCAAATCAACTCCTTTATGCAAACTAAACTGTCCTGAACTCTTGGCAGAGAAAATGTGGTCAAAATTACTATTTATAGTATATATTATATTTATATAATATATATATATAATATATATTATATAAATATAATATATATTATATTTATAGTATATATATTATATTTATATTATATATATTATTAAACTATACTATACTGTGTTTGTAAGTACAATGTGATTTATAAGCATTTTTTATATTCCCTTCCTTTTGTTATGTGTATTTGTTTATTGTGGTTGAAGTTGGTGGTAAGATTATTATTTTTCACTGTATCGACATATTTGTAGAATTTATTGAAATTTGATTTGTTATAATTAAATCTGTTTTCTGGTCCAATGGGGCCATCTGGTGGATGTCAGTGGCTGCTCCTCTTCATACAGGAGGAGTAAAACTGAAAGTAAGACAGACCAGAAAGCATTTATCTGTCCTTCATGAAGCTGTTCGGTTGTATTTCTACAATCTTCGACAGACAGAAACCCGCTGAGGGATCAGAAACTCTCTGCGACCTGTGAGGATGCAGTGAACTCTGGTACACAGGTTAGAGTCCGGAGGAACAACAGAACAGGGATTTATTTTAAAAGAAAGATAAAGAGGAAGAGACAGAGAGGAGGACACACGGACCTGCTATTTATTTGTTCTTATTGGAAACAGACAGTTTTAAGAGAAGACCTGTGTTTGATTGTTGGTCAGGTGAAGTTAATCTGATCCACTGTTTCAGATTCAGGACGATTTGAGTTTAACACAATAAAATCCATTTGTCTCGTAAATCCCCCGCCCGAGTTGGAAAGTGAAACTCTCGCAGCTATCTCGCGACATTTCACCGAGACACACCTTTGGGTCGTAATATCAGCCGTTCAGCTGGGGGCTGCTCACAGTAGGGGGGGGTCGTTTTAATGTCGATTTTAAATGCTCTTACACACTGTTTACATTGCTGCTTTAGTCCGGTCACCAGTTTACACATTGCACGGTGTTACTGTGAGTTCAATACAATGTAAAGTTTTGTTTTTGAGCTGGTTTGCTAAATAGGCTAATGTAGCTAACAATAACACTAGCCTGCCCCTGCCCCTGGTGGCCCCTGGTGGCCCCTGAAGGCCCCTGGAGGCCCCTGGTGGCCACTGGAGGCCCCTGGTGGTCGCTGGAGGCCGCTGGTGGCTCCTGGAGGCCCCTGGAGGCCGCTGGTGGCCCCTGGAGGCCCCTGGTGGCCGCTGGAGGCCACTGGTGGCCCCTGGTGGCTCCTGGTGGCCCCTGAAGGCTCCTGGAGGCCCCTGGTGGCTCGCTGGAGGCCGCTGGTGGCTCCTGGAGGCCGCTGGTGGCTCCTGGAGGCCCCTGGAGGCAGGCTTGGTGGCCCCTGGAGGCCGCTGAAGTTAGGCCCCTGGAGGCTCCAGGAAGCCCCTGGTGGCCGCTGGAGGCCCCAGGTGGCCGCTGGTGGCCCCTGGAGGCCGCTGGTGGCTCCTGGAGGCCAATGACGTCACGTTCTCACGTCAGAGCAACTCGGGCGGGGGATTTACGAGACAAATGGAAAGCAGCATTATCCAGCTCTTCCCAAAGTGTTCTCTAGCGACATGAAAGGTTAATGGAGTTTCCTGTTTTTGTTTTCTATTTTAGAGGAAACTTTAATTAAAATAAAATTAATTATAGTTTAGTTGCAGAAGAAGTTTGTGGCTAGCTTAGCAACCTAGCTTCCTCATTAGCAAAATAATTAACCTTGTTTCAGACGTAATTACACAATGAAATTAGAGGTTATTATTATTATTATTATTATTATTGTTGTTCTTCCATAATTATGGTTGTATGTGAAATATAAATGCTCTGTTGTATTAACCCTAAAATCATATTTAGTTACATTGACAGAGACCATGTAATAAATAATTAAATTAATGTTGAATATTAACTTTAAATCACAAAAGGTGAACGTACTTTTTCAGCTTTGAGTAGTGTCTGTAAGTCTCAATCTCACCTGCCTCTACCATTATTGATCTGATGATTGATTTAGTCTTGTTGTTGTTTCTCTTGTGATCAGGAAAATGTCACTGAACAGCTGATGGAGTCTGATCATCAGTGGAGACTTTGAGGCCTCAGTGTAAGTGTCTCTGATATATAGTCTGCATCTGTCTGTGTACGACAATGTTTCTCTGTCATTGTCTTTTAATGTGGTATAAATTATGTTTTGTCTGCCCTTCACACTTTTTAGTTAGTCCTAAAAAAATAATGAAACTATTTATAACAACACATTTTATACCGAAAGATGTAATATAATGTGTCTCACATTACAAAGAACAAAGTTAAAAAGTAGAAACAAAACCTAAATGAGAAAATGGGAGACACAACAAATAAAAAGCTCTAAAAATTCTATAGAGATTCTTTAGAGATGGATGCTACCTACACAAACCTTACAGGGAAGAGGAGCAGCACTTTCGTATCGTCCCTGCCTCCCCCCCAACATACCATGCAGCCTTAATTAGTGTTTTATTCCAGCTGTTATTTTGTTCTCCAGATCACTGAAGTTGGGTCTGTGTGCAGAGCATACAGCAGTAAGGACACATGGCGAGTACAACACAGTCTGCCAGAGATTACATCGAGAGTGCCAGAGTCCACCTTGTGAGAGAATTAAAGAATCTCTCAGTGATTGTGGAGAACTTGTATCAGCAAAAGGTTTTCAGTGATGAAGAGGTCAGTAAAATACAGACAGAGAGAGATGACTTCGATAAAACCAGTAAAATACTGGACTCAGTCACTAAAAAGGGTGAAGCAGCCTGCTACAAGTTCCTCAGGATTATTGACATGACGAGGAAGAGGACCTTAGAGAGGGCATCCGTTCTCCCTGAGAAACAGAGTGCAGCTTCTACTGAGAACAGGAGGTTTGACCTGCACCACTGGATCAGCTGCTATCCTTTCAAAGAAGACACACAAATGGATGTAAACTACTTACAAGGTATTGAGAAGCAGAATTCAGATTAATAATGTGTCACATTTTTATTATTTATCTTCTGTATGTTTTATATACTGTAATGCACTTTAATGTGTCTGTGTAAATATTTATCTCGTGTGATATATTTATTACTCACTGTGTTTTTTATTTTAGGCTCAAGGCCGTGCCACCGATATCAGGCAAAGTTAAAGTCAAAAGCACAAAAAATATCAAATAAGTTTTGGATGGCAAACAAAAATCTGTTTGAAGGAAACAACCCTGATCTGTCGTACACTGCACTTGTATTAGACAAACAAGGAGGTGATTCTCCATCTAAAATAAAGAAGTTAAAGAGCAAGAAAAGGAAGCTGAGTCGCCCCAAAAAGATGAAGACGTACATCCCTAAAGACAGACCTGGAACTTCCCCCAGTGACCTGCTGAAAACAGATGAAAACATACTCTTGGTTGGTAAGCCTGGAATTGGAAAGACTGCACTGTCTCATGAACTGTTGAGACTCTGGGCAGAAAGAGACAACGAGGAGCTCGATTACATGTTTTACTTTGACATGAGAGAAACATCCCACATTACGAAGGCCATGAGCTTGGAGGATCTTCTTTTCAGTGTGTTCAGTGAACCAGATGAAGGCAGAGAAGAGGTCTTACAGGATATAAAGAGGAACTCTGACAATGTTACAATCATTTTTGATGGAATCACAGATCTCTCTTCTTCAGTGGTAAAGAAACTTGTAGAGAAGGACCTACTACCTGATGCCAAGGTCATCGTGACTTGCAGACCAGATAATGAAGAAGACTTTGGGGACTTTCTCAGAGTGGAAGTAAAAGGCTTTAGTGAGCAGACCACAAAAACATACTTATCTGCAATTCTCGGCGACGCCCAAAAGAAGGTTCTGAGCAACTTGGAGCTGTTGACTCTTTGCCATGTCCCAATGTATGCGCTGATGGTGGCGGCTTGCTTTTCATCTGAGACACCAGAAGACTCTTCACAGCCGTGCAGTATAACTGAGATCTACATCAATATTGTTCGTTTTTGTCTTCAAATGAACAGCAACAAAACAAAAAACATAGATCTAAATTCCTTCATCGAAAACAAGAGTGAGGAAATACTGTCTTTGGCTGAGGTTGCTTTTCATGCAACTGAAGGAAAAACTGTGAACTTGACAAAACTGCCCCGTGAAGACAGCTGTGTCCTTTGCTTCCTGAAATCACTTGTTATCACTGAGGCAATAACCACGTATGCATTTCTCCATTACACAATGCAGGAGTTTTTTGCAGCAATATGGCTCTTGAAGAATCCAGATAAAATCAAGGAGGTTTTTCAGCAATGCCTCACTACGGAGAAGAAACACATGAAACATCTGATCCCTTTCATGTGTCGATTGTTGACTGAGAAGAGCCCGAGTTTGATGAAGTGTCTGATTTCAGCTCAGGAGCTCAGAAATACATCCAACTGGTTCTTCAAAGAAATGATAAACAGATTTTTGCCATATCTGTGTGAGACAGATAAGGCTGATACTGAAGACAGTGGGCTTGATGTGGACATACTGTTCCTATGTCAGTGTTTGTTTGAGTCCCAGTGTCCTGAAGCGTGCTTCTACTTTCTGGACAAACTGGACTACCGACTTGATCTCAGTGGAAAGAGTCTCGGTCCTTACCCTTGCTGTGCTGTGGCCTATGTGGTCACTCAGTCGAAGGAGAAGAAAATATATCTGAACCTCGAGGACGTCATGGTGTCAGAGCAAGGAATGAGACGACTATTTGGATGTCTTCAAAATGTCCAGTGGTATGTGTGAGCATGTGACAAATTACTGCTTACGTTGCAACATATCTAATTAAGTAGAACTGAGTTGTTATTTTTTATGTGTAACTAATTTTATTAATGAATCCAGGATGTAATGAGGATGACAGAATAGAATGACCCCAATGACCCTGAACAGGATGAGTTAGTCTAAAAAAGGCATGGCAAAAACTTCATGAGTAAAATAAAGTATGGTGTTTCTACTGTATCTGCTGCTGTTACTTTAATGATCTCTGATTATTGTTAAATTATAGGTGTGATCCTCTGCCACGGCAGCTGTGGGAGGTTTTCCTTCTCAGTGAAGAGCAGATGGACTACAGGAGATTACTCGACCTTGATGGAAATCAGCTGCACCTTCCAGTTGAGGGTAAACGACGGCTGTTTGAAAGAGCAGTAAAAGTCATGCAGAAGAGCTCTACTCAGGTTAATGTCTGCCTCCACTGGGACAGGGCAACTCCTGCCTGCCAAAGTCTGCATGAATCCCTCTTAGAGGCTTTACCACACATCAGCTCACTCAGGTAAGCAACTTTCATTTTTGAGTGATGATTCCACATACTTTAAAATGTTTTCCTTTTAAAACCGTGAATGTCGAAATGTAAATTATTTGTGTCTTTATGAACTCACCACTTGCTATAGTGAGAAATTTTAGTTTGTTTCCAGATAACTAACTCATCACTGGGTTGAAAAAGAGCTATGGAGGGTGTTTTCTACATCCTTTCTATTCAGAAATCTTGTTTTTGTGGCTGAGGATAAACTTGCTTCACATGGTGTGTGATCTGGAAGGTCAGTTAAGTCTTCACTGCATGCTGATAGGCAGAGAGTGGATAATCAGTGTTGATACACAGCAGAAATGATAAGAGAAAAGCAGCTGAACTGAATGTGTTGTCAGGAGGTGCGCTCCTGGACAGCCAACATGAGTGGTCGTTGATAATCTGCCAATCTGACACTAAATCCACAAACAATAATTTCACATAGGTTTCAAACAAAACATGAAAGCAGCCCATGAACCGTGATATGTACATAAAACACCCTGCACCTGTCACGAGAACCGATACTTTGGTACAAAGTCATGGCCAAAATTGTAATGTACTCATGCAATAAAATTGTTCTGGACCTGACGGGGCAGCATATATGCCTGCAAATATTATATCTGCCGTTAACTGCTATAAAAAGAAGTGCAGCTTTTACTCACAAGGCTTTTGTTTTCAGATGAGGAAAATATATTCACCAGAATATAGTTCATTCAGGTAACTCAAGCGAAGGTTTCACCAAAGAACTGAACACTGCAGGACACCTTTAAAGGGACAGAGAAATTCCCTACTATTGTTGGAAATGTGGCAGAAATGTCTGGGAAAGAAATCGGTTACCAACAAGGGCCAGTACAGACAGAGACTGATCTGATGCTCGGCTGCATTTTATACAGGATTTTCCAGAGTGTCAGTACTGGCATTACAGGAAATTCAAAACCCAGCAATGACCAAATGTGATGTTATAAATGTCAGCAGAAAGGTGCACAGTAACTGTAGTACTTGCAGGTGTTGAGGCCCAGGATTTGAAGTTGAGGCTATGAGACAATTACACTTAATATCTAACATCAGCACAGTCTTGACATTATATTTCTTTACAACTGTATGTGCTTAGACAATTAGATTTGATACAGTTTTACAGTACACTGTTTGATAGATCTGTTATCATGCAGCTTCAGAATGACCAACAGAGGTCCAGGATTACAGGACCAGGAGCAATGCCATGGGACACCGGAGAGGGAAGAAAAGCAGCTGTTACTGGATTTGTGCCTGAAAGCAGCAGCACTATACAAAAGGGAGAGCTTTCACAATGTAGTCAGTACGCTCCTTTCGTTGTTTTCTGTTAACACCGACTTAAATAACATCCTTCTTGATTTTTATCAACATGTCAAGAGTAAAGGGTGTTCAAGTGTTATTCCAAAACTGAGGTCACTTTTCCAGTCACCTCCCTCAGTCTGGTCCATAAACCTCTCAGAGAGAAAGACCTCCATCCTCCTGGAAGTGCTGAAACTCCAATCAGAGAAGAAACAAGTGAAGCTGACAGGCTGCTCACATGAAGAGAGTGAAGTGAGGAGTTTCCTACAGTGTCTGCCTTATATCTCACAGCTCAGGTAAATGCTTATCTTTATCATTACTTTTGTTTTCCCCTAGAGGCTGTTTAATTTATTTTTAGGGTTTCTGTATGCACATACAATTATAACAAATGTCATAACACAGTTCAATCACAAATATGACTTTTATTAGATAAAAAACGTACATTACATTTTTTTTAATCTTCATGATTTCAGTTTCGTGCCTCAGTCATCAGAACCTTCAGAGGAAACCAAGTTCTTTGGGAATCTGTTGTGTGCAGCAGCAGAGAGAGAACAGCAGACAGGAGAGAAGATACTGGAGCTGTTATCATCAGTGTGCAGATATAAAACATTCCCTCTTAGAGAGCAATGGTGTGATTTCCTGCTGGACCTTTACTCTTATGGGTCTAAAACAGGCTTGAGTGTCCTTCCATCATTACAGTCAGTTCCTGAAGTCTGGTCCATAAACCTCTCAGAGAGAAAGACCTCCATCCTCCTGGAAGTGCTGAAACTCCAATCAGAGAAGAAACAAGTGGAGCTGACAGGCTGCTCACATGAAGAGAGTGAAGTGAGGAGTTTCCTACAGTGTCTGCCTTATATCTCACAGCTCAGGTAAATTAATAGTACTTCACATGATTTAACTCTTCATATGAATAGTTGTGTATGAAAGTATGAAAGACATACCCTCATCAACGTCACATCAGTTCTACCGATATAGACCTTGAAACTGTAGTGAAAGGTGTACATGTAAATGTTAAATCTGAGTAAAATACTTTACTTTTCAATGCACCCAGAAAAGTGGGATCTGTTTCTGAAATCATAGCACTCAGTTTATGTTTCCAATACTTCTATTTAACGATTAGGGGATTCAATACAAAAATCAATACACTATTTTTGAGAATCGATACAATATCACTAAACAAATTTTCACGATACAATATTTTTTTATATTTTCTTACACCCCTACTGGTATAATGTCAATATGACTATGACCAGATCCTTTTCACTGTCCATAGTTGCTGGGAATCTTTTGTGGAAACATAGGCGAGACCTTGACTCTCTAGTGAAGTGATGCTGCAGCCTCACCTGAGATGCACATAACATGCATGGCTCACACAGGCAGTGTGGCTGCCCTAACCTGTTAACATGGCTGCCGACATATAAAGTAAGATGTTCCACAACATGATGTTCATGCATCCTGTGTGACACTGCCAACCTATCAAAAGACAAAATAACCCTATTTTATTTATTAATATTTTATAGTTTGTTACATTCTTAAAGCAACATTATGTAATTGGTATTTGTTGAGAATTAACGCCTCCACAGTGTTTCCTCTAGGATTTTCTTTTAGCAGTGGGGGCCAGCCTGTTGGTGGAGCTGTCGTTTTGACAATAAGCTACATCAACACAACAGTATGTGGAGTTAAACTGGACAACCCCAATAACCTCTGAATAGTTCTGTTGTTAAATCTCAATGTGAGCGGCAGCCAACGGGGATGCATTATGTCGGCAGGATCATTTAAAAGGCAACCGTGAATACATTGTGCATCTGCCCCATTTCTGATACCGTGGCGGCAGAAATGTAACAATGGCGGGCAGCCGCTCCAAAATCAACATAGAGGAAACACTGCTCCAATTGCAATACCACTGTGGTAAATATGGACAGCTGAGCACGTGCATTTATTGATTACATTACTAACATTATCTGGATATAAAATTACCTATATCAGGATATGAGATGTTGATATTATCATGCCCTAGAGACAGGGAAGCATATATTAGCATTGCCAGATTAAAACTAAAAGCTGGCATCAAGGAGGGAAACTGGAGATTTCAGGAGAGACTGGAGAGAGGCATTAACACCACAACACCAAATTATTGTAACAAGCGATTCAGATCATCACAGGCTACTAAAGCAGGACTGTAACACATTTTTATGCTCACATTTATTTCTTCAGTCATAAGTCAGCTGTAAAGTCTACTCTGCCTCCAGATGATTGAGCGCTGTCAATATCCACTGCGAATGTGACAAGAATCCTGCTGAATGCATATGAGTTCAGCTCCCAGACCTGATAAAATCTTTGGTGCCAATCAGCTAGTTGGTGTTATTACATTGACAGGTGACATTTTTAACATGCTACTGTCACAGGAAACTGTTCCCACCTTTTTCATGACAGCCACCATCTTCCCAGTACCTAAAAAGTCTGCAGTATCTAGTCTAAACAACTACCGCCCTGTGGCACTGGTTCTCCATAACATCAGCTCAGCCCCCTTCTGTTCACACTGTAACACCCATGACTGCAATACCAGACATAGAGAGAGGTATGTTGAGGTCTGATGACACCAGCTCTATCAGCTGGCTTGCAAACAAAAATGACAATCCATATCTAGGAATGGGAATTGAGAACTGAATTGTCTAATCCATTGAAATGTATGCCACCAAGCCTATCAATTCCTTTTATCAATGCCAGCATGATAAAATAATGATAAAGCCTTTTTATTGTCATTTCCACAGTATATACATTAAACGAAACTTGACCTCTGCATTTGACCCATCCTATATAGATTAGAAGCCACGAGCAGCCTAGGCGCACAGGGAGCAGTTAGGGGTTAGGTGCCTTGCTCAAGGGCACCTCGGCAGTGCACAGGAGGTGAAAATGGCACCTCTCCAGCTACCAGTCAACCCTCCATACTGTGGTCTGTGGGACTTGAACCGGCAACCCTCTGGTTTCCAAGCCATGTCCCTACACACTGAGCTACTGCTGCTGATATTCTAACAGTTGCAAATTGCGAAATAATGACGTCACACCTGTGTCTACACCGCTGGAAACGAAACAACAAAAAGGAATCATGGCGGAGAGGAAGAAAGGTCCAAAGTGTGGCCACGTTTCTCCAACAAACTAAAATCATTATAACAACTCTTTTTCAACACAGTTTTCAGACTCAGAGATAATGAAACAGTGGCACTGATGCTGAAAACCTGCATAGACCTACTTTTTTCCAGGTCCAGTGTGTAACATTTAGGAGGATCCATTGTTGTGATTCAGTAAAGGTCATAAAATGATTTCGATCTGCTCTGATGAAAGACATGTTTAAAAGTTAATTTAATACAGGACAGGCATTCACAAGACATCAGTATTGTGTTGTTGTATTTATGCAGCTGAAATCAAAATTGTCACAAAAGTTTTCCTTCTCTTTATTTCAGTTTTGTTCCTCAGTCGTCAGATTGTTATGAAGAAACCAAGTTCTTCGGGAATCTGTTCTGTGCAGCAGCAGAGAGAGAACAGCAGACAGGAGAGAAGATACTGGAGCTGTTATCGTCAGTGTGCAGATATGAAACATTCCCTCTTAAACGAAAGTGGTGTGATTTCCTCCTGGACCTTTACTCTTATTATTGTGAAACAGGCTTGAGTGTCCTTCCATCATTACAGTCAGTTCTCCAGTCAGCTCCTGCAGTCTGGTCCATAAACCTCTCAGAGAGAAATACCTCCATCCTCCTGGAAGTGCTGAAACTCCAATCAGAGAAGAAACAAGTGAAGCTGACAGGCTGCTCACATGAAGAGAGTGAAGTGAGGAGTTTCCTACAGTGTCTGCCCTATATTTCACAGCTCAGGTAAATTAATAGTACTTCAAATGACTTCAGTTACATTTGTGGAGTTGCTGTCTTACATCTACAGCAACTAACTGTTAGTTATACCATGAAGGTAATATGTTCAATTGATCAGTGCACATAAACATGCCATCACTGTGTTTAGTTTTATAGAAGATATGCTGTTTTATTCCACACACCTCATTGTATTTATTCCTAAATTACTCAGAATTCAGTGCAAATCAAACACCCCTAGCAACACTCAATGTGTTAGTGTAGGATTTACTGTACGAGTCATCTGAAGACATTTATAGAGTGGTTCACCTTTTGAAGACTGAATCATGAACATATTTGGTTACAAAATTTGATTGGTCATGGATACTGGATGGGGCACTCATTCACTGGCTACGTTGACTGTAGTAGAGTGAGCAGTGACTGAGCAGTGAATAATCCAGAGGAGTCAAGAGGATTTTGATCAAGTTGTTTATTAGCAATATTGAAAGGATACACCTTTTAAAGCCTGACTTTCCTGGTTTCAGATAAACTCCATATCAGTAATGTATGGCTCTTTTTCTGCTGTTGACATCATATCATAACAAAATATTAAATTCTCGTTTCAGTGTCTCTCAGCGATTAAGTGTGTCCATTCAAACCAAGTTCTTTGGGAATCTGTTCTGTGCAGCAGCAGAGAGAGAACAGCAGACAGGAAAGAAGATACTGGAGCTGTTATCATCAGTGTGCAGCTATGAAACATTCCCTTACATGGATGATCATGATGATGACGGTGGTGGTGATGATGATGATGATGATGATGATGATCATGATGATGATGAGAGGGAATATCGGTGTGATTTCCTGCTGGATCTGTACTCCCACCTGAAGGACTATGAGACTAAAACAGGCTTGAGTGTCCTTCCATCATTACAGTCAGTTCTCCAGTCAGCTCCTGCAGTCTGGTCCATAAACCTCTCAAAGAGAAAGACCTCCATCCTCCTGGAAGTGCTGAAACTCCAATCAGAGAAGAAACAAGTGAAGCTGACAGGCTGGTCATATGAAGAGAGTGAAATGAGGAGTTTCCTACAGTGTCTGCCTTATATCTCACAGCTCAGGTAATTTAATTGTACTTCACATGACTTCAGTTACATTTGTTGAATTGTGTTCTTACATCTACAGCAAAATCCCACACCTGGGAAATTGACTTGCTACATCAGCTCCAGATACAACACAACACAGTAGATAAGAAGATACACATTACATAAGAAAATTGAATAGAAAAATACAAGATATAATACAAATAGGGAAAAAAATAATTAAGATTAATAAAGAGTTATATGTACACTATATACATTCTTTTTATATACAGATGTTAAAACTGCAGACACAACGATTGATCTGACACCAGGGTTATAAAAATTAGAGAGATTTAGGATGTACCCAATGCCAACAAACATACACAAAGGGTGCATCTAATGTCTCTTTGATGTTTCCTTTAATGCTGCATCTGGTTAGACTCATAATATAAATATGATCATATTTCAAAGTTAGTTAAGGCTGATAATTCCTGAGCACTGGGTTTGATATTGTTGAAGATATCAGGAAGAAACCATTCAAGTCCATTTCAGGGGGTTTGCTGTGGTAGTATGAGGTTATTGAAGTATTCTGGCATACTGGTGAACTTACAGACACAGAGGAGATCTGAGTCTGTGAGCTGGCCCATTATGCATTGCACCTATTGCATTATGACCTAATGGGTAAAATTTGCAAGGGGTAAAGAGACAGCAAGAATACACATTTGGTATATAACAAGATGAAGTTGCATAGAACAGATCACTGGACCAAACCAGTAGGAGGCCAGAACCGGCTCCCAGATATCGATTGATCACTTGATTAGTAAGTCTGGACTGCCTAAATGTTAATTTCTTCAATATCAGTTATATCATTTACATTTTCCCTAAACATCTGCCTTACTCAAATCTCGTGGATGAAGAGTCAATGATAGGATTTCGATGTGTTTTTAGCACCATTAAAGTTAAATTACACATGGTGACAAAGTGTAAAGTATACCTCTAAAAATCCTTATGTTTCTTTAGTAATGTATGAAGTTTCATAGAGTTTTGCAAAAATGATCAATGTCAAAATTTGTGTTCCAGTATTTCAGTATTTGGAGCTCATTGATTAATAAATGTTTTGGGTTTGGCCTTTCAGCCACCGTGTTGGTTCACGTGTGGTATTCCAGTATAGCAGACAATCTTTTAATACAGAGGTGAGGATATACCTTTGTAACCTGACTTTCCTGGTTCCTTGAACATTTAATGAAGAGCTTCATTCAGTAAAAATCTTGTTCATTAGCAGGTATTTGTATCAGATAAACTCGGTACCAGTAATGTGTGCTTCTTTTTCTACTGTTGACATCATATTATAACAAAATGTTCAATTCTCATTACAGTTTCCCTGACAGGTTTAAAGTGTCGTGTAAAGCCGAGTTCTTGTGGAATCTGTTCTGTGCAGCAGCAGAGAGAGAACAGCAGACAGGAGAGAAGATGGATCTGTCATCATCAGTGTGCAGATATGAAGCAATCCATTTTAATTATAGATACATATATGGTGATGATGATAAGGAATATCATTGTGATTTCCTGTTGGATCTTTGCTCCCATGTGAAGGACTATGAGACTAAAACAGGGTTGAGTGTCCTTCCATCATTACAGTCAGTTCTCCAGTCAGCTCCTGCAGTCTGGTCCATAAACCTCTCAGAGAGAAAGACCTCCATCCTCCTGGAAGTGCTGAAACTCCAATCAGAGAAGAAACAAGTGAAGCTGACAGACTGCTCACATGAAGAGAGTGAAGTGAGGGGTTTCCTACAGTGTCTGCCTTATATCTCACAGCTCAGGTATTTGCTTATCTTTATCATTACATTACTTTTGTTTTCCCTATAGAGGCTGTTTCAGAATCAGAATCAGAATTAGGTTTATTGCCAAGTGTCAAGCCTTAAATCTCACAGCTCAGGTAAATAAACTCTTAGTATAAAGATTCTATAAGTAAACTTATAGAAATCTTGTATGTTGCATAAAATCTAACATCCCTGTACTATTTCAATATGTAAGAATCTGAAGCATTAATGTGTTGTAACGTAACTTAAAAATGAAACCTTCCCGACTTTCTTGGTTGCATATGGACTGATTTATATGCGTTTCCTGTTCAGATTTGACAGATGTGACATGTATTTATTCACATTCCCTGGTGCTGTCTCTCCGTTTCCCTACAGTGTCAACAGGGTGCGACACTTTCTAAATTTAGCTTATAAATGGAGTATGCTAATGTCAACAATTGACTGACACCCAACATGATAATAACAATAATATTAGCAGTGGTCAGTGGCAGGGGCAGCCACAATAGATCTAGGCACGACCACAATTCATGAGAACCTGCTATAAGAGAAGGCACAAAATCTCCAGGGAAGAAGCTACATTTAACATGAATTAATGGGACATGAATGTGTATAAAGAGGAGCTCAGAGCATCATGGGAAGTCCCCGATAGTCTAGGCCTATAGTAGTGTAACTAAGGGATGGTTCAGGGCTCACCTGAGCCAGCCCTATGTATAAGTTTTATCAAAGAGGAAAGTCTTAAGTTAACTCTTAAATATGCAGACACCCTCAAAGTCCACCAATTATCTACAGGCCCAGATCGTTTGCTGGACGCCACCTGAACAGTCCGAGGTTGAATGATGATATGCAGCTCAACAGGTCATCACTGGTCAGAGTTGGCAGGGGTCCAAGAAAAGACAGACATTATTTTAGGCATATGTACACTCTGATTGGCGTAATCAGGAGTTATTCCCGCCGCCATGAAAAACTATCTTACTTTATTTATGTTTATCCTTAACCGGCAGTTTTAAACGGGATTCAAAGTGGCCCACTCTGGCCCAAGGAATGCATTTGACTACAGCAAGTCAGCATAACTCTAATTTACACGTCTGTAATTTCAGGGACAAGGTGAAGCATTGCATGATGGGCTTTTCTGTAACTATTTTACATGATATGCACTCTAGATGTTGTAATTCCACTATGTATATTTGATTTATTCTATTCTTAATATATTTTACACTTAGAACTCATATACCAGGCAAAATTGCATAAACCAGTAGGTATCAAAGTTGCAGGGATTTCAGAGACAGGATTATTGTTTGTGTTGTGAGTCAGTTATAAGCCAAAATTGATGCTGTTCTGATGAAAGAAGCATTTTAAATGTAATTCTATTTTATACAGGACAGACTTGTACAAGTTAGTATGGCTTCAAAAAGTATTCAGACCCCTTCACCTTTTGCACTTTCTTGTATGGCAGATGTAATTTTAAACAGATCAAATTGCCATTTTTGACCAGTCCACACACAATAGTCTATAATGATAAAGTTTAAACATGATCTTACAAATATAAACTAAAACTAATTCAAATAATAAATATATTAAAATGTATGAACCAAAATCTCTCATTTACAAAAGTGTACAGACCTTTTGCTTTGGCAGTCCAGATTGTGGTCAGGTGCATCCTGTTTGCTTTAATGATCCTTGAGATGTGTCTAGAACTTGATAGTCCACCTTTGGCAAATTGAATTGATTGGACAAACTTTAAAAAAGGCACACACCTGTGTATAAAAGGTCAGACAATTCACAGTGCATGTGGAGACAAGAACCAAGGCATACAGTCTACAGGAACTCTCTGTAGACCTCCTCAATAAAATTGTGAAACATTTCTTTCTCTTTATTTCAGTTTTGTCGTCATTAGGTCATATCGTTATGAAGAAACCAAGTTCTTTGGGAATCTGTTCTGTGCAGCAGCAGAGAGAGAGCAGCAGACAGGAGAGAAGATTCTGGAGCTGTTATCATCAGTGTGCAGATATGAAACATTCCTTGTTGATTACAGATACATGTATGGTGGTGCTGGTAAGGAATATCGGTGTGATTTCCTGCTGGATCTGTACTCCCACCTGAAAGACTATGAGACTAAAACAGGCTTGAGTGTCCTTCCATCATTACAGTCAGTTCTCCAGTCAGCTCCTGCAGTCTGGTCCATAAACCTCTCAGAGAGAAAGACCTCCATCCTCCTGGAAGTGCTGAAACTCCAATCAGAGAAGAAACAAGTGAAGCTGACAGGCTGCTCACATGAAGAGAGTGAAGTGAGGAGTTTCCTACAGTGTCTGCCTTATATCTCACAGCTCAGGTAAATACTTTTTTTTCATAATTTCTGTAATCAATAGTAGCTGTCACAGCTATTTTTAGTGTTTCTGCATGTAAATTAAATTACCATAAAACGTGGCATGTGCTCCCACATTAAGGAGTGAGACTATAACAGGCTTGAGTGTCCTTCCATCATTACAGTCAGTTCTCCAGTCAGCTTCTGCCGTCAATAATTAACTAATAATCGTCCAGCCAAAGTGAGTAACTGGGCAAGAAGAGCCTTGGTGAGGTGAATAGGTCTATACTGTTAGATTGTCTGTTGCGCTTATTGACAAAGTTTTGAATCCGAACACGTCACCAAAGTTATAATATTACCATCTTCTGAATTCTGAATAAGAAGTGAGGATAACCTACTGGAAGGATGGCAATCTCAGCAGCACTATATCAATAGGAATTTTATGATAGAGTGGCTATATGGAAGTCACTCTTGAGTAAACGGTATATGACAGCCCACTTAGAGTTTTCCAGATGCTAGTTAAAGAACGTTGAGCACGAAGTAAAAGATTCTCTGGTCTGATGACACAAAAAAGTAACTGGGCAGAACTCCAAGCACTATGTATGACGAACACCAGACACGGCCCATCATCTGTCTAATAGAATCCCTACCGTGAAGCGTGGTGATTAAAACGATCATGGTATGGGGATAGTTTTCAGCAGCAGGGACAGAAAGACTGCAGTTGACTGCATGATAATGACCTGAAGCATACAGCCAAGACAATGCTGGAGTGGCTTCAGGACAAGTCCATAGAACATCTGTGGATAGACCTGTAGATGGCAGATTAATTAATCAATCTGACTGACAGGAAGAATGGGATAAAACTCCCAAATCCAGGACAGGGGGCTCATGTAGAAAAGACTGCACAGCTTTCATCCTGAAAGATGGCGTTCTCACAAAAATTGAAAAGTATGTACACAATGAAATTTCCACATGTATAAAACCAGGCAGATGCCAGGTCCTGCGCACCTATTCTTTATACATCCCAATCAATGTAAAATCACACACGTAGAGCACACAGCGTAGCACTCGAACCCAGGCACCCCCTCAAAAAAGATTTTCACACTGCTCCCTACCGGCCGCAGATACAGATCACTAGGCTGCAAACGAGCTTGCTATGGCAGAAGTTCAATCCCTTCTGCCATAACATTACTCAACAAAACTCCCTGGTAACCGTTATGTGTAATTACCTGTGTTGTCTTTAGATGTTTGTGCTGTGTTTAAATGTCTATCTTGTGGTAATGTTGTGTGTATACGTGTATGTACAGACTGTGGCAACAAATTTCCTAAAAAAGACAATAAAGAATCTATCTAAATTACAATGCCCAAAACTTATGCAAACAAGCAAAAAAGAAAAACTTCACTGAGTGTGAGATCGAGGTAGAGGAGACCTTCACTGAGGTGGAGGCCAGAATTTATTTGTTTAGTGGTTTGTCCTCTGGAATAAGCAACAAGTGTAAATCCACGGAGAGTAATGAACGGTCAATACAGTCAGTTCAGAAAACTGTACAATGGCAAAAGAAAAAAATAATCACCTAATACTAGGTCGATGGCAAAAGACGAGCACATCGGCATAGGGTCTCTGCTACAGGTGTAGGCTCAGGACAACACCATGTGAAGGAAGGGTCGCTGCAATTAGGAGCCCTCATCCTGCCCGCATGTGAGGGTGACTCAGACCTGTGTGTTACTCCTGGCTGTATAGCTGTAGCACTCGGCTGTGGTGGGGGTGCAAAATCAAGTCATGGAAGGTGAAAAAAAATGCATTTCCCTCCTGTTTTTGGTCTTTCTGATGTTGAATATTATCTGCAGAAATGATCAGACAATCATGCTGTATCACTTAGACATCAGACATCACAGTAACTGGAGTGGAAACTTTATTTTGAAACATCTGGTTTCAGTACTTTGAAGTTTAAAATTGCCAACTTACAGAGTTTGTGGCACGGCCCACACATTTTCAGGCCCCAGGTGTGCAAAAAAGACTCAAAGCTGTAATAGCTGCTAAAGGGGCCTCTAGAAAGTACCAAATTAAGGGTCTGAACACATACCTAAATTAAAAATTTTGATTTTTAACAAATTTGCAAATGTTTCACTTACTTATTTTCAATTTTGTCATTATGGGTTATTAAGTGTTGATTTATTTTACAGAACTGTAATTTTACAATTACAACTACAACACAATAAAATAAAGCCTGAATACTTAAACCAAAGTAGAGTCCATCAGTAATGTGTAATTGTTTGTAGGCACCTGAGATTAAATTATAGTAAAATGTTTCCTTCTCTTTATTTCAGTTTTGTCCGGCAGTGGTCAGATCCTAACGAAGAAACCAAGTTCTTGGCGAATCTGTTCTGTGCAGCAGCAGAGAGAGAACAGCAGACAGGAGAGAATATACTGGAGCTGTTATCATCAGTGTGCAGATATAAAACATGCACTTTTAAATACATGGATGGTTATGAGCAGTATCAGTGTGATTTCCTGTTGGATCTTTGCTCCCATGTGAAAGACTATGAGACTAAAACAGGGTTGAGTGTCCTTCCATCATTACAGTCAGTTCTCCAGTCAGTTTCTGCAGTCTGGTCCATAAACCTCTCAGAGAGAAAGACCTCCATCCTCCTGGAAGTGCTGAAACTCCAATCAGAGAAGAAACAAGTGAAGCTGACAGGCTGCTCACATGAAGAGAGTGAAGTGAGGAGTTTCCTACAGTGTCTGCCTTATATCTCACAGCTCAGGTAAATACTTTTTTCATAATTTCTGTAATCAATAGTAGCTGTCATAACTTTTTTTTAGTGTTTCTGCTTGTAGATTAAATTACCATAAAACGTTGCATAGCACAATTTAGAGAAAGGTTTTATGTCCATTTCATGAATAACGTAAATCTTCTTTTTATTTATTTTTTATCCTGTTTCAGTTTTGTGCCTCAGTCATCAGAACCTTCAGAAGAAACCAAGTTCTTTGGGAATCTGTTGTGTGCAGCAGCAGAGAGAGATCAGCAGACAGGAGAGAAGATACTGGAGCTGTTATCATCAATGTGCAGATATAAAACATTCCCTCTTAAAGAGAAATGGTGTGATTTCAAGCTGGACCTTTACTCTTATTATTGTGAAACAGGCTTGAGTGTCCTTCCATCATTACAGTCAGTTCTCCAGTCAGCTCCTGCAGTCTGGTCCATAAACCTCTCAGAGAGAAAGACCTCCATCCTCCTGGAAGTGCTGAAACTCCAATCAGAGAAGAAACAAGTGAAGCTGACAGGCTGCTCACATGAAGAGAGTGAAGTGAGGAGTTTCCTACAGTGTCTGCCTTATATCTCACATCTCAGGTAAATTAATAGTACTTCAAATGACTTCAGTTACATTTGTGGAGTTGCTGTCTTACATCTACAGCAACTCACTGTTAGTTTGTAATATTGAAAAGTAACTTCATGCCATCAGGATGTGTTCTCATAAGTGTAATCATAAAAGTACTGCTTTACACATTCCACTTTACAGCAGCATCACGTTATGTGACCTCTCGTTAGTTGAGCAGGTTGGCATAGGAGAAGCAATGTCAGCAGTTTATTTTGGTTTGAAAAACAGTGGTGTCGGTGCATCCCTCCCTCTAAGTACATCAATGTGTTAGTGTTGGATTTACTGTACGACTCATGTGAAGACACTTATGAAGTGGTTCACATTTTGAGGACTGTATCATGAACATATCTGGTCCCCAAATATAATTGGTTATGGATACTGGATGGGACACTCATTCACTGGCTACCCTGATTGTAGGAGAGTGAGCAGTGACTGAGCAGGATGTTTGAACTGTGAATAATCCAGAGGAGTCAATGAGAGGACTTTGATCAAGTACTTTTGCAATGACAAATTAGGTAACATCTCTTCAGTTTAATTTTACAGCAATTAAAAAATAAAACAAAAGGAATGCTGTATTTATATTCCTTTCAACTGAAGACTGGACTGAACTGTACTGATCACGATGAACATTGATCCAGCTGTATAGTGAGCAGCAGATTAAGATTTCAGACACCAGAAATAATCATCATTTAGTGTCAGCACAGACAGATGTAGTGTAGCAACTGTAATTTACACGTCTTTCATTTCCGGAGCAAGGTGAAGCATTGCACAACAGGATTTTAAATAACTTTTGTTATTCCACTCTGTATATTTATGTATTGTGAATATATTTTACTTTTAAAACTTCAAAGTTTAATTTGATTTTATACAGCACAGCCCATCAGTAGTGTGTTGCTGTTTTATGCAGCTGAGATAAAATCATCATAAAATGTTTCCTTCTCTTTATTTCAGTTTTGTTCCTCAGTCGTCAGATCGTTATGAAGAAACCAAGTTCTTTGGGAATCTGTTCTGTGCAGCGGCAGAGAGAGAACAGCAGACAGGAGAGAAGATACTGGAGCTGTTATCATCAGTGTGCAGATATAAAACATTCCCTCTTAAAGAGAAATGGTGTGATTTCCTGCTGGACCTTTACTCTTATGGTTGTGAAACAGGCTTGAGTGTCCTTCCATCATCACAGTCAGTTCTCCAGTCAGTTCCTGCAGTCTGGTCCATAAACCTCTCAGAGAGAAATACCTCCATCCTACTGGAAGTGCTGAAACTCCAATCAGAGAAGAAACACAAGTGAAGCTGACAGGCTGCTCACATGAAGAGAGTGAAGTGAGGAGTTTCCCTACAGTGTCTGCCTTATATCTCACAGCTCAGGTAAATTAATTGTTCATCACATGACTTCAGTTACATTTGTGGAATTGTGTTCTTACATCTACAGCAACTCACTGTTAGTTTGTAATATTGAAAAGTAACTCCATGCCATCAGGATGTGTTCTCATAAGTATAATCATAAAAGTACTGCTTTACACATTCCACTTTACAGCAGCATCACGTTATGTGACCTCTCGTTAGTTGAGCAGGTTGGCAGAGGAGAAGCAATGTCAGCAGTTTATTTTGGTTTGAAAAACAGTGGTGTCGGTGCATCCCTCCCTCTAAATACATCAATGTGTTAGTGTTGGATTTACTGTACGACTTATCTGAAGACACTTATGAAGTGGTTCACATTTTGAGGACTGAATCATGAACATATCTGGTCCCCAAATATAATTGGTTATGGATACTGGATGGGACACTCATTCACTGGTTACCCTGATTGTAGGAGAGTGAGCAGTGACTGAGCAGGATGTTTGAACTATGAATAATCCAGAGGAGTCAATGAGAGGACTTTGATCAAGTACTTTTGCAAAGATAAATTAGGTAACATCTCTTCAGTTTAATTTTACAGCAATTAAAAAAAATAAAACACAAGGAATGCTGAATTTATATTCCTTTCAACTGAAGATTGGACTGAACTGTACTGATCATGATGAACATTGATCCAGCTGTATAGTGAGCAGCAAATTAAGATTTCAGACGCCAGAAACAATCATCATTTAGTGTCAGCACAGACAGATGTAGTGTAGCAACTGTAATTTACACGTCTTTTAATTCAGGAGCAAGGTGAAGCATTGCACAACAGAATTTTAAATAACTTTTGTTATTCCACTCTATATGTATTGTATATACTATGTATATTTATGTATTGTGAATAAATTTTACTTTTAAACTTTAAAGTTTAATTTGATTTTATACAGCACAGCCCATCAGTAGTGTGTTGCTGTTTTATGCAGCTGAGATCAAATCATCATAAAATGTTTCATTCTCTTTGTTTCAGTTTTGTTCTTCAGTTGTCAGATCGCTATGAAGAAACCAAGTTCTTTGGGAATCTGTTCTGTGCAGCAGCAGAGAGAGAACAGCAGACAGGAGAGAAGATACTGGAGCTGTTATCATCAGTGTGCAGATATAAAACATTCCCTCTTAAAGAGAAATGGTGTGATTTCCTCATGGACCTTTACTCTTATGGTTGTGAAACAGGGTTGAGTGTCCTTCCATCATTACAGTCAGTTCTCCAGTCAGCTCCTGCAGTCTGGTCCATAAACCTCTCAGAGAGAAAGACCTCCATCCTCCTGGAAGTGCTGAAACTCCAATCAGAGAAGAAACACGTGAAGCTGACAGGCTGCTCACATGAAGAGAGTGAAGTGAGGAGTTTCCTACAGTGTCTGCCTTATATCTCACAGCTCAGGTAAGTCTGATAATATTAAGTTAAAGTTGGTCAAAAGGTTGTTTGACTATAATTTATGAATGAACAAAATGTAGAAAAACATGAATGTTGTTTCTCAGTACAGTAATTATTTAGCAGTATTTTAATATAGTTTGATATTATAACATCCTTGATTAAATATATTGTACATAAGATGATTTGTAATGCAGTATGTTTTGTACTTTATCTTTGTTGTTTTCACTCTTCATCCATAATATAGTGTTTTAGCTGTGATCCAGAGTTCAATTGTCCTCTCAGCTGCAGCTCCTGGGGTTCACCCTTCATAGTTTTATAGGTCACATGTTGTTTTATTCAACAAAAATAACCCTGGAAATCCTTATTGTGTAGCACTAGTACTGTAGGAAGTCAGTAATAATTGTACAGAATGATGCAGGTACAAACTTGTGGTCCAGTATTTCAGTATTTGGAGCTAATTGGTTCATAAATTATCTGGATAAAGAATTGCTTTTAGCCAATAAATTAAGTGTAACTGAGCAGAATGTTTGAATGATTAATGATTCAGTGATGAGAGGATTCTGATCAAGTTGTTTATTAGTAATATTGAAAACAAACTCCAAGTCATCAGGATGTGATACCACTAGAAATCCTTATTCTATTACTGCAAGTGAAGGTCGTCCTTTGGACCTTGAGATTGGTTTGGGTCGGCAGATATGGATCTGATTGCAGTCAAAGAATCAGGATAGAAGAGAGGATCCTCAGGTCAACGAGTTTTATTGTAGGAATTACAGTAGACAGACATAAACAGGCTGATGCCAGGGTGACAGTGATTGTGAGTATAGGTGTGTGTGTGTGTGTGTGTGTGTGTGTGTGTGTGTGTGTGTGTGTGTGTGTGTGTGTGTGATTTACAAAGAGAATAACAATATATGATATACTGGATAATTACAAAATATGAGAATGAAAGTGTGAAAACTAACCTTACTTGATGAATGAAAACACGGTAGACACACAAAGATAACTTACATTATGTTCTTCGATGGACGACAGCAGGTAAAATCCTGAACAAAGTGTCCCGACTTGTCTCATGAAGACACTAACAGACACGACGGCGCCCTCGTGAACAGAGATACACAGGCTTTCTTACAGTTCCACTAGTACTGTATGAAGGTTCATAGCGTTTTACACAGTGATGGCTGTTAAAACTTGTGTTCCAGTATTTCAGGCTTTGGAGCTCATTGATTAATAAATGTTTTGGTGTTCCTGTCTGGGGGGTAAGAGCACAATCATAAAAGAAAGAAAAAGGACTTTCCCTCCCTGGTCCCCAAAACAAAGCCGAACAAAGGATTCCCACTAAAGTGAGGTGATTTATTTTACAATCGTGAGCTAAAAGTTGAACAAATACTAAATGTAATTGTATAGCGCCTTTCTAGTCTTCCGACCACTCAAAGCACTTTTACACTACGTGCCACATTCACCCTTTCACACACGGCAAAATCCATTGAACAGAAACTAACGCATTCATACCCATTCACTGCATCGGAAGCAATGCGGGATTCAGTATCTTGCTCAAGGATATTTCGACATGTGGCGGTAGGAGCCAGGGATCGAACCAACAACCTTCCGATTAGTGGACATAATGAAATAATCAATGACCTATAGAAATAGAAATATACCCTCCACAGTTCCACTGTCATTCTGTGGAAACTCTGTTAAACTCTAAGCTGCTCCCAATAATAAACAACAGGCTGCAGTTTAACTTGTGTCAGGTTGAACATGTTTCTTGCCAATAAATACACAGTTGTCAATTCATAATTTAATAATAATACTTAATCTAGAATGTTAAGAATAGTAAATAATAATAAATAAAAAAGGCTACACTATAAACATAAAGCTTTAAATATATACTGTGATTGGTATCGACCGATAGCCTACTGCTTCTAGTGAGCGGTCTCAAAAACTCTGACTGGAACACCCTTAAAATTATTGTTACTTGACTTTTAGGTTGATAGATTTCACTGTCTGATGTTCATTAGCAGGTATTTGTAGGCTTTTATCCGATAAACTCCATATCAGTAATGTATGGCTCTTTTTCTGTTGTTGACATCATATCATAACAGAATGTTCAATTCTTGTTACAGTGTCTCTCAGAGGTTTGAAGGTGAAGCCAAGTTCTTTGGGAATCTGTTCTGTGCAGCAGCAGAGAGAGAACAGCAGAAGGGAGAGAAGATACTGAAGCTGTTATCATCAGTGTGCAGATATGAAACATTCCCTTTTAATGACATGGATGAATATGATGATGATAATGAGAGGGAATATCGGTGTGATTTCCTGCTGGATCTTTACTCCCACCTGAAGGACTATGAGACTAAAACCGGCTTGAGTGTCCTTCCATCATTACAGTCAGTTCTCCAGTCAGCTCCTGCAGTCTGGTTCATAAACCTCTCAGAGAGAAAGACCTCCATCCTCCTGGAAGTGCTGAAACTCCAATCAGAGAAGAAACAAGTGAAGCTGACAGGCCGCTCACATGAAGAGAGTGAAGTGAGGAGTTATCTACAGTGTCTGCCTTATATCTCACAGCTCAGGTAAATTAATTGTTCATCACATGACTTCAGTTACATTTGTGGAGTTGTGTTCTTACATCTACAGCAACTCACTGTTAGTTTGTAATATTGAAAAGTAACTCCATGCCATCAGGATGTGTTCTCATAAGTGTAATCATAAAAATACTGCTTTACACATTCCACTTTACAGCAGCATCACGTTATGTGACCTCTTGTTAGTTGAGCAGGTTGGCAGAGGAGAAGCAATGTCAGCAGTTTATTTTGGTCAAAGTGGTGTCGGTGCATCCCTCCCTCTAAGTACATCAATGTGTCAGTGTTGGATTTACTGTACAACTCATCAGTGGTTCACATTTTGAGGCCTGTATCATGAACATATCTGGTCCCCAAATATAATTGGTTATGGATACTGGATGGGACACTCATTTCCTGGCTACCCTGATTGTAGGAGAGTGAGCAGTGACTGAGCAGGATGTTTGAACTGTGAATAATCCAGAGGAGTCAATGAGAGGACTTTGATGAAGTACTTTTGCAAAGATAAATTAGGTAACATCTCTTCAGTTTAATTTTACAGCAATTAAAAAAATAAAACAAAGGTTGCTCTTATTGATCAGTCACCGATTGTAATTGGTTGATATAAAAAATAAAACACAAGGAATGCTGAATTTATATTCCATTCAACTGAAGACTGGACTGAACTGTACTGATCACAATGAACATTGATCCAGCTGTATAGTGAGCAGCAGATTAAGATTTCAGACACCAGAAATAATCATCATTTAGTGTCAGCACAGACAGATGTAGTGTAGCAACTGTAATTTACACGTCTTTTAATTCAGGAGCAAGGTTAAGCATTACACAACAGAATTTTAAATAACTTTTGTTATTCCACTCTGTACATTTATTTATTGTGAATATATTTTACTTTTAAAACTTTAAAGTTTAATTTGATTTTATACAGCACAGCCCATCAGTAGTGTGTTGCTGTTTTATGCAGCTGAGATAAAATCATCATAAAATGTTTCCTTCTCTTTATTTCAGTTTTGTTCCTCAGTCGTCAGATCGTTATGAAGAAACCAAGTTCTTTGGGAATCTGTTCTGTGCAGCAGCAGAGAGAGAACAGCAGACAGGAGAGAAGATACTGGAGCTGTTATCATCAGTGTGCAGATATAAAACATTCCCTCTTAGAGAGAAATGGTGGGATTTCCAGCTGGACCTTTACTCTTATGGTTGTGAAACAGGCTTGAGTGTCCTTCCATTATTACAGTCAGTTCTCCAGTCAGCTCCTGCAGTCTGGTCCATAAACCTCTCAGAGAGAAAGCCCTCCATCCTCCTGGAAGTGCTGAAACTCCAATCAGAGAAGAAACAAGTGAAGCTGACAGGCTGCTCACATGAAGAGAATGAAGTGAGGGGTTTCCTACAGTGTCTGCCTTATATCTCACAGCTCAGGTAAGTCTGATAATATTGAAAGGAAGTTTGTCAAAACATTATTTGACTTTAATTTAAAATTGAACAAAATGTTGAAAGAGATGATTGCTGTCTGTCAGTGGATTCATTATTCAGCAGTATTTTAATATAGTTTGATATTATCACAGCTAATAACACACATACAATTAGACTATGTCATCTGACTGACAAATCTCTCTACAAACACACACACAAATCCCCACATGCATTTGCAGATCTGCCACAGCAGAAGTTTAACAAAAGTCATGTCTAAAAAGAGCCAATTGAGAGTCTTGTCTGAGTTGAAACCGATGAATTGTCTGTATTTCCAGCTATCTGATCTAAAACTTAGACTTAGTCATTAACATGTTTGTCTGCTTCTACAGATTTCTCTACATATTTACAAATCTCAATACATTTGTTGATCTGATTACACAAACACACATATTTAGACATAGCTACACAATTCTCCACTCACATTTGTGAATAGGTTTGCTACCATAGATATGGTAAGATACTTGGAGAGATATTCACTTGGAAAAATCTTAGTAACAATTTCCACACAGAAATTCTTAATAAAATTCACAGAGGATATTTCAAGTGACCTTTTACTTATGTTTAAGACTAGTCTCTATTAAAACGTCTTAAGTTAACTTTACTAGCTGTTTTTTGTGTTTGTCAGTAAATTTTCCATGGCAGTTTTACTATGTACCGTAAAACTTCCAATAAAAACAGGGTACCAAATAAACACAGGTCTCCAATAAAGGCCTGGTCTAGATTTTATAGAAATGATCTCGATGTATAAAACCTCTTAAAACCCACCGGGTCGCCCGTGTTATATCCCAACTGGTGTTCAAACTAACTGGTTGCTGTACGTGTGTGCGTGTTGTGTGCTGCAGCTGTGATGTGTCTCTGTCACCAGATTCTTCAGACATTCACAAACATATTACTGGTGATTTTCAAGTCTCATATCTACAGTAGTAAATGTATAAGGCTACCGTCACACTGACCACTATATTACCGCCCCCTATGACACTAGACATTATGACAAAGAAATATTTTCAGACAGTGAAGATGTAACTTAGATAATACTGTCAAAATATACGAAGCGATTGTGAGCCACACACAGATTGTTTGTGTTAGTTCATTCAGATTCACTGGTGCTGTAAACAACAGAGACAGAAAAAACTCTGAATCGATCATAAATTCTGTACAGTCTGTGTCCGTTCCTCCATTGTTTATATTCCTTTAGTAGTAGTCCTTTCATGATGTGTGTGTGTGTGTGTGTGTGTGTGTGTGTGTGTGTGTGTGTGTGTGTGTGTGTGTGTGTGTGTCAAAGATGAGGGGGAAGAGCAGAGCAGGTTGATAGATTTCACTGTCTGATGTTCATAAGCAGATATTTGTAGGATTTTATTAGATAAACTCCATATCAGTAATGTATGGCTCTTTTTCTGTTGTTGACATCATATCATAACATAATGTTCAATTCTCGTTACAGTGTCTCTCAAAGGTTTGAAGGTAAAACCAAGTTCTTTGGGAATCTGTTCTGTGCAGCAGCAGATAGAGAACAGCAGACAGGAGAGAAGATACTGGAGCTGTTATCATCAGTGTGCAGATATGAAACATTCCCTCTTAATGACAGATACATGTATTATGATGCCAAGAAATCTCAGTGTGATTTCCTGTTGGATCTGCACTCTCACCTGAAGGACTATGAAACTAAAACAGGGTTGAGAGTCCTTCCATCATTACAGTCAGTTTTCCAGTCAGCTCCTGCAGTCTGGTTCATAAACCTCTCAGAGAGAAAGACCTCCATCCTCCTGGAAGTGCTGAAACTCCAATCAGAGAAGAAACAAGTGGAGCTGACAGGCTGCTCACATGAAGAAAGTGAAGTGAGGAGTTTCGTACAGTGTCTGCCTTATATCTCACATCTCAGGTAGGTCAGATAATATTAAGAAGAAGTTTGTCAAAAGGTTTTTTGACTATAATTTATGAATTAACAAAATGTAGAAAAACATGTTATATATTATCACATCCTTGATTAAATATATTGTACATAAGATGGTTTGTAATGCAGTATGTATGTAAATATGTATATTTGTACTTTATCTTTGCTGTTTTCACATTTCATCCATTATATTGTGTTTTAGCTGTGATCCAGAGTTCAATTGTCCTCTTGGCTGCAGCTCCGTGGGTTCACCCTTCATAGTTTTATAGGTCACATGCTGTTTTTCTCAACAAAAGATAACCCTGGAAATCCTTTTTATGTTGCACTAGAACTGTATGAAGTCAGTAATAATTTTACAGAATGATTCAGGTAAAAACCTGAACAAAGTGTCTCAACTTTCTCCTCTGCTCTGCATGCAGTGAGTGAAGATACTAATAGACACGACGGCGCCCTCTTTAACAGAGATACACAGGCTTTCTTACAGTTCCACTAGTACCGTATGAAGGTTCATAGAGTTTTACACAGTGATGGCTGGTAAAACTTGTGTTCCAGTATTTCAGGCTTTGGAGCTCATTGATTAATAAATGTTTTGGTGTCACGCTCCTGTCTGGGGGTAAGAGCACAATCATAAAAGAAAGAAAAAGGACTTTCCCTCCCTGGTCCCCAAAACAAAGCCGAACAAAGGATTCCCACTAAAGTGAGGTGATTTATTTTACAATCGTGAGCTAAAAGTTGAACAAATGCTAAATGTAATTGTACAGCGCCTTTCTAGTCTTCCGACCACTCAAAGCGCTTTTACACTACGTGCCACATTCACCCTTTCACACACGGCAAAATCCATTGAACAGAAACTAACGCATTCATACCCATTCACTGCATCGGAAGCAATTCGGGATTCAGTATCTTGCTCAAGGACATTTCGACATGTGGCGGTAGGAGCCAGGGATCGAACCAACAACCTTCCGATTAGTGGGCAACCCGCTCTTCCTCTGAGCCACAGCCACCCTGTGGCAGGTCTAGAAACCAACTTCACGGTGAACCAAGGCCAAAACAATAAACAGAGATCTAACTTCTCCAAACTAGTGATTGCTAATTCCTAGGTGAAAGTAAATAAAACAAAAGACATTTACTAACTCTAACTCTCTAACATGAAAAGCAGGATAAAATAGGGCAAAAGGAATGTCAGTTCACCTCTACAACATCCACTATATACAAACCAGAAAAATAGAATAATAATATTGACACAAATCTCCAATATTTTCAAGCGAATTTACAACAAATGTTTTTACAGAACTAACCAAATAACACAATAGATTCTTTGAGAACCGAGGAAAGAAAGAAGCTGAGTGTTGGGAGGTCAAGACATTTTAAAAGTGCCGGGTGTTGCGCAGAAACAAACCAGCAGTAGACACTCAACCTGCCAGTCAGGAGGAGACCCACCGTCCCATCATTTAGTGACTAACATTTAGTGAAGAATTTCATTCAGTAAAAATCCACATATAACCCTTAAAATCATTGTTTTTGATTTCACTGTATGATGTTCATTAGCAGGTATTTGTAGGCTTTTATCAGATAAACTCCATATCAGTAATGTATGGCTCTTTTTCTGCTGTTGACATCATATCATAACAAAATGTTCAATTCTCATTACAGTGTCTATTACTGGTTTGAAGGTAAAACCAAGTTCTTTGGGAATCTGTTCTGTGCAGCAGCAGAGAGAGAACAGCAGACAGGAGAGAAGATACTGGAGCTTTTATCATCAGTGTGCAGATATGAAACATTCCCTTTTAATGACATGGATGAATATGATGATGATGATGAGAGGGAATATCAGTGTGATTTCCTGCTGGATCTTTACTCCCACCTGAAGGACTGTGAGACTAAAACATGGTTGAGTGTCCTTCCATCATCACAGTCAGTTCTCCAGTCAGTTCCTGCAGTCTGGTTCATAAACCTCTCAAAGAGAAAGACCTCCATCCTCCTGGAAGTGCTGAAACTCCAATCAGAGAAGAAACAAGTGAAGCTGACAGGCTGCTCACATGAAGAGAGTGAAGTGAGGAGTTTCCTACAGTGTCTGCCTTATATCTCACAGCTCAGGTAAATTAATTGTTCATCACATGACTTCAGTTACATTTGTGGAATTGTGTTCTTACATCTACAGCAACTCACTGTTAGTTTGTAATATTGAAAGTACTTCCATGCAATCAGGATGTGTTCTTATAAGTGTAATCATAAAAATACTGCTTTACACATTCAGCTTTACAGCAGCATCACGTTATGTGACCTCTTGTTAGTTGAGCAGGTTGGCAGAGGAGAAGCAATGTCAGCAGTTTATCTTGGTCTGAAAAACAGTGGTGTCGGTGCATCCCTCCCTCTAAGTACATCAATGTGTTAGTGTTGGATTTACTGTACGACTCATCTGAAGACACTTATGAAGTGGTTCACATTTTGAGGACTGAATCATGAACATATTTGGTCCCCAAATATAATTGGTTATGGATACTGGATGGGACACTCATTCACTGGCTACCAGTGACGGCTGGTGGAGATTTTGGGTGGGTGGGCTAACAAGTGCTTTACACTCATCAATACGTCACACAGCAGCCACAGCAGCATCACATCAAGTTACAGCAACAAAATTCTATACTTTGTTATAGCAAGGGCTCTACGGCAACACTGGGGAGACAAACCCAAAAGAAAGACCTGATGCCAAAGAAAAATCTCTCTCTCTCTCTCTCTCTCTCTCTCTCTCTCTCTCTCTCTCTCCTCTGTACACATCAGCACATGCCAATTGCGCTACAACAACATTATAGAAAAATACCAGCAACAATTTGCAACACCATAAATCTATAAAACCAAAGCAAAAATAATTATTTGTAGAAGGGAGAGTTGTTTCAGAGCTTGGGCATACCTTATTTAAAACGCAGCTCACATCGACACAAACAGGTCAATCACCATGTCAGACTCCACCCTGCTGTACCTCACCATCAGCTCACCTTTCAGTTTCTCCCTGAAGATCATTGGGTAATGTTCACATGCAAAGACAACAAGTGCCTGGCTTTCTCAAAGCGAGCCTTTGACTTCTCGACCATTAAGTCACAGCACTGTGCGGCTACTGAGACATTATCAGAGCGCCGCATCCTGCGCGGCGTTACAGCGGCTGCAGCTGTGTCCACATCTGGATTTGGCTGATTGTCATCTGTGGTCAGCAGTTCAGATATGAAGCATGAAAAATGATCCAGGCCCTGTCTCGTTTTGAGACAATCTGTGGTCTTAGACGTGTACTTTGCAACCTGTGTGTTTGACAGGTGATCAGCTAATTGACTGTGTAAAAAAGAGAACTGGAGTGAAGTGGGAGATTCATTGGACCCCCGCAGGGCGAGCTCATGTCCCCCACATAATATAATACAGTCCACAGTCCGTGATAGTGAATGTCTGTGTTTCTTTACCAGCTCGTTGTGTCTCTGTACAGGATGCAGTGACTCTCATTAAGCTGACAGCCGATGTTCACTTTACCCATCAATGACAGCTTTACGCTGTTTCCAATGTGGCTCGTGCTGCATTCATGTTTCCCTAACTTTGTCGGATAAATGTTTTAAATCCACAATTCCTTGTTGGGTCCAAACCAAGTCTCCTCCAAACAGCAAACATGGGAAACAGAAAAGTGAATTCCTAGCTACACTTGCTGTTAGCCAGTCCGTTAGCTGAAACCACGGAACACAAAATTACGATTTTGTCGTTTGTCCTTTTCTGTTATTTGAACACCTTTTTGATGAGGTGTTCTCAATCTCTGTATTTCCATTTTTTCCTCCAAAGACTTTAAAGAAAATTGATTAGAAAGTAATGTTCATGCTAATGCCCGCCATTACTACGAACTAGCATCACTGTAACTACTGTGCTGTGATTGGTCGAAGGTCACCGTACTGTAGCTGCTGCGCTGTGATTGGTCGAAGGTCACTGTACTGTAAGTACTGCGCTGTGATTGGTCGAAGGTCACTGTACTGTAACTACTGCGCTGTGATTGGTCGAAGGTCACTGTACTGTAGCTACTGCGCTGTGATTGGTCGAAGGTCACTGTACTGTAACTACTGCGCTGTGATTGGTCGAAGGTCACTGTACTGTAGCTACTGCGCTGTTATTGGTCGAAGGTCAGCCTTATGAAGGGGGCGTGTCACGTCACCTGTCAATCACAATCAAATGGACGCTTACGCTATTGTGCTTTGGCTGAATACATTTAGCCCATTCACAGAAAAAAACCCAAGATATATCATATATCCTGGGTTTTTTCTGTCACTTTTTGGTGCTGTTGCTGCTCTAGGTTCTACCAAAATTCCAACAATATGTTCTAAGGTTTTTAATAAATAGTTTTTCATCTTTACTGTAAAAGATAGGGGGGCTTAGCCCTGTTAGTCCATATATACCAGCCGTCCCTGCTGGCTATCCTGATTGTAGGAGAGTGAGCAGTGACTGAGCATGATGTTTGAACTGTGAATAATCCAGAGGAGTCAATGAGAGGACTTTCAACAAGTACCTTTGCAAAGATAAATTAGGTAACATCTCTTCAGTTTAATTTTAAAGCAAGGGAAAAAAGTAAAACACAAGGAATGCTAACTTAATATTAGCTGTATAGTGAGCAGCAAATTAAGATTTCAGACACAAGAAATTATCATCATTTAGTGTCAGGACAGACAGATGTAGTGTAGCAACTGTAATTTACACGTCTTTCATTTCAACTTTAAAGTTTAATTTGATTTTATACAGCACAGCCCATCAGTAGTGTGTTGCTGTTTTATGCAGCTGAGATAAAATCATCATAAAATGTTTCCTTCTCTTTATTTCAGTTTTGTTCCTCAGTCGTCAGATCGTTATGAAGAAACCAAGTTCTTTGGTAATCTGTTCTGTGCAGCAGCAGAGAGAGAACAGCAGACAGGAGAGAAGATACTGGAGCTGTTATCATCAGTGTGCAGATATAAAAAATTCCCTCTTAGAGAGAAATGGTGTGATTTCCAGCTGGACCTTTACTCTTATTGGTCTATAACAGGCTTGAGTGTCCTTCCATCATTACAGTCAGTTCTCCAGTCAGCTCCTGCAGTCTGGTCCATAAACCTCTCAGAGAGAAAGACCTCCATCCTCCTGGAAGTGCTGAAACTCCAATCAGAGAAGAAACAAGTGAAGCTGACAGACTGCTCACATGAAGAGAGTGAAGTGAGGAGTTTCCTACAGTGTCTGCCTTATATCTCACAGCTCAGGTAAATTAATTGTTCATCAAATGACTTCAGTGACATTTGTGGAATTGTGTTCTTACATCTACAGCAACTCACTGTTAGTTTGTAATATTGAAAAGTAACTCCATGCCATCAGGATGTGTTCTCATAAGTGTAATCATAAAAATACTGCTTTACACATTCCACTTTACAGCAGCATCACGTTATGTGACCTCTCGTTAGTTGAGCAGGTTGGCAGAGGAGAAGCAATGTCAGCAGTTTATTTTGGTCTGAAAAACAGTGGTGTCGGTGCATCCCTCCCTCTAAGTACAACAATGTGTTAGTGTTGGATTTACTGTACGACTCATCTGAAGACACCTATGAAGTGGTTCACATTTTGAGGACTGAATCATGAACATATTTGGTCCCCAAATATAATTGATTATGGATACTGGATAGGACACTCATTCCCTGGCTACCCTGATTGTAGGAGAGTGAGCTGTGACTGAGCAGGATGATGGAACTGTGAATAATCCAGAGGAGTCAATGAGAGGACTTTGATCAAGTACTTTTGCAAAGATAAATTAGGTAACATCTCTTCAGTTGAATTTTACAGCAATTAAACAATAAAACACAAGGATTGCTAAATTTATATTCCTTTCAACTGAAGACTGGACTGAACTGTACTGAGCACGATGAACATTGATCCAGCTGTATAGTGAGCAGCAAATTAAGATTTCAGACACCAGAAATAATCATCATTTAGTGTCAGCACAGACAGATGTAGTGTAGCAACTGTAATTTACACGTCTTTCATTTCAGGAGCAAGGTGAAGCATTGCACAACAGGATTTTAAATAACTGTTGTTATTCCACTCTGTATATTTATTTATTGTGAATATATTTTACTCTTGAAACTTATTTTGATTTTATACAGCACAGCCCATCAGTAGTGTGTTGCTGTTTTATGCAGCTGAGATCAAATCATCATAAAATGTTTCCTTCTCTTTATTTCAGTTTTGTTCCTCAGTCATCAGATCGTTATGAAGAAACCAAGTTCTTTGGGAATCTGTTGTGTGCAGCGGCAGAGAGAGAACAGCAGACAGGAGAGAAGATACTGGAGCTGTTATCATCAGTGTGCAGCTATAAAACATTCCCTCTTAAAGAGAAATGGTGTGATTTCCTGCTGGACCTTTACTCTTATGGTTGTGAAACAGGCTTGAGTGTCCTTCCATCATTACAGTCAGTTCTCCAGTCAGTTCCTGCAGTCTGGTCCATAAACCTCTCAGAGAGAAAGCCCTCCATCCTCCTGGAAGTGCTGAAACTCCAATCAAAGAAGAAACAAGTGGAGCTGACAGGCTGCTCACATGAAGAGAGTGAAGTGAGGAGTTTCCTACAGTGTCTGCCTTATATCTCACAGCTCAGGTAAATTAATTGTTCATCACATGACTTCAGTTACATTTGTGGAATTGTGTTCTTACATCTACAGCAACTCACTGTTAGTTTGTAATATTGAAAGTACTTCCATGCCATCAGGATGTGTACTCATAAGTATAATCATAAAAGTACTACTTTACATATTCCACTTTACAGCAGCATCACGTTATGTGACCTCTTGTTAGTTGAGCAGGTTGGCAGAGGAGAAGCAATGTCAGCAGTTTATTTTGGTCTGAAAAACAGTGGTGTCGGTGCATCCCTCCCTCTAAGTACATCAATGTGTTAGTGTTGGATTTACTGTACGACTCATCTGAAGACAATTATGAAGTAGTTTACATTTTGAGGACTGAATCATGAACATATCTGGTCCCCAAATATAATTGTTTATGGATACTGGATGGGACACTCATTCACTGGCTACCCTGATTGTAGGAGAGTGAGCAGTGACTGAGCAGGATGTTTGAACTATGAATAATCCAGAGGAGTCAATGAGAGGACTTTGATCAAGTACTTCTGCAAAGATACAAAATAAAACAAAAGGAATGATGAATTTATATTCCTTTCAACTGAAGACTGGACTGAACTGTACTGATCACAATGAACATTGATCCAGCTGTATAGTAAGCAGCAAATTAAGATTTCAGACACCAGAAATATTCATCATTTAGTGTCAGCACAGACAGATGTAGTGTAGCAACTGTAACTTACACGACTTTCATTTCAGGAGCAAGGTGAAGCATTGCACAACAGGATTGTAAATAACTTTTGTTATTCCACTCTGTACATTTATGTATTGTGAATATATTTTACTTTTAAAACTTTAAAGTTTTATTTGATTTTATACAGCACAGCCCATCAGTACTGTGTTGCTGTTTTATGCAGCTGAGATCAAATCATCATAAAATGTTTCCTTCTCTTTATTTCAGTTTTGTTCCTCAGTCGTCAGATCGTTATGAAGAAACCAAGTTCTTTGGGAATCTGTTCTGTGCAGCGGCAGAGAGAGAACAGCAGACAGGAGAGAAGATACTTGAGCTGTTATCATCAGTGTGCAGATATAAAACATTCCCTCTTAGAGAGAAATGGTGTGATTTCCTGCTGGACCTTTACTCTTATGGTTGTGAAACAGGCTTGAGTGTCCTTCCATCATCACAGTCAGTTCTCCAGTCAGCTCCTGCAGTCTGGTTCATAAACCTCTCAGAGAGAAATACCTCCATCCTCCTGGAAGTGCTGAAACTCCAATCAGAGAAGAAACAAGTGAAGCTGACAGGCTGCTCACATGAAGAGAGTGAAGTGAGGAGTTTCCTACAGTGTCTGCCTTATATCTCACATCTCAGGTAAGTCTGATAATATTGAAAGGAAGTTTGTGAAAACATTATTTGACTATAATTTAAAATTGAACAAAATGTTGAAAGAGATGATTGCTGTCTATCAGTGGATTCATTATTCAGCAGTATTTTAAAGGACAATTCCGGCGCAAAATGAACCTGGGGTTAATAACACATGTGTCCAGAGTTGGTTCGGTCTCTGGGATGTTTTCATTCTAATCGCACGTGACCAGTTTTAGCACAAACTGCTAATTAGCTTATAACGCTGGTCAACGGGGCACCGAGTAACGTGAAAAGAAATCTATTTCTATTCCACAAACAAGACTCAAAATAGCACCACACTTACACGGTAGCATAATGAGGGCCCCTACCTGTAAACTGAAGCATCGATAACGTTGTAAGTGTACAGACAGTTTATTAAAAGATAGTTTAGAACAACAGTATCGTTCACATATACAGGCGGGCGCCATCTTGGGAAAACAGTCACGTGACCAGTCGAATTTGCTCAATATATCAGAAATAATCGCACCGATATAAAACATAACTCATCTAGTGTACTTACTCAGTGGATAACTGTGCTTCTGGTCCCTCCGGTATGAGTCGCTGCCTCAAATTTATTTTCGGGACATGGGAAAAAGTTTCAAGTGCAGCTCTGTTTATCAGAGAGGGGAAATCTTCACACTGTACAAAACACTGCGTGCAACACAGGCACTCCTCTTCAGTGGCCATAGCTTCACAATGTCCGCAGGTACACCACCAGTTTCCTGAAGTACGAGGCTGTGTTGCAGCATTGACTACCGGTAGCTCTCTCTCTCTCTCTCTCTCGCTCTCTCTCTCTCTCTGTCTCTCTCTGTCTCTCTCTCTTTCTCATCTCTCTCTGTCTCTCGCGCTCTCGCTCTCTCTGTCTCTCTCTCTCGCTCTCTCTCTTGCTCTCTCTGTCTCTGTCTCTCTCTCTCTCGCTCTCTCTGTCTCTCTCTCGCTCTCTCTGTCTCTCTCTCTCTCTCTCTCTCTCTCTCTCTCTCTCTCTCTCTCTCTCTCTCTCTCCTGCAGCTCTTCGTCTGTATATTCCGGCTCGAAAAGATAAGGACGTCCATCAAACTGAAAGGGTTCGTTGTCGATGTCTTCAGATTCAGTTGAATAATCCGCCATCTCTTCAGTGTGTATCCTGTGGAAGCACTAGTAGACTAGTAGTCTCTGTTGCGTTCAGGGCTTTCTTCCGGCAACAACGTGAGTTCACGTGAGATGGTGCGTTCAAGTCACATCTCAGTGAGTTGGACTGGTCACGTGACTGTTTTCCCAAGATGGCGCCCGCCTGTATATGTGAACGCTACTGTTGTTCTAAACTATCTTTTTAATAAACTCTGTACACTTACAAAGTTCTCAATGCTTCAGTTTACAGGTAGGGGCCCTCATTATGCTACCGTGTAAGTGTGGTGCTATTTTGAGTCTTGAATGAATGAAAACATATCCCAGAGACCGAACCAACTCGGGACACATGTGTTATTAACCCCAGGTTCATTTTGCGCTGGAATTGTCCTTTAATATAGTTTGATATTATCACAGCTAATAACACACATACAATTGGACTATTTCATCTGACTGTACAAATGTTCTCAATTCAACATAATCTGTACATTAGATGGTTTGTCCCACAAGATTGTTCCTGCCATTAAAAACTGGTCAATGATATATAGGTTTAATACCTAATCTACAATGTTGTTAAGAATAGTAATTAATAATAAATAAATAAATAAGGCTACACTATAAACATAAAGCTTTAAATATACTCTGTGATCAGTTTCAGATACTGCTTCTAGTGAGCGGTCTCAAAAACCCGACCGGAGCACCTTTAGAGTTCCTTCTTGGAAAATAATAGACAGCACAGCAATGTCACGCTACCGCTGACTGGTGGTCTGTAGGCTGTGTAGTTACTGAGGCACACAGACAAATCTCTACACACACACACACAAATCCCCACATGCATTTGCAGATCTGCCACAGCAGAAGTTTAACAAAAGTCATGTCTAAAAAGAGCCAATTGAGAGTCTTGTCTGAGTTGTAACCGATGAATTGTCTGTATTTCCAGCTCTCGGAGCAAAAAGTTAGACTGAGTCATTAATATGTTTGTCTGCTTTTACAGATTTCTCTACATATTTACAAATGTCAATACATTTGTTGATCTGATTACACAAACACAAAGATTTAGACATAGCTACACAATTCTCCACTCACATTTGTGAATAGTTTTGCTACCATAGATGTGTTAAGATACTTGGAGAGATATTCACTTAGAAAAATCTTAGTAACAATTTCCACACAGAAATTCTCAGTAAAATTCACAGAGGATATTTCAAGTGACCTTTTATTTATGTTTAAGACTAGTCTCTATTAAAACTTCTTAAGTTAACTTTACTAGCTGTTTTTTGTCTTTGTCAGTAAATTTTCCATGGCAGTTTTACTTAGACTATGTACCGTAAAACTTCCAATAAAAACAGGGTCCCAAATAAACACAGGTCTCCAATAAAGGCCTGGTCTGGATTTTATAGAAATGCTCTCGATGTATAAAACCTCTTAAAACCCACCGGGTCGCCCGTGTTATATCCCAACTGGTGTTCAAACTAACTGGTTGCTGTACGTGTGTGCATGTTGTGTGCTGCAGCTGTGATGTGTCTCTGTCACCAGATTCGTCAGACATTCACAAACATATTACTGGTGATTTTCAAGTCTCATATCTACAGTAGTAGATGTATAAGTGAGCCCTACATTACAGCCACACACAAAACAAATTAATTCTAGAAAATATAAGTTTAAATAGCATCAAGCTGGTTTCGATCTCACTGGATCAAAACCAATACAGTTCCCCAGCGTATTGCTTTTGTCCATGAGCCACTGGAGTGACTCCGTTTCACTGCTTCCAGTCATGTATTGATTGATTACGTCAGCACCCAGGTAACATTTATTTGGGGGTTGATCTAAAACAACTGGTTACCTCGTGCTCGTTGTTGAAAATATACAAACATGTTTATCAGAGTTCTTTCTCGAGGCTACCGTCACACTGACCACTATATTACAGCCCCTATGACACTAGAAATTATGACAAATAAATATTTTCAGACAGTGAAGATGTAACTTAGATAATACTGTCAAATATACGAAGTGATTGTGAGCCACACACAGATTGTTTGTGTTAGTTCATTCAGATTTACCAGTGCTGTAAACAACAGAGACAGAAAAAAACTCTAAAGCGATCATAAATTCTGTACAGTCTGTGTCCGTTCCTCCGTTGTTTATATTCCTTTAGTAGTAGTCCTTTCATACGTAATATGGAGCCCCTAAAGGGACATGGGGAAAAAAGAGTGAAACGTTTCTCGTGAGCACGAGAAATGGATCTTGTGAGCACGTGCTTCCTGTGTGTTATGCCTCTAGGCTCATTAACTGCGGTTAATCCGTTACTCCGATCTCCGTGGTCAAATCAGCCTCACAATTAAGAGTGTTATATATATATTATATATATATTATATAAGTGTTATATTCTCAGCATTGTGATAATTGCGGAGAAACAGCGTATTCACTTCCGGTTTTCAAAATAAAGGTATTAAGAACAGTAACCTACATTTAAAATAAAACATGTTACATTAAAGTGTTTAATGCGACCATGATGAATAAAAAACATATTTCTACTGCACCAATGTGGAGAAATGCCAAAACAAAAGTTCCATATTTGTACCTCCAAGTGGAATCTTTTATTATATTTGAGGTACTGTAAAAACACATTGCTCAATAATTCCTGGCTATGAATGGTATATTTGACTTCTACACATATAAGACTACAAGTATACTTAATATCAAGCATTTTTACTGCACAAATTTGGAGAAATTCAACAATAAAAGTCTATATTTGTTTGATAGACGAGATGCCTCTAGGATCATTAACTGCGGTTAAGTCAGCTTTTACTAGGGTGGCCATTCGTCCGCTTTAGGCTGGACAGTGCGGCTTTTAAATGCCCTGTCCAGCTGCAGGCGCAGCCTTAAGCCGGACACTCATTTGTCCTCCTTTTCAGAAAATAACAAAAAAGGCCCACCTTTTGACACATTACCTTGTTAGTTTAATACTTATTGGCTAAAAATGTGTGTCAAAATAAGTAATTTCATTGGTTACATTTTCGTGTTGTGACCTATCAACACATGGCTAATTTAAATATTCAAATGAGCCATGTGTTGATGCACCATGCTCATGTGCAGTTGCTACCTGGTGGTTCTCCTTCACTGAGAGCTGTCAATCAAGCTCTCAGACAGAGAATGTAACAAATATGGACTTTTATTGTTGAATTTCTCCACATTGGTGCAGTGAAAATGCTTGATATTAAGTATGTTTTTTATTCATCATGGTCGCATTAAACACTTTAATGTAACATTTTATTTTATATGTAGGTTACTGTTCTTAATACCTTTTATTTTGTAAACCGGAAGTGAATACGCTGTTTCTCCGCAATTACCATAATGCTGAGAATATAACACTTATATAATATATATTTATATATATATAACACTCTTAATTGAGAGGCTGATTTGACCACGGAGATCGGAGTAAAGGTTTAACCGCAGTTAATGAGCCTAGAGGCATAACACACAGGAAGCACAACTGCCTGTGCTTAATATAAGGTTTCTCTTGCTCACGAGATCCGTATGTCGTGCTCACAAGATCGTTTCTTTTTTTTTTTTTCTTTTTCCTCATGTCCCTTTAGGGGCTCCCTTTCATGTGTGTGTGTGTGTGTGTGTGTGTGTGTGTGTGTGTGTGTGTGTGTCAAAGATGAGGGGGAAAAGTAGAGCAGGTTGATAGATTTCACTGTATGATCATTAGCAGGTATTTGTAGGCTTTTATCAGATAAACTCCATATCAGTAATGTATGGCTCTTTTTCTGTTGTTGACATCATATCATAACAAAATGTTCAATTCTTGTTACAGTGTCTGTTACTCGTTTGAAGATGAAGCCAAGTTCTTTGGGAATCTGTTCTGTGCAGCAGCAGAGAGAGAACAGCAGACAGGAGAGAAGATACTGGAGCTGTTATCATCAGTGTGCAGATATAAAACATTCCCTCTTAATGAAGAGGATGATGATGATGAGGAATATCAGTGTGATATCCTGCTGGATCTTTGCTCCCACCTGAAGGACTATGAGACTAAAACAGGCTTGAGTGTCCTTCCATCATTACAGTCAGTTCTCCAGTCAGCTCCTGCAGTCTGGTTCATAAACCTCTCAAAGAGAAAGACCTCCATCCTCCTGGAAGTGCTGAAACTCCAATCAGAGAAGAAACAAGTGAAGCTGACAGACTGCTCACATGAAGAGAGTGAAGTGAGGAGTTTCCTACAGTGTCTGCCTTATATCTCACAGCTCAGGTAAGTCTGATAATATTGAAAAGAAGTTTGTCAAAACATTATTTGACTATATTTTAAAATTGAACAAAATGTTGAAAGAGATGATTGCTGTCTATCAGTGGATTCATTATTCATCAGTATTTTAATATAGTTTGATATTATCACAGCTAATAACAGAGATACAGTTAAACACTTAATCCGGGTTTTTTCTCTCAGCTAATCTTTGATTAAAGACATTGTACATCAGAGGGTTTGTAATGCAGTATTTTCACTCATCATCCATCATATTGTGTTTTAGCTGTGATCCAGAGTTCTTCCAGAGTGTGTGTACGTTGATCTCTGTAAGATCCAGAGAGGATGAGGAGCAGTTGTCCTCTCTGCTGCAGCTCCTGGGGTTCACCCTGCAGTTAACAGGAGAGTTACACACAGGAACCTGCAGGTCTGTGGGCAGAGTTCTCAGACTCTGTGGATCTGATGTGGATCTCATCCTCAAACCCAGAAAGATGTCTGTCAGAGGAGCCTCCCTCCTCTTCAGACATACAACACAACTACACAGTCTGAGGTTCACATTTCTATAATTACTGTTGTTCTTATAACACCATGTTGTCCAGTTTGAATGTTAGTGGTGAAGTTAATTTGTTATTGCTTTCTCTTTGATTTTCAGCCTCTCCAGTGACATGGCCTTGCTACTGTTTCAGTGGGTAAGAAGAGGGCGAGCAGCAGGTCTGTTAGCTATTGAAGAGCTTTCTCTCACCCCTCAGACAGTCCCACCATCAGAAAGAGTATTGTTGAAGGTTGTCAGTAGTTTGGCCTCCCTGCTGAGATACTGGAGCGTCAGACAGTTAGACCTGACTGAGTTCTACGTCCCTGCTCAGGGTCTCATTCCACTGCTGCTCCACCATGGTCCTCTAACAATCAAGTAAAAGTCTTTCCTGAGTCTCAAACACAAACTAATGAATGAAAATACTGAATGAAGTCATCATTTATTTATTATTAAGATATATTCACACATTTTATCTGCAGACTGAGTGAGAAGATTTCCCTGCAGCTTCTCTCCCTGATCCATGAAATCCAGGACAAGGACTTGACCCAGTCGTTCTTGAGTAAGGTTGGTGGAGACCTGAGCTCCTGCTGTCTGAACTGGGAGCTTCTTCACTGTCTGCTGCAGCAGTCTTCAGATCAGATCATCACTGTGAACCTGAGGAAGAACCGCTTCTTACAGGAGAACGTCACACGTCTGCTTCCCTTTCTGGACAGGATTGTATTTCAAAGGTGATTGTTTTCACCTTTTACCAGATACAGACGTCCAGTTTATTCTATTTAATCATTTGCACATTCATTGTTGTGGCTTATGTTTGACAGCAGTTTGTTCATTCTTTGAATCCCCTGTTTTTTCTAAGTGTCCTGGTGAATACACTTTATGCTTTCAGGCCCTGTCCCAGGTTTGTGTTGACTGCCATCAGAGAGATCTATAAAGCTTGTGCCAGTCCCATTATACCCAGTTTACTGAGGTCACTGGATCATGTGATCAACCTGACCTGCAGAGAGATGGACTCGCTGGACTGTGCTGCTCTGCTCTTCACCCTCAAACACAGTGACAGAGTTAAACTGAACCTCGTGTTTACCTCCATACCAACAGGACAAATAGAGTCCATCCTGTTTACACTGGACAAAGTTTCTCAACTCAGGTCAGACATTAGTGCTTGTTCCTCAGTGCTGTACCTGTATCAGTCCTCTCCAACACACAGGATATAATGCACCTCTCCCTGGAGCGCCTTTAAAAATACATATATGTACTTTTATTACTTTTATTACTTTCATTTTACTGTTTGACTTTATTGTCTCTTTAAGATTAGTTTGTTTAACCTGTCTGATTGTCTGACGCTTGTGTTTCTTGACCAATCAGAATGCTTGAGTGATGTCACCATGTTCAAAGATCTTAATTATTAACATTATGAGCTCTATGTTATTATTTCTGATAGAAAAGGACAAAACTACAACAATAAGATTAAAGTTGTTGAGTTGTTAAATTCTTAAATTAATATTATTTTGTTTGGAATCTTTACCTCAGTAACTGACCTATGAACATATGTATTCATATTACATTTAATTAATTTATGTTTTCCTACCAGTGTTGACAGGAATCTGCTGCTGAGGTTCATCCACTGCTGTGCTGCCTCTGATGCCCAGCAGGGGGCAGCAGTCAGCCTGCTCAGGGCTGTGCAGCACAGGCTGGATCTGTCCTGCTCCTCCTGTGTGGATCTGCCAGAGGAGAGTCAGAGTGAAACTCTCAGTCTGACTGCTGAGGACTGCAGGGCCGTCTCCACCATCCTGAGACGCAGCAGCAGCAAGGACACACAGCTCAACCTGCAGGACTGTGAGCTGGAGGACAGCAGACTGGACCTGCTGTTTCCTGTCCTCGACAGAGTCCGCCTCAGGTGGGAAACACCACAAAATGACTGAAAGAAGAAGCTTGTTCATTTTTATGTTTATGCATCGTAACCGTCTGCTCTTTGCTCTGATTCTCCTGTTTAGAGCCAGTAAAGCTCTCCTCCTCCAGCTGCTGTCTCTGGTTCCTATGAACACTGAGAGGGACACAGTGAGACGGGCAGTGTCCCTGTGTAGAGCCCTGGGTGGAGAGCTGGACCTCAGTCACACCACACTGGATCAGAGGGCCTGTGGAGCTTTGGCCCAGATGCTGGACTTCTCTGAAGGGCTGACTGATCTGGACCTCAGTCACTGTGAGCTCACTGACCAGCTGCTGTTCACACTCATCACACATCTGCACAAAGTACAAGTCTTAGAGTGAGTGTCACACTGTCAGGATACATGTGTTCAGTTTCCATGTAGTTATGTGGATGCATTAACATGCTGTCACTGTAAATACCTTCAGAACAGAAGTTATGTAGACAGAGAACTCCCCACAATAACATAATTGTACCTCTGTGTCTCTTCCTCTCTTTGTGTTTACAGTCTGAGTCACAATAAGATCACTGATGCTGCAGCTCACATGTTACTCCAACTGGTCTCCATCAACCCCTCCATCGACACTGTGCGGTGAGCAGACATTAATTACTCGCAGGCTGACAGAGGAATCATTCACAATCTCAGATGAGTTCAATGGATACTGTCACACAGATTATTGTGGCTCAATGACTGATGTTTGCTCTTTTTCTAGACTCTTCAGCAACAACATTGTGGACAGAAATCCGTTTAAGAAACACCAGCAGTTTGAAATATGGTGACCCAGTCGTCAGTGTGGATAGTGCTCACTCCTTAATGTCCAATGAAATATTACTGTAGTCCGAGTACTGATACTGTGTTTGTGCTCAATACTGATGATGATGACCACTTTACATCTTCTTTATTTTTAATATAATGATAAAGTTTGCTGATAATTATCTGGAGATCAGTACTGAGATGCTGTAGTTTTTATTTTTTATTATTTATATATTTATATTTTCTTATTGAGGCAAAATCATGAGTAGGCCTAATTTATCTCTTTGTATTTTGGTGTAACTGTCTTTAGCCGTATTATCAGGGGAGCTCATGTCATTTGTAATCATTACGAAGGTCGTCTGTGATCTGAATCCCGTGTGAATCTGCCATGTCTGTAATTTGTAATGTAAAAACTTGGGGTTGTAGGTTTTTATTTTCGCTAGTATCAAACTGATACCTTAATGTAATATGGTACGAAAAGGGCCTTTGTGTGCATTCTGTGATTACTGTAATCTGGGATTATGTTTACTTCAATGCAGAGAAGAACGACTGTAATAATATCTCAGAGTAACGGTACAATAAAGGTGCTTTCAGGTGACAATCATGTTCAATACATTGAGATAATAATAAATTATCTGAAAAAAAAATCTGAATCTGAAAGAGACAAATGCCTGTAGCCACATTATTTCTGTTTAAAAATGTTATAAATGATCAACTTTTATTCTGGGAAACAGTTATTTAATGAATGAGTTGGAGTGAGTCAATAAAACTCAACAAGAATATAAACATTTGTTTTTGTTCTCATTTCTAATGAGTTGAAGTAAAAGATTTCTTCTATGCGCAAACATTTTGTTCACAAATTCATTAAAACCATTCAAATCAAAGAATCAAAAACTTCTAAGAAATAAGTTCTAAATGTCTCTGAGTGTCTCTGACCCAAACCATCTCTCAGGATTCAAGGTTTTCACAAAGAAGAACAAGTGAGCGTCAGTAGAGTTTAATAAAGTGAAAAACTCTAAGAAACACAGTTTAAAGGGCTCAACTGGTAAAGCAACTTGTTCAACTTCAATCTTGACCACTCTGTGAATTAAAAGCCTAAGAAAGAAACATAACTGAGGAGTCTCCAACTCAATATCTCACATTGTTAAAGGACTGTTGAACTCTTCAGGTTCGGAGTTTGATTCTGAACCGTTTACATTTTGAAGGCTGACGTCCGAATAAAAGAACAAAAGCTCTGAGTGAAGAAGCTGAAGTGTCTGATGAAATGGCTCCAGTGGTGAAACAGCTCCCTTCAAATTTATTTTGAAGTTGTGAGTTTAATATATTATATTGAAGTTGGATGTTCAAAGACAAAAAGTTAAAAGCTCTGAGAAATAGTAACAAAGTGTCTCAGCAAAAAAAAAGTTATCGACATTATTTACCATTTTTCACTCATTTATCTTCTCGTATTTTCTGTATTATAATATGAACTTTTGCTTTGAGCTTCACTAAACTGTATGAAAGGTGAAGATCAACAGCTGCACTGCTGACTTCAGACTGTAAACTCCAGCGTTCAATATTCCTCATTTAGCCTTTGCTTTTAAAACCAATCTATCAATACTGAAATGATGTGAGAGTCCAGGAAGCACTGGTGGCTCGAGCAGGTGCACATCTGAAGACCTGCAGGTTCTGGGATCAAACATCATGATCTTTAACGTGCTGATTGAAAAGCTTTGAGAGACACAGTTTAACTAGTCTGAGTCATTAGGAGGTACGGGTTCAATTCCAGATTATAATGTTTTCAGTGACAGAACTTTTACCTTCTTCATACAAGGCTTTTGTTCCAGAGTTATTTATGCTGACGAAGGAAAACTAAATCTGTGAACTCAAAGTGCACGAGGGTCATAGAAAATATAAAATACTGTCCATAAATAGTTGATCCCAGAGTGAACTCAATGTTTGAGCCCATCCCTCAATCAATGTTCATATTTTCAGGACACAGAAACCATTTAAAGAATATATAAATATAGCAGAAATATAAAACATCATTCCACAAATGTTTGTTGTTTCCCCTTTGCCCACTTTGGTATTCCCAAATCCCCCCTAATGTGGCAGTGACTCTCCACCATGTTAGAGTCTTCCTGGCTGCTCAGGCGAGACTTCGCTCCGACCGGCGAACTGACGCGATGACGCATGCGCGGCGGCTGAAGACGTTTCCGACTGAGTGGAAAGTTCGCGGTCATGAAGACGTTTGGAGGACGAGAGGAAGAAGGAGGGAGAGTGGAGGGAAATAACACAAAGAACTGGAGTTTATTGAGAGTTATAAGGTCAGTCAGAGGCTGAACGGCCACACAAACAAACACAAACACAAACACAAACACAAACACAAACAAAACAAACAAATAAACAAACAGCGTCGCTGCGTCTGTCGCCAGCTAGCTAACAGCTATGCTAACGTCTGTACAGTTGGTGATTATAAACAAACAATCGGTCAAACTCGAGTTACATTAAGTTTACATTAATCAGACATTATTGTGAGAATGAACATGGTGTTTTAAACAGTTGTTGTTGTTGTTGTTTTCTTGCTGTTATTGTCAGAGGAAATCAACGCCACCTGTTGATGAGCGTTCAGTGAAAGCGACAAGCGAACAGCCTCTCGAACAACAAAGACTAACATAGTGGCGGAAGATTGTGATCATGAAGCTGCTGCAGTTCATTAGCTGCTGTTTGTGGCTGTCATTGAAGCAGTAAGCTCTACTGACTGATTATTATTGATTATTGATTGATTGATTGATTCGACCGCTGTATCTGACAGAAACATAGTTGGAAAGTTGAGTTTGTCTTTAATCTTGAGACGATTCACAGGATACAACAAATGTCACAATATCTGTTTGGTTTTGGTTTTTAAAAGCTGTTTTTATTTGATACAATTGATCACAAAGTCTGACTATTATTCCAATAATTGTACAGATTGCAGACCCCGATGTCACCTTCAGGAACACAAATCCAAACACGTAATTTAGTGTTTCATAAAAACACTAAATGGTGACGATCAATGTCAAATTGATTCTCTGTTGTCTGTTACTGAAGTTGGAGCTGAGTTCTTACTGAAGATGGTTGTTTGATTATCCAGTAACATTATTCACATTTTAATGGATTTTTCTTTGAGTTTTAAAGACAGAGTAACATTTTTCCCTCTTCAAACATTTGTTGCTGTGGTTGAAAATTATTTCATCAGAAAATGATCATATGTTTTAGATAATTCAAACTTAAATTAAATGAATAATAAGATAATTTATGAATGCAAATATCCAGTTTTTATTTCATACAACAAGGTTGGTTTGAATGTTTGCACCATTGTTCAAATTAATAATTTGGGTCCTAAATAGAGAGTGTATCCACTTCTTCAGGCGCCACTACACCACTGACTGTGTGTCAGTCTTCAGGTTGTGGGTTTGATCCTCAGCTGATGCTGAATCGTCTGACAATCTTATAATGTGTCCGTTTCTTACAGTTTGAAGGCTGAAGTCTCTGCACGACTGCACTCGTAGCTGCAGAGCCTACAAGGATTCACCGGCTGAGTTGACTGTTTGGTGGAAGGGACACTGCAGCTGCTGTGTCGGCCACTGGAGGGCGCTCTGCCGTTGTTGACTTCAGGAGGACTGCTGGAACTATGGAAGAGTCTTCAGGTTGGTCCACTTTCCAGTTGTTGGTGAACACAGTATGTTTATCTTTCATATCACTACTAGTGTATATTCTGTAAACACATAAATAACACAAGAGGTCCAAAATGTAATTCACCTGCATGTATAAAACTCTTTAATTCATGAATAAAAAATATTGAATGTACATTAATATTAATAAATAACTCCACTCTGTTCCTCAGTGAACTTTCTGGTCAAGAGTTCTGAGTTAACATTTATCAGTAATCAACAATAAATAATGAACTGCTTTCATATGAATTCATGTTAAGTGTTGCAGTTCTTCACTCTGACCACTGGAGGGCGCTCTTCATTGAACTGAACTCTATTATATTATTAGATTTTAATTCTTACATTGATCTTTTACAGAGAAACATAAACAATTACATACAACATGTTCGACATGAATTTCTGTGAAAGGTGAGGAAGTCTGCTAAATGTTCAAAATATATCAGCTGGAAGATTGTAATTGAATTTTTACATTTGGTGCAACATAGCAGAAGATCAATAAGGATATAAATAAATATATAATTAAATATTCATCTCTTTCACCTACTTTAGTTACTCCGGTTAGTTCAGAATGAAAAAAATGCTTTACACTAAATCAGAAAAGCTGTAAACATATTCCTGAATGACGACTACCCAGACATATCAATCATTTAATAGCTATAATATAAAATAATGTATATATATTTTCTAACGTGTGTCTGTATTTCATTATCCTCCACTGATGTCCTGTTGGAGGAAGAGGATCCTCCTGGAGCCCCAGTCTGGATCAGGAGGACCCACCAGAGTTCAGCACTGATCCATTGAAACCTGTGGTCCCTGTAGTTCTGCTCTTTATGGTCAGTATGTCTCAGTCTCACTGTTTATTTTATGTCCTCAACAAATGTACATAAGTATGAACACCTTGTTGTGTGAGCTGTATTTTACTGAAGATGGTTGCTATTATCCAGAAACATTGTTCACATTTTAATGGATTCTTCTGGAAGACTTATTTTAAAGACACACTCACATTTTCCCTCCCTATATAATTGTGGGTCATATGACTGTTTTATTTCATACAGCAAGGTTGGTTTGGGTGTGTGCACCATGGTTCAACTGGAAGTTAATGCAACTCAAAGTAGTGATGATTTATTGTGTGTTTGATGGTTGCAGGAGGACTGCTGCTGACACGCTCTGTGGGAACTATAGAAGAGTCTTCAGGTTGGTCCACTGTCTTGTTTATGTTGGTGAACACAGTATATTCAAATATTCCACCACTGTATCTGACGGGAACATAGTTGTCTTTATTCTTGAGGCAGTTCAAACGATACAGTTGACTATTATTCCAAGAACTGTAGACAGATTGCAGACCCCAATGTCACCTTCAGGAACAAACAGTTAGAGTTCAGTCTCTATGTGAGAGAAACAACAATATAGAAACTGCAGTAACAGTCAAATGCAACCAAAAACCAAATCAAACATCAGTAATTGTTCTTATTGTGCTCTGCTTTGGTTTCTTGGAGCTCCAGCTGCAATTACTTGTTTTAACTCTTCTCATGCAGAACCAGACTGTTTAGCAGAGAATATAGTTTAGTTAGTTTCTTCAAAGTTTCCTCTTAAATAATCATCAAAACTTTAAAAATAACTCTGTCATTTGGTTGTTTTTTACAGAAATGAAGGAAATTGTGGGTCCAGAATAAACTCCTCTAACCCAAATCCCATCGCTCCAGAGCCCCGGACCCTCAAACACACACACTGCTGTAACCATCTTCCACTGTGATGCTGTGGTATGTGTCTTACATTACCTCAGTATAGTAGTATAATATAGTAGTGTCTAATATAATATAGTAGTGTTTAATATAATATAGTAGTGTCTAATATAATATAGTAGTGTTTAATATAATATAGTAGTGTCTAATATAATATAGTAGTGTTTAATGTAATATAGTAGTGTTTAATATAATATAGTAGTGTTTAATATAATATAGTAGTGTTTAATATAATATAGTAGTGTCTTATATAATATAGTAGTGTTTAATGTAATATAGTAGTGTCTAATGTAATATAGTAGTGTTTAATATAATATAGTAGTGTTTAATATAATATAGTAGTGTCTAATGTAATGTAATATAGTAGTGATTAATATAATATAGTAGTGTTTAATATAATATAGTAGTGTCTGATATAATATAGTAGTGTCTAATGTAATGTAATATAGTAGTGTTTAATATAATATAGTAGTGTAATGTAATATAGTAGTGTTTAATATAATATAGTAGTGTAATGTAATATAGTAGTGTTTAATATAATATAGTAGTGTCTAATATGATATAGTAGTGTCTAATATAATATAGTAGTGTCTAATGTAATATAATATAGTAGTGTCTAATATAATATAGTAGTGTCTTATATAATATAGTAGTGTTTAATGTAATATAGTAGTGTTTAATATAATATAGTAGTGTTTAATATAATATAGTAGTGTCTAATATAATATAGTAGTGTTTAATATAATATAGTAGTGTCTAATATAATATAGTAGTGTCTAATGTAATATAATATAGTAGTGTTTAATATAATATAGTAGTGTCTAATGTAATATAATATAGTAGTGTTTAATATAATATAGTAGTGTCTAATGTAATGTAATATAGTAGTGTTTAATATAATATAGTAGTGTCTTAATGTAATATAGTAGTGTTTAATGTAATATAGTAGTGTCTAATGTAATATAGTAGTGTTTAATGTAATATAGTAATGTCTAATGTAATATAATAGTGTCTAATGTAATATAGTAGTGTCTAATGTAATGTAATATAGTAGTGTAAAGAGTTAGCAGTTATGTTAACATTCATCAACAATAAATTAATAAATAAAATAAACACACTTCAACTGAACTGGACACTTTTATATTAGATTTAAGTTCTTAACATTGAATTTGTACATTCATTTAAATATAGAAAAATAATAAACATGTGATCTTTTATACATACACAATTGTGCTGGATGGTATCTTGGTAGCTGTACTAACTTCTCTCTCTCTCTCTCTCTTTCTCTCTCTCTTTCTCTCTCTCTCTTTTTCTCTCTCTCTCTCTCTCTCTCTCTTTCTCTCTCTCTCTCTCTCTCTTTCTCAGGTTCTGCCAGATGCCGGTTTGGACCACCAGCGGACCACCAGCGGACCACCAGCGGACCAGTTGGGGTTTTCCACAAAGAAGACTTCCTTGTGGGAAAACCCCAACCGGTTGGAGGCAGGGGGGGAGAGGGGTGCCCTGTTGCCAGTGTTATGCATGTTAATGTTGAATAAAATGATTTTAAAATCCATAACCCCCTGCTTTTACCTTTCTGGAAACCCGGGAGGGGACACGGCCCCCCTCCTCTCCCTCTGCAGCGGGGTGAGGCTCCAGGAACCGGGCACCGAGCGAGCCTCGAACCAGACACTTCTGCATTCTGGCCGCTCCCACGCACACTGCGCCACCATGCTCCCTTCACACTAGAACATCTTCTCCGGGCGCTTTTATCTTTTACTTTGGCCGCTGGAGCACAAAACACACTGAGCCTCATAAGAGAATCGAACACACAACCTCTGGTCTCCTGACCACTCTTCTAACCCTCAGCACTGTTTGATCTGAAACACTTTATCTATATTTCTAACAGCTTTTCACTTGTTTCTTTGAACATTGGACTTCATAATTCACAGTTGAGCGAGGCTCCAACCCACATCCTCAAATCTTGTGTTCAGACAATCATTTGTTTATTCACTGAGCTACACATGAGGACGGTAGAGTCCACGTTAGTTGTTGCTTTTCTTTACATCTTTGAGGAGAAAACACAGAAAACTGTCATTAGAGGACAACCTGGGTTCAATCCCTCCATCCTACAGCCTAAGAGCTCAGCACCTTATCTCACTGAGCTACACCTGAGGAGTGGAAGTTGCTGCTTGGTAGTTGTATTTATTGTTCACATTAATGAGGAGAAACCTTTAAAAGTCTCAGGATGCATAAGCTGGATTTGAACCTTCCACCTCTGGTCTCAACCTCATCAGTTACTTATCTTCCTGAGCTATTCCTCCTGATGGCTTTTGGTTTTTTTGTCTTTCTTTTACTTTTACTGCATTTTATTTATCTTTTAAACTGGATAGAAGTCAGATCTACAACCTGGAGGGTTATATGAGCTACAACAGAGCTCCTTGTGTCCCAGGTACAACAGTCCTGCTTCCCTGCACATTTATTGGTACTTTGGAAAATATACCTCTCTGCAGAGATAGCTCAGTGAGATAAGCAGCTGATGATGATCTCTGAGGTGGAAGGTTCAAATCCAAGCACACCTCTTTCAGTTTTCTCTTCAGCAACATGAACAATAAATACAACAATAAACCAACAACTTCCAACCCTCAGGTGTAGCTCAGTGAGATAAGGTTCTGCTATCTGATCCTTTGAAGGTGGAGGGATCTAATCCAGTTTGTCCTCTATTGACAGTTTCTGAGTAATTGTAAAACCATTGGGGGGGGCGTGTCCCCTTCCTAAGACCGAAGAGACATCGTACATTGCTACTATATTAAGATGATTCCTCTGACAATAACTTTCATCTTGTTTTCAGTCAGTTGGCTGTTTGTCACTCCTCATTAACCTGATTGAGTCCACCTGATCACTCCTTATTTAAAGGCCGCTCTCTTTCGTTCACTCGTTCACCTGCAGTTCTGGTAAGAGGAGTTGATCTTATGCATTGTTTCTGTGTCCATTTTAGTTCCACTGAAAACTTTATTTATCCTTAAGATTAACCAATTCTTTTGTTATTGTTTGTCTTCTTTCAGAGTCAACATCTGTTTTCTTTGACTCCCAGCATGCAACACTTTGAACTAATGCTTTAACAGAGAACTTTATTTCTAAAAGAATAATCTGTTTGTTTTCTTTCAGAGTAACTTCCCCAGGTGTCGGACCGCGTCCTCCTTCAACCCTCAAACACAATAAATCATCAGAACTTGGAGTTGTGTTCATTTAATCCTTGGTGCACACATTCAAAGCAACCTCAGGAGAGAACAGAGAATTATGGATTTGGATTTTAGACAAAATACACACTCCACTTTGTTTATAGTCAAACTGTACAGACATTAGATAGTGAGTTGAGATTCTGGATAATTCTCTTATTCTCATAAATATTTATTATTCATCTAACCATCTAACATCCCCATTGAGTCTGACTGATCAGTCCTTATTTAAAGTGTGCTCTCTCTTCTGGTACTAATTTTTATTTTATTCTAATTTAATCTTATTAATAAACTTTAAGCTAATGCTTTAACTGAGAACTTTATTTATCCTTGTTTGACATGAACAAGATGAATGTATGTCCTCCTGCTAACTCCTAAAGTTAAACACTTTTGATGACATTGGGAACATTGTTTGGGAAAATAAACTTTTTTTTAACGCGTTGATCTGATGTCCACAATGGTCGACTCCTATTCATTCGTTCACTTTACATATTTGGGCTTCTGTTAATGAAGGCTTTTATTTTACTAATACTAAAACCAGATATCGTTGTACTGATATTTACATCAACAGTAAGACTGTGTATGTACTGTAGGACAACAACATTAATAAATTCTTATTCATTTAATTTAAAGTTATTACCTTACTTATTTAGTGAGTGCCCTCCAGTATTATTTATTTTGGATATATTAACACTTCTAATAAGTTTTTCAACCTGTTATTCCAGGGTTTTTTATTCCTATAAATATATATATATATATATATATATATATATATATATATATATATATATATTTAAGTAGCTGAAACACATGTTTTTATTACTTTTTTTGTAAAACAAATTTCAGGAACAGACGTTTGTGTAGAACATGTTGTATGTAATTAACATTAAGTTAATATCAAATAAGTTCAATAACTTATTGTTGATTATTGATAAACGTTCACGTATAACTCATAACTCTTGACAAGAAAGCAAGTGGAGTCAGTTATTTATTTAATTATTTTATTTATTCTTTTTTTTTTGGCATTTTGGATCTCTGAAAGAAAAATAAAGACTTAAATGTCTCACTCATGAATGGTTACTAGTAATGATATGGAAACTAAATATACTGTGGACTTACTGTATGTAGTTCTTCTGTAGTTCACAAACACTCTTGAGCCAAAGTCCCTGTGGACGACGGTATGGTTAGTGGAGTTACCTGAAGACTCTTCTGTGTTTCCTGCAGGCCCTTTCAACTGATTGTCAGACAATTCAAATGAATTAAGTTTTGTTTCTTCTTTGTCACAATCCAGCATTAAAACCTTAAAGCTTGAACAGCATCACCTGAGGATTAAACCCACAACCTAAAGACTGACACACAGTCAGTGGTGCTTTGTGTTGATTACTGACAGTGAAAATACAAATTCTGCAGCAAACATTTATAGGATTCAGTTACATTTATAATCAACATAAACAAGAAAGTGGAGCAAACCTGAAGACTCCTCTATAGTTCCCACAGAGCCTCAGCAGCTCCTCCTGCAACCATCAAACACACAATATCGTTTTATGGCTATAACAGATTTTACAATTACAATAGGAACAGTTAGTGGGAATCATAATTTTTGCATCCCAATTTTTATTTGATTATCTTTCATTTCATTTCATTTTGAATTATTTTCACATTCATGTATATTTTAATATCTTTACATGTTTTCTTCCCTTGGGAAATAGAACATAAACAGAAATAGTGACATTTTATTCCTAATACAGTTTTTACAAATCAAAGAAGGAAAAGCTGTTGGTGTCTAGAATCTGTACAATTATTGGAATAACAATAATCAATAATAATCAGACCCTCTAGTGGTAGCAGATCGTATTGGATCCAATATAGGTCAATCACACACAGCTGGCTCGGTTTCAGTGTTACTGCCGGTACTGCTCCACAAGAGCAACGTTACACTGTTTGATCAGTTAGTGAGACAATGACAGTGGATAATGACCTTAATCGATCTCTGATATTCTCACACAGCGAGGAAACAACAAACAAACAAACAAACAGCAGCCATTGAACTACCAGCAGCTTCATTATCACAATGTTAGTCTTTGTTGTTCGAGAGGCTGTTCGCTTGTCGCTTTCACTGAACGCTTATCAACAGGTGGCGTTGATTTCCTCTGACAATAACAGCAAGAAAACAACAACAACAACGACTGTTTAAAAGGTAATGTTCATTCTCAGGAGTTTGACCGATGTTTGTTTGTTTGTTTATAGTCAACAACTGTTAGCATATGTGTTCGCTAGCTGACGTCGTTAACTACAGACGCGGCGACCCTGTGTTTGTTTGTTTGTGTTTGTTTGTTTGTTTGTGGGGCTGTTCCGCCTCTGACTGACCTTATAACTCACAGGAAACTCCAGTTCCTTCTTTTATTGTCTCTCCTTCTTCCTCTCGTCCTCCAAACGTCTTCATGAAACAGGTTCAAGTATCCGGAGCGACCGCGAACTTTCCGTCATGGCGTCAGTTCGCCTGAGCAGCCCGGTGGAGAGTCTGTTCCCTGGTGGAGAGTCATTGTGGACTAGAGAGGGAATACTGGGAATATCTGCTTCATGGAGACGTTTGGAGGACGAGAGGAAGAAGAAAAGAGGACATAAGACGAAGAACTGGAGTTTGTTGTGAGTTAGAAGGTCAGTCAGAGGCTGAACGGCCACACAAACAAACACAAACAAACACAAACAAACAAACAGGGTCGCTAACGTCTTCACAGTTGGTGACTATAAACAAACAAACAATCGTTTAGATTCACTCGAGTTACATTAAGGTAAAAATGAGAGCTTATTGTGAGTAGTTGTTGTTGTTGTTGTTGTTTTCTTGCTGTTATTGTCAGAGGAAATCAACGCCACCTGTTGATGAGCGTTCAGTGAAAGCGACAAGCGAACAGCCTCTCGAACAACAAAGACTAACATTGTGTCTGTTTCTGGATCTTTGGATATATTGATGGTTTGTTTGTTGCTCTGTCAATAATTAGACTTTATTGTGTGTTTGATGGTTGCAGGAGGACTGCTGCTGAGGCTCTGTGGGAACTATGGAAGAGTCTTCAGGTTGATTAGAAATGTAACTCAATCCTATAAATGTTTATTATTGTTGTATGATTTTTACTTTCTCTGTCAGCTGTGTTGTTAAGACTTTAATTTGTCTCACACTCGTAGATCTGCAGCGTCAGTGGAGGACATCATCTCCTCTGGTAGGATATTTTAAAGATTCACCCTACATCTAAAAGTTGATCTTTCTCTGGTTTGACAATTGTCTGACAATCTTTTAAAATGTTAATTTCTTCCAGGTTGAAGGCTGATGTCCAGAGTTACAGGAGGACTGCTGTTGACACGGTCTGCAGGAAACACACAAGAGTCTTCAAGTAAGTTCACTTTCCAGAGTTTATCTTATTATTCACATTCCTGTCATTGTCTCACATCACTAACGGATTAAACACTAACTGTTGTGGATCTATTGACTGTATGTAAATTACACATATTGGATTGTTTTAACTCTTATATAATACATATTCATCTAAACTTTAAAAATAACTCTTTCATTTGGTTGTTTTCACAGAAATTATCTGGACCTTCAGGCTCCTGTAACCCAAATCCCATCGCTCCCATCCAGAGCCCCGGACTCTCACACACACTGTGGTATGTATCTTGATTTAATTTAATTTAATATAATAGTGTCTAATTTAATTTAATTTGATAGTGTCTAATTTAATTTAATTTAATTTAATAAAATATAATAGTGTCTAATTTAATTTAATATAATATAATATAACATAATATAATATAAAATAGTAGTGTTTAATTTAATATAATATAATAGTGTCTAATTTAATTTAATTTAATATAATATAGTAGTGTCTAATTTAATATAATTTAAGTTAATATAATATAATAGTGTCTAATTTAATTTAATTTTAATAAAATAAAATAGGGTTTTTTTTAATTTAATTTAAGTTAATAAAATAAAAAAATGTTTTTTTTATTTTAATTTTAAATAATATAATATAATATAAAATAGTAGTGTTTAATTTAATATAATATAATAGTGTCTAATTTAATTTAATATGATATAATATAATATAATATAAAATAGTAGTGTTTAATTTAATATAATATAATAGTGTCTAATTTAATTTAATATAATATAATAGTGTCTAATTTAATATAATATAATATAATAGTGTTTAATTTAATTTAATTTAATATCATATAATAGTGTTTAATTTAATATGATAAAACATAATATAATATAAAATAGTAGTGTTTAATTTAATATAATATAATAGTGTCTAATTTAATTTAATTTAATTTAATATAATATAATATAATAGTGTCTAATTTAATGTAACAGTGTCTAATTTAATTTAATATGATATAACATAATATAAAATAGTAGTGTTTAATTTAATATAATAGTGTGTAATTTAATTTAATTTAATATAATAGTGTCTAATTTAATTTAATTTAATTTAATATTATATAGTAGTGTCTAATGTAATGTAATGTAATTTAATAAAATATAATATATAATTTAATATTATATAATATAATATAATATAATCGTCTAATTTAATGTAATTAATATAGTAGTGTTTAATTTAATTTAATTTAATTAAATGTTATTAAATATAATATAATACAGTAGTCTTGTGTACTGGATGGTATCTTGGTACCTGTACTAACTAACTATCTCTCTCTCTCTCTCTTTCTTTCTTTCTTTCTTTCTTTCTTTCTTTCAGGGAGCGGCTGATGAAGTTGGGACCAGTGGACGTTTTCCACAAAGAGGGGGGGGAGAGGGTTGTTATCATGGTGTTGCCAGTGTTATACATGTTAATATTCAATAAAATGATTTTAAAATCCATAACCGCCTGCTTTTATCTCTCCGGAAACCCAGGAGGGGACACGGCCCCCTCCTCTCCCTCTGCAGCGGGGTGAGGCTCCAGGAACCAGGCACCGAGCGAGCCTCGAACCAGACACTTCTGCATTCTGGCCGCTCCCACGCACACTGCGCCACCATGCTCCCTTCACACTAGAACATCTTCTCCGGGCGCTTTTATCTTTTTACTTTGGCCGCTGGAGCACAAAACACACTGAGCCTCATAAGAGAATCGAACACACAACCTCTGGTCTCCTGACCACTCTTCTAACCCTCAGCACTGTTTGATCTGAGACACTTTATCTATATTTCTAACAGCTTTTCACTTGTTTCTTTGAACATTGGACTTCATAATTCACAGTTGAGTGAGGCTCCAACCCACATCCAATCATCTGCTTATTCACTGAGACACAGTGTACCACTGACACACACAGTGTACCACTGACACACAGTAGAGTCCACGTTAGTTGTTACTTTTCTTGACCTCTTTGAGGAGAGAACACACAAAATGTAACGTTGGATCATCCTTTAGCAGCACCTTATCTCACTGAGCTACACCTCAGGCTGCTGGTTTGCTGCTTCGTAGTTGTATTTATTGTTCACATTACTGAGGACAAACCTTTAAAAGTCTCACACACAGGAGCTTGGATTTGAACCCTCAACCTCAGGTATCAACACCACCAGCTGCTTATCTTGCTGAGCTATTCCTGCTACAACCTGGGGGTTATATGAGCTCTAATGGAGCTCTTTGTGTCTCAGGTGTAACATTTATGGACGTCACAGCTGTTAGTGCTTTAAAAAAAAGAGACAGTAGTAGTAGAAATAGTTCAGTGAGATAATCTGCTGATGTTGATTCTTGAGGTGGAAGGTTTGAATCTTCAAACTTTCAGGTTTCCCTTCAGCAACATGAACAATAAATACAACAATGAAGCAGTGACCTGTATTCCTCAGGTGTAGCTCAGTGAGATAAGGTGATGTTACCTGATGATCCAAGGGGAGGGGGATCAAATCCAAAATGTCTTCTGATGACACTTTTCTGTGTTTGAAGAAAAAGCAACAACAGGTTAAACTCTATTGTCCCAATAAATAGCTCAGTGAGATAAGACACTGACAGGTCTGCAACCTGAACCTGGATCTGTGAGTTCGAGTCCGTGTCGGATTCTGATCTGATCGTTCCTGACTCCTGTGAGACGCTCCACAACCATTAAACACACACAGTGAACACTAGTGACACAAAGTCACTGAACTTAATAACAACATCACATAACTGACGATGTACCAGAGTTAAATATTAGAATAATTGATCATGTATCAGCAGCCAATCAGTCAGAAGGATTAGCAGTAATGAATAAGTAGGATTATTAAAATATTGTGCAGCTGCTCTGACGGACTTTCAGTCCACTGCTGAGGACGTCTGTCTTTAAATGAAAAACACAAGGGAGGATCAAACCAGCGACTGCACGTTCACAGACAGCTGACAACACCACTGGACCACAGAGCCTCTCTGACAGCTTACTAACATCCTGAAACAGTTTGAGCTCACAGAGCGTTCAGCTTCAGTTCAAATTCTCTGAAACATTTCACATTTAGCTTTGTGTTCACTACTTCCATAAAGAAGGTAACAGTTCTGCTACTGAAAATATCTCTACTGCAATCAGGACTTAAACTCCTGCAAACACTGAACCACTGACCCAACAACAAACAAAATACATTTCCAAAGATGTCTCAGTCCAGATAAAGTATAAACTTTACTTCTGTGCAAATGTTTTCTGCCAAATAGAAAAATATCCTACCAGAGGAGATGATGTCCTCCACTGACGCTGCAGATCTACGAGTGTGAGACAAATTAAAGTCTTAACATGAGAAAGTAAAAATCATACAACAATAATAAACATTTATAGGATTCAGTTACATTTATAGTCAACAGTAAGACTGGAAAGACTCTGCCATAGTTCCCACAGAGCCTCAGCAGCAGTCCTCCTGCAACCATCAAACACACAATAAATCATCACTACTTTGAGTTGCATTCATTCTAGAGCTGCATGATGTGGCTGAAACATCTGATTGTGTATTTAATCTTATTGCAATTGTAAAATCTGTTGGTGTTCAGTTAGTGGGAATGGTTACATGGTCTGTAAGAACGAGCTTTGTAGCTCGGGACATCTCTGCAGAACTACTGTGATTTCTACATATATTTAAAGAACTGTGCAGCACTAATTTACAGAATCTACAGCTACCGCAATAAATTAATTTAAAGGATTCAGAAAAATGATGTCTGTCTTTAAAAATCAAAAAGGAAAAGTTGTTTTACAGCCAGAATAACACCATTAAAATGTACCTGATGTTAGTGGATTTACAGCTGCAACTTCAGTCACTATCAGTGTTTCTGCAGGTTTTAAGATCATTATGTTTGCAATTCAAAACCTATTTCATGTCCACACTGCCAATAAAGTACTATGGATATGTATTGGTTCATTGTGACATTGTTACAGCATCATCAATACACATTTTCCACCAAAAACATCTAAAAGTGAGACTGAAACTTCAACTTTGTACAAATATCATTGACTTCATCATCCAATCACACTTAAGACATTTTAAGGCCTAAAATTCTGATTGTATTGTTGTTAAAACCCAGCAGACACCCTGGTCTTCATGACATAGAGAATTATTGTTGACATTTCTTTGTTTGTTTATATTTATATATCATAGTTGAACAGGAACAGCTGCTGTTAAGAGAGACACCACTTCCTTTGTTAGAATAACCTCATTTACACTTCTTCAGCTGACACTGTATTACGCTGATGTGGATAAAATAAAATAAAAACTGTGTTGAGTAATATCAGAGCGTTTTTACGTATGTATGGGACGTCTTTATTTATATTGCTTATCTAGTTTTTCTTGGGTCTTTGTGTTGTTATTGATAAGAATTGATGATTGATTGATTCCAACAAAAATGTGTATAATGAGGTCAAATAAAGTTATTGGGTTAAACAACCTGTAGAAGCTATGTTTCTCTTTCTTGTTGTAAAATAATATTCGTTTATATACAGTTATTATTTCATCTATCAACTTTTATACATCGAGTTCCTCTTCAACCGATCGATTAGTCTAATATCAGTCCGTAACTAGCAAAGGTAACGGACATATTTCACAATAAGAGCCCCTCGTTTAATGCATTCAAATAAACCGCTGTCGGTCTCAGTTGTTTTACTTTGAAAGGTTTTACCGGAAACGTGTGTATGTGGTTGTGTGTGTCTTTACACTGCTGCAGCTGACCGCTGACACGAGTGTATTTAGATTAACGTGTGTTTGCTGCCCTCCAGTGGTCATAATGAGGAACTACAACACTACAATAAATCTGCTTTATTACAAAGATTCAACGTTATTTTATTTATACTTATATAGATATAGATATAGGTCACTTTATGCTACTTAAAAAATAAATATGAATTTGTATGATAAATTGTTGAGGAATAATTTAACAATCTCATCCTGAGGGAAGAAGCCGTCTATTAGTCAATTATTTATATTTAAGTGAACAATATTAGTGTAATTATTCCAAGTGACATATGTAGCATTAGTATTAGTAAAACATGAATTAATAAAGTCATTTTAAATAAAGCTTTGTGGAGATTGTTGCTGTATTCTTTATGCTGGTGGACTGTTAATGATTCCTTGTAGAAGAAGAGTATTTGCTGCCCTCCAGTGGCCGTAATGAGGAACTACACCCCGGTGATTAAGTTAAGTTAGACATTATAACATGACTACAATGCTACAACTTCCGGTTAAGGCTTTCAAAATAAATCTACCAAACACAATCAGAAATTAACAATCTGTTGTAGTAAACCATTAATAATTTAAATTACACTTCAGATGTAACTTTAGCTGCAGCAAGAGATAAATGTACCAGTTTCTTTAGAAAAACGGACCAATTTATCTACGTTTTATTAAGATATTACATTAGTGACATATTAGACATTACTCAGTAAGGTTCATATATAAAAGTGGCATTAAAAACTGTCGTTATATTAATCGATAACAGTGTAATAATTGATCAGTTGTGATCAGGAACCGCTGCTGATAAAGTCTAACTGGTTTGATTTGGACTCTCTGTATCTGGTTGAGACTCACAGACAGATACGTGTGTGGGACAGACTGCTTTACTGCTGTGAACGTTGGTTTTAATGTCCAGTTGTTGAGCTTAAAGGTTTAAAATGTGATATGATGAAGTTTAAGACTGACAGTTTGTCATTCTTCAGTTACTGACCGTTTCAGTTGGGTCATGGGTTTATTTTGAAAGCACTGACCGGAAGTGGTATCGTTATGTTATTGTGTCTAACTTGAGTATCAACTCGGTGTAGTTCCTCACTGCGACCACTGGAGGGCAGCAAACAACTCCACCAGCATAAAGACAGACAGAAATATATTATATCTGATTTTATTTATATAAAGCTGATAATAATAATAATAATAATAATAATAATAATAATAATAATAATAATAATAATAATAATAAAATAATAATAATAAGTGATTATAATAATAATGGTAATAATAATAATAATAATAATAATAATAAATAATAATAATAATTAATGATGATAATAATAATGATAATAATAATAATAATAATGATGATGATGAGGATAATAATGATAATAATAATAATAATAATAGTAATAATGATAATAATAATAATAATAATAATAATAATAACAATAATAATAATAATAATAATAATAATAATAATAATAATTAATGATGATAATAATAATGATAATAATAATAATAATGATAATAATAATAATAATGATGATGATGAGGATAATAATAATAATGATAATAATAATAATAATAATAATAATAATAATAATAATGATAATAATAATAATAATAATGATAATAATAATAATAATAATAATAATAATAATACAGTGAATATTAATCATTAATGTTTTTAAATATGATCAGCATTATAAGAAATAAGGAGAATATTAAACAGGAGGTTTATGTTTTTGTCTGTGTTGGATAAACTTCCTCCTCTATATATTTGTCCTCCTCTCAATCTCTTCCTCCTTTCTTTTAAAATCCCTGTTCTGTTGTTCCTCCGGACTCTAACCTGTGTACCAGAGTTCACTGCATCCTCACAGGTCGCAGAGAGTTTCTGATCCCTCAGCGGGTTTCTGTCTGTTAAAGATTGTAGAAATACAACCGACCGAAGAGGAACTCTCAGCGGTCGCAGGAGCCACCGACATCCACACGATGGCGCTATTGGAGCATAAAACACAAACAGACTGACAACAGGACAATAAAACCTTACAGGTTATAATTGTGTTTGGAGGCTGAGCTGCTTCAATCAATGTGTTCATCTAGAGATTAGTCTAATATCAGTCCAACACACATATTTCACAATAAGAGCCCCTCGTTTAATGTGTATTCAAGGTTCTTTTATTGTAATTTACAACACAAAGGCTGTAGGATGAAATTCAGATATAGATTATTTTTATACTTAAAAAAATAATAGAGTCATAAAATTAAATATTAATGTGTCCAAAGAATTTTAAAACAGTTTTAATGTCTTTAAATTGTTTAATGTAGTTTAATGTTGGGGGGTTAAAATAATAAATGTGTCCTATTGAAATACCTTTTACAATGTAATGTAACGTTTGTACATCGGAAACTTGATCAATAACTAACATTAGCAAACTCTTATGTGATTATATATATATATATTTACACCCACTAGTATTTATATAGTATATATATTATAGAGGATTATTTATTTTACACTAATTCTGTAAAACCTTCCTCATGTGTAAATACACTTTGTCCTTTTGTTGTTTGTGACTTTATTAATTACTTTATTAACTATTTTATTAACTACTTTATTAATTACTTTATTAACTATTTTATTAACTACTTTATTAATTACTTTATTAACTATTTTATTAACTACTTTATTAATTACTTTATTAACTATTTTATTAACTACTTTATTAATTACTTTATTAACTATTTTATTAACTACTTTATTAATTAATTTATCAGCAATAATTTTAGTGACATTGTGTCAAATAAAAAGAGCTTTTAATACTTATTAATAATTATTATTGTAGAGGAGGAACAATGCTATAAAACATACATTAAAGTATTTTTTAATTCTTTTTATTTTTTTATTTTTAGGTTATTTAAAAACTGTTTATATATATTTTAATATTTAATTATATTTTTCTTCCTTTTGGAAATAAAAACTAAAAAGTTTTTTTATTCTGAACAAACCTGAAAGATTCATATTATTATTATCTGATTGTAAATAAACAATAAATAATAATAATAATAATAATAATAATAATAATAATAATAATAATAATATAAAGTCTTTGGGGGACAAATATTATATAAAAACAGATATTGTGACGACAACAACAACAACAACAACAACAACAGTAGCTGTTTGCTAGCAGCGACCCTGTGTTTGTTTGTTTATTTGTTTTTTGTTTGTTTGTTTGTTTGTTTGTTTGTGTGACTGACCTTATAACTCGAACTTCTTCTTCTTGTCTTCATGAAACCTTTATTCTTGTATCCGGTCAGTTCGCCGATCACGTCCGGTTTCCGTCTACCTCACTTCCGGTGTGTCCTCATCACTGATTGGCTCTTTGACCCTCGTCAATAACCTGATTGAGTCACCTGATCAGTCTTTATTTACTTTATTCTTTATTTACTTTAGAACTTTATTGATCCTTGTTTATCATTAACTCGTTGTTGTTGTTGATAAATAAACTGATTATATTATTATTGATTATTGATTATTGAAGCAGCACTTTACAGTCGGTCGGGACGAGGTGCTGATCTGAGATCAGATCCACGCTGTCTCTATTTGTTATTGTGCAACAAACAACAAACAAACAAAGAGCTCAGAGGGTTTTATAACCTTTATTAAATATTGATCTGTGAACAAACATGTGAACGGAAGCAGCGTAAATAAAACTGAAGAGGAGACAGACAGACAGACAGACAGACAGGCAGGCAGACAGACAGACAGACAGACAGGCAGACAGCGGAGCTGTAGCTCGGGAACACTTCAGATCCATATTGCTGATTTCATCGTTTCTGTTGCTGACTCTTTAGATATTATATAAATTATAAATTATATATTATATATAATATAAATTATAAATTATATATTATATATAATATAAATTATAAATTATATATTATATATAATATAAATTATATATTATATATTATATATAATATAAATTATATATTATATATAATTTACATTATATATAATATATAATTTATATATTATAAATAATATTATTTATAAGTTATATGATATATATTGTGCTTCTGATCCCAACCTGTTGTTGTTGTTCTGTCTGTACACAAACACACAAACACATCTGGAGAAACTGAACATCTGCACAACCGTTCAGGTAGAGAGATTACCACCATAAAGCTGCTGTTGGGTTTTTAATCATAACTCCTGTGATACGCTCGAGTCAACAACCTCGATGGAACATAAACAAACAGAGACAAACATAAACAATCAGAAACAAACAGAAACAATCAGAAACAAACAGAAACAATCAGAAACAAACAGAAACAATCAGAAACAAACAGAAACAAACAGAAACAAACAGAAACAAACAGAAACAATCAGAAACAAACAGAAACAATCAGAAACAATCAGAAACAAACAGAAACAAACAGAAACAATCAGAAACAATCAGAAACAATCAGAAACAAACAGAAACAAACAGAAACAAACAGAAACAATCTTTAGTGGAGAACTTTCATCTTAAAGAACATAAAAGTGCAAAAGTTCAGACATGTTGCTTTAAAAAAAGACAGAAGCTATAAATAATAAACAATAATCAATAATAATAAACGAGTTTGTAAGATTGGATCTTATGTTGGTAAAACGGGACAAACAGAAACAACTCGTCTACTTTTCACTGTCGAAGTGGTTGTAGTGTTAATGTTGTTGTTAAAGCTCGGCTGTGGAACATTCAGGAGGAATTAATAATGTGTATAATCAATAATAATAATAATAATAATAATAATAATAATAACAACAATCTATGAGAATATAAACTGAACCTTTCTTTCAGACGTTGTGTTTTACAGGAACTGGAGCTGCTGTCTGTCTCACACTCAACTTCTGTTTATGATCCCGAGACAAACAACCTGAACTCGGACTCACAATAACATCAAACAAACATCGATCATTCAGACGTAAAGATTCTGGTTGGGTAAAAACAAAAACAGCTTTTCAATAAGACTTTAACTCACATTCACCTTTAAAGGTTGAATATCTTAAATAAACACTAATTATTGTATCATTGACACTTTCTTTGTTTCGGTGCTCGACTACAGAACTACGACTTTACACCTGTACGTATTTACACTGAGTTATCCTCGTCTCAGTACACACACACACACACACACACACACACACACACACACACACACACACACACACACACACACACACACACTGAAGTGTTTGGGGAAGATACATTCCACCATGTTGTGACGATGACGACGTGAGGAAGGAGGAAGGTTTTTAACCGCCTGCTAGACACCTTCCTGTTTTCAGCTTTTCAGAATAAAAACAAACAATTTAAAGTAAATGACCAGCTGCAGCTGAATTTACCCAGCATTCAACTGGTGGCTGGTTGTTTCCTACAAAGCTGATGACGAAATACAGAAGGAGAAATAAAAGGAAAATATTTTCCCCACTCAAAGTACATTAATATAGAAAACATCCAACAACATCTACTAACAGGACGAGGAGCTTTTACACTGGAGGGACGGTGGAGGTGACCTACGCTGTCTCTAACCGCCTCCACTCTACGATTGTTGTCTGGGTTGAATTAACTCTTTTAAATGTGACTGTTTTCCTTTCTGATCGTCCTGATTTGACTCCTTTTCCCCCTCAGAGCGCTCCGCCCGCGTTCATTGGACACTCGACCATCCAGCTTCCTTTCTCCTCCTCCGTTTCCCCTCACAGCATCCCGTCCAGGTTCTTCTCTGCGTTCTGTTTGTCGGTGCCGGTGTCCTGATGGCTGTACTTGGTGTGGTGATCGCGGAGGATGGTCACCACGTCGTGGTGGCCGAAGTGGACCGCTTCGTCCATCGGTGTGTTTCCCCACCTGCAGCGGAGGGCGCGGTCAGAACGGGGATCATTACAACAATAAAAACAATAAACACAATAAAAACAATAAACACAAAAGACATAAAGAAATTAAAACTGCTGGACGTTGGGTTTAATTAATGTCACCATTGATTACATTTCTGAACGCATATAGAAGTCTGACCTGTCTTTGGGAACCGGGTTGACTTTACAGGCCTCCAGCAGGAAGCGAACCACCTCGCCGTGTCCTGAAACACACACACACACACACACACACACACACACACACACACACACACACATCAGCTCCACAAACACACTGATCAGAACGTTAACGATGATGATCTCGAGTGTTTTTACCTTCAGCAGCCGCCACGTGCAGCGCCGTCCTGGAGTCGTAGTCCCTCTGCTCCATGTCCATGGAGGACAACGCAAACCTGGACGAGTAATCGACAAACGTTAAACATCGACTCAGGAAACTTTCCTTTAGTGCAATAACAAAAACTGTCTCCACAAAGAGGACGAAGCTAACAGCTGGAAGAAACACTCCGAGTGCTAACAGACAACGAGCTTTAAGACGTCAGCGTGCCGGTTGTGATTCTTAAACCTGAACATTTAAAGAGTCGGTTTACCTCCTCAGGGCTGAGACGTCTCCAGTGTAAGCAGCAAACAGCAGATTGATCACCGACTTCACCTGAAACACAACAACAAACACATGAAAGCTGAGAGCAAGAAAAAAAAGAAAATCTTGTCACACGTTAGAATCTGGTTTTAAGAAAATAAATCTAACTTTGTCTTAATAAGACATTAAAGCTAATACTGAGCTCCATTTAACCAGCAACAACAATAGTTTGTATAATATCCCAGCAGAGGAACCAGATTATTGTCATTATTTAAGAATAAATTCACAACATTAAATGACAAAAATCAGAAAAAGTGAGAGAAACGATTTCCTTATAAACTACCAGTGGGACATATATTAAGTTTTAGATGTGACGTCACAACAAAACTAAATCAAGAGTCGAGTGGTGCACAATGTTATTGTTATGATGTTATCTTCCACCAGATGGCGCTGTGCATTAAAACGTACACCAAGGTCAACCAACATCCAGGCCACTGAGGACACACGGGAGGAAGTGACGCAGACGATCTGAAAAATGTGACGTTTTAGACTAAAAATAAACCTCAACAAGGATGTAAGAAGAGAAGGGGAACATGTGGATGTCGCACGTTACAGACTTTAACGAGGGGGGGGGTTGTAGGAGGAAGAGGAGGAGGTGAAGCTGATGAAGGGGAACATTGCTGGGACTCACCCTCTGGTCTCCTCCCTCCCTGCGAGGATCCAGTTTCTTAGCAAAGTGTCTCAGGTTGTCGTAGTTGTGGAAGTTACAGAGAGAAACCAGGTCCTGGAAGAAGAGAATAAAAGGATCTATCCACATCAACCCTGAGCAGTTCGCACAAACACTAAGCAAAATGTAAACACTTGTTGTTCTTCTGGGATCAACGGAGGATCTTTAGGCTTCAGTCTGCTGCTTAAACCCAACAAAACCCCCAAAGGCGGCACTCCGGGCTCCGGGGAACCGGCTCAGTACCACTGCTGGATGCTTAGAACTACAATATGTAAAGAGGAAAGTTACCGTGCAGAACTGGATGCCTCTGACGCTGTTACCCAGCTTGTCGAGGGGAGGAGACCAACACATGATGCCCATGACGTTTGGAACAACCAGCAGAATCCCGCCAGCGACGCCAGATTTAGCCGGCAGACCGACCTGAAACAGAAGCAGGACGTCACATTGACGCCAAAAACTCTTATTGTTGCAGAGGAGCGGTGTGAGCGTTGGTGAGCGAGATACTGACGTGGAAAGCGAACTGTCCGGAGAAGTCGTACATGCCGCAGGAATGCATCAGACTCAGAGTGTCTCGCACCGCCTCGGGGCTCAGCACGCGCTCTCCTGTGATTGGACAGAAGCCGCCATTGGCCAGAGTCGCCGCCATGACGCTGGCGCTCTCACAGGTCACCTCGATGGAGCACAACTGATGGGGGGGGATAAACAAAAGGTTTATTATGCTACTTTCCCACAGCACATAGAGATGAGAGTTATTTATTGTTGTTTTACTTTGTTTGAAACGTCTTTAAGTTGAGTTTTTCATCATAAAACGGAGTTGTTTTTGTTTACGATCAGACACATGAATCAAATTAAATGATACATAAATATTGATTCCAGTATGATGACACATGAACATTAAACTGTTTTAGACCTTTTTCAGTAAAACCTAAATTAGAATCATTGTTTCCCTGATCTTTCCAAGACTTATTTTATGAATCTCATAATAAAAACACATTTATTCCACATTTTTCTAGACTCCATTTACCTGGAAGTAGAAGTCGAGGATGGAGGTCATGTCCGTCCCTTCTGGAAAACACTGAAAGAACAACAACTCTGTCAACACACGTCTACTAACACACACCTTCATCATAATCTGTACGCAGCAAAGAAACATTGTGTATGTACAGAGCGTAGCAGCAGACGTACTGAAGGAGCATGAATGGAAATATATAAAACTTTACCTTCTTCTCTTTCAGGTAGTAACCGATGGCAAAGTTCCTGTCTCCAGACTCTCGCTCCGACTGGAAACTGGGACGAGCAGAGAAGGACGGGTTTGTTCTTTAAACACCATGACTCAGCTGACTCAGTGATACAGATCTGTCCTTCACGTTCATATTCATTGTATATAATGAAGCACTGAAACATCAACGTGTGTCCTCTGTATATTTCTGTAGTGATGTTGTACTCACGTGGCGTTGCTGAAGCCAACGTACTCGTTTCCTGCTAGTTTGTTCATGAAGTTCATGACCTGCAGAGCACAGCAGCATGTTTACAGTAAACAATCCACTAATACAACTAATTAAAATGTAAAACCTAAAGCGCTAAACCTTCAATAACTGACTGTTTATTTATATTAAATGATATATATGTCAACATGAAAGACATATCATAGACCAATAATAAAAATAATTGTAAGTTGAAGCCTTAAAAGGACCAGTGTGTAGGATTCAGTGGCCTCTAGTGGTGAAGCTGCAGACTGCAACCACTTTAACACAGCTCATCTACTTTCATCTACAGTCAGTGTTTGATTTGTCTGTTCTGGACTTCTGTAGAAATTCTGTACATAAAAACACTCAGGTGATTATACACTGATAAAAATAGGAATAGATCCTCCGAAGTGTTACACACAAAACTTTAAAACACTTAAAAACAACACAGCAATACTCACATAATCAAATTTTTCCGCGTTGCTTGCCCCTTGCTGAAACACAAACAGAACAATCACAGTGTTAAATTTGTATCCTGTCATCTTAAATTGTACATCCAACTGCCACTGACACTAAAAGCTACCCATGTCATGACATTAGCACGACTATGTATGATCCATACCTCTATGAGATTAAACTATGACAGGAAAACAGTTTACATCACTACGGTTTTCAAATCAAAAGTTGAGCTTATCAGTTATGTGACCAATCAAACCAATCGATGGATTAAGATTAGAGGTGGGAGACTAGCTGGAGATGGAGGAGGTGAAATAAAACAGTTAATCCACTCAGAAGTTTCTGGTTTTGTAAAAGAACAGAAAACACTATCATGGAAAGTATCAAAGAAAAACTTGTATTTACTTATTTAACTAAACTGGTTCCATCCAGATCAATAACTACAGAGTGACGTTAGCTGTGGCTGATAGAGGTGCAGCTATTGATCAGTGAGTCTACGAGTGTGTTTATGTGGAGTGTGTTTGTTGTAAAAGCCGTGGAAGGTGAGTTAGTTTTACTTTACGGTGCATTCACACTGCGAGTCACATGACGTCTTAAAGGGACACTCCGGCGATTTCAAGTCAATTTGCCTCTGTCACATTAAGACCAGCCTGTCTGTAGTCTGTCTGTAGCCTGTCTGTAGCCTGTTTGTAGTCTGTCTGTAGCCTGTCTATAGTCTGTCTGTAGTCTGTCTGTAGCCTGTCTGTAGTCTGTCTGTAGTCTGTCTGTAGCCTGTCTGTAGCCTGTCTATATGTATGACAATATAACCCTGATGATGTCATTGTGACGTCATAAAGCCAGTATAAGGTCAGGGTGAATTATGTCCATTGATCAGTCAGTATTTAGGCTCATTTGACAGGTAACTTGCAGTGTGAATATACTTTATTATCAACCACTGTGGCTGCCAGGAAAGAAACTGAAGCTCGAGTTAAGAGGGGCCCTAATAACTTCTTATGAATTCCTTTGTTTGTCTTACAGCTGCATTTAGGTTCTAAGCCCATGTGTTGGTGAAATAATAACCTTTCTACTTAAGTTGACAAGAACTGAATTAAAGAGCAACTTTTGTATTTTTCAACCTGGACTTTAAGTTCCTGTGTTTTGTGTTAAAGTGACAACAAGCTTTAAACTGGGTCCAGTATTGAGTGAGAGCGCTGCAGCCTGCATCAATCTCTAGTTTCAGTCTTCTTCCATACAGCATGATGTTCATTTAGTAACTGATGGTCCCATTTAGAGTAAAACAGACCATAAAGCAGGGTATGCTTTAGGGCGGGGCTACCTTGTGATTGACAGCTCATTCTCAGTGAGTCCTTCCAGCTCAACGCACCAAACTCAAGAATCAAGATTCTGTTACTGCGTCGACTATTTCTCTTATATTCTGCCTGTATTGTACATTCACAGCCCTTTATCTATATATATATTTAGAGCCTATATTACCTTTAAACTATTGTTGTCCTGTGCAATTATATTTATGTCTACATGGTGTCACTAACTGCTCCATATTAATTACATCTGTATGTAAAAAGGTGTATATAGAAATAACTCTATTACATCAACAATTATATCTTATCTCACCTCAAATCTGTTAACAAACGTATTCTATTAATTAATAATATTATTAATATCAACTGATGATTTATCATTTATAATAATATGAATTCATTAATTAATATATGTCCCATTATAATGGATGTAGACTGTAGTCTGCAGCGTTCCCACTCAGTACTGGAGCCACTTTAAAACTTGTTTATGAGTCACTTTGACACAGAAACATGGGAAAATAAAGTCTAAAAAATACCAAAGCTTCCCTTTCAGAGGGTCCCTAGTGACTCAAATGGATGACTGATAAAGACAAAGAAAATAAGTTTTAATCTAAAAATTAAAAACATACAAATCAAAAACAAAGAGGCCCTTCTCTACAGAAGAATGGAGTATGATATAAAACCAGTGTTTGAGTTGAGCCATAGCTGTACTGTTTATAATCCAGACGTATAAACAGTGTTGGAGAATGCAGGTGACAAGTATAAAAGCAACACATTCATAAACAGCCATGTGAAGGCTAAAAGCGTCTCACAAGTCCAGACAAAAGAGGGGGAAAAACAATTAAAAAGGAAAAATTACCAACGTCATTGACCTGTTGCAGTGGTCATAATTTCCCAAAGATCCTAATGCTGTAAAATATGTAACAACACATAAAACCACACAACGAGCCTTGAAAAGGTACATTGCAAATGAGTGTAGATCTAGATTCAGAGAGAGCAGAGAGGAGGGGGGACACGCATGCACAGAGTCCCTGATAGAAACTGCTTTTAATACTCGGATCAATGGATACGATAGATTCAACTTTCAGCTACAGAAATCTCAACAGTGATTGGTTGGGATTCAGAGGGAGAGTGGGATTGGTTGAACCGTTTTCATATCATACGGGAATGATGGACAGAATCACTGTAAACAATCAGTGATCAATACAAATGTGTTCAAATGTATTTACTTCTCATTCCCATATGATGTGAACACAAAAAAAAAGGACGCTGGATGAATCCTCTACTCATCCACGTGTGCACAGCTGGCGTCATGTAAAAGAAAATAAAAATACACAACAGCTATTCTGAGCCTTTCTTGTTTTTGGATTTGGGTTTTAATATGCTTGTTAACATACCTGAGTTCTCTTACAGCTGAATTATGTGTTAGGAGCAGTTAAAAGGCTGATCAGGCTACAAGCTAAACTCTGCTTTGGTTTTACTCTTGAACTCAATTTGACCAGAGAACAATGATAACCTTTCAACTAGCTGACAGTTAGAGCAGACAAACAGTATATTTTTAGATTGTTGAGGATGTGGGTGAGGAAGTTTGTTTATTTACTAAAAAGCTATATTGCTGTTTTCAGCCTCTCAAACATGGAGATTTCCAGCTTCTCTTCGTTTTATATTAATAACTGAACACCTTTAGGTTTCGAGACACTTAAAGACATCAACAAAAAATTAATCACTTAATCTAGGAAGTAATCTACAGATTATTCGATAATCATTAGTGTGTTGTTCTCCTGGTTTAATTCCTACAACACCCACCAGACATGAATAAAATGCTGCTGCTACAATGCCCAACATCAGACAGTTGTAAATATGACTTCTTCACTCTGAGCAACATAATTAAACAGTCCACAGAGGTCTTTGTTTGTTTGTTTTTTGGCCAATTTTCTCGATAGGATTTCTATAATTTCCCCACAAAAGGGGCAATGAAGACAAGTTCTGCTTGGACTGCAACTTTTATTTGTCTTTTACTATATATATTATTTTCAATGTACCTTATTAGCACTAGATACTAACTCACTAAAATTACAGTAGATCAGCTTTCGGACTACAGTTTGACATCCAGGGAAGTTTTTCATTAAACAGCAGCTAGATTAACAGTACGCAGGAGAGTTATAACACTTCCTGTGGATCTCACTGGATACATGTGTAATTAAGCTGCTCGTCATTCTACTGGGAAACCTTCATGATCCTCACTAGCCGCTTCAGGAGGGGCGGGTCAGAGTCCCAGAGTTTTAATTTTTTAATTTAAATCAGCAGGTGGTGCTCTTGTGTTTCGAACCGCTCCCTGTATGTCTAAAGGTCGGATGGGGATATTTAACGAAACACTCAGGTGGCAGAGCAGTTTCTCTGATTAAAGATGGTAATGTAGCTGAGCTGAGCTGACTGGTCTCCATCTACGCCCACTCTGTGTGTGTGTGTGTGTGTGTGTGTGTGTGTGTGTGTGTGTGTGTGTGTGTGCAGGATGTCTGAGGGATTCTGCTTTCAACCAAATCCCCTTTCAGCATGATTATCTATAACCTTAATCTCCCTGTATACAGTAATCTGGCAGAAACATGTTCTCCAGACGATTATAATTTTATTTCATACAATTTCTATTTGGATAAAACTTTGTCTGACTTTCTTGCTGCAATTAGGAATTAATTCAGAATTCAGCTGTGAAGTAACATCTCTGAAACTGTAGTTAGCTCTGCCAGCCCTGACATAAAAATAAACCCCCCACTATCTGGAATATACATTTCAACAATAGAAAATGACACATTTTAGGATTTTAACCACCTGAAACAAACTCTTTAATCACCGACAGTATACGTGTCAAAAAACAGTCATGTAGCCCAATTTATTCTTTTGTATCAGTTTCCAAAATAAATGTACTTAATAATTAATGAAAGGGAATATAAATGGAGCTTACCTTAATGAGGGAGGTACAGACGATAGCGCCGGCATTAACCATGGGGTTGTGTGGTTTATCTGTAGGATGGAAAATAAATAAATAAATAAATAAAGTTTTTTGCCTTTTACTAATAAGTGAAAGAGCAGAGAGACAACAGACTGGATAACCAGTAACTTGGAATACACATGAACTTAAAAATAACACATTTATACAAACAATAAAATAAAAAAAGACATTTGGGAACACTTAACGGCTGGAGGTCACAACATAACGAGGTAGGTAACCACGCAATATTGACACTAAAACACACAGCGTGCAGTGATACACCACTTCCTCTCTGTGTTTTAATCTTCTTATGCAACGGGCCAGGACAATGTTTAAAAAAATAAATCTAAGCTGGTATATTTCCGCTGCCGGCGAGTCCTTTGCTCTGTTAGATAACAACAAAGAGAGGAAACCTGGAAACGTTCTCACGCCAGTTTCCCTTCAAAAACACACAATTTTCACAGAACCTGATGTCTGGACTTGATGTAATGTCTGCTGACAGCGGCTGCACAGGATGAACCAACAATTCACACTTCAGTTCAACATTTTCACACAGAAAACTGACTGATACTGCATTTTTAACGAGGTTAAATTACCTCTAAACTGGAAAGTCTACTTTCCGCATAATCATATCACAATGAAAAAAGGATTTTCCTGGATTTAAATGAAATTTGAAAACCTGCAGACCTCTGGGAAACTTTGGTTAAACTCTGCATAAAATCTACGAGAGACATTTACTTTTTAAGACTCTCATTGTGTTTTTTAACAGAGCCACGGGCCAGCAGCTTGCTGTATTTCCATGTAATGGATGTACACACACTCTGTTTCCTTCTGCTGTGCTGCTGCAACCTCCCATTAACTATTTATGACAGCTCCATAGCAACCAGGCCTTAAGATGGATCCTCTTACAGCGAATGTGTGGAGAGAAAGTTCAACCACAGCTGGCTGAGTCACTTCACAAACACAGAGGCGTAGGTGAGTGTGTGTGATCAGGGTTGTTTCCTCACCTTCCTCGTTGAGGAAGAGCTTGTTGAATCGCAGACCGCTGGGCTCTTTGCCGATGAAGCGGTGCACATACTCTGTGCCGTGGTCGTGAACGGCGATGGCGTATTTTAGCGGCTTAACACAGGACTGAAGACAGAAAGGGACCTTGGTGTCGCCGACAGTGTGCCTGAGGAAGAGACAGATATTTGTTTACACACACCTTTTTTCTTCCCAACGACCAGGATTCTTGTTTTTCACCTCTCTTCTCATTTTTTCTGTCTGTGCTGTTTAAGTGAATCAGTTTGGATTTCTGTGCAGATTCCCACCACAGTGAAGAATCTGTAGCTACAAAATTAACATTTCAGTTGTACCTCTGTCCATCAACGGTGCACAGGGCGACGGCCCACAAGTCTGGGCTGAAGCGGGCCAGCTGGGGAATATAGTCAGCCACCTATAGCATCACATAACACACAAAGGATATAAACACAAACGTTTTATTATACTCCTTATTTAGAACAACTTTTTGAGTGCTTTGTTTTCTGTGCAGAAAGTTTTATCTTTCCAACAGCCCTCGCTCACCTGCCCTCCAGACATGTTTTTGGCGTTTTCATAGAGCTCATCGATGTGGGCGCTAAAGGACTGGAAGTCTGGGATGACAAACTTCTTCCTGAAGGCCTGGGTGAGCAGAACGATGTTGCTCTGGACACATCTAAGACAAGAGAAAAGAGAGACAGTTTAGGCCTCCAGTTAGCCTATAACCATGACTCAGGGGAGCTGTCTTTCCTGGTGAAGAAGGAAGTAACAATCAGATCAAAGAACCTTTAAACTTAGATCTGAAGATATAGATGCAGAAAACTTCAGTTAACTGAAGGGAAGAGTTTACTCATTGAGTGTCCTCTGTCTCCCTGGTTACCGTGGAGAGGGAGGAAGGGGGTCTTAACCAAATTGTAATTGTCAGAAGACAAAAGGTTGACCAAGTTCTGTCCCTTGTTGGCTCTGGACAGGTGATTATTACCACGTGTTTGATGGTCAAATGCCTGACAAGGCTTAACTGTAAGCCTTTACATAAAACTAATCATCACACTGGCTTCAGACCTTCAGTGTCATAAATCTTACGAGCTGAACTGGTTTCACGCACCAGCTGCCACTGTGAGACATCTGCTACTGCACTTACATGTCATGTAATTAGTAGTGTTGTCTTTGTGGAACCTGTCTGTATTGCTGTTTCAGTGCCTTTATTTCCAGGCTACAATCTCCTGCTGACTTTTCTAAACCAGCTCTCTCCAGCTTGATGAGCTCATTGGGAGGATTTCTGCACCTTTGTTTAACCAAACTGTAACCTCAGATTCCCAAAATACACTTACATTGCACCTTCTCTGGTCCAAGTTTGTTTTAAACTGTTGTCTTTACTCCACCAATCTTTGTCCCAAATGTTGTCCTGATCCTTTTTTTATCTGAGCGATTAAGAACCACAGATAGTAAACACACGACTCGACACAATAAGGCAGCGAGGTGGAAGCTGCGGCTCTCTGGTAGCACAGAGATTTGTGCCTCAGCTATCTCACTGCATCAAACCTTCTCTAATCCCTATAGCAGGGATCCCTGCAAAGAAAACACACACTACGCTCACGTGTTTCCCTCTGTGAGCCTGAGCTCTATAAATAAGCCTGGGGAGCGGAAGTGATGGATCCCAGCCAGGAGAGGCGGCGCTGGGGTCTGTTCGGTGAGGATTCAGCTCCCCGCAGAGCTGTCATATGTCCTGACTCCCCACGCTGCCGCGTCCCAAGCTGTCACCAAGTTCTGTCTCAGCATCGTTTCCTCTGGGGGGTCAAACAGCAGTGGTGCTACTGTACCGGGATGGGGGGTTAATGTTATTTTTTCCCACACCCATCCTGGTTTTGTTTCCACTTGTGGTTTTCACAGCAGCTTATGGGGCTAAAAATGTTCTTTGATTACTATATAGATACAATTCACACTGCGCTACTTAGTGTCTTAGTGTTAAACATATCCCCCCACTCCTGTGTTTCTGATATGTAAATCTTTACACATCAGAATCTGTTTACACGTCCCGGGGAGTACTACTGCATATGTGACAAAAGCTTAAAGCCCTGAATGTGTCCAGAGGGAGCAGCCTGAAGTCTGATGGATGTCAGCTTCGTTGGAGGCTGAGGACTACAAGTTTGAAAAAGAGAAAAACAAAAGTGGAGTTCTCCAGGGTACATTAACCGCTAGTAGCATAACACGACCGCATTGTCTGCGTGAGTAAAGAGTACAATGCTAAATAAATGGAGAGTTGTTGAAGCAGGTTTCTAACTAACACAGGTTCCTTCTTGAATTTTGACTCATGTTTGATTATTCATTCATCCACAAGAGTTTTATAACAACAAGGGCCGATCTGACCTTTGATGGGGGCTAGTAAAAGGTCACTCTGTGAGCTGCATTATATCACTTGTTTCATCTCCAGTGTCACTGCATAATGAAGCAGAAATACTTCAAACTATCTTTTATCAACTCTATCACAAACACCACTGATCTATCTTTTAATAATGTGTTAATTTCTCCAAGTTATGGTCAGAAGATGTGTGTTGTGTTGACTTCTATTAAAGATAAACTGATTCACAGTTATTTCCAGCACTCTTGAATCCTGCTGAAAACCTCAAGATGCCGATGACGTGCAAACTGAGGACTGATGAATAATTAACAACGTGCAGTCACCCTTTAAAGCTGCAGTGAAGTGCAGCAGACTCTGACCAGCATTAATAATTCTTCTAACAGACTCTGATGAAACATTGATGCTGATAATAAAGGTAGAACAGCAAGCGGGATTCTATTATAATACACACAATATTTTTAGCCCACGATAACATAAGTTTGGATTTGTGAGACCAAGAGTCGAAGTCCCCAAAAAACACATTTTCCTTTTATGTAATCTTTAAGCTACACTCTCGTTCTTTCCAGTGTATCTTGCACATAAAAATGACTAAACAATTGCAGATTTTAGAACAATCTTCTCTCATTAAAATCAATATTGATCTTTTATTATATTTAAGTATTAATCCAGAAAAGACTTCTTGCAAGACAACAAAAATATTTTAAAACTCTGTGACTGAGATCTAAGACTAATATTGCAAAACAAAATCTTCTTGGTTACAAAAATAAGGGTTCTATAAAACCTACTTTTTGAAGAGGTGTCGGTCCAGTGCTCCATCAGAGGTCGTCTTCAAAGTCACCTTCAGCATCTCCATACATTCTTTCAGCCGAGGGTCTCCCGTGCGAAGCCCCGTGGCTTTAAGAGCCTGTCGAGAGAGGGTGAACATCATGATTAGGACAGCCTGACATTAAATCAATAACGCTACGAGCCGTGAACTGAGGCTCCTGAAGAGCCTAACAAGAGGAGTTATCCTGCTCATAATTCAACCAGGGAGACATCTACAAGGAGCACTGCTGCTTCACTGCCTACCTCTATAGTCTACTTGCCATAAATCATACAGTATAGGCCCATTTTTTGGTTTATATTTGTAAATCTTGCAGAAACTGGTTTGAATCTGGTCATTTCAAACATAAATCCTCTGCCATGTTTCCTGACTCACTGTGGTGAATTTGTGTGCAGGGATTTTTTCCTGGCCCTCTGCGATGGTGTAGAAGAGCAGGTCCTCCAGACTGGGCAGGATGCCTGCCTTTCTTCTCCTGCAGGAAAGCAAAAGAAACACACACAGACAGAAAAGTGAGAAAAATAACTCCACTGTGAGGCCTGCTGAGGTGGAAACATGGAGGGGAAACTGCAGCAGAGGGAGGAGAAAAAAGCTTTTTGACTGCAAGGAGAAGCTGTGAGTAGCAACTGTAATACTGCATTGGAAACATTACCTTACACTGACCTTAGTTCAGTATTATAACCTGTGGAAACAGCTTGTACTGTACATATATTTTTCCATAGGCTAACATGCTGCCATAAGGCCATTGTAATGTAAACTGTTTATCATCTACTTTGCTAGAAAACCAGCCAGGAATGTCACATGTAAGCTAACAAAGCAACTCTAAACATAGATTTTATACTTTAATCCCAAACCCACTGACCCCAAATGAAACTCCCTTTGAGGAATTTATATTTGCTAGAAGAGACGCTGCCTTACAGGCCTCTTCGTCCACGCTGTGTGTGAGCGGGCAGTGTCACAATCTGTGAATTGTGATGACTGCGTCTAAATGTTTCAGCTGTGACGGGGAAGTTGGCCAAAGCCCCTGGCACATTACTACCATGTTGTTCAGTGGCTGAGAAACGACCAGCAGCCTCCTACTGAATGACAGTAAGGTCTGCATTTTGGTTGTTATTAATAATTCATATTCCTGATATAGGTGGTGAAATATCTGATCAGAGAATATAAAAATACAACTAAGAATCTGACCAAGCTTTCTGGAAACTTCCATACTCGACACAGACAGAAATGTTGCTGAGTTGAGGTTCGCTGTGAGTCCTACACTAACATGTTTACAGTCCTCTTATTGTGCACGATTGGCCACTTCAATGATCTTCAGGATGTACTTCTATCGCACAGTGAGATGAAGGGCTGCTTGACTCACATTTCAACCACTTTCTACATTTCCTGAACCGCTGAATGTGTTCTCCATTCTTTGTACTGCAATAACTTTTGTCCCCCTTGGCAATCTTTGTATTAAATAAACGTAATCTTTACAGTGTCTGCTGAATTGTACGTGGTAATACGGCCTGGCTGGTATTCTAAGCAGCGCTTCCACACCAAGTCGACTCTGGGAGGAAAGTTAGTAAGTAGCGTGTCAGGAGGCAGACGGGGCGACCAGCTCACAGCAGGCTCTCTGCTATGATTCATATCAACACCAAATTGGATTTGTGCAAAGCTCTGGGTGCCCAGTCGCACTTTGTCCTGCATTGCATCATGGGGCACTGGCCTGTGTGCTAGGAGAGGATGTCTGAAGGTAAAGCTTTAGTTGGCAGGTGGCTCCTTGCAGCAGCCAACCAGATATAAAGCTGAGTTTGCACCCTTGGAGACATGAGAGCAGAAATCTACATTTCAGACTGAGCATCAGCAGGGTTTCCTCTGGATTTATTCGGTAGCAGTGAGCTATCAGGAATCTGTAAAGAGCCAAATTTGCTATTTAAGAAGTCAATGGGTTTTGGGGTTTTCATACAAATTGTCAAATAAAGGACATTAATCAACTTTTAAACTGTGCTCAGTGCATAATTTTAATAAAACCACAACAGAATCTTATATAAATTTGGTCATTTTGAGATGTGTGTGCTATTTTTCCATCTATTTTTACTGTGTGTTCAAACAAGAGGAGCTTAATCTATATTTTTCTTACTGTCAACAAATCCCATGAATAGACCAAAACCAAAACAACAATGTGTTAGCTGTTAGAGTGAATTGGGGACTATTTTCAGTGGCGGATAAACACACATTTGGTGCTCTTGTGAGTATCTGTGGCAGTAGGATGGTGTATAAGTGAACCACAGTGTGTGTGTTCATGGTAATGAATGAACAACAGTGTGGTCCTGTCATTGATATGTTTTTCATAGATTTTAGAAAATATAGCTGTGTGGCACTGAGGAAGAAGATCAAGCTTTGGAGACACACAGAATACGTGTTAGTAGATACATTCATTGTTGGTTTTGGTCTTTTCATGGGATTTGTTAATAGTAAGAGAAATATAGAATATCACCCGTCTTGAATGTGTTTTAAACCTATCATCCACATTTCTCCTGGACCGATCTCCTGCAGAATGATACAGAGGAAACACTGGGACCAAGTCTCTGACCTATCGTTGAGACCTCATTACCAATACTGACAGTTCCACTCAGAGTCGGAAGGCAGAAATTCTGACAAAACGGCAAATCTAGCCATGGAAACATATACGAATGCAAACAAAATAAATTCTTGGCAAGCTGCAATATCACGTATTTAACTGTAATTTATTAAACTACCATACTTTACTTTACCGTTGAAACTATGTTGTGTTTTAGTGCCATCGAATGCTAAAAATTGTGTCTGTCTTTTGAGAGTTTAGTCTATATTAAATTTAAATTCTGACTTTAATGGTCGTCAGATGAGCTTTCTGAAAGTAGGAAATCTGAATTGTCGACTTTGCGACTCATGTGTGGAACTTCTCATTACTTCTCATGCACTCTGGATAATCAAGTTGTTGCGTCCTTATATAACCTGCAACTTTTTCATTGATTGTTAGCGTACTTTGAGCTCATTAATGAAGGTTGATGCCTGCTGGTGAGGAAGGAATACACATCAGAGAGTGTGTGTGGGGAGGTAGGGAGGGAGGGAGGGAAGGAGGGAAGGAAGGAGGGAAGGAGGTAGGGAAGAAGGGAGGGATGGAGGTGAAGTAGAAGGGAGGGGATTCAAGCGCAGCCGCTGAGAGGGAGTGAGGTAATTTCAAAGGTAACAGCAGTTATTGGCTTTCAGCAGAAAACCTCTACTTCTACAAGAAAACAGATAAAAAAAACACTAAAACTAAAATAAAAAGTAGAAACATACTTACAAATGCAAAGCAAGCAGATCAACAACAGGGAGAGAATGTGCAGAGGGAATAATACTGAATTAGTAACAGAAAATGGCATTTAAAGTACAGTATGAACACATCAGACCATTGCAACAATAAGCATTAATATAATATAATATAAAATGTAAATACATACTGCTAACACTGTACACAGATATTCAGATTATTCACTGAAGTTTAAAGGGTAGTTCTGGTATTTTGAAGTGGTCGGAGGTCAGTAAGCCTCCAGTTTGACAAGCAGACAGGAGTCCCGGCACAGACGTTATCACAGCCACATTAAAAAAAAAAAGGTCCACCGAAAAAATGTATTGAGCATTGCATTGCCGGGAGTCCTGTCTGACCACCAGCTACTGTAGATAATACACTGACTATGGGTAAGTACCTCAAACAACCGCACTTCAAAATACCAGAAATAGCCCTTTAAGTGCTTTACACACAAATATGAATACTGGCATAAATCATGAAGAAGAAGAACAGAGATTAATGAATGGAAAGCACTGGACTGGTGAATATGTCACAAACATGAAGGAAATCACATTATTTGATGAATCAAAGAATCATAATATTCACATAATACTGAATCAACAACAAGAAGCTTGTTAAGTATCTAAAAATAGTAAAGTTGCTGCAGTAAGGGAAGATCTCATTAGGAGTTAATGACTGCAAACACTGAAACACACTTAAACACAGCGACCCTGAATAATTCTTCTGTTTAATTGAGAACTAACTTGAAGCACCCAGTGACGCCCACTCAGCATTAAAGAAAATACTTTATTCTAACATGTATGAAATAGTTTTATGTAACATTCTTGTTTAGTTAATGAGGCCTGTGAGAGCTTTCACCTCTGGGAGCAGCATCACCACCGGGTCAGAGGAGGCCACTGGAACATCTGGACCAGGCAGGATAGTCTCATTAATACACTTCAGCTGCTCTCATTAGCGCTCTCGCTTGCCTCTCTCAATGTTTTAGAGGTCAGCTGTGATTCAACGCACACAGTTTGTCCAGAAATGTTAGAACAACTCTTTGTAATAGATAGATCCACTGTGGATTGAGCTGCACACAAAGGCTTTTTTATCTCCATCACAGAGAAACTAAAGCTGATCAAAGAGCCAGCAGTGGTTAGTCTTCAGACCAGTGAAGTCAATTTGTTCCCAGACTTCTACATGAACCTGTGGCAGTAAACACAACACACAGGCCTACTGACCCGTGCAATGCTAGCAGCTCACTAGATATTTATGGCTAGCAAAGGGTTACAACAACAAGCTTCAAGCCGTTTAAGTTAAGTGTTAAATCCACAGGCTGCAGGTCTTTTGTGTTGTGTTGTATGTGTTTAAAGAGGAACTTAAACATGTGTTTGAGCTATAAACTAAATGATATGACCTATGAAACACATCAGTGCTGGTGTTGATAGGGATTACCTGCTAATTGTGTTAAATAATGAACATCGCAAGGCCAATGCTGACAAAGAGTCGACCATTTGGGACTACTTTACGTCAGAAAATGTATCTTTAAAACTGTTAACGCCCTCTAATCAGAGGAGGGACACAGAGAGTCTGACAGCAGCCGGCTGTTCCTGCTACACGGCTGTGGTCAGTCTGTGACTTCGGTCGGTGTCGAGGCTCCACGAACTCTGCAGGTCTCTGATGCATTTTTAAATTCACTCAGAGGAAAAGGGAGCTGGAAGAATTGAGAGGTGTAGTTACACTTTAACCTATTAACTATATCTATAATGATTAGCCCACAATTTCACTATAGGTATGCAAAGCTGCAGGGGCCATTCATTCCTCTCATGTAATCTACTTGAAAACCATTTTGTCCACTGAAGAGATCAATAGACGCTGTGGCTGCAGCAGCATCGCAGTATATCTGCAGCTGAGCGGACAGCTGGTCCTGAGGACGCTGACAGCAGACTGGAGGTCGTACTCACACCCCACTGACGTCTCCTATCTGGTGTCAATTTAGAGTTTATAATGCAAATATAACCATGTATGAGTATTAAAGTATCCTGGGACTTGACGGGCATTTTACCCTACTTTCTGACTTTTTAAAGACAAAATAACTTGAATACAACTCAGCGTGTAGGAGAAACTATGGTGGCTGTGAAAAACACAAAAGGCAAAAGGTTTGTCTGTTCTGGCGTTATTTAATTTGACTGACACACTGAGGAGGTCTGCAACTGGAGAGAGTCGTCTGTAGTGTCCCGCGGTATTTATTCGACCCGATCGATGGCGCTGGTTTCACGGCCTCACAGATGTAATGACAAATTGGTGTGGAGGGTGGAGGCAGACATTAAAGCGGGAGCGTTGAGAGGCGGCGCAGCACAAATCAATCTGTGCGAGTGACTCATCTGCTCCTGGAGGCCCTGACAACTGCTGGGCAGCACGCCAGCATCCAGGCTTTGGTGCAAAAAACATGGAAAAATGACGTGGGCGGGATAAGCTCCCCCTGCATTACAAACATTTTTAACCCCTTATTAGCTCATGAGCACAGCCTCAGGACCCTCATAACCAGACTGGAGCTGAGGCTGAACGCTGTCAGGGCACCAGGGACTTCAAACAACCCGTCACGGTTATTATATTAAATTGATTTATTCATGTTGTACTGGCCTGATTTACTGACATTTAACCCTGGTTATTCGTTATGTCTGGCACCATAGTCTGGTGGCTGTGTCACCGTGGACGACGGTGGCTGAGTCACCGTGGACGACGACGGTGCGATCATAGGATAACCTGTTGATTATGTTTTTAATTAGTTGATTAACAGTTTAGTCTAATAATGTATATTTCCCTGAGCCCATAATAATGTCTCTGTCGCTACAAGTGAACTTTAAGCTCCATTGTACATTTGTATATAGTTGATGTTAACAATGTATTTAATATTCTAGTAATTTAAAGCTACTTATCTGCATCTGTGACACTTCAATTTCCCCATGTGGAATCAGTAAAGTTATTATTATCTTATCTTGCGGGCTGCACCTAACAATTAGTTTAATTGTCGAAATGAGCAGTAGGAAGTAGAGAGTTTTTGACACTTTTGCTTAAAAAAACAAATTATTTGATCATTAAAATCTAATCTGAAGGGAGGATACAGGCTGGTATCTATTATTAAATGTATTATGTAGAATTAATTTGATGTGCAACACGGCGAACATTTAAAATAGTGGCAGATTAACTGTCTGTTGATCGCCTGCGTGTTTCAGCTCAGTCCAAACCCAAAGACACCAAATTTAGTATGATATAACAGAAAAGCAGCAAATCAACTATCCAACATCACAGCCTTTACCATTCAGGCCAAAGACTAAATGCCTCAGCAGGGTTTCTTATTAATGTTAAACATTTCAGGTTTTTGGTTTGTTATGTTGCTGTTGATAAGAGTCCACATGATAAGATGACTCAGTGATAACGAACAGCCAAACTGATCTTCAACAGCAGACAAAGTGTTCTCCTGCTTACTTACTGTGCTTCATTCTGCATGAAGCTAAACGTACATGGTGATGATTCCTCAAACACTACGTGTGAATGTTTAACAGAACAAGTCCAGGCTTCACTAAAACTGAAATTAGCCTCCAGGGGAAACAAGATGTCGCTGACAACCAGTCAGCTGAGCAAAGTGACTGCCTAAACATGGCCGACTGCTTAAGCAAATTGTCCGTGAATGGAAACAAATGGGACAACGTTGGCCTTCAGGGGCGATGAGGCATTTTATTACCATGGAAACTCTCTGAGGGGAGGATAGGGGCTGGTGTGGTGGCTGGTGTCACAGCTGCTCCGAATGTTCAGCAAGAAAAACGATTACGTAGCCTTCACTGTCTGTGCAACATGGGAAAAACTGACACTAACAGTCACTTTATTGACTGCCAAGGCAAACTGGTAACTTGTGCACTGCCACTATCTTCATTAACATCGGCCTGACTGTTACAGCAAAGTGAAGACAGTCCAGCGTTGTCACTACAGCTAATGTTAATAGATCTCCACTGTCTATAATATATTGTTATCAGCTTATTAAACAAGATAAATGTAAGAATTCTAGCTTGACTGTTAAATATCTGCTTTGAGGAAGATGAAGCAGGCCTTCTGCAGCGTGCGGCGCCCGAGTAAACACTCCAGTGTTTGCAGAGGGGAAGAGGAAGTATCACGTTCCAGCCACATTTACATCTCATTAAAATAAAACACACTTTAGGCTGGATGCTGCTGGCATACAAATACAACCTCAGACCAACCAGGGACCATGACATCATCAATGATCTGTAGTACCTGTCAGTAGCGTGTTGGATATTTGGTTTTAAATGTTACGCTGTCAAACAGTAGAAACAACCAAAGCTGTTGAGTGAGATATTGAGTAAAGCGGCCGATACGCAGACGGCATATCAGGACAGAAACAAGCAACTATTTTGGTGATGGATTAATCATTTAGGTCCTTTTTCAGGCAAAAATGCCAAATATTATTTGTATGTGAGGCTTTAGTGATTTTCTCTCTCTTATAGGAGAGTAAAACACTAACGGAGCAACCTGAAGAACCATGTTGGGCATTTCAGTCTAACAGGCAATAAAAAGCACTTAAACATCATATGTCAACTAATGACACTCGCTGGATGGAAGTTATCAGTTTGTTATTGCAGAATATTTCTCTAATTTTGTTTACTGATTATTTGTTTTAGTCATAAAAATAACATACTTGCTGATTACATTGACACAAATGCTCCAACTTTCTTACTTTCTGCTGTTTCACATGAAAATAAATAAAATACTTCATTTAAATTTAAAGACTTTACTTTGTGTTCAAGTAACATGATTCAACAATGTATTAATTGTTAGCTCAGGGACGAACTGATATATGCACTTAAAGATTTACAACAATAAATACGTTGAGCCTCATGATGAAATAATGACAGTTAAGTGAATGATCATCCCCTAAAATGTTTACTTGAACAATACTTTACATTTTTTGTGGCGACTGGCGATCTAGACTCATTTAGAAATGTTACTAGAGCAGGAGCATGTATGAATAGAGGAGCTATTAAATAGATTCAATGTGTGCAAACAAATTAGTGCCCTGCGTGTCCTTCACTGGCACACGGGTAAAGCCCATAATATACCCAAATACAAGATGTTAGGTTAGTCTTTCCTAACTCTTAAGATGACTCGTCCATGTTGGCATTTCACTTGGTGCTGTGACGTAACTCCTCCACTCCCGGGCAATCGGATCGTCAGTGATCTAAAACAACCATGATTGGATGACCGACCCTATTTTTTGACTATCTAGTGGTTACGTCTTCTTCCTGTGCATCACGGGACAAACGTAGACAAGGTGACGACACTTTATGGGGCAAAGCAAATACACAGCAGTTTGGGATTTGTTTAAGCTTTCACTTAACTGTAAAACATGATGCAGCACTTTTCTGTTGAAGGCAATGTGCTGTACAAACGTTCACCATGCCAAAAAAACAAAGTGGATCATTGTCTTAATTGTTGTCAGTGGGTTTTAAGTGGAATTAGGGAGGCCTTATCAACCCGTGGCGGTGGCGTTATGGTGTTTTTGGCCATTAAATGCTTTTAACCTTCATCCAATCTATCGCCAAGAGGACTCTCATCCTCACTTCTCTCTCACGTCTGCACTCACTAATTCTCCCTGTTGAACCTCTGTCAGACACACTCAATTACAGCCGTATCTGCTCAACTAACAACACCGCAAATAATCACTGATGACGACAATGTAACGTCAATAGAGGTCTCTACTTCATTCTACCTATCAGACGTGTGTCTTGTTCATAAAGTGAACCAAAAATACACTTTTAGTGTTAGTATTAGCCGACTTTATCAAACAACTGCAGCTTCTGTGATTTGACTTATTGACATTGCATTAATCTGATACACCAATGTGATGTAATCTTAATTAGTATCATTGGTAACACCTGTGTATACTCTACTATCTTCTATTTTCATATCAAAATGGCTGCTGTGAAAAAGGTCTATAAGAATAACAACTACTCAGTTGCATTCCTAGATCCAGTGATGACTGACCTTCATAAGACATTGAGTTGACGCTTGGTCTGTCTGCTAAATCAAACTGCCACATTTACCTTGTTGTAGTTATAATGTCATTTTCAAAGGCAAGAGGAGCAGGTAACAGCTTAATGCCTCAGTGGGTTTAACATGCTGGGCTGTCGGATGAAAGCTGTATCTTCTGCCTGCTGCTGGTCACGACATCTGACTGGATGCACACGACATGCTTCCATTTTCGGACATATGGTACTTTGAGGCGCTTATTTCACATTTTGCTGCATTAAAGTTTGATCACATGGCCTTCTCTTACAGGCAGTCAATAACTTTAAAACACGGTTTTGAATAATATTGTAACTAATGATGACTAAAAATAATATACACAGCTACTTAGGGCTAACCGGTTGCTAGCTACCGGTGCGCACTCAGCTGTAGACCCCCAATGCCGAACTGCGTTGTAAAGATATACTACTGAACATAGATCTTGATTATAAACGTAGAAAATACAACACAAATTAAGACATTTCAGTCATAATGTCGTATTACGACCTATTATTCAATCCGGCTTCTATTCTGTCTGTAAATACAAACTTATTCCAATAAAAAATAAACTTTAAGGAATGGTTTCCAGGTGTCATCACAGCCGTCCATCGCTGATTATCGCTACAATAAATCGCCACTTTTTCCTATGAAGTTCGGTGTGGAGAGGAGCTAACGGCTACCCTCTTCCCACAGAGCACAGTTAACGTTACTCACTTCTCTGTTGCGGAGTCCTTGGAGGTTTCATTCTGGCCGTCACCTTTGGAGCAAAAGCCTCTCACTCCGTGCCTTCTGGCGAGGTGCGGCGGAGCTCTCCACCCGGCGAAAGCCCTCCCTCTGCCCGGCGACCTCCCATCCAACCGGGCGGTGCTGAAGCGGGCGGAGGTTGCAGGTGCCGCTTTAACACCGACTCTACCTGTCAACGGACGCTTCAGCTGGGTTTGAAATAACTCCTTGAGCGCTACCGTTGACCGAAAATGTAACATTTCAATCCCGTCGAGAAGAGTAATGGATGGTGTAACTACAGAAAGACCGAGTGGAGGAATGAGGAGACCTACGGAGCGCAGTGTCCGGTGAGAGCGTCGGTTTCCTCGGTACAGTAACGGTTTTCCCGGTGACTCAACAACGGGAAAATTTCCTCAGTGGGACTCAACCTACCCTTCACGCCTCAAGAGTTCTGATTGGACCATGGTATCACATACCTGCACCTGATTGGCCAAGAGGGCTGTCAATCATCGGAACGGTGTCGCCTACTGCGTTGAGCTGCTGTCGGTCTCCATCACTTTCGTCACTTAGTGAACATTTTAAAGCGATTATGGATTAATACTTACTTTTAAACTATTTAAAATGAGTTTTCCACTTAATACCAGCTTAAATAAGACAGTCAGAAACTGTAGTATAGGACAGATCACTACTGACTGAGTTCCAGTTAATAACTACACTATTATAGTGGATAGAAAATAATCTAATATACGAATGTTTAGGGGCTATTACAATAAACACCCCCTTAATATATATCCTTTATTTAACCAGGTAAAAGTCTAATTAAGATTAAAATCTCCTTGCAACATAAACATTGTAGACAGTAAACACAAACAACACAAACACATATAATCAGTGTCACAGTGAACATGGAATATAAGGTCAGGGACTAAAGCAACTAGGATGCAAACAGATAAACATTTCTCAAATGCTTAAAATCCTTAAAAGGGTCATCAGTAAATTTAAGGGAAGATGATTGAAAATGTTAATATATATATATAATTATGTGTATTATTATAAAGTATAATTTGAAAGAATCCGGTAAAATATTAACTCAGACTGAGCCAAAGTAATATTTATAGTTTATCTCAACTTCTGTCATAATTCTTGAGTTTTAAGTCAAACCTGAAATTTACCAATAATAATGATAATTTACTTTTCGTCTTTAAAAAAACTTGAAATCTGTATTTCATAATTTAATACGTGATATATTGATTAATAATATATATATATATATCATTTAATATTTTAAATTGCAAATTCTTGATTTTCGAGCACCCAAATAATGAAAAATATCTGAGTGATATACAGAAGTAAGTCCTACCATATTGTAATGTCTTGTCTTGGTGTGACACCATTTGAAGTATTTTGGTACTGCACATAATCAGCCTGCAGTTTTCCTCAGCAGATGGCGTCTCTGTCTTTAAAATAGTTACAGCACCATCTCCTGGCTGGAAGTGATTTTAGTCCACAGGCAAAAGCAACACACTGACAATCCAATCATAGACTCTAAAAACAATCTTATTAGTTATTAGGTAAAGATTTAGAGTTGGATGCACATTTTTACGCTCTATTTGTTTTATGACGTCCATGAAGCTTTCTTGTATTTCTGGACACTGTGTGCACAATTATAAGATTTACACTGACTCAATTATAACCATTTCTTAATTAAAATGTATTGCAAAGTCAGTTCAGTTTCCTTTTATGTTGGCTAATAAAACAGATTCAATCTTGAAGGTTTAATATGTGAACTTACTGTACTGAACCTGAGTCAGACAGCATTTTAAATGTTTGTTTTGACCTCTTTTGCAGCCTGTGTGGGTGGAGTTTGACACCCGGTGTAAAATAATGACCTACAAAAGAGATTACTCACTGGAAAGTATTTTGTTAGTTGCTTCACTTTATTTTTCCATGGCTGCCAACTTTTATCTGACTTTATCTGAATCTAAACTCCACCCACCTGGAGCTCCAAGTAGGATAAAACAAACAAATTCGTTCTTACTAATAATGTCTCACTTGCAACATGAAACAGTCATGAATTTGGACAAAATTTACTGGAAGAAATCCAAACTGAGCCGCTCATGTTTGTCCTTGTAATCAGGTCTAGAATTAAAGGGAAATTCCAACAAAGTTTTCCTGTAGGTTGTTATTTTAAGGGAATCAATATTTTCATTTAAAAAAAAATCCCTTTTTGGCGGTTTCCGAGTCCTGACCTTCAAATGCACACTAGATTAAACAGATCTCAACCCCATGAAACTAAATCGTCCACACTGGCCCTTTAAAGTGATGGGACCTTTCTTTAGAGCCAATGCACGCCGCTGTTTGGGGCTGTTTTTAAGGAAATTGTTGATGCTACAGTGATATTTGAAATATTATGGACAGACCTGCTCCTGTTTCAACATGATATTTCACGTGCAAGTCCATTAAGAACTGTTTATTTTCAGTTTAGTGTGGAAGGCCTGCACAAAGCATTGATCTGTACTCCATCCAGCACCTTTACAATGACCTTACCGCCCAATATCAGTGCTGGACCTCAATAACGCTCTCAAAAAATGTGTGCACATACCTGGCTAATAAAAGAAATTCTGATTCTGATTTATAAGCAAAACCTTTTCTCCACCATTGCTTCTAAAAATATAACACAGTTGGATTCAATGTGCAATTTAAAAAATGACTTCAAATGTTACATTTGACCAACATGTACAAACATGTCAAACAAAGCTGTCTGTCAGTGTTTCTGTAGATTTTTATTTGACCCTGATGGCCAGAACATATCAAGGCTGTAGGAGGTTGTGCAAATTTTTTAGTCTTAAAAGAGCCACCTTATCCTTAAAGAATATTTATTTCTCAATTGAAGTTAACCTTTTCAATTATTTTGTCCATTCACTTCCTTTTGTTTCTGTCTTTGGTGCAACATGTAAAAAAGAAATAAAGGCGTGAGAGCTGCCACTCATTCAAACTAACAGCAGCTCTCAAAGTTTAATTTTGTGCAGAAATCTCCCATGAGCCGCTGCATTTTTGCTGCATGCAGCACTAAACCAGAAAACAAAGGAAGGAAGGAAGGGAGACAAACAAGGCGATCCCTAACGAAGCTGCAGGGAGGAGAGGCGATAATTCACCAACACCCACACCTTCTCAAAAGCAGTCAGCTTCCTGCTCCTTTCAAAATGAGGGTGATGGGTGCGCTCAGCAGATCCCTCCCACGCTGCTTAGCGGCTGGCTTCCGCCCACCGCCCGTGGAGCCGCCCACCTCCAGCCGTTGCCACGGCAACACATCATCATCAGTGACTTGCACTGGAGGAGGAGGACAGGGAGGGGAGGGGTGGCCATTTGAGCGCCGAGCAGGGCTGCCACTGTGAACAGCAACAAGCATGGGTGTTCATGAGCTGAGCTTTTCTCCAGAGAAAATCTGTCTACGTGTGTGAGAGAGGGGGGGCGAGAGAGGGATGGAGGGAGTGGAGAGAGGGAGGATGATGGGAGGTATGTGAAAAGGACCTGCGTCAGAATGAGTCATCAGCCAGTTTCACAATGTGTTGATGTGACGCTGATGCAAATGGCCTGCACAGGGATTCATCTGAGGAGAGAGAAAAGAAGAAGCAAACAAACAAACAGAGAAGCTCCTTTAAAGGAAGTTGAACTGTCCTCTATCTGCTTGGATTACCAGGCACTTTTACTGTTTGTGCTGGGAAAACACTGGGGCTTCCCTACCTTGCTCAAAGGCACCTTCAAAGTTGTTGCAGGATGACTGCGCCTCAGATTTTCCAGCCGGGATCCACTCAGTTTTATGAGCAAGACACTGAAAGTCCACCAGCTCCTCCCAGTAGCGGGAAACTGATATATAATTTACCAAAACATTATTATCACTACATTATAGTGTTACCAAAGACTAGAACCTATTATCACAGCACTACAAAGACCGTTTCTGCCCCTTTAAGCACTGTACTCGATAATCTGACTTAAGCAATGACTTCAAAACATCTGTCTGGTGTTCTTTGCCTAAATATAAATCGTCTTTATTAGCGATTATAATTCTTATTAAAGAGGTCAAACTGGCCAAAATGCTGAAATGTTGAAGATACATTTAAAGCTTTCTCTATTGTTGATACAACATAAAGCACCAACAAGCTGATAAGCTGATGTTGATCAATGAATTGTAAATGATTTAATAACCACACCTAAAAGATTTTATGTGATAGATCTTCTGTCCAGGTATTAGCCTTGAAAATCCATTGTTGACTGGGCTATATCAGTCAACAGTCCTATTACCACGGCAACACACATACCCAAGGTTTAAGCTGGATTCAGATGACATTGATCACAGAACGCACCTCACAATAGAGTTCAAAAAAATAAAGTTTAATGTTTATGTGCTGTATAACAAATAAAATATATTAGTGTTTAAAAAACAGGTGCATAACTAGGTGAAGCCTAATCTATCACTTTACAATAAACAGTGAGGAGAACAGTGGTCAGTGAGACGGCAGGTCAGACATGCGCTATTCTCTGAAACATCGTACAGTCACGCTAACTAGGCCAGTGTTTGAGGCAATCAGGCTGGAAACAAAAGATTGTTTTTGTCCCCGAACCACGATGGCCTTATCTCCCAGAATTCTCTAGCTAATTTAGCTTTAGTAAACAAGATTTTTACAACAGATCACGACTCCAAATCATATTTTCTTGCCACAGTGGCTGCTTGAAACAAAACAACCTCGTGGAATTTCATGAAAGGAACACATCTTTGCACACTAAAAGTGAGACAACACAAACATTTGCCAAGTTGCAGGTGAATTCCCACCTTGACAGACATACAGTTACTGAGCACATGACAAAACTATGGATCCATATAGTATGCAAATAGACTTATTACTTACATAAATATTGCATTGGTCTGTCATTACGCTGAGTGAGACTAAACTATCTGCAGGGAGTAAGGGGGGAAGGAGAGTTAGACCAAATTGTATGGACATTATTATCATTTTGGACCAAACAGACGTATTTACACAGTGTGGCAAACACATAAAAACACAGTGAACACTTAATTGTTATGTAATTACCTCTAAACAGCAAAAACACATCTTTGAAATATGCACTGATGGCCATCACAGGTGGATTAAACACTGTTAAGAGCTAAGGCTAATCAACATTATCATCATGTAAAGCATGTTTTTATATACCAGACACTTTCACACTGTTGTATTTTTTCCTCAATGACACTTAAGTTTTCTTTTTTTGTTTTTGCTCTACATACATAAACACTGTATTGACACCAAAAATCTACAGCAAAGTTACACTTGACAAAGGAAAACCCTGGTTGAGAGATTAGGCTAGCACTATTTGTTATCTTGGTACTATTTACAGACCCCAGGCTGCTGCTCCAC